TAGCGCCAGATACGTAAACACAGTACGGGTTCAAGCACTCTCAGCCCGTACGGGAGAATCATGAGACCTCTTCCTCTGACTTGCACATCGCTGTCGCGTTTCCACCAGCTGCACCGACAACAACACTTATACGTCATGTGACTATGAGCCGCCGCCAAGCCCTGCTGAATCAGCTGAGGTCAAAGGGCCTTGGCTGCCGGGGCAAGGCCCGACAAAAATCGGCGGCTCTCCGTCCGGGTGCTAAACCAGGTGCGGACTAGTTTCCCCCGGATTATCCAACAATAGCGCTGCCGGACCCCGCAAACATCATCAGCAGCTCGTCCCCGCTACCCCGCGTCGGATAGTCTCGAGCCACCTGACAGACGCGATGGCGGGTTGCATCCAGTACATATACCGGTCAGTCCCCTTCCGCCCAGGACTTATCTTGACGTATAGAAGCAGTCATATCGAATAGAATGCTCGGATTCAAGAAACAGGAGAAAGAGGTCCCCGCCGACCAGGGCTCGGTAGTCGATATCGACGATGAGAAACTCGAGGCTCAGCAGCAAATCGAGCACGTTTTGATTGATAGCTTGGCGATTCCTGATTACCGTCCGGACACCGACGAAGAAAAGAAGCTCGTGAGGAAAATCGATCTTTTTCTTCTGCCGACCATTTTCTTGATGTACTTCTTGAGTTATTTGGATCGCATCAAGTAAGCAGACGCTTTTGTTCAGTTTTCGAGAGAGGTGTTGATCTAACGATACCCAGTGTCGGAAACGCAAAGGTAGCTGGAATGATGGAGGCGCTTGAACTTGACTCGAATCAGTACTCGGTTGTTCTTGTCATTACAATCGTCTTCTACGTCACTATGGAGATCCCGACAAAGTAAGTCTATCAGTTTTGACACCAATAAAGTGGTTTAGTTCGCTTACCTCTTTTCTTGCAGTATGATTCTTGCCAAGACGCGACCATCGATATTCTTACCTACCATCATGGTCTGCTGGGGAATCACTACCTGTGGCATGTCTCAAGTGAAGTCGTACCATCAGCTTATTGCTCTGCGTGCGGTTGTTGGTATATTTGAGGCGGGATTTGCTCCAGGTGTGCTCTTGATGTTTTCTTCATGGTATCGCCGCTCGGAGCAGTCTCTGCGCTTTGGTATCTACATTTCCGCCCCAGTTCTGGCGGGTGCATTTGGTGGATTGATCGCAGGTGCCATCACCGGTCATCTTGATGGCGCTCACGGCATTCCGGGCTGGAGATGGCTGTTTATTGTCGAAGGTGCTGCTACCTGCGGATGGTCTTTGGTTTCTTACTTTACTCTTCTGGATTTCCCCGCAAAGTCGCGATATATGAGCCAACGCGAGCGCGATTTAGCAGTTTCCAGATTGCAGTATGAGGCTTTGTCAAATATGGAAGACGACACTCCTACGCTTACTCATATGCAGGCACTTAAGGTTGCCCTTACTGATTGGCGTACGCTTCTGTTCACGGCTGGCTACGGTATTCTCAACACAACCTCTTCGCAGTCCTACTTCTACCCTACTCTTGTCAAGAGTCTGGGATATACTGGAACATCCGAGATCCAGTACATGACTGTCCCCATCTACGCCGTTGCATTTGTCATAAACCTGGTGACGTCTTATATCGGAGATCATCAGATGCACAACAAGCGTGGATTTTTGATTGCTGGATGTATGGGAGTTGTCTGTCTGACGGGCATTCTGACAGTGACTATCTACAATGACGTCGCGCGTTACGTGTTCTTGGTGTTGATGTGCTCGGCTGTTTGGGCAGGTACAGCAGGCTGCTTAGCGTACGCATCGTCGTCGTTTGGATATATGGAGCGAGAGGCTCGTGGTATTGCTCTGGCTTGTATGAATGGTATGGGAACAGCCGCGACTATTGGTGGATCTTTCCTGTTTCCGTCAAAGGACTCGCCAAAGTATATCATGGCATTTTCAGTCGTGAGCGCTACCAGTTTTGTTGGTATTTTTGCATTCAGCGCTTTGCAGGTGTTGCTTAAGAAGTATGCACCAAAGAAGTAATTTGTTGAATAGTGTCTTGATTTATCGTGTATCTGTATCTAAATCGAATTGTTATTTGAAAGCATCTTGAAAGAAGTCATAGTACACACTCGCCGGTCCTGTTATCAGTGAATGCGCTCATGACATTTAGGGTTTTGAGCGAGGCGGTCGATTACTCGGCTCCAGCGTTGCCAGTCTTGTGTACCCTACTCAACGGGGATAGCTTATGTGTAGCGCAAAAACTACGCTCATTGATAGACATCTTTGCTATCGAATTGTCATTCAGCATATTGAGCGAGCATTATTTTACTCAAGATATATTAAGGTTGATGAATCTGATTGTCGTTTCAAATTACATTAAAAATTACAACGTAGCTGGTACAACCATATGAACATAGGATATCAATGAAGAAAGAACAACGAGCTTGATAGGATATTGCTCAAATTTAGAGAACGAAAGCCAAAGCAGCGCCAGCAAGACCGACGGTCAAAGCAGCGCTGGCCTTGAGCATGCCAGCACCACCGGTGAAGGTAGCGACGGGGGCGGAAGTAGAGGTCGCGTTGGCGGTGGTGGTGTTGGAGGTGGTGGCAGAAGCTCCGTCAAGGACGAACTCGATGGTGAAGGGAATGCAGTCTGAAGGAGCACCGCTGGTGTAGTACAGAGCCTGGTACTCTGAAGTAGAGTAGGAGTAGGGGTCACCGGTGTTCTTGCAAGCGTAGAAGCCGGAGGAGGAGCCGTTGACGGCGAGGGTGTTTCCGTCGACAATGTCAAAGTCGGTGTAACCGCCGAGGATGGAGACGGTGACGAGGTCCTCATCGTTGACCTGGAAGTAGGAGGTAAGGCCGGCGAAGGAGACGCCACCGAAGGTGTTGGCGCTGGAGTCGTAGGAGTAGGTCTCGCCGGAGGGGCCGAGGAAGACGTAGTTGATGCCAGCACCCTCGTGGATGGAGGACAAGAACTGACCGTCGATGGTGGAGTCAGAGGAGACGACCTCGAGGGTGACGTTCGCGACCGTCGCGGCAGCAGAGGCCGCGAGTCCGGCAAGAGAGAGGGGGAGAGCAAGGGAGTACTTCATGTTGGATTGGGATTGAGGTGAGGACGGAGAGAAGAGATAGGAGGATCAGGGCAGGAGGGGGGATACTTATAATCAGAGGATCGTGGTGTTCTACGCTAGTTCTAAGGTTTCCCGGCAGCCCGAGGCAGCTTTTAGGATGTCTGAGGTTGTTTACAAGTCGCTCGGAACAGCTAGGCGGTCAGGGCCTGATTGGCTCCTGTACGCACGAATGTTGTGGTTTCCAGTAACGGAGTGCGGCCAAGGCGTCGCAGCCGCGGCCCTGGTCTGACGTCAGTCCAGCCGTGTTCGCGTCTTGTTCTTGATCCGTTGGTTTGGTGCCGGAGAGAAGCAGATATATTGTAGATAGAATTGATATGAATGATCATCATCCTGCTTCATCTACTGATATACTAATTGCATTCGGCTATTGGTTATATTCGATACGGTTAAGAATCATGAAATCTACTCGCGCGGCTATTTATAGACTCAAATATAGTGCGGCAGACCATTTCCGGCCTGGCCAAGTCTGGCCTGACGATGGTCTGGATGATGATGAACGACAAGAGCTAAGAGCTCACTTTGGTTGGTATCTTTCTATAAATGCAAGAAATAGCACCCACATTCCTGGTCTCTTCACTGCCCACATCGATCGTTGCTGTGGTTACGTGTCCGGATCGCAATGTAAACAAGGTCGCGAGAGAATGTCCGCTTGACGCAGCTCGAAACCTTAAAGCATAAGCTTTCTATTATTAGGTCTCAGCCGTGCTCTGGTCGAGGCCAGGACTTAAGCGCAGAACCTCAGGATCCTATCGATACCAACTTCCGCGAGCCGAGATAAGATGTAGTATATAATCACTCTCTAACAACAAGAGCCTGCTGACTGTATGGACAGACAGAGAAGATAGTAAGAGGGCGATGGCTAATCAAAGTGGGTCTGATGCTACTGTTATGCAGAGCTACTGGCAGAAACAAACGCTCATTCCAGTAGCTCTCGGCTTTTGATCAAGAATGAGAGCACAATAACAACCGCATAGTTACTCCCTCATTATACGAGCCTAATCATGTTTGACGATGATTACCGAGACAAAGGAGAGCATTATATCTCAACAGCCTGCATTCTTGTAGATCTCTGATATTAAATCCTACTTCGGCTCTTGTTTATTCTGACGGCAGCTATCGAGGACTATATAGATGGTGTATGGTACCATCGACCGGGGTCCACTTGAGTCTCACAGGCCTGTAGGGTTTCCAAACAAACGACGTGCTGAGCTACACGTGATCTGATATGAATGCGATGCTGCTGCATGCTCTGCGTATGACCTCTGCTATGCCGCTTCTCAGTCGGTCCACTATCTTTCTCCGCTTCTTTGCTGTTTGCTGTCTCGTTCGCTTACATCAGCTCTGAATCAGCTATACTGCCAGATCTTATCGAACCCTAGTGTCTTACACAGTATTACACTCAGCGAGCGAGGTCCTGACAGAAGTGTATTTCTGTCAATATGATCTGCACACAAACTACCCACCAGCCGGTGAATCTTTGTCTGCCTGAACAAAGAAGTGCCTGAACAAAGAGGCGGTCGGTGTAGAGCCCGAGTGTGGGGAAACGTCGCCAGTGACTGAGTCTTGGCTGACCTCTGATTATAGTTAATATATTGCAGCTCACTGTCCACCGTCGTCCTCCAATCCACCGGCGCCCAGGCTCCAAGAACCACCGTCTTTGTCTCTTCGCTCAGCTGCCAGATCTGTTTATTAACAGATTAAAATAATGCTACTTAATCCTGTCTCGGACGTCTCCCCGGAGCCCCGCCGGAACTTGCGCCGTCGCCCCGCGGCTGCCCTCGCCTCTCTGCCCCTCTTCCCCGCATTTTGACAGTGATCGCTGCTCCTCTTTCTCGGCTCGCCTCAGATCGCATCTGCATACTGTTTCTACCTGTCGACATGTCGCCTGATCATTGTACCTGCAACCTGCTTAGCCTAATTAGACCACTCCTCTTCTCAGCCTATTTATACCCTTCGCCCATCCACCCTCCACCGCCGCCTCTCTCGTTCTCATCTTCGTCGTCTTCTGTCTGCTCTCTCTATCATGACTGATCCCTCTGTCGAAAAACCCGCCTCCGCTGAAGAGCTCGAGTACAACAATGCCACAAATCACAAGATCCCCGCCCCAACCATCCTAGCCCAGAACAACGAGGAGCTCGCCCAGTTCTACGCCTCCTTCGAGCAGAAAGATGAGGAGTGGAAATCCCACATGGATCGCCTGGTCACCCGCAAGATCGATATCAAACTTCTACCGATGCTGGGTCTCATGTATCTTCTCAACTTCCTCGACAGATCAAATCTCGCTCAGGCTCGCCAGGGCACGCTCGAAGAGGACCTCAATATGACCGGCACGGACTACAATCTCGCCACTAGTATTCTTTTTGTCGTATGTCCATCCTCGCTTATTATACCTCTATCTGCTATGGTACTGACATCTCATTTTATCCAAGGGCTATCTTCTGATGCAGCTACCCTCGAATCTTCTCATCACTCGCATCAGGCCATCTGTCTTCCTTGGCTGCGCCATGGCCGTCTGGGGCCTGATCTCGGGTCTCCAGGCCTGTCTTCAGAGTTTTGGCGGTCTAATTGCTTGCAGATTCACTCTTGGAATAGTAGAGGCGCCGTTCTTCCCCGGCGCTGTCTTCCTTATGAGTTCCTGGTACAGACGTCCCCAGCTCGGCTTGCGCATCGCAATCTTCTACTGTGGAAATGCCATCGCCCAGATGTTTGGCGGTCTCCTAGGCGCCGGAGTTTTAGGAAACATGCATAATGCCCATGGCATTGCTGGCTGGCGCTGGCTCTTCATCATCGAAGGCTCAATCACCGTTGGTGTCTCCATCGTGTCTGCCTTTATCTTACCAAACTTCCCCAGCTCGGCTTGCAAATGGCTCACGCCTGAGCAGCACGCTTTTGCTCAATGGCGAGTCGCCGTCGACTCACACGAGTCTGACGACCTGGGATCTGTCACCGTCAAGGACGGTCTTCTGATGGCTCTCCGTGACTATCGCCTCTACGTCTTCCTGTTTCTCCAGCACACCTCCTTGCTCACCCAGACCTTCCAGTATTTCTTCCCGGCTATCGTCAACAGTCTTGGTTATGGAAAAATTGAGTCACTGCTTCTCACCGCTCCCGTCTGGTTTGCAACCTTCCTAGTTTCTCTCTTGGTTACATACACCTCAGGCCGTTTCCATGACCACGCTTGGCACATCTTTACCCTGCTTCTCATTTCCTGTCTTGGAAACATCATCATGATCTCGACCCTCAACACCGGCGCTCGCTTCTTTGCCATGTTTCTCTTACCCATCGGCGCCTACTCCGCTTACGAGATCATCGTTGCCTGGGTCGCAAACTCTTTCCCGCGTCCGACAGTCAAACGATCTGCCACGGTCGCCATCTGCAACATGTTTGGAAACACGGCAACAATCTACGGTGCTTACATGTACACTGACGGACCCCGCTATGTGGCGGGAGGTGCTGCTGTTGCAGGCGTCTGTGTTGTTGTCGCCGTCACCGCTCTCTGTATCCGTGTTATCCTACGCAGACAAAACTCTCAGCTGGAAAAGTCGGAGAATGAAAAGATTGCCAGTGGTATCGATCCCCTGACAATCAACGCCTATGGCTTTCGTTATATTTTGTAAATTTTACGATTGTCACATTTTGTTATTTCTCCTAGTCTCGCGTCGTTTATACCAATTGAAATCCCCTTGCGCTTCTTCACTCATCGATGTTCCTCATAGTAACGTGATAGACTCTGCTTCATAATCTTCCTTGGTGCCGGCTTCTTCGTCCATAGTTCGAACTGGCCCGATGCCATCTCAGGCAGCAGATTTAATCCGTCAACGCCTATCCATCCACGCTCATGTAGAGTCCTCGCATTCCGTAGCATAGGGCCTTCTATGGATTGATAGTAGAGCTAAGAAGATAAAAGTCAGTATTCAGCACTTTAGAAAAATCATCGACGTGTAGTACCTCCATAAAGACGCCACCCGTCGGCCGATCGAACCATGACAGAGGAAACTCCATATACGCAGATATCGCAGAGACAATTATCGTCGGCATCTCGAGCCCAAGCTTTGCAACGGCCTCTGGCGCATCCAGAGAATCCAACGCGTGAACTTTGAATTTAATCTCGCGCGACAGCGACACTTCGTCTGCCGGAGTCGGACTTGGTGTTCTATCGGTACTGTGTGGTGTGGAAAGTCTGAGAGGAGAGAGGGAGTTGAAGTGATTGGCGAGCTCTTGTGCGTGTTTTGCCGTTCGGTTGTAGATGAGAATATCTTCGACACCAAGTCGAATACACGCATATATCACTGCTCTGGCCGAACCACCGGCGCCAATAACCAATGCCGTTGTCTTCTTGTGGATCGAGTTCACTGGCGTCAGATGGGCGATGATTGCATTGTAAAAGCATATCCAATCAGTGTTTTCGCCTCGGATAGTCGTGATTTGCATGTTGTCGTGTGCGTGCTCGGGAATCAGCGTGTTGACCGCCCCAATCACTCGCGCATGCTCTGATAATGTGTCGGCCATCCGCACAGCGGCTTGCTTGTACGGCAGCGTGATTCCGATCCCGCCAAAGTCAGGTCGGGCAATCAGACTGAGCATGTCCTCCGGATCTGCAGACTGGTAGCTTGTGTGGGTGTGAGGGAGTCCTAGGGCACGGAATCCAGCGTTCATGACTGAGGGCGACAACGCCATTGGTGACTGCGGGCCTCCAAATAGATAGAACTGCAGTCTCGGCAATGCGCATGCGGTGTAGAGCGCGACCTGCGCGTCGTAAGCTGATATGTCGTGGGACTGTAGAAGGGTGTTGTCGGCATTGCTGCGCGCGTTTGGGTAGTACGCCACGACCGGAGTTAGGATATGATTGAATATACGGGAGAGTCGACCCATTGGCCCGGTGTTGAATGCAGAGAGGTGGGCGCTTGCGGCGCTCAGTCGTTTGCCGTTGCGGTGATGAAATGCCGAAACAGCCTCGTTATCATAAAAGCACGTCGCCTCCTTGCTAAGCCGGACTATGTTGCAAAAGCTTAGAGCGTTTTCCATAATCAGCTCTGGCTCGCCAGAGTCCCACCAGTTGACGGTCGCAGACTCATCTGGTGTGTGGGTGTGATGCCAGGATCCCATGATTTGACGGTGGTAGCTGGCGCGTTGCTCGGAAGATATTCTGTTGTCGATCGCGAAGGGTATTGGTGATTTTGTGGATAAGATATCAGCCAGGCGACTGTAGTGACTGTTGAGATGGTAGGAGTTTCTAACGCCCTCGCCATCACCTTTGACGGAGTTGAAATCGGTAAAGTGCGAGAGATCGATGTTGATGTATCGCGTGATCAGACGCATGCCGTACTCAAGAAGCTCAAAATAGAAATCACGGACTTCTGGCTGAGAGAAATAGCTATCTGGACACGAGATCGAGAATATGATGGGCAGGCGCGTCTGGCGACGGATGATTCCGACAAATTTCCCTATTGATTCAAGCTGCAGGGACCTTCGGCGGAAGATAGGAGCATCAACGATTACCTCAACACAGTCTGCGCCCATGACTCTATCGCCAACAGAGTTTGATTCGACGTAGTCGTTGACATAGTCGTCGAGGCCAGAGTGCAGAGAGTGAGGGGGAGGAAACCTGAGGGAGATCGAGTAGGTGTAACGTCTGGCTTCAGGATGCTGGACTTTGATCAGCGCAACTTCATCCTGCTCGCGTCGCATGATCAGCTTCAGAAACCGAACAAAGTCGAGTTCTAGATTTTTGAGCATAAGGAGTTGGCGCTGGTCGCCTTCGGGATCTGTGCGAGAGCGGCGATGGGCGGTGAGGTTGAAGAACTCAAAGTTTGCACATTCTCGGTAGACGGCGTAGCGCTGGCGGCACATGCGATAGACAACTGACGGGTCTGGAGCGTTGAGATACTGCACGATGCGGTCTTCGTCGCAGACGATGTGGATGACGGGGTGGTGTTTCGAGAACTCGGAGAAGAGCTGGCGGTTGGGAGGGTACTCGATCGCGGCGGCACCGCAGGCGATGACGCATCGCTCGGTGCATCGTTTGAGGAGATCGGCCAGGACTTCGTGCTCGGCGACGCGGTACTCGGAAAGAGAGTGCTCTTTGATGTAGGAGAAGGGGGGCATGCCGAGCGCGGTCTGGACGTTGTGGTCGGTGTCGACGAAGCGGAAGCCGAGGGCGCGGGAGGCGATGAGGGCGAGGGTGGACTTGCCGACGCCGTGCATGCCGATGAGGGCGACCGAGACATCGGCGGAGGTTGTCATTGTCGTATTATGTTTTCATAGTAGCTCAAGATGTGTAGATGGTGATATCAGAAGTAGAAGAAGGAGAAGAGGTGAATAATGTTCATGTGGGGATTGGTGAACTGGGAGTTTAATTTGCCGGCAAAACACATTTGCGGCTTTTCCTCTCCCCGGGTTTTTGCTCGTCCTTCGACCGGCGCCTCTCCTCGATCATCTCCATCTTCACTTCCTCATCCTCCTCCGCCTGGCGCCCGCCATCTGATGGACGACGGCCTCTCGACAACCGGCAGCAGTCCGGCGCCCAAGCGCACGCGTGTCAGCATGGCCTGCACGCAGTGTCGCGCCCGCAAGGCTCGCTGCGATCGCGGGCAGCCGGCCTGCTCCTCCTGCTTGGCCTCCAACCAGCAATGTTCCTACGACATCGAAAACTCCAAAAAGAGAGGTCTGCCGACCGGCCACGCTCACGAGATGGAGCTGCGCACTTCCTTGTTTGAGAGAATTCTTGGAATAGCCTGTGCGCGCGATCCTTCGCTCGAGCGTGAACTGCTGGCCATCCTCAGAAATGCGGAGACAGAGAGCGCGCTCGATGATCTCTGGCCGGCTACTCTCGAGTCATCCGAGCTCTCGGGATTCTTCAAAGACTGGTATTCGACATCAGTATCGTCAGAATTCGAGCACGTCGTCGACATGATCAAGACAAAGTACGGTGCCAACGCAGGACGTAGGCGTACTCAGTTCTTACAGCAGCGCAACTCCGCTTCCCCCGAGATGACTCCCGCTCCACGTCCCCCGCGGCCACGCAAACCTCAACCTCCTCAGCAACCGCAGCGCCAGTCGCTATCTACAGACGTCTCTCACAACACAGAATTATCTTCGCTTTCGGTCCTCGCTGCGGCTGCCTCCACATCTGCGGACCCATCAACTCAATCGGTCGCTAGCGATTCTCCAGTTTTGCTACTTCCCCCACCTCCTCCTCCGCCACCTCCATCCCCATCTCCCGCTCCTTCTTCTTACTCAAACATATCGCTTCCGTCATCATCAACCTCTGAGGTTAACGGCCAGTCGCTCATACTCGACAGACTAGGAGAATTTTTCAACCACTTTGATGGATCCACAAACTATGTCGGCCCTTCCTCCGGGTTGATTGGCAGCACCCTTCGAGAACTAGCTTTTCCAGCTTTTGAGTATCCCTCAATATTCCCATTCTCTCGACGCATCGAGGTCATGATCCCACAATCGACCGAAGCTGGTGCTAAACTGGCAGACGAAGTCTTGCACAAACCTTTACCATCCGACATATCTCATCTGCTTTCCTTATACTTTGTCACCATGCACAGCTGGCTGCCCATACTTGACAGATTTGGCGTTATCAAACTTGCCCATCAGGGTTCCAGTCAAACAACAAACGAAACCCGCATGCGGGATGTGGCTGATCGCGGCATCCTCTGGGCGGTGCTGGCGTTATCTACCGCCCACTTAGATGGCGGCTGCAAAGTGAGGGATACGAGCAGTACATCTACCCTCTCTCGCTGCGATCTGTACGCCGACTACGCTTTGACTTCACTCTCTGCAGCGCAGGCGCTCATCAGCGAGTCGAGCGACCCATTTGCCCCTCTTGCTTGTGCCGTGCTGCAAAGCCTGCTTTCTTTGCTCTATCTATCAAAGGGACTGTGGGCCGACAGCTGGCACTTTATCAGCAGTGCGTGCAGGTATGCACTTGACACTGGCAGTTTTTTGGACTCGCTCCCAGCATCTTCAGAAGCATACGCAACATCCGAGGCAAGAGCAGAGTTTAGACGGCGTCGGCTGCGGGCATGGGCTGGATTTTGTGTGATTGACACGATTGTTGCATCCCGGACTGGCATGATGCCCAATATTCGGGCTAAAGACTGGCCGCTGCCTGCTGTGGAAGAGACCGGGGCGGACGAATGGGATGTGTATCAACCTCCGGAATTTCCAAATGCTGAAGGTCATATTCACGCAAATCCCGCTAGGTGCCTATCCGTGTTTAATCAGTATATGGCACTGGTGCGGATATGGAATACTGTTCTCACATCACGTCTATACCATCCTATGCGGGAATCCGGATCTGCCAACGGGAGCTCGACAGCAGCGCTGCTGGCCAAGAAGGTTGAGTACTTTGTGGAAGAGCTCAAGACTTGGGAGAGTGGTCTGCCTTCGCACTGCTTTCTGCAAGCTCAGACTAGGTCGTCTACTACAGACTTTAAGAGCTCACGGTCGAACCCGACCCCTTATCTGGTAAACATGAATATGACTTATCTGCTAGTGCAAGCTTTGGTATATTCAGCTGTGTTTAACCATCCGGGGATGAAAACATCATCAACGCCAGAGAGTATGCATCTGATGACGACGACGATGCGCTCGTATTCGAGAGTTTTGCTAGGGATGTCGCAGCTACTCCGACTTGTCCACACCACTCCTATCTTGTACATGCATTTATTGCCATCGACGTTTGAGTATTTTGTCTTCAGAACTACGTCTCTCTCTACCTTTCTCAATCAAACCATGCGCAACAGTCTAGTCTCGAGCGCGTATGGGGATTACAAGACAGTTCTCTCGCAGGTATTGGCGTTCCTGAAGTTGGTGATGCCGGTTTGGCCGGCAGCTATTCTGTCATTAAGAGTGCTCAGCAATCTGCGAGAAGCAAAGAAAGCTGTGTCGCTTCCAATCAGCGCGATGACTCCTTCGACGGGGGTCCCCACCCCGACTGCATCTTCTGTGTCCGTCGCGACTCTGTCTCCGGAGGATCCACCTACGAAGCGGGAAAGTGACACGAAGGAGGTGCTTCAACGGAATAGCATGACATCAGAGCCTTTGGTATCTGATTCTGGGAATATTTTGGAAGACTTGGGTGATCTCTCAATGTTTGGCATGAAGGCATCTGGGTGAGTAAGAATTGTTCTATCGACCTGTATTGAAGCTAATTCGTGGTGTATATATAGCGAGGATGTACGACTAGAGCAGTTTATGCAGAATCTGGGATATGTGAATGGGCTCGATATTGATTTTTTGATGGCTGCCGACGACCTTCAGCAGAGTATTCACGGCTCGAATGTGAAGACGCAGGAGTCGGCGGACACTTCGAGTTGATCTATTTGGCGTTGGTCCTTGTATAACTAGAGTGGGAATATTGTAAGGATATTTGCTGTAAGCTTCGTGAGTTGCTGGAGAATATCAAAGTAATCAGAAGCTGTTGTAGAGCAGATTAGAATCAGCTCCTCGGAGTTTGAGAGAGTTTAAAATACGCCGCACTGCAAAGAGGCTCAGAATTCTCGACGCCCACAAATTCATGTAAATCATCAGCATTCAGCAACACTGAAAGCAGCATATCCGAGACAATGAAGACATTATTACTGGTATATGTACACGGATTTAAAGGCGGTGCAACGACGTTTGCGGACTTCCCCGGCCATATGGAGTTCCAGCTGAAGAAGCTGTACAAAGCATCAGATACAGCAGTCAAAATCGCCACGATCGTCTACCCTCCGTACGAAACAAAAGGAAACCTGGAAGACAGTGTCCGCACGTTCGTTACATTTCTCGAGACTGCGGTCATTGATTACGAGGTTGCGAACGGCACACATTCGCCGGTCGTGAGCCCGTCGGTCGGTGTCATTCTCGTGGCGCATAGTATGGGCGGCCTCGTGGTCTCGGATGCGACGATTGAGATTCTGGCGCGCGACGCAAACTACGTGTTTCCAAAAGTGATTGGCTTGCTTTGCTTTGACTCGCCGTTTCTTGGACTTCATGCTTCGGTATTTGCGCAGGATGTCCTTGGTCGAGGAGCGGCGAAGTTCAAAGAGTTGCAGTCTGCGAGCTCGGCCGTGCCGCTGACCGCTGCTGCTTCTTACCTGTTTGCAAAGAAGAGCAAAGAACAACCCAAGCGAGAGGGCGAGAAAGTGGAAGAGAAGAAAACCAATTGGGGAAAGATTGCGGGTCTGGCAGCAGCAGGTATTGCGACGACGGCTGCGGCCGCCGCGGGGACGGCGTGGTATCTCAAGAGTCAGAACGTGGACCTGAACTGGGCACAGGAGCATCTGGTGTTTGTCGGCGCTATCTTCAAGAAACCGGCAGTACTAAGAGAGCGGTTATGGACGCTATTTCAGTCGAGACAACGAGTGCAGATGATTGACTACTTCACAGTGATACAACCAAAGGAGGATTCAAGCAACAACTCCCAACAAGCAGGTGATGTCGATCCGGCGCAGGTAGCAAAAGGGCTGGGAAAGCTGGTTAGCGGCGAAGGCGACGGGAAGCGAACGTTTTGTAATATCCCGAAAGAGGTGCCGTACAGCGAGTTTTACGTTCCGGCGGAGAATCCACAGGCCCAGGGTGAGATTGAGGCGCATATCACGATGTTTGAGATGGGGAAGAATCCAAAGTATCGGCCGATGCTTATGAATTGTGTGGAACGAGTGAGCGGGTGGGCATCGGGGTTTTTATCATCTCAGTAGTTGCATAAGGATTTTGGGTACGGGGTGCATTTAATTATGATTTGTTTAATATATTATTACAAGATATTTACAGTTATAAACACATTGAAAGAAAAAACATTCAAATACGCTTGGTCTTGTAGTTTGCGAAGTGGAAACGCAGTCTTCTCTGTTTCCGCTTGATCTGGCTGACCTTCTTCAAGTCGTCCAGGTATTCCTTTCCTTGCGTTTTCTCGGCCAGGTAATCGAATGCCTCTTTCTCAATCAGGATATGCTTCGCCTTCAAGACCGTGCGAACGTCAAGGTCCTTAACGTTGATAACAGTATACTTCTTTCCGTATCCAGCGAGAGCTTTACTGAGATTAGGCCTCTCTTCGGAAACAATGATAAGCACTTTCTTGCCCTGGAGACCCACCTCCTTCCAGACGGGGGCGATCGCCCGAGACTGTCCGGTCGAGATCTCGGCGGTCTTTTCGAGCACGGTGAAGAGGTGTCTGTGGTAAAAGTAGGAGAAGGCGGTGCGCATGGCCAAGTTCCAGGTTCTTCGTAGTAGCTTGGTCGAGGGATCGGGATGTCGAGGACCGAAAGGCTTGCCGCCTCCTTTCAGCATAGGAGAACCAGCACTGCCGATTCGCGCGCGACCACGACCTTTCTGAGCAAACAATTTCTTGCGCGAGTAGCCAAGCTCTGCACGGTTGCGGACAAAGATACTTGATCGGTTGGACGCCTTGTCGTTCTCGTACACGACGGCGGCCCAGAGGATGTCGCGGCGGAAGGGCAGGTCGAGCACGTTAGCGGGTGCTAGTGACACTCCGGTCGGTTCCAGCGACGGGAACGAGTGCAGGGTGGTGAGCACAGCGAGCGGCGGCAGGACGGCAACTGACGGAGGCCCAGACTTTGCTTGCAGTCTCTCGAACGCTTTCTGCTCGGCCTCGCGGACACGCTCGAGCTCGGCCTCGTCTGGCTCGGGAACGGGATACTCGTGTCGAAGCTGCGAGCGCTGGCCGAGCGGTGGCAGGGGCGGCAGGGTCGACTTGTAGATGGGAGTGGCGAGGACTGTTGCGTACATTCGCCGTGATGAGAGCTGCATCTGCTGCAGCAGCGATTGAGGCTTCATCATCTTGCGCGCGGTGTGCTCGAATCTGAGATGGGCTGTGAAGATGTGAGCATCGTTGGTTCCGAGGAGGTTTTTTCCTTCACCAGAATAGAGTTTGATGACAAAGCAATCTGTCAGCCATCATCGACCTCAGAAAACTTTTCGGTTTTCGTCTTTGTCGGAAGATAAACTGTTCATCCGCCTTTCGACTCCAATCTCTCAATTCAGCAGCAAAGATGCCTCGGGTGCCGCAGATATTGAGCAAAGCGGTTCGCATGCCGCTTCGGTCGCTGTCGACCTCGGTCGGCTCGACCGGTGAGAGCTCTGCTGCCGCTGCTGCGGATGCTGAAAAGCGGAAGCGCTCGTTTGCGATTCAGTTCAAGCCGGAGGAAGTAGTTCCGGAAGAGAAAGCAAAGACAGTTGCGCGGGCGATTGGCTGCAGTGTTGAGGATCTGGTTGCCTATCCGAGTCTGTCTGATCCTGAAAACGAAGAAAAGGTGCTGGTGACGGCCAAGGCGTTGACCCTGCCGCCTACGATGCGCCCTCCATACCTCGAATGGCGTACGCCCGTGAAGCCGGTTTCGCTGAAGAGCAAGCGGTCCAATCAGGCCTACAAGTCGCCGGCTGGACTCAACAATGCGTACAAAGAGGCTCTTTCGGTGATTGAGGAGGACAGGGAGCAGCATTACGCGAATGTGCTCAAGCTGGCCGACAAGGTCGACAAACTCAAAGCGCGACAAGAAGAAGCTACGGAGGAGAAAATCAAAAAATCTATCGGAGCAGAGATTTATATCGCAGAGGTGGGTATCGAGAAGTCTCGTGTGCTTGCCGAATTGTGCAATACCGAGGCGATAGTACAGTTTGAGCGAGGCCAGGCCGATATGCGCTTCGCGATCCACCGGGAGTTGGCACGAAAGAAATGGATGGGTCTCCGTCGCATCCAGCTTGTTGACCGACTCGAGAATATGCATGTTATGCCCGACACAATGCCGTATTTAAAACCGCTTGTCGATCTCCAGGTCCGATTCCCCGGACCGACGGCGTACTGGTTTGACCCTGGCCGGATTCTCAGCACTGGCGTCACTGCCCAGGAGCCTGAGTTCAAGATTAACACCTTTGCGGATAAGACCAGGCTCTACACGATTGTGATTGTCGATCCCGACACGCCGGATTTCGAGAACGATACCTACAAGACCACGCTACACTATATTTTGTCGGACATTGAGATCCACGGCAACCACCCCGACGTCAAGAAGGAGAATGCCAGAGTCGTGGTTCCGTACCTTCCTCCCGCACCCGAGAAGAACAGTGGAGTACACAGATACTCTGTCTGGCTATTCCAGCAGCCCGATGACAAGCCGCTGGCGCTGCAGCAGCGAGGAGAAAGAATAATCGACGAGGACAAGTTGCTGCAGCGGGATCGATTCGATATCCGACTGTTTAGATCGGCGTATGGTTTGAAGTCTGTCGGAGCGCATTTGTGGAGAAACAAGTACGATTCGCAGACCGAGGCCGTCAGAGAGAAATTCAACCTCGGCCCGGGAACAGTCTGGAGTCGGTCGCGGATCCTCCACTACTAGTGTTGATATTTGTAATGATTCTGTAAATATTTTGAAATAATTTTGATATAATACAATCGGCAGCTCAGGTTGCATCCTTGCTTAAATACTCGTCCACAGTCATACTACTCGCCGTCACATTCGACCGTAACCTCCGCGGCAGAGACGGAAAGAAATCCCACGGCCCCCAGAAGCTCGCAAAGCTGACCTTGCCGATGACGAGCGCCATGGGCACGGGACCGTAGTCGCGAGAGTCGAGCGAAGCAGCGGCGTTGTCGCCCAGCAGCCAGACATGGCCTTCGGGTACCCGTATGTATTTCCCTGTCCGCGGGTTCTCTGGGCCGACTACGGCTTCAAAGGGAATACCGTCGGCCGCGATCGTCGAGTATTTCGGCATTGCGTTTGAGTAGACAATGTCTCCGGGCATGCCAGCGACGCGCTTGCAGATGCGGGATTTGCAGTTTGTGGGCTTCCACGCGATGACGACGTCGCCGGTTTTGATGTCTCTGCCTCTGCTGTAGTTTAGTTTGTTGACAAACACGTTGTCGCCGATTGTTCGCAGCGTGGGGAGCATCGAAAGGCCGCTGGTCGGTGAGGTCTCGAAGACGGAGGTTTGCAGGAGGTGGAAAGCGGCCACGACGCGGATGCCGATACTGAGGTTGTTCAGTATCCGCGAGCTTCTCGAGGCCATTTTGCTGTGTAGAAGGTAGAATAGGCGGGGAGGTGCTATTATACAGAAAGACGAGGATTTGGTCGTGAAGAGGTGAAGAAGTGAAGAGCCTCGATGGCGTAGGGTTTCCCAGTTGCGTCACCTCCCTTCTTCACCACATCTACACATCCACATCAATCATCATCCACAGCAGCAATGGGCAGCGTAAGCATTGTCGTCTCAGACCACGACAGTAACTCAGCTGCCTACGACTCTATCGCTGCCGCGGACGACGAGCTCGCCAATTCGCAGAGCAGCAGCAGCAGCAGCTCGTCGGACGAGAGCGCGCATGGACTACTTGGAGTCGGCAACAACGGTTATAGCAATGGACTCGGCGGTCTGACTGTTGATAGTTCGCGACTGCTGGATCCGGATGATTTGGAGTATTTTGGGTATAAAGGTGGTTCGCCAAGTAGCGGCAACAATTCCTCGATCGAGGACGACGACGACGACGACGATGACGACGACTATTCGTTTTCTGGACGTCGGCATTTACTCACAGATGAGGGCGGCGACGATGATGATTATGATGATGAGGACGAGAATGCGGGATACGAAAAGGGTGCATACAGTGATGACGACGAGTTTTATGAAGAGGATCCGTCGCACACCGTAAACTGCGGATACGTCGTCCTGTTCTCAACCTGGTTCATATTCGTGTGCGGTATCGGGAGCATATTTGGTGTATGGAGGCGCGTCTGGGTAAGCTACTTCCTTCAACTATTTACTGTGTTGTGTTTTAACAGTCGACAGGCGCCCGTTCTGGACAAAGTCGAAGGTGGACTGCCGTCGATGGACGACGATGCCGACCTGCTGATAGACGAGTATTACCCCTCGATGGTGATGCTTCTCTGCGTCGTGGCATGGATATGGTGTGTGGTTTCGTGGGTTGGAATGAAGCTGTTTCGGCATGCAAAAGGCGGCGTGTCGTCGGACGCTGCCGGGTCGATCAGCGAGACATCGACAGAGGGTCCGACGAGTCCTGTCCAGATCCGGTATTCGTTCTAGGTTTCTGGTTTGTATAGTTATTCTACAAGGAGTTTGTTGTTTCTGGGTAATTGGAATAAAACGTAATTATTAATTGATCATCTACTCTTTGCTCTTCTTTGTGTATGCAACGTACTCGTCAAAGATCGACGGCCAGGCTCCCTCCGGGTCATACGAATCAAGGCCCTGCTCCGACTTTAAAACCGACTCATTAAACTCCCACAGCATATTCCACGTATCCTTCGAAATCACCCGCTTGTACTCTTCCTGTACAAACGTGGTCCAACTCTTGAGCACCTCCGGGGAAGGGAACTTGTCGCCCAGTAGCAGGTTCCAGTATTCGACCGCGGTCTCGATCGGCAGATTTCGCTGGCCGGGGGGACGCACAAATGTGAATGTGAACCGGTAGACTTGTTTGAATAGGTCCATGTCGGTCGCGTACTCGGACCGTAGTTTCTCGCAGGCCTTTTTCATTTTCGGGATCGAGTCGGCACTGTAGATAAGATAAGCAGCTAGTCACTGACAACGATATTGCAAGAGTTGGTCACATACTTTAACGCTTGCCATCCCTTGATAAACCCATCTTTTGAAAACTGTCCGACCGTAGGAGCCTCTAATTTGCAAGCGAGTGCGAGCACAAACGGGTCCTCGAGATCGATTCCTAGATCGTCTTGGATAAATGCGATCGTACCGTCAAGGCCGATTGTGGACGGATCTTCCGGGTCTGTTTCTCCATGTCAGCAGTCAAGATCCATAGAGTCTGCAATTCAATGAATCAAAAAAAGATACCCTTGTATTTGTCGAATATGGCCGTCAGGGCTTTGGTATCTTTCTTCCTGAGGCAGGTGTCAGTATCTTCGCGGTCACTCTCCACGCCAACCACAGTAGAACCCAACAAGGACAACATACGCGGATGCACCCCCTACACCGGATCCATCGTAATACTCCGACACAGCAACATCGATATTCCAGCCGTGTGCGCGCAGATAGGAAGTCGCGACGCGGACTGACGCGCCAGTTGCGGAGACGAACTGGTTGATGACGTTGCGCTGGGTAGGCGTGATCGAACTCTGCGGATCTGTCAGTAATCGGAACATAGAACAAAGCAGCAGCTCTGATATCAATCAGACGTCGTAATTACCATTTCAATCGCTGTTGCTGGTTGAACAGGTCAGAAAGCGGTGAAGCAGGTGGAAATCGCAGCAAAGCGACTTAAACCCAAAACCTCACCGCCCAACCCGCATCTTCCTCAACCTATTCTCTGTTGATTCTCTGTTTCTTTCCACTTTTCTCTCTATTTTCCTTTTAGATATCGTCGATTGATAGACAACATGGCACGCACAAAGGCCCCTCCTCGGAGACTTGCTCCGACCGCAGCACACGCCTCTCCTGCCGCTGTCGTCAGCTCCAGTTCGCAGTCAACACCGTCGGCTTTCATCCAACTCGCGGCAGGCGCATTGATCCTCGTCGTTCCCGTGGCAACCATTGCTCTCAGCTCTCAGCTTGCTCAGTATCCCGTCCGCACGCTTGCGGTCGCACTTCCATACACCGCAGCCGTGCAACTTGGCGCTGTCCTGACTACTGCCGGACAGCCAAAGAAGGCATCCAAGAAGACCGCTTCTCGGAGTTCTGTATCCGTGAGTGCCATGTCTTGTCTGCGGCTTAAGTATGTTTACGAGAGCAGATGCTGATAATTTATTCGTATAGACTGCATTTCTGGCCTTGGTGCTGGCTGCATTACTAACTCCACTGCTGCACATCATCTTCCTCCTCTTTGGCGCGCCGGTAACGATAGCCGTTCCAGAAACATTCCTTCTGAGTGCGCACACAAGTCTGCTCATGCTTTTCCCACTGCTTTGTACTATTCCGCTTGACGCAGTCTCGTGGACTCAGGCGGTAGCGCTGCGCGGGCCGTGGACCGCGAGCTACGTTGCTGCTATCGGGACCGTTGTTGGCGCTTGGCTCGGCGCTGTCCCGATTCCTTTGGACTGGGACCGCGAGTGGCAGCGGTGGCCGACTACTGTTGTTGCGGGGGCATATCTCGGAAACGCGGTCGGCAAGGTTGTCGGTGGACTGCTGGTATCGCAAAAGCGCAAGAGTGCGTGAGTGGGTGTATTATATACTATATGTGTATTTTATACTATGTACATGATAATAAAACTACGTAATGACACATTATATTCACGCGCTCTTCTCTTTGGTCTGCTCCTCGGCTTGCTCCTCGATCTGCTGCTCGATCTACTGCTTAGGTTGCTCCTGGGGCAGCCCGCTCTGATTAAAAGCCTCCTCCTCGTTCTCGTACTCGATCAGATAGCCAACCATGTCATTCTCACCCATTCCCGTGACATCAATCTTCTTGTGCTCGACAGACTCCGGCCACAGTTCGTCCTTGCCCATAAACCACTCGTTCGGCCAGTACACGACCGCGTTCTCCTGTGGTCTCCGCACATCATACGGCTGATGCACTTTCTTCGTTGGTGGCACCTTAATTCGCGGCAGTTCATCGACCGTAGGCCGCTTGTACAGGTAATCGAGCGCGGTCGCCAGATCCGAGACGGCTTCGTAGGTGTACACGTGGCGCTTGGGGAACTTTGTGTGCATCCATTGCTCGCGCAGCTCGTGGTTGGATTCATACAGTCGTTCCCGCTTGCGGCGGAGCTCGTGGAGGTAGGCGATTAGTGCCGGGCCGTGGGATTTCTCGGGCAACCGCGCGACGCAGAGAATCGACCAGTCGTGCACACGCGACGCCTTTGGCACTCGCGTAGGAGGCAGCTGTTTCCGGATCATTGAACCCTACAGAAAGTTAGCAGATGTCGAGGTGTAGCAGCAGCAGCAGCAGCAGCAAACAATTCTCTCGGCTCTCGTACTGTGACATGGTTCGTCTTGCCGACGACGACCGGGCCCTGTCGGAACCGCATGAGGTACACGAGAGCGCTGTCCTGCACAGGCGCGAAAAGTGTCCGTGAAAACTGCATTGTTGTGGCTAATTGATTGTGTATCTCGAGTCTGGTCCTGTATTTTTTTTCGTGAACGGGTTTTCCCTCGGAGGTTACCACCAGACCCTTGATTACAGTCACGTGCAGCTTACGTCACTATTCTTGCAGAAGATGTCAGCAAACCCTACTGTAATAGTCTTGTGAAACATGCTTCATTATAGTTTATTAAATACATTAATCCGTAACTATCCCTGAACCCCGAATTCCTGATGAACATCCAAAAGCAAACAAATATGCAAACAAAAGACAAGAAATGAGAATAATGTACAGAGAATCATGAGAAGGTAGACTAGTTTGTCGACAAGATCGAGACCGGCACCGAAATGAGCTCGGCCAGTGATATGCGTGGCGAGGGATACTGCTGCACTGGGATGTTGATCCGGTTGTTGTCTACAATCAGCGGCTCGGGGATCAGTGGCTCGGTTGTGCAGGTGTAGACGTTTGTGGTCTGGTAGTAAGGAAGAGACTCGGCAGAGATGCGCTCGTAAAACAGCATCGTGACGTTAGACTGCGCGAGAACCTCGCTTTCAGACACGTCGCTGACGTCCTTGTCGGAAGTGCGCGTCCAGGTCAGTGGGAAGTCTTGGTTGCGACGGTAGGCGATGTAGTGGCCCATCGAGTGGGAGCCGTGGTGCACGATAATGCTCGCGAGCCGGTAGACGACGCCACTGTTGTTGTCGCTACTGGCTTCAGGTGCAGACGAGTCGGACGACGAGAGGTAGTCGTGGAAATCAAGTATCTCGGGGAAAGTGACGGCGGCGGTGTTTTTGCAGGGCATCTGGCCGGCGGGATCGTAGCGAGAGCGGTTGATGTGCACGACAAGGTTCTCAGGCGCTGTCCGGACAGTCATCTGGCGGCGTTTCGAGGCCGCGACGAGGCGTGGCGGTTTCAGCCTCTCAAAGTCAGCGTCCTGAACGACTGAGTTTTCGAGCGCGTGCGCGATGGCTTCGTGGCGCGAGCGCAGGATCGGTCTGATGTCGGGCTTCGAGGAGGTTGAGGAGGGGGACGATGATGCAGCAGGGGAGGAAAAGTCTGTCTTTTGCAGCAGGCGGGCGAGGTGGTCGCGGGCTGCGAGAAGAGAGCAGCGCTGGCAGTAAACCGAGTCGATCTGCTCGGGCGCAAAGTAGTGCTCGAGCATGCTTTGGAGAGAGACGGGCGAAAAAGCGAGACGAGGGAGGGTGAGTTCGAGGGAAGAGAAGGGCACGCAGCGGACGGGCTGCTGCTCGTTGCAGCCCAGACAGGCGACGTGGGACTCGAGCTCGCCGTCGATGGGCAGCCGGACTTCTTCTGCCGCAGCACCGGATCCGGGCGCAAGGGCTTCACGGAGACAGTCGGCGAGCGCGAGAAAGAACTCGTGGGCGTCCTGCTGGCTGTGGTCGACTGCGGTGGAGAGGGTCCAGTAGGGTTTGTGCATGGCGCCGAGGAAGGCGGCGGCGGAGTGCGAATGCTGGGAGGGCAGCCGGGCGCAGATGCGTTCGAGGAGCAGATCGAGTTCGCGGCAGAGCTCGGATTCGTTTTGTTTCGACTCGAGCAGCTTTCTGAGCGCGGAGGAGGCCGCGAGGGTCTGGACGACGGCGTTGGCGAAGCAGGAGTTGCCGCTGTTGACGAGGCCGCCGAGGACTCCTGCGGTTGATGCTGTTGATGTTGACGAGGTGCTGCTGAGGCTGTCTGAGCTGCTGCAACTCGCGCTCTTCAGCCGGACCTCGGACGAGGCCCAGAGCGCCGCGAAATCGGAGGAAGTCATCGTGAAGAAGGTCGAGACGGAGCAGAAGAAGGTGTTGGGCCCGGAACGAGGCGATGTTGGACTTATAACTTTTGCCCGTCCTGGGCCGCGCGTCCATCTTTTTGGCGCTAGGCCGGATTGGGTGGGCTCAGGGGCTAAGCTTTCATTGTTTCTGCTTCGGGTTAGCGTCTTTTGCCGCTCGCTCAGGTCTTCAAAAAGTTTTTTTTGATTTTGTTCTGTTTATTGTTTGTATTCCTTTCAGGTCGTAGACGCAAGCGCAATGGCAAAGAAGCAGGGTGGGCAGTATTATTGATATAACGAGTCAGAAACACTTACTAACTCTTCTCATACAGCAAACAAGAGCAACAAGCGCGCTGCGCGTCGCGAGATGCCGGAACCGCCTCCACAGCCCGTGATCCACGACGGCGCGAACGAGTCGACCCCGGTGGCATACAAATCCGAAAAGCAGCAGCCAAAGATGAAGAGACAGTCGCCGCTGCATATCTCGAAACGGAAACGTGGCCGGATCGAAAAGGCAGAGAGCAGGAACGGCATGCTGCAGACAAAGGTGGCTAATAGCGAGGAGCGGTATAAGCTCATCACTACGTCGCGGAAGGTCACCGAGGAGAAGACTGGTGGTGCTTCTACTACCACTACTACTACTTCCTCCTCAGTGTCTTTCAATCGGGCACCGAGAGGGTTGGACCTGCTGAGACTGGCAAAGAAGGTCAAGGTCGGTGCTCCGGGTATGGACGTCGACTCTGACTCTGACGCCGATAACGACAATAATGACAACAATGATGACGGCTGGGTTGATGTTGACGAGGACAACAAACAGGATGGAAGCGAGCACGCCGCTCTGGTTGCGGAAGAGGACATTCCCTTTTAATATTTTGGTTTGGGTTCTGTATCATCTGTATCATAGCATAGGAAGTAGAGTCAAGGTAATCAATTCATATTGCAACAAAGAAGAAAAAAGATAAAAGTGAAAAGTAATAGTAAAGGTAAAAGTATAAAGACACAGTTTTCAATCATCTACTCTACATATTCCTCTGATAATCGTATCCCCGGTCGCGTCCCCTGAACCCTCCCTGGAACTGGTTTCCATATCCCCCTCCGCCATATGGCATCCGGTAATTTTGATTCGAATACCCCTCAAACCCAAGCGCCTGCTGAACTTGCTGCTGCTGGTGCTGATGTCCCTGATGATGGTTCTGGCGCTGGCCAACCGGACCGTGGCCCATCGCGTTTCCCTGCATTCCCATCGCCATGTTTCCCGAATTCTGGTCCCGGCCCCAGCCACATTTGGCCGGACGCCCGTTGATCATCACCCCGTTGATCTGCGCGATAGCAAGAGCTGCCACCTGGTGCGAGTCCATCCGCACAAACGCATAGCCTCGCTCGGGTTGTATCCGGACATCGACCACATACCCAAACGATTGAAACAGCGGCACGATCTCGTTCTGCGTCGTGTACGGCGACAGGTTGCCGACGTAGACGGTCGTCTGCCAGGCCGGCGCCTGCTGCACCACAGACTCATAGTCGGTCGCTGAGCCGTTTCCATTACCGGGGCCGCCCTGGCCTCCCATCGAGCTGTTGCCGCCCATCTGCTGCGAGTGCGAGTTGCGCTGCGAGGCGCGGTTGCAGCGAATGTTGCGCGAGCCGAGCCACTCGCCGTCCATCTTCTGGCGCGCGTTCTCGGCCTCGGCCGCATCAGCAAAGGACACGAACCCGTAGCCTCTGCTGCGGCCGGTCTTGGGATCCCACATCACGCGGGCCTCGGTCATGGACGGGAAGATCGAGAAGGCCTGCGCGAGAACCTCGTCGTTGACGTCGCTGCTGAGATCGCCCACAAAGATGTGGGTCTTGTTCTTGGCCGCCCAGTTGACCTTGATCTCGGCCTGCATCACGAGCCGGTCGTTGTAGGTCTGGATCGCGTTGAGGGCGGCTTCGTGCTCGACAAACTCGACGAAGCCGTAGCTGGTCAGACCAGGGCCCTGCTTGTGCACTGCCGCAGGGATGATTTTCACCGACTCGATCGCGCCGGCGGGAGCAAACAGCTCGGTGAGCATCTGCTCGTCAACGCGCGCGTCGAGGTTGCCGACGTAGAGCACGCGCTTTGGTGGGTCTGTCATCGTAGGGGTTGTTTGAGGAGGTTAAGGCGGCAGAGGCGGGTGCGGAGGTGGATATCAGGATCGCGGCAGGGAAAAAAAGCGAAAGCTTTGTTGTGGGGCGGGACGAAGACACAAAGGATGATGAAAAGTTGCACAAACGGGGATGACTATAATATGACTAAGCATGATTAGTAAGTGATTACAAAGGATTATTGTCACGCTTTGTCTTCGGCTCCTCCCATCTCTCCTCCTCCTCCAGCTCTTTGATATCGTCAGTTCCCAATGGCAGACAGCGACGCTCTGCGGGCGGCTTACAACGTGTGTTTGTCTTCTGGTTCTTCTTTTTCTCTTCTTCTTCCTATCTGACTCTCTCAGCAACTTCTCATCTCCGTCGCCGACCACACTAAGAACCTCACAGCGGCCCCGAACCCAAGGTCTGCCTCTGCTCTACATCCACTGCATCTACTCTGTTGCATTTGGTCTGGTTACTGACACATTACGCAGCGTCTACCCGCCTCTCAAGCTGGACTCGTTCGGTGCTGTCATTGCGGCCTCGCAGTCCTTCAACGCTGCCCTCGACTCTTCCGAGATTGCCATAGTACGCCCTCCACTATCTTTCACATGATCTCAACTTGCGCTCACTATACCTCTTCTACAGATACAAGCCCGCGATACTCTACGAAGAGACCTCGCGATCCAGCATAGACTCTCCAAAACTACATAATACTACTTTGAATGAAAGTCTTCCTATGTTATACATGTGAAAGATGTGAAAGTACAAAACCTCAGTAAACCAAACAATGTTTCCAGATATGTAAACAAAAACAACCTCGATCATGAAACAGCCAATGCTTCCACCCGCGCACTCACATCCGCTGTCTCCGCCTCTCCCTCGGTCTCCTCCTCGATCGTCGTCGTTTGCTGCTGCGTCGGCGGCGGCTTTTTCGTCGTTGTGCTGCTACTACTACTGCTGCTCTTCGTATGGTTCGACCGAATCACGTCCGACATCCGGCTGTCGAACCGAACCACAATCACCGTCAGATTGTCCATGCTGAAATGCTCGAGCGCAAAACTGACCAGCGCCCGACTGGCCTCCTGCGGATCCGCAATCGGCCGCACGACGTCCACCGCCTCCTGATCGCTGCACACGTCCCAGAGCCCGTCGCATGCCAGAATCATAAACTCGTCCTCGGCTGTTAAATACGTCTCGGTCGTGTACGGATGCGAAGTCACCAGGTTCTTAATGTACAGATCGCCCAATGACCGCGTCACCGCCAGAATACCATTCACGCGCCCGTTCAGCACAACGCCGCCGCTGTTGACTACCCGCTGCGCTTCGTCTGGATCCGTGCCTTTGTGATCGTACGACAGACGCAGGGCCCGTCCGTTCCGGGCAAGCACTATCCTCGCGTCTCCGGCATTTGCGGTATATAGCATCCGCTCGCGCACCGTCTTTGGTTGTGACTGTGTTTGTGTTTGTGATGATGATGGTGCGGGAGAGGAATGATGATGCAGAAAGTGGTTGTGGTGGTATGGACGCTGGGGTGGTTCTTGCTGTTGTTGACTGCCGTCCGAGCCTTCCTTTGGCCGTAGCAGCCGGTCTTCCCACCGCAGGAGCGCCACGACCGCAGTGCAGCCGGAGTTACGCACTGGCTGCTTGCTAAGCAGCACGTCTGACTCGGTGAACGTACGGTCGAGCAGCTCGGGCACTTGTCCGTGTGGATCGCGCTTGAGCTGGTCCTCGAGCACGGAGTGCAGTTTCTGTCCGCACCACTCGGCAGCCGCCTTGCCTGCGTGGCCGTCAAAGATTGCAAAGAACCCCGCATCGGCGGAGATGTGCCCAGATACGTTGCTGCCAATTGCTGTTCCTAGCAGTGATGGCGCGGGGGGATTTGATTCGGATCGGGATCGTGAGCGCGAGAGGAATGAGGTGGACGAGGACGTGGACGTGGTGGTGGTCGCTGGCGAGGTCGATGAAGTAAACGACGCGGACGGGAAATCGTAAATAATACAGTGAGCGTCCTCCATCGTCGAGCGGATCTTGAGGTTCGGGTCCTCGCTCACGCCGGCGAGAAAGGTCCCAGCAAAATTAGGAGGCGGCATCGCAGAGCCATTCGACGCAAACGGCTTTGTCTCTTTCCGATGGATCTTGAACGACGACGTCTGCGTAGGCTGGTTCGCGGTCGCTGCGACCGACGACTGCACCTGGTTTGCGAACCGGGCGAAGAACGAGACCGGCTTTCTGTCGTCCGAGGACGCGCTGCTGCTCTTGCGGCGCTGCTTCGACTTGCTTGAATCCATTTCAGCAGACGCAAGGAGAATTGCGGAAGGGAAACGGCAGCGGACGAGATGATAAACAGGGAAGGAAGCTGCAAGTCCTGGCAACGACGGCGTACGTGCTCAGTGTCGTCATATGCGCGGGGTTGGTACTGGTCACGTGGATTCCTCCCTGCACCGCGGCGTCACGGCTTCTGCGCAGGCTCTGATATCGTCCGCTGTCGACACCTCCTCTCTTTCCTGTTATTCTGACTTTGCATCTCTGCTGATCACAATGTCGAAAATGCAGAGCTCTTCACGTGCGTCGTCGGACAAGCTCTCGCTGCGCTCGTCCGCGCCGTCGTCTGTTCTTGCTCCACGTCGCGCGACAATCTACGACCGCAACGTGAACAGACGGGCTCCCGATCTCGCGCTTTCTGCATTTGCTTTTCTGTTTTCCGAAATGGTGCAGTACTCTCAGAAGAATGTCAAGGGCGTGCAGGAGATGGAGAATAAGTGAGTTTTGATGTTTGTCTAGTGCAATCATGAATTGCAGAGCTCTAACTTCTCTCGCAGACTCTCGGCTTATGGATACCACGTCGGCCAGCGAGTGCTTGAATTGTCTGCTATCCGTGAGATCAAAAACGCAAAGCGCGAGACCAGAGTGCTTGGACTGCTGCAGTTTATCAACACAACCATCTGGAAGGCGATCTTCGGCAAACCCGCCGATGCCTTGGAAAAATCAAAAGATCAAGAGGATGAATGTATGTTGTTGTTTCCTACCGTTTACCAAGATCTCTACTAATCACTCTCTAAATCCACTAGACATGATCATTGACAACGATCCGATATCAAACAAATACATCTCAGTCCCGAAAGACATGCCATCACTAGACTGTGCCTCGTTCCAAGCCGGTGTTATCGAGGCTGTTATGGACGGCTGTCAGTTTCCTGCCCGCGTCACCGCGCACTCTGTGCCGACAGATCTTCATCCACTCAAGACCGTCTTTCTCGTCAAACTTGATCCGCTGGTGTTGGAGAGAGAGCGGTATATGCGATAGTGTGTTTGGTCATTTGTTCGTGTTTATGATATGTTTGTAGTTGGTTGGCGTTTGCTTGCATTTTGTTACTGTACATTAATATTATCCTACACTGTAATCCCCATCCTAATCATTTCGGCTTCTTGCTCTTGTTTGGATATGCATCATGCATCCCACCAAGTTTCTCACGCGCGCGCTTATTAACCCGACTCTGAGGATCAAACCACGGCGAGTCCGCGCCCTGCGACGTATCCTCCGCCGACAGATGCGTCCACTTTGATCTTCCGCGCTTACCAAAATCGTCGCCACGGACTTGCAGGATCTTGGGCAGTGCCGTCTTGTCCTTGACCTCGTCGATCGTCTTTTCATGAAAGTCGCGGCGCTTGACAGCGTCGTCGTCCTGATAGAATGCGCCCTTGTGGTAGTACTTTTGCATGAACCCCACGTTTCCACGTTTGTCCTTCTTCTCTTGTTGCTGCTGCCGTACCCGTTCGAGACCTTCCCTGATCTTGTCCTCCTCGTCCATCTCTCGTCTAGCTTGCAATTCCTCCAACTCGCGCTCCCGTTCCTCAAGCTCTTCACGCTCGCGTTTCACCCGTCGAAGTTCTCGCAGTTTCCACACCGCCCGCTCAGCTGCCGGATCAAGATCATCAGTGTCGTCGATGTCGTCTGCATTTGCTACAAGCGAGACGTCGTTCGCTTCGTGTTGTTGTCTTCGCGCATGAGCTTCGGATTCAAGCCGGATCTGGTTCTGGATCTCGAGCAGGGTTGCTTCTTTTTTCTGTGTTTTGGCGGCTTCTACCGCGAGCTGTTCTTCGGCTTCGGTGGCTTGTTTGGTTGGGACGGAGCGTTTGTTTCTGTATAATGTTAGTATATATGTAGAGAAAATGGTAAATGTGATGTGGGGGGTCGACTTACTTTGGCACAAAGATGGGTCTTAATAGAACTCTTTTTGGCTCCTCTTCTTCACTGCTCTCGTCACTTTCCTCCTCGCTATCATCATCACTCTCGCTCTCCTCGCTCTCACTGCTCTCCTTCTTCGCGCGGCTTTCCTTTACAGGCTCGACGACCCTCCTCTGTCGGTCTTTCAGACTAATCTCATTCAACTTTTTACTAACCGCGATCTGCCTGCTACTCTGCTTCTCTTCGTCCTCCTCCTCATCTTTATCCTCGTCCGCTGCAAACTCAGTGATTGCCACCGGCGTATCGTTTTGTGCGGTGGCATAATTCTGGTCAGCGTCCTCGGGCTGATCCCTTTCGTCGTCGGAGGATGAGGGGTCGGGTGAAGGTGTGCGTGACGTTCGTTTTCCTGGAAAGTAGCGCGTGCGCTTTATTTGTTGGGCGCGGGGTGGCATGTTGCGTTATTGATATGAAGCTGGACTCTCTAAGTCAAGAAAGGTGGATATCAGAAAGGATTGTGAATATTCGTGGTTTGGTTGGGAGCTGGGCTCATGCGGCTTTGGAGTACAAACGCCTCAGATTGTAAGAAACCCTACAGTTATTCAGCCGCGTAGGGTTTTGGAAGCCCTTATCCACGCTCAGCGGTAACTCGCGGTTCAGTAGATATCTAGCGATATCTTTGAACACGACTCTAATATAGACCGATTGCTGCAACAGTCATCTGTTTGCTTTGGTAGCAAAGCAATTAGCAGAAAACCCGAGAACCTACAATGTCAACACCCCACTTCATGACTGCGAACCTGCCGAATTCCTCGAGCTCCCATTTCCTCTCCGCGGCTGCTTCTCCCCCGAAATACAACAGACAGACAGATCTCGCCGGATTCGATATTTGGAAAAAGAAGGTGCTGCTCTACTTCGACTCCTCGAACTTTGTCAGAGATGAGGACATACTGAATGAGACCATTGGATTTCTCGAGGGTGATGCTCTCACTGACGTCCGCAGCCACAAGAACACGATCCACTCGTTGGAAGATCTCCTGGCTTGTTTGGAGCAGAAATGCTTCCTTACGAAACGTGAAAGACAGTTTCTCCACCAATGGCGTGAGGCTTTGCCAGACTAAGGATGTGGACTCTTATATCCGGGCCTACGACCGGATCACCGACGGCTTTTCGGCGCACAGGAGAATGCCGGAGCTGATGTTGAGGGAAGAATTCGTTCTCGGCTTGCACCCAGATATCCGATTGAAGGTCTGCGTTGAGTTGCCGAAAACACTCGACGAGGCTAAGGATTTGGCACGGAGAGTAGAGATCGGGATGCAGAGGGTCAGTTCGTCTAGGAGTAATCTGAACTACGTCAGACAACGGACGTGAACACCTACGATGGAACTCTTCCGCAGGTCCACAGCATGAACCCGAGAACTCTCGACGAGGCGCAGCAACTATCTAGGAGGGCGGAGGCCGCGGAGAGCCATATATAACGCGAAGGACCATTCTTTGGCTCGCTGAAGTTTTTCTTCTATCCGCGGGGGTCTGACGTGTTGTTGCTGCCTTCCCAAGTGCCATACCGCACGCAGGTTCTGGATGACAATCACGACTCTCTGATTGCCACACTCCGAGATTTTTTGCACACGTCTGACCTGGTTTATCTAAACCTCTACAGGCAGGTCGCACTGTCAAACGAACGTTGAGAGGAAGTTTCACTAGACTTAATTATTTGCCATAATATTTATCGATGTTGTTTCTTAGAGATGATAAAATAGATAAATAAATAATATATGATGATATATCTATATGTCTATCTACTGTGTATTGCCGTGCGTTGATGTATTAAAAATCTGGTTTTTAAAAAAAAGGAGTTTTAAGCAGGACTACTACTACAGTACTATGGTCGTACTATAATTATTGTGCAGAACCCTAGAACACCGCTCTATCAACCGAATTCATAGACGCAGTTGCTGACAAGAGCGAGTTGTCTCCGAGATTAATCTTGTTTTGACTGAATATTCTTATTATTTTATTATCACATATTAAATCTCACAGCTTGGTCTTTGGAGGTAAATCGCCAAACTTACAGAGTCCATCCTGCATAAACTCGGCAAACATCTCGCCCTCATCATCGTACATCCTGCCGACATACGATAGTCGTCCGTCACCACTTCTGGTAGTCCAGCTCTCCATTGTATTCCACGACTTGTCTGCGCGCACAAATAATCCCCGCGAGGGCTTTGACGGGGGGTAGAATATTATTGTGTGGGATAGGGATACCTGGTGGTGTAAGTGAGTAGTTCAGGTATTTGGAGGAGTTGTGCTTACCACGCGATTAATGTCGTCGACTCTATTAATTAGGCGTGAAGAGGTGAAAAGGGAGTTTCTATCAGATGCATAGATATGGGCCGCCCTGGAGAGTAACTGTCAGTTGGAATAAAAGTGTGCAGTTGAAAATAAAAGAAAAGAGACTGCCATACAGGTGCATGTTCGGATCGTCGTCGGGGAGTGGGAGAATTGTTTTGTAGGAGTGGTACTTGATTTCTGTGTAAGCATCCATGTGTGTGACAGTAAAGTATATTGTTTGCTCACCATCCTTCGGTCTTCAAAATTATCAGGAATCGTAGCAGGATCTTGTTCAGGAGCTCTGCGAACGTCGACGGCATGCTTGATCTGCACGAATCCACTATCGGGATCCGAGGCCCATGCGACCCACCTGCATCATGATATTAGAGAAGGAGTTGAGATAGCAATCAAACAAGACACAGCAGACATTGGGAGGTCGATATCAGGGACAGACGGCAAGTTGTCAGGGACGATATGATTTACGGGGGGTGGGGCGGGGATGTGACCCCATTTATTGCCATGAACTTGGCTGGCAGCGTAGTAAACAGGGTCATGGAGACCTTCGATGTACTTGAACGAGACAAAGCATGTGTAGACATACGTTTCGTGGTCGGGGTTGTCTGGGTCAAGGTTTTGGTATACGCGAACCTGGCGGATGCGGTAAGTGCCGCCGTCGCGGACGTTGTCGACGTGGTAATTGAACGGTACGGCGTCGGTGTTTGCAGCTAAGAATTGGGCTTGCAAGCTGTTGCAGACCAAGCCCGAGCGCAAGGGAACAGTGAGTGAGGCAGCGTAGAGGGACTGGGCGAGGAGGTGGCCGCCAAAGACGCCTCGAGCCGCGCCGGGCCGGAAGGGTTGGGCGACGGAGCGGAAGTGGGAGGGGGAGATGCGGGTGAGGGCGATGAGCTGTGCGAAGTCGGAGGGAGGGTGGTCGGCGGTGGTCATTCTAGTGCATAGCAGTATATAATACAAACAAAGCAAAGCAGAATAGAGGTCGCGAAGAAGGAGATGAGAAGGAGGTGAAGGTCGTTGATGAGCCTCGAGGATGATTTTGCGGGGAAGACTTAATAAAGTTTGCAGTTTTCATGTTCAGAAGATCACGGACCCGGACCGAGGCAGGGAAGTATATTACGTAACATAATCACAGTGCATGACTAAACACAAGTGATCTACGTAAACGCCGAAAACGCATCCACTGTGACGACGAGCACGCGTATTCTCGGCGATCTCAAATATGCGGCCCCCGGGGCAAAGGGAAGCCGGGAGCGGATGCAGCGGATTGTTGTTGTGTTTGGGATTGTCTGGCAGCTTTTGCGGTGCGGTGAAGGCGAAGAAGAGCAGAAGACGAGGAAGAGCAGCTGCTGCGAAGAAGATCAGGCGAGTTGCAGACCAGGATCAACCAGAGAAGAGGATGTTGGCTGCTGCTGAGAGCAATATCAAAGGTGACGTAGCGGCGAGGAAGAGCAGCCAGGACCTCCGCAATAACTGATCAGCAGACAATTTAAAACAATAATAAACAACCAAATAAAAACAAACAAAATAAAAAACATTTGGAACAGTAAAAAACACCAATTTAATGCCAGGATGCCGCCGCTCTAAATTTCCTCATCGAATTACCTAAGCGCACCTGACCTCTCCTCTTTCGCTCCTCTCCTCCTCATCCTCCGCTTCCTCTTCTCTTTGTCTGCTCACCCAGCCTCTACTCTCTCTACTCCTCCTCTACTCTCTCTTCTTCTTCTCTCCTTCTTCCCGCCCAGGGATGGCCTCCTCCGGCTCCTCCCGCTCAATGCCCACCTCGCGTCGCACCCGCATCGTCATCTCCTGCACCGAGTGCCACCGACGGAAGCAAAAAGTATCTATCACTCTTTCTTCCCTCCTCCCCGTCTTCAATACACCTTCTCCTGACTAACTCCCTTCTTTTTCTTCTTCTTCTAGTGTGATCGACAGCAGCCCTGCAACCAGTGTGTCGCCCGCAAGGTTGAGAGCCTCTGCCACTACGCCCGCAAACCGCCGTCAAACTCTTCCTCCTCCTCCGCCTCTTCCTCGACCTTCGCCCGCGCGACCCCGGCCACCGCCTCCGCAGTCGTCGCCGCCGCTGCTGCTTCTTCTGTTGCTGGCTCTTCTGTTCCCGCCGCAGCTTTTCACAACGCAGTCTCTGTCCGCACCGCTGCCTCCGATCCGCATTCGCCATCTCTCGCCTCTCAAAACAGCTACAGCGACAGCAAATGCAACAGCTCCAACAATGCTTCTTCTGCCTACAGCACCCCCAACTCGGTCTCAGACGAACCTTTTGCCTTCAGATCCGTCCCCCCCGCCACCGCACCCTCTCGCAGCACAAGCACAAGTCTCATCACCCCCCGCCATAGCTCTCCCACCGTCGACTCCGACTCGGTCTCCAGCTCTGACGAAGACGACATGCTCATGATCGACAGAGAAGTAGACTACAACGACGACGACCAGTCTTCCGATGCTGCTTCCGACTTTGAAAACGATCTCGACGACGAAGACGACGAGTACGGTGACGTAGTAGACGTCTTAGGCTACTTCCGATCTGGCGTCTCAAACATCGCGCGCGACATCGCCGAACTCAAACTATCGCCAAAATTCATCTCCTCCGCTGACTTCTTCAACGCCGGCGGCGAGTTCAAAGGTCGAAAAGGCGTTTCCTCTCGCAACGCCAAAGTCGTCCAGCGCATCCTCCGACAAATGCCGCCTAAACCCTACGTCGAACTCCTCGTGCGAATATTCTTCCGGGAAGCAAATCTCTACCAGTCCATCAACGAAATCGAATTTTGGGACTCGCTCAACAAATGGTGGATCTCGCCCAACCGCGTCGAAAATGTCGCCATCGCCACCTTGACTTTCCGCATCATGTCCATCGCCCTGCAGTTCGTGCCCAAAGAGCATCTCGAGACCGTCAGCCAGATCGACGAGTCTCTTGACAGTCTCTCTAGTGATTACTCGCAGTGCGCGTCCGAGCTCGCTGCTCTCTTGCCCGACTGTGTCGATAAAGTGCACGAGTGCATCTTGCGCGCGGCTTGGCTGAAATGCGAGGCTCGCATGAAAGACAGCTGGTATTGCATCGCCACCGCTGTGCGGATGGCGCAAGAGATCAAGCTGCACATTGAAGAAAAGGACTGCCCGCCATCGTACGAGCGCGAGCGGAGGCGAAGGCTTTGGTGGACAATCTATTACTGGGATCGATGTCTGGGACTGATCCTCGGCCGGCCAATCATGATCGAAGACGAAATCTGCAGCGTACCTCTGCCGCTCGATCTACCTGACGACTGCATGTACCCTGTTTTGAAGGACGGACCTCCGATCAGCGAGTTTACGGGCCGCGTACTATCGTACAAGCTCTCAGAATATATCTCTGACCTCGACCGCAATCCACAGCGATTGTTCCGCAATCTGACAATCTTCACTGCCTCGCTTCCGGGTTATTTCTCCATATACTCACCCGACACTTCGCTGGACGACCAGTTCCCATTCCTTGTTGAACACCGCGAGTCGCTGGCTACGACAATCTGTATGGTTCTCTGCGCACTCTACCGGCGCAAGATCGCCATCCCGAACCCGCTCTCTTTCTGTTTGCGTCTTCTTACTGCGGCCGAGCGAACTCTAAACCTTGCTCACGAACACCAATACCGCCAGTTTACAATCGTCTACGCAAACCTGGAACCATCTGTTCTGATGTGTCGTGAGATTCTCAAGATGAGCGGACGCCTAGCTGAGGCCCGGTTCATTGTCTCTGCCGACCGAAGCGGTAACGCGATCGATGTGTTTACGTGTCTCAACTTTGTTGATGATGCGCTCAAGCGCATGCGGATAATTCGCTCGCGCAACAAGATCGCTATTAAGGCGTACCGTATTCTGAAAGAGCTGGTGCGGAGAGTGAAGATCCAGGTCGAGCGCGAGAAAGGTCGGTATAATGAAAGCCGGACGGCGTCGGTTGCGCAAACCCCTGCCAGTTCACAGAACATCACCGATCTGCTTTCTGCACAGCAGGTGAAGGCCAACACCATGACGTCCCATCATCAGCCAAAGTATTCTCAGCAGCAGCAACATCATCAACACCAAATCCAGCTCCAGCATCAGCTCCAGCAGCAAATACAACATCGGCAGCAGTGTCAGACGAGCAACGATCTCGATTCGCCTGCATCTACTGGTGCATCGACGACCTCAGCGATGCATTCGGACCGACCAGACTACGCTTCGCTGACTAGTAGTATGGCCTCGAACGACTTGGATCCGATCTCTATGCTGGACTATGGCGATATCGGCGACCATATGGTAGGCGATGCGGAGATGTTGGAGATTCTGCAAAGGCTGAACGCGCAGGCAGCGGCCACGAATGCATCACTGCCCGGTGCAGTTAATAGCAACGGATCTCCGATCACGCCGCCAGAGGCCCGGATATCGTCTGTCGAGCCTGAGCTGATTTGCGGTAAAGTTCCGATCGTGATGCCGATGCGTCCTACCATCCTTGAGGATGATGACATGCATGGTAATCACCGAAACGGTCACAGGATCAACTCGCATGCGCCAGGAAGTGGTGGAGACTTAAATTATCTACCACCTCCGAATCATCTCGACCTGAGCCAGAACCCGCATGCAAACACAACACACGCGACAGTTATTCTGCCGCCGCCGGATGTGGACTTTGCTGATATGGATATGGACAGCGAGATGATGTTCAGCTGGGCGGATGCGTATTCGTATAATTCGCTGTTGCAGGAAACTAGCTGATTGAAGGCCGACAGGGGCGGCTGGAAAGTTGTATATGTAGGCGCAAGGGGTGTGTTTTTAGGATTGGGTTGCTTGAGTAGTTTTCTTGTTGATCAAAAAATATTTCTACTATTTAGTGTTGTCAATTTTGTTTGTTTATGATTCTCTCTTTTTTATTTACACGTGGGGTTTTTAAGGTGTCTATTGAAAGCTTTATCGTGAGTGTATGATGGTTATAATATATGTCTGATTGGTTAAGAGTTACAAGAAAAGGATCAGCGGAATCCGGAGATATTTCGCGGGACGTAAGGCTCCTCCAAGTAGGCTATATCTTCAGGATCAAGCGATTTGTGAGCAGCAGCGACGGCGGCCTCGATTCTCTTGATCGAAGTGACTCCGACGATGGGACTGGAGACCTTTGACTGGACCCATGCGAGGGCGACGTCTGCCATCGGCCAGTCCAACTTCTCTGCGACTTTCTGTACGCGTCCGGCGCAGGACTGCATCATTGAGAATTGATAGGCAAACATGCTGCTCGCGCCGATGTAGTGCACTTTGCCAGCCTGGACGAGGTCGTGCAGGGCGCGCATGGTCTCCTCGATCGGAGTCGCCTAGTCGAAGCGGTGGATCTGGAGGAGATCGAAGTAGTCGGTTTCGAGACGCTCGAGACTGGCGTTGACTTGTTCATAGGTGGCGGCGCGAGAGAGGCCCATGTGGTTCGAGTAGCGAGTGTGGTCGGTCGAGTTGAGGAAACCGGTCAGCTTCGTGCCGGGTTTGGCGGTGTAGCTGAAGCATTTCGTCAGGATCTGGATCTTGGAGCGGGGGATAAATGTCGTATTTCTTGAGGGCATAGGCAATTGCTCTTTCGGATTCGCCGTTGGAGTAGACGTTGGCAGTGTCCCACTGTAGAGAGACAGTGTTAGGAGATGATTGAGCAGGGAGATGGTAGTAAGTTACATACAGATGTTGCACCAAGATCGTAGGCGGCTTTCAAGATCGGGGCAGCGTCCTCGGGATCCAAGACCCACGGAAGCCATTTCGAAGCTGGGAGGCAATGAGAGAGACTATCTGATATGGCCAAACGGAAGAGGTGACGTACATCCGATGCCCATACATCCCACAATCGGAACTGATACGCGGAAGCCGCTGTTGCCAAGACTAGAATGAGGAGTCAGAAGCGAATATTCAGCAGAGGTGACTGGAGGAAAGTCCGACTGACGGTTTATAGCGAGCCTGGAGAGGTTCGGAGGAGGTCATTGCTTTGATGTGATTTATTCGACAATATGGAACGATTGTCTTGACTAGGAACTATGCTTAGTTTACTAGACAGCAGAGGGCAGAGACGTCTTTTATATCTCCAAGTCTCGGTGTTTTCCTCGAACCAAAACTCGGTGTTTCTCTCATATCAAAGACTATCCATCAAAACACTGATGAGGCCTCTCTTTCTGGTTCGAGCTTTGATCCGCCTCGAGGCTGCGATCGACGCTCCCGACGGAGCAAAGCATACGGAACTCCGAAAGCGGAGCGGATTTGAGGGTTTCGGAAACCCTACAGAAACCTTGACGTAATCTGTGCGATGCCTGTGGCTGCGATAGGGCCAACTGCGCGGCTGTTTGACCACCGGGTTGAAATAAAGATAGACTCAGGAGTAGTGGCTGGATAAGGATCTGCGCCGCTATCTTATCGGTCCTCTACACATTGTTCATACACACATATTGCTTTCAACCGCACTGCAGGCCTTCTCTGCACTCCTCTCTTGCTTTCTTGTTTTGTATCATTCAACAACAGAATGGCAAAGGAAGAGTACTCAGAAAAGAAGGGCAACCTTCGCGTCCGCGAGGCCTCGGTCTCCAGTGGATCTTTCGACTCTTCTGATATCAGCAACAAAGAGCAATCGATGTCAGAGTCCTCGTCTCTTCTCATCGAAGAGTCCGACGAGTACAGTCACCTGCCGGCTCATGAAGCCCAGCTGCTCAGAGCCCAGATCCAAGTTCCTGAGCCAAAGACGTCGTTCTTTACAATGTACAGATATGCGACGTCCAGAGATGTGTTCTTCTTGCTCCTCGCGACCGCTGCCTCTGTCGCTGAGGGTATCATTCGACCCGCTATTTCTGTTATCTTCGGCACTTTGACTGGCACTTTTGCTTCCTATGCTAGACGGTTTACCGTCGACGAGATGTATTTTTACAACTCGACGGAAGGGTTTTACAGCTTTGAGAACGGGACGTATTATGATGCGGAGCAGTATAATGCCACGCAGTACGGGTATCCTTATGAGATGTACAACATGACTGCATCTGGTTATGACTATATCTCTCCCGAAGAGTTCCAGAGCACAGTCGATAGATATATTCTGTGCGTATATACTACTTTTCTACTTGCACTTGAGAGGTGTAAGGCTTACTCGATCTAGATACTTTGTCTATCTCGGCATCGCTGACATTATTCTTTCCTACTTCTCGATCTTTGTCTTCATTGACCGCGGCCAGATTCTCTCCGGACGTATTCGAGAGCACTACTTGACGGCGACAATGAAGCAGAACATCGCTTACTTTGACAAACTCGGCTCTGGTGAAGTGACCACGCGGATTGCGTCAGATACTACATTAATCCAGGAAGGAATGTCCGAGAAAGTCTCGTACATTGTAGCCAACCTGTCCACCTTCTTTGCTGTCTACATCCTAGCTTTCACGCGGTACTATGTCTTGACTTTCATCATGCTCTCTATTGCCTTCGTCGTCACGGTCTCGTTGTTTGTCTCCTCCGGGTTGATGAAGAAGTATTTCCGAAAGGCGGCAGAGGGATACGCGGTCGGCGGCACGCTTGCGGAGGAAACCATCTCGAGCATTCGTAATGTCCAAGCGTTTGGTATCCAAGATAGACTTGTGGCGCAGTATGATAAGTATCTCGAGGTTTCTGAGCGATATGGAATTAAAGCAGGATTTGCCTTGGTACGTTTTCTAGTCCTTTCTCAATTTTTTAACAGCGGCTGACAAACTACAGGGAATCATGACGTCGATGGTATGGATCGGTTGCTACAACAACGATGCTCTCGCCTTCTGGCAAGGCACGCGTTTCATCACCGAACACCGCATGGACGTCGCGCAAGTGATTTCAATCATCTTGCTTGCAAACCAAGGCTCCTTCGCACTCTCGGGAATCGCTCCCCATTTCCGATCTGTCTCCCAGGCTCGTTCAGCTGTATCAAAGATCTTTGCGACTATTGATCGTGCGTCGATGGTGGACTCACTCAACGAGTCTGGCCAAAGACTGGAGGACGTCAAGGGTGAGCTGGAGCTGCGGAATGTGAAGTTCATCTATCCCTCGCGCCCGAATGTCTGTGTCTTGAACGACTTTAGTCTTCGTATACCCGCCGGCAAAACAGTCGCGTTGGTAGGCGCCTCTGGATCCGGAAAGTCGACAATCATCGGACTGATTGAACGGTTCTACCTCCCGCTAGCAGGACAGATTATGCTCGATGGCGTGCCGATCGAGAGCCTGAACGTGCGCTGGCTGCGGCAGCAAGTCTCGCTTGTTTCCCAGGAGCCGACTTTATTTGCATGCTCGATTTACGAAAACATCGCGCATGGACTTATTGGTACGCCATATGAGTTTGCATCCGAGGCCGAGAAGCGCGCGCTTGTGACCTCTGCGTGCGAACAGGCTAACGCGATGAGCTTTATCTCCACCTTTCCCGAGGGCTTGGATACATCTGTTGGCGAGCGCGGGTTCTTGATGTCGGGTGGTCAAAAGCAGCGTCTTGCTATTGCACGGGCGATTGTCAGTAACCCCAAGATTCTGCTGCTGGACGAGGCAACCTCGGCGCTTGATACCAAGAGCGAAGGCATTGTGCAAGATGCGCTTGACAAAGCTGCCAAAGGACGCACGACGATTGTGATTGCGCACAGACTGAGCACGATCAAGGATGCGGATCTGATTGTTGTTATGCGCAAGGGTGTTATTATGGAGATGGGAAACCACAAGGAATTGCTAGAGAAGAACGGCGAGTATTTTTCACTTGTGGAGGCGCAGAAGATCGAGAAGGAGAAGGAGATCATCAAGTCTAAGCTTCAGATTCAGAGCGAGGCTGAGGAGGATATCGACGCTGAGGATATAGTCTCAGTCGATGAGAAAGCAAAGGAAGCTTTGTCGCGAGTCAAGACGGCATCTTCGATCTCGAGTGCGATTATTGCAAATACTCCTGCCAGAGAGGAGATTGATGATAGCAAGTACACTTTCAAAGAGCTCGTTATGTTTTTGATTGATTTGCAGAAAGGATACAACGGGCTCAATAGTATCGGAATGGTACTCTCGCTCATCAACGGTCTCGGCTACGTCGCGCTCGGTTTCTTCTACGGCGGAGCCGTGGACGCGTACACGCATCTTCCTGATTACGAGTACGTTACCAGACGAATCGCAATCTTTGCAGGACTGCTGTTCATGGAATCGATTGTGGTCTCGGTCGCGACCTCGGGTTCGCAGGCGTTGTTTTCGTTTTCGAGCCAGAAACTCGTGAGACGGATCAGACGGATGACGTATAAGCAGATCTTGAGACAGGATATCAGCTATTTTGATAAGGATGAGAATACGGCTGGTAGTCTTACTGCTATGCTTTCTCAGGATGCGCAAGCTATTGAAGGTATGTCGGCCGTTTCTGCTTCACTCTGAAGAAAGGAGCATACTAACAGAATTTTACTGTATAGGTCTGACTGGTCCTACTTTTGGACAGATCAGTAATGCGGTGATGATTATGCTTTCCGGCGCCGTGGTCTCGATCTCGGTTACCTGGAAGCTGGGACTCGTGTTGACTGCCGTGCAGCCTTTGATTATCGGCGGTTGCTTTTTCCGAATCTACATCCTGGCTTCATTCCAAGGAATTATGAAAAACAGCAACCAAAAGGCGTCAAACTACGCTTGCGAGAACGCGTCTGCAATCAGGACGGTCATGTCACTGAGCAGGGAGCTCGACGTTCTGGAGACGTATCATCGCACGATTGAGGAGCAGCATCGGGTGAGTATTCCGGCGACGCACAGGAGCTCGTTCATGTACGGCATCTCTCAAGGCATGCAGCTGTTTATATTCGCGCTGGCGTACTGGTACGGCTCGACGTTCATCAGAACTGGAGAGTACACCGTGCTCAAATTTTACATCACTTATTGTGCACTTATCGCTGGTGCCCAGGCGGCGGGTATGGCGCTGTCGTATGCGCCGGATATGGGCAAGGCCAAGTTTGCGGCGGCAAACATCAAAAAGACGCTCAGTCTTGTTCCAGAGATTGATACCTGGAGCACAGAAGGCGACACGCCTGAGAACGTGCAGGGCGAGATTGAGTTTAAAGACGTGCACTTCCGATACCCTACCCGGCCTACTGTCCCGGTCTTGCGGGGCTTGGATTTGTCGGTCAAGAAGGGGCAGTATGTTGCGTTGGTCGGCGGCTCTGGATGTGGAAAGAGTACGACGATTGGCTTGATTGAGAGCTTTTATCAGCCGCTCTCCGGAAGCATTACGCTTGACGGTCGCGATATTCGTGAGTTCAATATCAACCGATATCGTGAGCAGATTGCGCTTGTGCAGCAGGAACCCACGCTCTATGCAGGAACTATTCGGGAAAACATCCTGTTTGGCACCACAGATACAGTTGTCCCTGATGAGCGCATTTACAAGGTAGCCAGACAGGCCAACATCCACGACTTTATCATGAGTCTTCCAGATGGATACGACACGCTTTGCGGAAACAAGGGCACGCTTCTTTCCGGAGGGCAGAAGCAGCGCATTGCGATTGCGCGGGCGTTGATTCGCGAGCCAAAGGTGCTGCTTTTGGACGAGGCTACTTCTGCGCTTGATTCCGAGTCGGAGAAAGTTGTGCAGGCGGCGTTGGACGTGGCTGCCAAGGGTCGGACTACGATTGCGATTGCGCACAGACTGAGCACGATTCAGAACGCGGATGTGATTTATGTGTTTGATTCTGGTAAAGTTGTCGAGAGCGGAACACATCAGGAGTTGTTGGGTAAGAAGGGCAAGTATTATGAGCTTGTGCAGCTGCAGGCTTTGGAAGAGTCGGGATAGATATAGACGGATAGATCACAGATAGCGTTTATGTTTGGAGTTGGTACACAGTGAATATATTAGAATACATGAAACAAAATTTGGCAAATATTAAAACATTAGAGTACTAGTTGACAAAGATGTGAGACCCTCAAATGGACCTGAAATATTAAACCCGACCAAAATCGCTGCAAACAAAACAAAATCGCAGCTCTAGACCAACACCAGCAGATTTCCATAGCGCGGACCGAGTATTCGGTCGCCAGCAAGATAGAATAAAATAGAGATAGGCAAATCAATAAACCCACAAAGTCGCCGAATGCCCGGCGGAGTAACACTAGTTTTGTTGTTTTCGTCGTCGTCATGATCATCATTGTGGTAGATTCTTGCTGCTATTCAGCATTCTCTGCGACGGAGGCTTTATCTCCAGCCCAGTCGTCAGCGACACCCTCAACAGCAGGTGGCGAGGCACTAGAATCTTCAGGAGCAGGAGCAGAAGCAGAGGCAGAGGCAGCTTCGGCTTCTGTTCGTTCTTGATCTTCGTTAGGGTTAGCAATTTCGACGGCCGGGGTTGCATAGATCGACGGCGCACCTTCATGATCCTCTTCTTCGGAGTGCTGCTGGGCGGCCACGGCGGCTGCTTCGTCGGAGAATCTGATGTCTTCCTCGATTCCTTCTTCAGAGGGTACGATCGATGAATGCGGGATGACTGGCTCGGTGTGTCCGTTTGCCTGGAGGGCAGCTTCCGCGGCCGGCTCCGAGACCTCGATGGCGATGTACTGGAACGGATCTTCGCTGTGCTCGAGCACAGAATCTAGACCTTCTCCCGAGACTCCTTTCCGAGCAACACCTTCAAACATCTCAACCTCGGCGCGAGTGATGCAGGTAGCATGCTTGAGGATCTTTGCCGAGATCTCTTGCGTGATGTCGAGCGAGTACTTGAAGTAGTCGTACTTCAGCTTCTCCAGCCCGTCGACTTGGCTGGTGAGGTCCATGAGCGCACTGCGGTAGCTCTCAAGGTTACGCTGCTTCTTTTTGCCGAGCTTGACGTTCTGTTTCTCGGTCTTGCGAAGCTGCTTTGTGCGGGCGATCGTCTCCTTCTGGAAGTTTTCCTCGTGGGTCTTGGTGAGCTTCTTGTAGTTCTCGAGCTCGTTCTTGATCGGCGCCTCAAATCCCTGCGGAAAACTCTCGGCCAGAATACGCTGGTGGTTCGCGGCAAGAAACTGCAGACCCGATGCTGAACTCAGGCCGTCTCTCGATTCGCCAGCGCCACGGCACTTTGCACATGCCTGCAGCGCTGCGCCAAAGTCGTTCTCGGCCTCGGCGACCTGGGCGAGCGCGGTTCTGAGGGCGGCAGCGGCGGTCAGCAGGGTCTCGTATGCGGCGATGTTGGATTCAATGTCGTCTTTGGAGACGATGGTCTTTGGGAGCGGTGGCGGGGCAGGGAAGGTGATGGAGGCCAGCGTGGGCGGGAACTTTGCTGTCGACATTGTTCCGGAGGGGGAGAGCGGAGCGGCGGTCGAGGCTTGCTCGACGATGGTTTCTGACATTGTGAGCTGTGTATTTGGTTGATGGTTGTAGAGTAGAAGCAGTTGCGAGGAGATAAAAGGCCTGATAGTGTGAACAGACCACGGAATATGGGAGATTGAGAGATTGTTCTCGAGCCAGCAGAGTACTTTAACTGCCTAATGCGGCCACTGTTCGCTGTTCTGGGTGCGCTGCTCCAGACGATGACGTAAAGATAAGCAGTGGCGTAATAGCTGACTAGCTATCAGCAAGTCCACGTGACCAGCGATGGCCTTCTCCGTGACAGCAGGCAGATGACTCAGATGCGGCTGTCGGTCATTCCTGTCGCTGTCAGCCCGAGATCGTGTTGTTCTTCTCTTTCATTAAACCGCTGCTCTTTGTTCATTCGGAGGCCGAAGCACGCGGGTTAATGCAGGGAGAAGGGGGAGGCTGGCTGGAATGCGCTCCCCGGCTGGGCAGATCTATTTTGCTTGCCTCTCCGGGACTAGCACAAACCTAATCTCGCTTGTTTTGCCCCGCCCCCTCGCACAACCCACACACAAACAAACGCGTCGGAACGCGTCTCTCGTCCGTTCGGACCACATCGCGCGCCAGCCCTGTGCCGCTAAGACATTTCGCTTCAGCGTTTTACTCTTTCCCTTTTCATATTTAAATATCCCCGAGCTTCTCCTCTGTCTGTTTCTGCTTCTCTTTCTGTTTCCTGTCAACTATATCCAATGCTGCTTCTTCACTCGCTTCTTCTCTTTGTGGCTTCCGTAGCCGCGCACGGCTGGGTCAAGGACCTCCTCGTCGACGACGAATGGTACACAGGCTCGCTTCCGTACTACGACTCCTGGCAGAGCCCCACCCCGGAGCGCATCGTCTGGTCTTTCTGGTCCGCGGGCAACAACCCGGTCACCAACGTCACCTCCTCCGCAGTCACCTGCAACCTCGACGCTCAGACCGCTGCCATCACCGCCGACATCAACGCCGGCGACAACATCACTTTCTATTGGACCGACTGGATCGTCTCCCACAAGGGCCCCGTCATCACCTACCTCGCCAACTGCGACGGTCCGTGCGAAGACCTCACTGACCCGACCACCCTCTCCTATTTCAAAATTGACGAGGCAGGATACTACGAGGACGACGATGTCTGGGCGTCAGACAATCTTCGGACCAACAACAACTCCTGGACCGTCACGATCCCATCTGATATCGCGTCGGGATTCTACCTCATCCGCCACGAGATCATCGCCGTTCATCTTGCCTACGAGGAAGGAAAGGCCGAGATTTACCCCATGTGTGCAAACCTCAAGATCACCGGCTCCGGCAGTGCAGAACCCTCCGGTGTCTCCTTCCCTGGTGCATATCAGGAGACTGATCCGGGGTTGTTTATCAACATCTACTGGGAATTTTCTACATATCAGATACCTGGTCCCACTCTCTACACCCCTGCTGCAACCTCTACTTCCTCAGTCACTACTACTACCAGTAGTACGACGTCAGCGACTTCCTCCTCGAAGAAGACATCGGCGACCTCAACTTCCACGAAGACGTCTTCAAAATCTTCAAAGAGGAGCTCTACGACAAGTCCAACTCCCACCTCGACTTCATCTTCTACCAAGATCGGGACGACTTCATCATCTTCTACGACTTCGACCTCGACTTCCACAAGCTCGTCATCAACTACCTCATCATCAACTACCTCATCATCATCGCATCATACGAAATTTACGAAATCAGCAAGCAGCGCACCCCAAGCATTAACGTCAACAACCCTCCTCACCCGTTCCCACAGATCTCATCATACATCTTCGATATCTACCTCAATCTCAATCACGACTCCATCGCCATCGACCACATCGTCAACCACCTTTACTTCATCCACCTCAACTACAAGCGAAGATGACGAAGTATACGCCACTACAGTCACCGTGATCGAATACGTCACCGCAATCGTCACCGACATCGTTTACGTCGAAGAGACTGATATCGAAACCGTCACCGCCTACGCAACTGCTTCGGCTGTTTTGGAGAAGCGGGGTCATATTCGGCGGCGGGGTTTTTAATTTCTAATCTATAATTGCTGTATTTCTAATTGTAACATCACATGTATTTGATTATTGCTATGTTGTTTTTGCTATTTGTTTGGATTCCATTATGTATAAGTATTGCATTGCATATCCTTCTATATAAATTGATCATACACCTGCTAGTTTGTTTCACTCCTTGTAAAGGCGCACACGAATATATTATACACATCATTGATCTTCATCGTCATCATCCTCCTCCTCATCGTCCTCATCATCATCAAAGATTTCATACTCCCCCTCATCGTCCTGGTCCTGGTCCTCCTGCTGCTGAAGAATCCCCATGAGTTCCTTCAGCTTATCACCTCCGCCAGCGCTTACTTTTGATACCGCATCCAGAACCTGTCTTTCTTTATCTGCGGACTCTTGCACAATCTCTGTATCTTTTCCAGCGCGTGGTGCTGCCTCGTCTTCACTCTGGCTTTCTTCCTCCAGAATCTTAGCTACCTCCATTTGCTTAACAACCTGCCCAACATACAACGCCTTCAGCTTGACCCTTACCAGCCTGCGCAGCTTCGACATCGTAGTAGCCTTATACCATCCATCGTGTTCTGTGGGCGTCTCCCGCATAGAACTATTAGCTAACAGCTCTGACAGTACCGGATCAGATATATCGCAAAGCTGGAAACTTCGCCCTGAAGGCAAATGAACGCCATCAAACACGTGTTTCGGCACAGCGCTCGATCCATCTCCGTTGTCCTCTTTCTGGTCATCGTCATCTCGACTTCCTGTGCTAGTCTTCCAGCCTTGCTTCTTGTATGAAATCATCTCTTCCTCATCCTTGGTTGTTATACGAAAGTACTCTGTCTGGTACTTTGCGTATTTCTGGTCGGTGCGGGGATCGATTCCGTATTTCGTATATGTCGTCCGCCAGGGTCCCGTTTTCCAAGTGTAGGCGACGTAGGCAATCAGGTGCTTACCAAAGTGCAGCCACACATTTGCTAAACTTTCAGTGATCTTTTCTGCTTCAAGTGCGCGACGCGTCCAGATAGGCCGTTCTTCAAATGCGGCTTTCAGTGTGTTTAGCAGTTCCTCTATTTGCGGATGCGTAAACGCTTTCAGGGGCGGGAGATGTGTTTCCGGGTACTCTGGTCCAGGAATGGACTCCTTGTCGGCCCACCGCATTCGTTTCACCAGAATTCTCTGCGGCACATGTCGATTAACGAGTTTCGTCTCGCCGGAGGCGTCTGTGACTGTTGTGACGGCGGGGTTTTGGCGGTATTCGTAGCTGAACGGAGTTACGATGGCTGAAAATCGCGGTGGCGGTGGTAAGTCTCTGTCGTTTGAGGTCGCGGTGGAGTCTTCGCTCAAGTCGAGGGTTTTCAGTACTTCGTCTATTGAGAAATGTTAGTATGCAGCCATATTGAAGAATAAAAGTAAGTATGGAAACGCACAGTCGCCTTTGTATAGAGTATCTCGGACTTGAGACACAAAGGGCGAATTGATCGTGTTGTACTGAAAGTCAGCAAGCTCTGTATATGGAAATTAGCAAAATTCAATCAACACAAACAATCAGCAGCAGATCATACCTCTAAATCTGACGTAATGGTTGATGACGGCAGAAGGGGCAACAGAGTACTCCTCTGGATGTGCCGCCAGTGTTTTACGGAGGTCCCGTCCATTCTCCTCCAGATGTGCTCGTTTGACTCGAACTTTGAGGACAACAGAGTGGCTCGTGGTCACCGAGCGAGAGGATATCGGATGCTGGAACACGTCTGCTGGACGTAGCCGTAGTTCGAGACGCGTCTGGCCGTTGGAATTGATGGTCTGGATGATCCGGAGTAAGCCATCAAATAACAATAGCGGGGATCAAGTAGACGTTAACTAATAGTATCAAGAAAATTGGCTTACTTTTCGAATAGCCTGCTTTCCTCCGACTGTTTCAATGGCACTGTCTGTGTTTACGACAGCAGCAGGGTGCTCGATGCATGTGATCCGGGGAACGCTACCGAGCGTAGAACTCATAGCGGACAGGAGTATACAGTTTCCGCAAAACAGTAATAAAGTGACTAGACTCTTATATGGCAATCATCATATTTATATCGGGAACATGTATATCAGTATTTCGTTGTCTCCGCAATCAGGTATTCTAGGATGTTGGAGCTACGTCTTCTCCCAACAGTACAAACACCTTATGCGAGCTCTACTTACCCGGCAGCTACAAACCCTACAATAACTAATCCTGACATAAATGAACACTGGAGCAGTTTCCGCTTTCAGCCGCTCCCCAGCCGCTTCCAGCCGCACACAAACCTTACACAGACCCCATCGATTCTTAGGGATTCGCTTACAGTCTTCCTCGACTTATCGTCTCTCCATCACAGAAATCATGAAGCTGGCGAAGCTCCCTTCTGGTTTCTCTCGCGGCTGCGTTTGCGGTGACTGCCGAGACGGAGTTTTTTTTCTACGGATATGGTCGTGCCGGCATTGATTCGTCGGACAAGCCACTGGAAGAAGACGGCGGTTGGATTCGACTCCCTTTCGTGTTCGGCGAGGGCGCTTTACTAGCCAATGTCACAATTGGCAATCCCCCGCAAGTGGTCGCTTTTGCTCTAGATACTGGTTCAGCAGACATCTGGGTGGAGAGCGCGGCGAACCCCTTCTGTGAAGAACTTGAGGCTGCCGGTGCTGCACGGACGTGCGCAGGGAAGACCTTTAACTCTTCCACATCTTCGACCTTCAATAGCATCCCCAATGAGTTTTATATTCAATATTTCGATAAAACTTATGGTCAAGGTCTCTATGCAACTGATACTTTTGGGATCGGTGGCGCGACGCTGTCGAATCAGACGTTCGCTGTAGCGAGCAAAGGAAATCTCACTCATGGTGTCATTGGACTGGGTTACGAGTTCACAGAAAGCTCAACTACTACCTATGAATATTCTGGAATTTTGCGCTCTCTGAGGGAACAGAGATATATCGGTGCTATGGTCTATTCGCTCTATACCAATGATTTGTTCACGGAGGGCAATATTCTATTCGGTGGCATCGATCGGGCAAAATACGACGGCGACTTGGTGCCGTTGCCCATGGTGCCAGATATCGATGGATATTACACACATGTGGGCATTGAACTTCAATCTCTCCAGCTAGAGTTTCCGGATAAGAAGACTCACACCTTCAATTCGAGCATCAATTTACCCTTTCTTGCTGATTCGGGCACCACTCTGCTGCAATTTCCGACTGATATTTTTATGAGCATCGTCGATTACTTCGGGGCCGAGTACAACTCCACCATCGGCTTTTACACATTCACTGGCTGTTCCAAATATGTGCCATTTGAGTCAGATCAATACAGCAACTATTCTATGGTTTTTGGCTTTGATGGTATAACCATCAAAGTAACATTGGATTACTTGGTCAACTTTGTTAGTGCCGACGACCACGATCTCTGTCAAATCATTATCAGCTATACGGATGATCCAAGTTATTATATTCTTGGAGATACGTTCCTCAATTCAGCCTACGTGGTCTACGATTTTGGATACAACAGGGTTTTTCTAGCCCAAGCTAATTTTGATGTTGAGAACGAAGATATTGTTGCGGTTCGTAAAGGTCTGGGCAAAAATGCGATTGCGGATGCTATCGCTTCCTAGAGACTTTTTGTTTTTTCGGACTGTTTGGAAGTATATTCTCGAGTGTCAATAAGACGCATAATGTTGTGATATTTCGTTGTTCAGCCACGCGACTGAAAAAGAACTTCCGGAGTTTTCTGTTATTTTTACTGTATAAATATATTTCTGAACTCAATAAGTTTCCAACTGGCTGCTACTAGTCTCCGAGGTGGTATGTATTCCACGAGAAATTGTACTGGCTTGCACAGAAAACCCGTAGAGCCTACAGATTTTAATACTCTCCTCTCTATATTCTTTCCGGTATCAAAAGGCTCCAGTTCAGGTACGGCTGAACATCGGCCATGTGAACATTTGAGTTTATGTAATCGCATAACGCAGAAGGGCAAGCGGCTGAGTCCCAATCAAAAGCCCGATTTGAGCTTCTTCATCCAGCGCTGCTTCCTTAAATATGGAAGATCTCTCTTTTCTCTTGTTCCATACAAGAATATCATTCCTCCTCCTCAGAATAATACACCATTCGACCTAGGAATATGAGATTCCTGAGCCTATTCTCAGTCTCAGCCGCTGCTGCTGCTCTCGTCGCTGCAGATACCGAGTTCTTTTTCTATGGATTTGGCCGTGCCGGTGTTGATTCGTCGGCTGATGCAGAGGGCGGTTGGATCCTAGTTCCTTACATATTGGAACGCGGTAGCTTAATGGCGAACTTCTCTATTGGCACTCCTCCGCAAGAACTGAGCCTCGTTTTCGATACTGGTTCTTCAGAGATTTGGATGCATAGTGCAGCGTATTGCGAGGCTGCTACAGAGTGCATCGGTGGAGGTTTCAACGCCTCCGAATCCACGACCGCTGTTGAGATCGAGGATAAGCTTTTCAGTCAAAGTTACGCAGACACAACACACGTCCGCGGTCACTATGTTATCGACACTTTCGAGCTAGGTGGTGCGTCGTTGTCAAATCAGACGTTCGCTTTAGCCTCGACAGGAAATGTCAGCAAGGGTATCGTTGGCATAGGCTTCGAGGCTATAGAAACCACTAAGACTAAATACCATGGAATTTTACACCACTTGGTAAACCAGGGCTACATTGCTTCTAAGCTTTACTCGCTCTACACCAATGGTGAAGATGAAACTGGTAATACCGTCTTCGGTAGTATTCTCTTCGGTGGTATCGACCGGGCAAAATACGATGGGGATTTAGTATCGTTGCCTATTCAACCGAATGCCAAAGGCCATTACAGAGATTTACAAGTCAATCTTGAGTCTATTTCAGTGGTGGACCCAAATGGTAAGACAACCGCTTTCAATGGGAGCATCAACACCCCATACGTTCTCGATTCGGGAACAACTTATATGGTGCTTCCGACCCAGATTGTGGAAAACATCTATGACTATTTTGATGCCGAGTACAACTCAACGTACGACATCCATGTTGTCAACAACTGTCTGGACTATATTGCCGATTTACAGAAACAGGAGTTTGACAATTATACTATCAACTTTGGCTTTGACGGTATAACCCTCGAGATGCCGTTGGAAAATTTTCTCTCGCCTATTACGGATGATTGCGCCACATGCAAAATACACGTGCATTCTTCTGATAATTACGCTATTCTCGGAGATGCAGTTCTTCGCGGCGCCTACGTGGTCTATGATTTTGAAAACTATGTCATTTCTTTAGCTCCGTCGAAACTAGATGTTGAGGAAGAAGATATTGTTGCGGTTCGAAGCGGCAAAAATGGGATTGCTGAGGCAGTTGCTTCCTAAATAGGGTCCTTTTCTATCCTTATCTTTCGCCCGGTGCTGTCATTGTGCATGTATTTGACTGCTGGGAGAATTGGGTGGGAGATATCTGGGATTATGGCCATGATTTGATGAGATGTTCCAATTGTTGCAAAATTTGAATAATGTTTTTGATTGGCAATTACGAGCTTAAACATACAGTAGACAGATAAATAAATCCTTATCTGCATTATATAGTCATAAGCGTGAGCCACTCCTTTAACAAATGCCTCCTACCCTGCTCGAGTGAACAGGTCAGCTGACGGTTCGCAACCAAGGTCCTCGTACTATAGCCACCTGCTGTCACTCCAAATCGTCCTCGGTGACCGCCCAGTGTTTGTGACCATCAACAAGTACTCAATTGCGCCAATCCACGCTTACTTCAATCCTGCTCGACCGCGACTATTTCCCATCAGTTTCTTCTTCACGAGTTTTTGGCGCTATTCTAATTGACCGTTGCTAGTCTCAATGAAGGGCTTCAAGCAGCGCGTGGTGAGTCGACCAATCTGCTTCTTCTCTGCTGCCTTCCATCTCCTAATTGCTCCTCTTGCTAACCCCTCCCTCCCCTTTCATAGCTCGCGAGATCCCGCAGCACCCACGACTCCGACAAGCCTTCCACATCGCCCAGCTCCGGCAACTCGCCTTCTCGTCTGTCGACAGGATCGGGATCAACACGAAGCAAAAACAAAGACTCGGCCAAAGACGCATCCCCCACACAGCCGTCCTCACAGTCGTCGACCACCGCTTCCCCATCCGCGCTCGGTCGATCGGAAACCAAATCGGGTGCCGTCTCTACCCAGGCTCCTGCCAAGTCTTCTACTCCTACATCCGCTCCTGTTGTTGTCGTTCAGCCTGATGCTTCCGGATCCGTGACTCCTCCATTGCAGATCCAGGATGGTATCGCGGGGACCTCTGCTGCTGCCGAGGCCTTTGGATCGCCAAGTGGGCCCCCTCCGGCCAGCCCGAGCTCACTTGCCAACGTCGTAAGCATTTCTTGTTTTGAGTGTCGGTTGTTTATGATTGTGCTAATTTTGATGAATCGCAGAACCACATCCCTCCCCCCGGCGCAACGGAAACGATGCCTGGCGATCTGGCTGCGCCGCGGCACGGTCAGCAGCGATCACCCACATTCGATCGTCTGAAAAACGGAATCCCAGACGAGCAACTATCCACGCCAACTCGTCGACATCACTCTTCCCGCTTTGAAGTGTCTGCCAAGCGCGAGCTCGAGAAGCTGCCCGGGTTCCATGAGGTCGCCGTCAATTCGCGTCAGGAGCTGTTCTTCCAAAAGATCGAGCAGTGTAATGTGATTTTTGACTTCAATGACCCTTCATCTGATATGAAATCAAAAGAGATCAAGAGAGTTGCGCTGCATGAATTGCTTGATTTTGTCTCCACCTCGCGGATGCAGTACACAGAGCAGATGTACGCGAGCGTTGTTGACATGTTTGCGCGCAATCTGTTCCGGCCGATCCCACCGCCGGTCAACCCTGTTGGCGACATCTATGACCCGGATGAGGACGAACCGGTTCTTGAAGTGGCATGGCCGCATATGCAGGTCGTCTACGAGTTTTTTCTGAAATTCGTGGAGTCTCCTGATTTCCAGCACAGTGTTGCAAAAGCATACATCGATCACCACTTTGTGCAACAGTTACTAGAGTTGTTTGACACAGAGGACCCGCGTGAACGAGATTACTTGAAGACTACGTTACATCGTATTTACGGCAAGTTCCTTAACCTGCGCTCGTTCATCCGGCGATGCATCAACAATGTCTTCTTCCAGTTCACATACGAGACTCACAGATTCAACGGTGTCGCAGAACTGCTTGAGATTTTGGGCAGTATAATCAACGGATTTGCTCTCCCGCTGAAGGAGGAGCATAAGATTTTCCTGGCTAGAGTGTTGATGCCATTGCACAAGGCAAAGAGTCTGAGCTTATATCACCCGCAACTTGCTTACTGTATCGTGCAATTTATCGAGAAGGACCCTTCATTGACCGAGGAAGTGATCTTGGGCCTACTACACTACTGGCCGAAGGTCAACAGTCCCAAAGAGGTGATGTTCTTGAACGAGGTTGAGGATATCTTTGAAATTCTTGAGCCGTCAGAGTTTCTCAAGATCCAGGTGCCGCTGTTCCAGCAGCTCGCAAAATGCGTCTCAAGTCAGCATTTCCAGGTTGCCGAGCGCGCACTCTACTTGTGGAACAACGAATACTTTGTTTCCTTGATGTCTGAGAACGTCGAGACAATTCTTCCCATCATTTTCTCAGCGCTGTATCGCAACGCGCGCGGGCACTGGAACCGGACTATCCACACCATGGTCTGCAACGCGATGCGGATGTTTATGGAGTTGAACCCTGCACTATTTGAAGAATGTTCTGCGCTATACCGAGAACAAGAGAACAACGCGGAAGCACGGGAAGAGCACCGGCAACTGCTGTGGAAGCAGGTTGAAGAAAGCGCGCGGGAGAACGAGGAGCGGATGCAGGAAGCGGCGGCAGAAACGATGGTACAATAGTAAAAACAACAACAGACCTGCAAATGAGATTTTTTATCATACAACCGATCATGCGAAATCATGCAAAGTCATGTCTCCCGGGCGGCGTAGCAGAAGTCACTGCATTTTTCCCCTTTATCGTTCTTCGTTTTATCTTTCTTTTTCTCATATCAAAACTCTCTCCTGCTCTCCTCTCTACTCTTTTTTCTTATCTTGTTTCTCCTATATTCCTCGCTCGTGTTTTCTCACTTTTATGTTTTTATGTTGGTTATTATTGAATTTTTCTAGAGAGATGTATAACACGTATTGACAAATAAACCGGTTGAGTTTTCTTTTATCTCTCTTATTGATCAGTTAAAATTGAGGATTGATATGCTGTCTGTAGAGCTTGTTTACGGGTAATTTGAAGATAATGGGTGATTACGCGTAGCTAGCCGATTACGTAGTCTTCTGTTTCAGATTCGTACACAAGAAAGGCTTCATATCTTTTCCCAGATCTAGAATCGCAGGGGGCAGATCCTTATCACCTCACAAATTTTCTATATTTTTATGAATTTTCCTTTCCACTACGTTACTAAAAATTAAATACTGCGTACGGTTATAGAAGAGCCTGGATTGTATCGATAGATTATATGCGTCGACAGTAAATCTCCAAAGAATGTATGTATATGTCTACAAAACCAACAAGAGGAAAATATAAGGATAAGAGAAAAAGCGCCTCCCGAAGTAATAAAAAATTAAAGTAGAAAAGTACATGTAATAGAAAGAAAGAAAGAAAATAAGCAGAAAACACCAACACCTTTATAAAAAAGCAAAGCGAGAATGAGGGGTGGTTACAAACAGATTAAAATAGATGGATGGAAAAAACAACCTCTTGTGTAGAACGGGGGTGTACTCTAAGATTCTGAAATGATCAAAGTAATTGGAAAGAAGGAAGAGAAATCAGCAAATCAAAGAATGAAGGACTCTTCGAGTTCGGATTTGACGGAGGTCAAGCGAGTGTCGTCCGCAGTAGTCGGATCCGCACTCAATTGAGTGCCCGAGGACCATTGATATATCCAGTCATGGGATGGACCTGACGATGGTACCGCTTGTGCCTGTTGCTGCCGTTGTTGTTGCTGCTGTTGTTGTTGTTGTTGTTGTTGCTGCTGCTGCTGCTGCTGCTCTAGGAAATGATTGATCTGCTGTTCAGGGGACGAGTGAGCAGATCCACTGGCCGATAAAGCGCGAAGATCGCTCGAAGAGATTGTACGGGCCGAATCAGCGTTATTGCTGTTATTAGCATTATTGCGATGTCCCAAATCAGCTTGGCCAACTGAAAAGGACATGTCGCTCCAATACTGCATCGCCGAGATATTGTACAGCTCGTCCTCTTCAAACGGACCTTCGCCTTCTTCGTCGTTGTTCTCAGCAGACTGATTGGCCTGCGGAGCCGCGCTAGACCGAGCACTTTCGTCCTCTTCGTCATCGTCCTCTTCATCTTCCTCGTTCGTGGCTTCGCCGTCTGCTGCAGGCTCAAATTTACTAACCGAGCCTCGCTTCTCGATCTCAAACGTCGGGATCCGACTAATCGCAAGATCCAGCTTCTGCAGCGCCTGCGCCATCTGTTCGAACCCGCGACTAGAAACACGAAGACTCCAGCGATACTCATCCAAACAAGACTTGTAGAAATTTCGCTCCTCGTCATCTACAGCCGTCACGTGGAGCAACGCGGCAAAAGTGCCGACGATAGCAAAGCTGGTGGCGGAAGAAGAGTACCAGAATGCTTGGATATGCTCAGGCTTGAGATTTTTGACAAAGTCCATTGCGGCTTGTAAGCGCACGCGAGCAGCTTGTCTGCACACGCGTACAATCTCCGCGGGAGTAGAGGGGGTGATGGCGTGGATGATTCGGCGGTGCAGCGTTATTTCGGTTGCGAAGTAGGCGACGTGGAGCGAGCCATTGGATGAAAGACGTCGGATCTTAGGCTGGCTGTTCATTCGCAGACTCTCGGGTAAGGACTGGTACCAGTCCTTCAACCTGATCTGGATAGGCTTGGCTTTTTCCAGAATGTCGTTGATATCGCGCAGTTCGCGCTCGGCAGAGACTGTGAAAAAGGTAGATAGCACCTCGTGGACTATACCCGAGAGCGAAATCATTTCCTGAAACAGTCGACGGCCGTTTTCGACCTCTGCGGAGCCGTCCTGGTCGGACTCGTCTGCGGCAGTCTCTGGGAAATCATCGGATGTGACGTTCTTCACGATCCAGTTGCGACGATCGATATGTGACGGCCGCGACTGCGTCAAAGCGTGCCATTTGTCTTGGAGCCACACAGCCCACGCGAGACGGCGCCGGAGTCCCCGCTCCCATTTGGGGATGCGCCACCGTTCGCAGTCAAGTCCAAGACCGAGCTCTTCTGCAAGGGAAACGACGTGTGAGCACAAAGGCCAGTCAGACGCGCTGTCTTGCCGACGCTGGAGGAGGAGCAAGCCAGCTTGCACAGTTGAGATCTTGGGCATCATGAGCACTTCGGAGAATGATTTGTGGGCGAGCTTTGCCAGTTTGTCAGCGTCAGGTTTGGGCAGCTGAGCCAGCTCTGGATCGTAAGACCACCAATTAAGCGCTAGACAGTAGACGGCGGCTAGAAGTGGAGGTGAGAGCTCGCGATGGGTGCGCGAGTACTTCTCCAAAAAGACTTTCTTGTGAAGAACCGGGAAAGACGGGTGCACAATGCGAAAGTAGAGATCGAGCAAGGCCTGGCCATGAGGAGCGACTATGCGCTCAACATCATCGACGGTTTTCATGATTTCAGCTTGGGTCTCCAGGTTGGATCGGTCGTACTCTAGTCTGAAAACCGCGTCCGGCGCGACTTTTCGCAGAAGAGTTCCGGAAGACAGTTCGGCTTCATCGCGGCGATCAAAGGGGATGTGGCCGAGAAATCCGTAGTCGAGCACGGATGATGAGCCAACATAGGTTGAGCCGCGAGTATTGAGGCCGAGAGTCTTTTTGAGGAGGGAGTGGCCGCGGAAAGTCGAGTAGTCATCTATCGGAAGAGTATCGCGGATCGCTGGTTGGTTTTCTGGAGCGGATCCAGGGAAAGACGGGGCGGTAGCTTGGTGCGATGACGAGGCGACGGCTGATGACCTCGCTGATGTGGTGGCTACCGAAGCCGACGCTGACGAAGCAGAGGGTGGAGAGTCATCAGTACTATGAATCAGTTAGAGGTGATGTCCAGTAAAAAAAGATGATAATCAGTGAAGCAGTACCGGCTGATCTTGTTGGGAACGGAAGAGGTGGAAGAGGAGTCCTGGATTGCATCTCGCTTGCGCCGCGGTTTGGGACCCTCGACAAAGGTACAGCTCTGTTTTCGAAAGCGACAAAGCACACACGAATCATCGTTGGGGGGTATGAAGCAGCGCGATTTGCGCTTCCGACAAGAGTCACATGGACGTGCTTTCTGCCCAGCGTGAAGAGAGAGGAGAGCTGCTGCTTGCTGCTGTTGTTGTTGTTGCTGTTGCTGCTGATGCTGCTGTGTCTGCGCAGGTGAGGTCTGAGTTTGGACAATCACGGGAGAAGGGTAGTAGCCGCTGATCTTTGAGCCCGGAAGCTGGAACTGTTGCTGCGGCTGCTGTTGCTGCTGCTGCTGATTCTGCTGCTGTTGTTGCTGCTGCTGCTGATGCTGATGCTGATGCTGCTGCGGAATCTGCATGTGCGAAACGGTGGGACCGATGCCGAGACCGGGAATCGGCTGCTGCTGCTGCTGTTGGGGCAGTTGCTGGCGCTGCTGCCGTATGTTGACGTTCTGCTGCGGCGGGCCGTCCCATACAGGTCCCCGAGGAATGGGAGGCATGGCTGCCTCAGAGGGTGGAGAAGAGAGCTGGAGGGAGGTGAGGTGCAGAAGACAGAGGACTTGAGGGCGATGAGGAGAGAATCAGGATCGGAGATGGCTACTTAGTGTGTGGTTAGGGCTGTCCGAAAGGGGAGCAGGCGCCCACCTTTGGGCTGATTCAAAGGCTTCGGCCCGAGCTGCTCGCCCGCCTCGCCTCTTTTTCTCTGCTCGGAAGCCTTTTCTTCTCTTCCGCTGGCCGGTTGATGCGATGCAGGAAAGGTGGCTGCTGTCAGTTGATTGTGAGTCCTTTCAGCCACCGCTATGTCCATCTTCAGTTATGAATATGCTTGACTGCAGCAGCGGGTTGGCTCTTGAAGCAAAGTTACGAAGCAATCTAGCAACCTACAAAGCAAGCGAACCTGCCAGGAAAAGCATTGGCCAGGGTCAATCGCATATCGACCGTCTTCCTGAACTATTCTGATCTCTGAAATTCAACTTTTCTGTGACGAACAAAGAATTCGACGCTGCATGGCGTTTGCTTTGGACTGCTTCCAGGCTGCAGCTGTTCCTACTACGATTTGCAGATTCCTGCTATCAAACACCTCTTCACTGACTCTGTTCTCTGTGTATCTTCCTCTTCTTGCACACGACCTGATACCCTTTCGGATCGAGCGGCAGACCATCGAAACCCGTCCCTCGCCGAGAGAAGAACCAAGCATCAGTTGCTAACACGCGCAAGTCGGTTCGGGTTGCGACGGCTGCAGAATAAGCTCAGTAAATTAAACCCTACCGCAACATGACAAAAACACCCGAGTCAGTGGTTTTATTGCATATCTGGGGATTTCTGTGTTCTCGTCACAGTAGGCCGCCGCAGGTATCGATAGTCTGTACCCTTCATATGCTTTTCAGACTTGTTTGCTGCTAAAGGCTTCGTTCAACGCACATCGACAACGAATTAGTCTTTTCGGGAGTCCCAACTGGGTCTTGAAACCTTAATATCGAATTTGTTGCCTGATCTTCGCCATTCGGCTGCTGTTAGCGCACCCTCTCTCTTAACCTTCTCTTCCGCTCTCGATTTCTCTGTTTATTCCGGTTTACAATTGTACACTATTATTGCAGCGCCCGTTGTAAATCTGCGGTGTATGTAACTTGTCCTTAGATATGTCAGGACGCCTCGTATGGCGCAACCATCTTCAGATGAGCGCCGACGCGTCGGACTACTTCACTCAAAAGTTCGTATGATCCTTGTTCATGATCCCGTGCAATATCCACCCCCGTCTCGTTCCACTAACTAACGACATTACCGATCAGGTTTATCCATGTATACTTGCCTTTGATAATCGTTCTCGTATCGCTATGTCTCGTTCTTCCCCTCTATATCTCCGAACGCAGACTCCACTCGCCCGGGCATGTGACACTGACCTCCAACGACGTCCTGCTGGTCAACAGGTCACACGCGCGCAGCCACGATGATCTCGATTCCGAATATGAAGAGCAGGAGCACAGAAAATCATATAATGCTTATGACTTGGCTGTGGACGATGACTGTCTTCATCGCAGTCGTCTACCACCTGGCACTATGGAGACTATTCCGATGCGCGACCGAGGACGCCGGGAAAGAGAGACCACCGAGCGCTGCTGCATGGCTATTCTGATTATTGCACATCTGGTTGGCACTTTTCTATCAAGCGATAGCTGGATTTCTGGGTCGTCAGTGATGTCGGTGGTGTACTGGGTAAGTCTTTGATGCCACGCTTCTATACATGTTCTACTTTTCTAACCAAGTATCCATAGTCCTACCTCCTGACGATTTCACTGCACCGAAACTCGACGCTTTCATATGAGTACTCTTTCCGCGTCGCAGCAAATCTCGCCTACTGCTATTTTCTGCGGTGGGTGATTGCTATGATCGACTTTCGGTCTATACTCATCTCAGAGACGTACTCGCCGCTGAGCACCATTTTAACAGTGATTGACCTCTTTATGTGCACTATCCTGTTGACCGTGGCGCTCTTGTCGCCACTAGGCACATTCCCTGCCTATGTCGAGGTCCATCGCGGACTGATGTTTAGCCCTCCGCGGTACGCCACGTTGATCTCGATCTTCACGTTCTCCTTCATCGAGCCGATGCTGAAGGCTGGATTTCGTAGGCCGTTGGCCATGAATGACGTATGGGACATGGCTAAAGATTGGCGTGCTTCGTATCTTAGTGATGAATTTCGTCCGTTGAGGAGGAAAATGACGTTTCTGCGAGCGCTGGTTTACTATCATCGCAGTCGGTTAATATGGAGCACTGTCCATGCGATCGTTCAGGCGCCGTTTGCTATTGTTCCAACAATTTTGGTTAAAAGGATACTAGAACATCTTGAGCAGCCAGAAAGTAGCCCAGCGCATGTTGCCCGATTATATGTGGTTCTGCTGTTTGCGACTGCAATCGTCGGGCCGTGTCTAAAGTCGCTAGCGATCCGAGGGTTCCGAAAAGTGAGCACAAAAACTCGATCGATAATGATCACCGAGATCTACGCCAAGGCTTTGAAGAGGAGAGGAGAAATGGCTCAGAGCGAGAGTAAGAAAGCCACAAGGCCGATGTTGACCAGATCGTCTTCTCTCGCTCGAGTTGTGAGGTTGGCTTCCCCGCGGCCTTCGGCTGACTCTCCCAGAATGAACATGGGAGCTATTATCAATCTGATGGCAATCGATGCCAACGAGGTTGCTCTTGCAATCTCTGACTTTACAGACCTCATCAATTGCGTCGTCAATATGCTTCTCTCAATCATGCTAGTCTTTCGCTTTCTGGGCCCGAGTGCGTTTGGATCGATTCTGATGATGGTTACTCTGGTGCCAGTGAATTACCTGCTTTCGAGATTGGTGTCGGCAAATCGTCAGAAGCTGATGAAGCTGGCGGACGAGCGGACGCAGAAGACGAATGAGGTTCTTCAGAGTTTTAAGATTATAAAGTACTTTGGTATGCCCCACTTTGTGTTTGTGTATGATTATGACGGTCTCTAACAATATTGTGCAGCGTGGGAGTCGGTGTTTCGGGATACGTTGATGGCGATACGTGCGCGCGAGATCAGTGGGCTGATTTATCATTTTATGCTATATACCGCTGGCTCGATTATTTGGTACGGTACCCCACTGCTACTAGCCGTGGTAACCTTCAGTGCATATACACTGATTGCGGGCCATGAGTTGAAAGCTTCAGTTGCATTCAGTTGTTTGTCGTTGATCAATATTGTGAGGAAGCCAATCGAGCGACTTGCGACTTCAATCACCGAAATCATGAGTGCGAAGGTTTCTCTGGACCGAATGCAGACGTTTTTGGAGGAAGAGCCGACGGGAAAGTATAGAGTGCTATCGGTGCCGCGTGGGCCTGAGTCACCTTATATCGGATTCGAGAACGCGTCGTTTACGTGGGGACCAAGAACCGATGTGGGCAAGTTTGCGCTGTGGGATCTGTCGATTGATTTCCCAGTGGGAAAGTTGACGGTTGTCATCGGGCCGACGGGATCGGGCAAGTCATCATTGTTGATGGCGCTTTTGGGAGAGATGACTTTGATCGAGGGGAATGTTTTCCTGCCGGGTCTTTCGACGACCTCTGGTATTCCTTCACCATTGGCTGGTTATACTGATACGGTAGCGTACTGCGCGCAGAGACCATGGCTGCTGAATGACTCGATTAGAAACAATATTGTTTTTGGGTCTGCGTTTGATGAAGCGCGGTATTTTCGAGTGATTACTGCGTGCTGCCTACTGCCAATATTCGACTCTTTAGAGCACGGCGATTTGACGATAGTCGGGGATAAAGGGATTACGTTATCAGGTGGCCAGAAGCAGAGAATCTCGCTAGCGCGTGCGGTGTACTCTTCGGCTAGGCATTTATTGTTGGACGGATGCTTGGGAGCTATTGACGCACACTCTGCGCGGACGATTTTTGAAAGCTGTTTGAGTGGACCGCTGATGTTTGGACGGACGTGTATTCTTGTGAGTCATAACTACACGCTGACGATTCCGAGTGCTAGTCTTGTTGTTGCGTTGCGCGAGGGACGGGTTAATTTTGTTGGGAGTCCAGCGGAGGCGCTTGAGCAGGGCGTGCTAGGGTCTGATCGGAATTTGGTGAAGAGTAGTAGTTTGTCTACGCGGAGCGCGACACCGATCGAGGAGGCAGTCGCTGTTGAGGACGAGGAGGAGGAGGAGGGACAGGCGGCGGCGGCGAGACACAATCGATTTGCGGTTCGAAGAGATTCGGAGACGTTGGTGCGAGCGGAGTCGCGAAAGGTGGGGAATGTTGGGCTACGGACGTACTTGACGTATTTTTCGTACGTGGGGTCAGGAAAGTACCTGATGCTTTTGTTGAGTGTGTTTGTGATGCAGCAGGTTGGAGATTTTGGACAGAATCTGTGGATTCGGCGGTGGTCACAGAGCGCCGAGATTGAGAGGGAGAAGGAGAGACATGATACGGGACACTATATCCGGATCTATGTGTTGATCTCGTCGGTGTATCTGTTGGTGTCCGGGGCTAGAGATGGGCTTGCATTTCATCGAAGTCTGAATGTGTCGCGACGGTTGTTTGCAGACATGCTGGGTTCGGTGATGTATGCGATTCCGAGCTTTTTCCACACGACGCCGATTGGGGTGATAATCAATAGGTTTAGCAAGGATATCGAGACTATTGACTCGATTCTGATGCCGACGTTGATTTCGATTACGCATTCAGTGATTTCGCTTTTGATTATTCTGTGCGTTATTACGGTGATTTTACCCCGATTTCTGTTTTTGCTGGGATTTATCTGTGCGGTGTTTTTTGTGATTAATCGGCATTTCGAGAGTACGTCTGTTGAGCTGCGACGGATGAGACTTGTGACGAGGAGTCCGTTGTACCAGCACTTTTCCGAGACGTTGTCGGGATTGGCTACGATTCGGGCGTACGGGCACGAGTCGCGGTTTATGCTTGAGCTGATGGAGAAGCTGGATGTGCATACGCGGCCGTATAATGCGATTTGGGGGTGCGACCGATGGATGAAGTTTCGGTGCGAGGTTGTGGGAGGGCTGATCACGGCTATTGCGGCGGGGTTTATTATCTGGAAGGGAGAGTTGATTGATGCGGGGTTGGCGGGACTGTGTTTGACGTATGCTGCTAATTTCACGGGAGAGATTAGCGATTTGATGGCGGTGAATGCGATGAATGAGACGAATATGAATTCGGTGGAGAGGGTTGAGGAGTTTCTTGAGATTGAGCAGGAGGCACCAGCGGTTGTTGAGTCGAGCCGGCCGCCGGCGGGATGGCCGTCAGCGGGAGCAGTTGTGGTGTCTAATCTGAGCTTGAGGTATGCCGCACATTTGCCGAGGGTTGTGGATGGGATTAGTTTTGAGGTGAAGGGTGGGTGGAAGGTTGGGATAGTTGGACGGACGGGAGCGGGGAAGAGTACGATTGCGTCTGCGTTTTTCCGGTTTCTGGAGGCGGAGGAGGGGAGGATTGTGATTGATGGGTTTGATGTGAGAGGGATTGGGTTGAGGGATTTGCGACAGGCGTTGAGTATTATTCCGCAGGGTATGTATTTATGATGATGAATCTGTGCTTCGAGTCTGTTGCAACAACTGGATTATGACAGACTACTAACATGGAGAAGATCCTATATTATTTTCAGGGACGATCCGAAGCAATCTCGATCCGAACGATCAATACAGTGATGAAGAGATTGAGAGAGTGTTGGAGAGGGTAAAGTTGATGAAGAGGAGTGATGAAGGGGAGTTGGAAGGGCGGATTGCAGGGCTGAATACGGTTGTGAGTGAGAGTGGGAGCAACTTGTCGCAGGGTCAGAGACAGCTGGTGTGTCTTGCGCGGTCGCTGCTGAAGAAGACGAAGGTTATGTTTTTGGACGAGGCGACGGCGGCGATAGACTATGCGACGGACGAGATCCTGCAGCGGACGATCCGGCGGGAGTTCAGGCAGACGACGATATTTACGATCGCGCACCGGCTGCGGAGCGTGATTGACTACGACCGGATCCTTGTGCTGGAGACGGGGCGGGTGGTTGAGTACGGCTCGCCGGTGGAGCTGATTGAGAGCAGAGGCGGTGTGTTTCGGCGGATGTGCGAGAGCAGCGGGGCGATGGAGCTGCTGGAGGAGATGGCGAGGGGGGGGTTACGTAATGGATTAGGTCAGAAAATAGAGTTTAGGGTTTATTTAAGCTTAATCGGTCGAGTGAGACAATTAAGTTTGCATAAATTGGTTATTGTTCAGTAACCACAATAGAGAGGAGAGTAGTAGTTGTTGTAGACTGCTGTTTATATAAGTGTGTTGATGTGTTGATGTAATAACAACAATCAAAGCAATACAGAAGAGCAGAACAAAGTACCAAAATAGCATTTTATTGTCTTATAGGAGTTAGTCTGCGCTATTTTGCTTCCTTGTTTGCCGGGACCCTGTCGCCGAAGACAATCAGCACCAACAATGGCCCTTTTTTCCATTATTGGATTCTAACTGATAGTCACTCGCTTTTCTCATTCTTATTCTCTGTATTCTATAACAATCGCTGAACTAATTCCCTCCTCTCTCCCTCCCAAATCCCACCCAGATCTGGCTTCAATCTCGGCCTCGCCAACGCCGCGTCCAAGCGAAATCTTACGTCGGCCCGGAGTTCGCGGCTACGTCCGGATATTAGTCCTGGGGTCGGATGCACCTCTCCGTAACACTCTATTATCTAAATACCAATCGTACTCTCAGTACCATAACAGCCCAGATTTTGTTTTTTCACCTCGGTCTCCGCACTCCGGCCTTCGACCACAGCCTGGCTCCCTCCTCCTCCTCCTCCTCCTCCTCCTCCTCTTCTTCTTCTTCTTCTTCCTATCTTCTTGCACTCTCCTCCTCACACTCCTCCTCCCTCCTCCTACCCTCCTCCTCCTGGGCAGAATGGCTGAACCCCCCTCCCTCCCGCTCTCGCCCTCGTCACCCTCATCGCCCACTCCAGCCCTCGATGCTGTTCTACCCGCTGACCTCCGGCTCGAGCTCGACTCCCTCGACTCCTACTCTTTCGACTACTCCACCGCCCGCTTCACCTCCTATGACTGCTGGCACATCCGCGGTATCCACTCCGCCGTCACCGACATCCCCATCATGGCCCGCGTCTCGCCCTCCCAGCGCTCGCTCAGACTCGAGCAGGAATACACCGTCGTCCGCCATCTGCAGCGCGTCGACCCTTCCTTCACCCACTTCATTCGCGCTTTCGAGTTCTTCCACCTCCGCAAAACTGGCGCCGTCGTCTCCATATTCGAATACCTCGGCGAGAACGCGCTCGTCGACTTCTCCACCGCCATGACTTCCACAGACTACGTCGCCGACGACAACCACGAGCTCTCCTCCTCGCTCGCTGCCGCCGCGGCACCAAAGCTTGTTATCACCCTCCCGCAGTTCCTTGACTTTGCCATCGCGGCCGCAGAGTGTCTCGAGGTCCTGCACTCCGCGCACGGCATGATCCACGGCGAAATCAGAGACGACGCATTCCTCTACAATCCCGAGTCCCATGTCGTCAAAATCATCCACCTCGGCTCCAGCACCCATGGTGCTCAGTCCAGGGCGTCCTTCTCCTCTGACTCTATCCACGACATCTTTGTCAACGCTACCCTCAGCTCCAAATACGTCTACATGTCCCCCGAGCAGACCGGTCGTGCTTCAACTACCATCGACCACCGCACCGATATCTACTCCCTCGGCATCGTCTTCTACTCGCTCCTCACCAGCAGACTGCCCTACTACGGCTCCGCAATGGACATCGTCCACCAGATCCTGCACTCCCCCGTTCCCTCCATCGAGTCCATCCGGCCCGACATCCCCACTGTCATCAACTCCATCATCCAGAAAATGACCTCAAAGCAAGCCAGCAACCGGTACCGCTCTGCCGGCGGCCTGCGCTGCGATCTCCAGAGAGTGCAGGAAATGGTCCGGAGTTTTAACGATTCAGAGCTCCTGGGCGAGGAATTCGAGCTCGGCAAGAACGATATCTCGGCCGTCTTCTCCCTGCCGCTCGATATGATTGGCAGAACGGCCGAGCTCGAGACCGTCATGACTGTCATCCGCAAGTTTGCCAAGCGCAGGTCGTCCACGCATCATCCCGGTGACTCTAACTCTCTCTCGGGAACCCGAAATCGTGCCTCGTCAAGTAGTAACCTCGGGTACTCTGAAACTACTCTCAGCATCTCTGGCACCGATCTCAGCGACGCAGAGTCTTCCTCCACAAGCGTTTCTTCCTCCAGACGGAGTAATCCGTCAATGTCCACCTCCGGCTCCACCCGCAAGCAGAACCGTCACGGGACCGAGGTCGTTGCTATTCGCGGCTACGCCGGCATAGGCAAGACAATGCTGGTCACTGCTCTGCAGTCTGGCGCTCGAAAGTATGGACTCTACGCTCGAAGCACGGCAAAGCCAAAGCTGAGATCACCATTCGGGCCCCTCGTCTCGCTTCTGTCGAATCTACTGCAGCAAGTTCTGAGCGAGAAACCCGACGTCGTGCATTCGTTCCACAACGTGCTGCGGACAAAACTGGGTACGCAATGGCACAAGATGCGGCGCATGTCCTCCGCCATCCCGGAACTCAAGCTGCTCATGGAGATCGAGCGCAGACAAAAGGCCGGCTTGAACCCGTCGCAGGAGCTCCTGCAGATTGCCGAAGAGGAACCGAAATCTGCGTCGCCTCAATGGCCGGGTGAGCCACATGCGAGTTCTAGCCTGCAGCAGGGATTCGGGTCTGAATCTGTAGGGACGCATTCTGATGATGCGACGTCGAACGCGGGGAGTAGTACCCGGCACGCCTCTGTCAATTCGTCCATGATGAGCATCGGCGCCAGCTCTACAACCGCCTTCCAGCACCCTGGGGAGAAATCTGGCGGTCTTCCAGACTGGCTTTTGAAGAATGCCGCCGGGAGCAACATGCTCGTCGCCTCATTCGTGCTGCAGCTGTTTCGAATCCTGGCCGATACTTTCAATCTCACTATCGTCATTGGCGATCTCCACTCCGCCGATGATGAGACGGTCGAGGTGCTGCAGGCAATGATCCAGTCGCGTATCGACATGGTCCTCATCATCACCTTCCGCGACGGCTCCAAGTTGCCTCGTCCCATGCAGGAGTTTATCGACAGCGACTACTCACGCCTCACCAAAGTGATGATCAAGCCGCTTAACCGGCAGGGCGTCGAGCAGTACATCGCGCAGACAATGCATTGCGAGCCATCAGCTATCACAGAGCTCACGGGGTTTATCTACGAAAACTCAAAGGGAAATCCGCTCGTGCTCTCAGAGTCTCTCAAGGCACTTCACAAGAGCGGCGCGATCCGCTTCAGCACTCGTCGAAGAAGATGGGTCTACGAAAGTATGGACCTGGTCCGGTCCGCCTACGTTGACTTCCTCGCCACGACCGAGCTCGATCCGTCATTCGTTCTGCGCCGGTTCCGCGACTTTCCAAAACGCACTCGCAACTTTATGATCTGGGCCTCTCTACTCGGCAGCCCGTTCTCCTACCGCCTCGTGCAGACACTCATGCAAATGCCAGACGGCCTGTCTTCCAGTGACTCAGGCGACTCTGCCGCTGCTGCCAATAGCGGCGTCACTTTGGTCGAGTCTGATAATAAGGCAATGTCTAGCTTGCAGACTTTGATCCAGGCGGGGATTATCGTACCTTCGGAGGAGTCTGAGGATAGTTTCAAGTTTTCGCATGCTCGGTATGCGCAGGCGGCTCAGGAACTTGTTCGCACTGAGAATTTGGCATCGATGAATTTATTGCTTGCCGACAAGTTGATGAAGGGTGAGTTTAAATTTCACTTTTCTTTTCTACACTTTGCTTCTACGACATATACTAACTTTGCACAGATGAAAATCACTCGGCGTTCTTCGTAGCTGAACATCTGCTAAACGCTCTTCCACTCATCCGGGACAGACCCTACCGGAGACCCTATCGTCAAGAATTCATCAAAGCAGCAAAGGAGGCTGATGAAATGGGTTCGCTGGTACGAGCGCAGGAGTTGTTTAGCGCGGCGATCCAGCTGCTGCACCCCGACTGCTGGAACGAAGACGAGGCAGACGTCGATTACAACGAGACCTTTGATGCGTACTATGGCCTCGCTCAGGCGTATTTCTACGGAGGAAAGCCAGAGGAGACGTATAAGCTGGTGAAAATGCTTACAGCCAACATCAAAACGCGGCAAGACCGGGCGCGGTGCGATCGAATGGTTTTGAGGGTGAATTACCTGCGTGGAGAGTACGAAGCGACCAGTTCGATGGTCGTGCCGTCGATGCTCTTCCTAGGCGTGACGACGGAGAAGGAGTTTGCGGGTATGGCGCGCACGGAGAGGTTTTGGGAGTTTTATAAGCGGATCGAGAATAGCACGGACGAAGAGCTGCTGCATCCGAAACGGACAGAGGATCCGATCGTGGTTGCCGCCGAGGATTTCCTGGGTGCGGCGATCATGGTGATTTACATGGGCTCGCCGGATTTCTTTTATCAGACCGCGATGCTGATTATGCATCTCGAACTGAACGTCGGCTCGGATGATAACCTCTGCCGAGCGTATATTTTCCTTGCGATGGTTGCGATTATGAAATTCCAGATGTTTCACTTTGCGCAAAAGCTGCGCAGGATCGCACATATCTTGATGCCCCAGGTCGCGGACTCGTCGATCGTCTGCCGAGCAATGTACTACGACGTCGCGTATCTCGACCACATCTTCAATCACTACCAGAACGGGTACTCGATGCTCTCGCCAATCTTCCAGCACGCGGTCGCGGCAGGTGACCGGATCCTTGTGTTGCAGCTGCAGGCCACCGAGCTTAAGTTTATGTTTTATGCGTTCAAGGACTTGCGCACGGTCGCGAATCGCGCAAAGAAAGTGCTGGCGGAAACGGACCCGGCTTATAACATGTCTGACGCAATCATCTGCATCCGCGCGATCTATCAGACAATCATGGCGTTGACTAATAAAGTCGGCTCGAGCGACCCCAAGGCGATTCTGTCGACTGATGATTTCGATGCGGTCGCGTACCAGGAGCAATTGCTCGAGCGTCCGATTACTTCTGCTACAGTTGTCCATCTGTGCTTCTACATCATCACGCTCTTTCTCTACGGCCACTTTGAAGAAATCCAAACCGTCGCCGCAAAGTTCCTGCTAGCCGGCGAGAATTGGCAGACTTTCCACTGCACCCGAGAATCGCACTACGCGTGGTTCTTTATGTGTCTGGCGATGGTCAAGCTGCTGCAGACAGACTCGGTCTCGGCCGATCGGCGCGAGTATCTGCTGGCTAGGATTAAGGACGTGCAGGCGCGCATGGAAGAGTGGGCTGTTATCTCGGATGTGAATCATTCTAGTTGGCGCAAGACTATTCAGATGGCCGTATGTTTTTCCTTGACTGCTGTTCTATGATGCAATAAGTATACTAACAACATCTCTAGCTCGCTGACTTACGAGGTGACGTTGAAGAAGTAATGGTTCTCTACGAAGAGATTGTGCCGCACTGCGTCGCTCACGAGACGGCGATCGAGCTCGCGGTCGCGCACTTGGTCGCCGGCTCGATCTCCATCAAACGCAAGATGAAGATCGTGGGCGGCTCAATCATGCGCGAAGGCATCACGATTCTCGAAAACTGCGGCGCGGTCGGCGTCGTCCAGCGGTTCACGTCGCTGTATCCGGAGATGTATAGCTCTCCCCGGACGATGGCGATGAAGAGTACCGGCGTGCAGACTACCGCGCTTGACGGCGGGTATCTCGAAAAAAGCCCGATCGACGCTGTTGAGAACGAGATGGCGGTCGCGGAGGTGGGAGAGGTGCGGCGCGTGAGTCGCAGTCATACCTTCCCTCTTCCGGCGAACGTGCCGCTTGAAGACGACGAGCGCGCAGATCTGCACGATTGGCAAGCTAGAACAGACCGAGACGTTGAGCGGGATCAGTCTAGCATGACGCTGGATATCCTGGATCTGACCTCGATTATCAAGAGCGGACTGGTTATCTCGAGCGAGATCAATATCGACACGCTGCTGAGCAAGATGATTGAGATCTTCATCAGCACGACGCGCGCTGAGATCGCGGCCGTGATCACGAACGAGGACGCAAAGATCCGGATTGCGGCGATGGGCACGGTGACCAAGATTGAGTCGTTCACAGCGCCGGAGAAGTCGCTCGAGAGCTTCGAGAAGATGGTGTTTGTCCCGCCGATCTCGTTTGTGTTTAATACGAACGAGCCTGTGATTCTCGGAAACGCGATCGAAGACGACAGGTTCGCTGGCTCGCGAACGTCGTGGAGCGACGCGCATCCCGAGGGAAGGAGTATTCTCGTCTACCCCATCCGTCACAAGAACCTGATCGTCGGCGTGCTCTACCTCGAGGCCGCGCCGCATTCGTTCAACACGCGTCATCTGGAGGTGATCTCTCTGCTGTCGCAGCAGATGGGCATTTCGATCACCAACGCGCGGCTGTTTAAGAATATCCGCAAGGCAACGATGGCGAACGCGATGATGATCGAGTCGCAGAACGCGGCGCTCAAGGCCGCGCGCGAGTCCGAGGCGCGGTTCGTGGCCACGCTCGAGACTATTCCTTGTATCATCTGGATCGCTGATGTGCCCGACAACAGCGGCGAGGGAGGCAGCGAGGTGCCGCCGCTCGAGTACCTGAATTACTTTTGGTACAAGCTGTGCGGGAAGGACGCGCCGGGGCCGGCGAATAACGCGTACTTGCAGCAGATCCATGAGGATGACCGCGGCGTGTTTACGAGCGCGTTGCGGAACGCTGCGGGTGGCGCGTATGAGACTATCGAGATCCGGATCCGGAATGAGAAGGGCGAGTATCGCTGGCACGTGTGCCGCGGTACACCTTTGAAGGACGAGGACGGCACAATCACAAAGTGGATTGGCGCGATGGTCGATATCGACGACCAGCGACGGGCGCAGGACGACGCGCTGAAGGCGATGCGGTTGAAGGAGGAGGCGTCGCGGATGAAGTCCGAGTTCCTGGCCAATATGTCTCACGAGATCCGGACGCCGATCGCGGGAGTTATCGGCATGAGCGATTTGTTGCTGAGTACGGAGCTGTTGACGCACCAGCGGGAGTTTGCGGATAACATTCGGCTGTGTGCGGACGCGCTGTTGTCGGTGATCACGGACGTGCTCGATTTCAGCAAGATCGAAGTCGGCAAGCTGGAGCTGAGCATGGAGGCGTTTGATGTCGAGACGGTGCTGAAGGAAACGCTCAGTATTCTGTCGTTTCCCGCGGCGAAGAAAGGGCTGCGGCTGGTGGACGAGATTCGATTCTCAAAGACGCCGATGCCGCTTGTTATAGGCGACGCGGGAAGGTTCCGGCAGATTGCGATGAACCTTTTGACGAACGCGGTCAAGTTTTCGCGGCAGGGTCAGATCACGCTTATGGCGCGGGACGGAGTGGAGACGACCGAGACGATTGAAGTCAACGTACGGATTTCAGACACCGGAATCGGCATCTCGAAACCGGTGTTGTCGAAGCTGTTTGTGCCGTTCCAGCAGGGCGATAATTCGACTGCGCGCCAGTTTGGCGGGACCGGGCTCGGGCTGTCGATCAGCAAGAACTTGGTCGAGCTGATGAACGGTACTATCAGGCTTGAGTCTGAGTACGGCAAGGGTACTGTCGCGTCCTTCACCGTGCCGTTCCGGAAGGCGCCGCCAGAGGCGATTGCGGCTGCGGAGGCTGCTGTCGGCGAAGGTGGTGGACGGAGTAGGCAGTGCAGCGAGGGTGGCAGGAAGAGCGGTGATGTGGTGTCGTGGGAGTCCGGCGGATTCGCGCACTGCGCAGAGATGCCGCCCACGCCCGGCTCTTCGGGCCCTATTACTCCGCCTAGCGAGTATCCGTTATCATCCACAACAGCAGGTGTTGACTATCAAAGGCCGCGGGGAAGCGTGAGTTCGATTGCGACGAGCACGTATTCTTCGTCGCCGACGCTGGTGTCGCCGTTGTTGATTTCGAGGGCGTCGAATACAAGCGCTATAAGTGATGCGGAGTCGATTAGTAGTAATGCGACGGCTGCGGTTGATAATGGTGCTGCGTGGATTTTAGTCGTTGAAGATAATCTGGTGAGTTCTGTTGTCTTTTGAAGAGTTGTCTAGACGGGCGGTGCTAATGTGAATGTTATAGATCAACCAGCAGATTGCGCTGAATATTTTGAAGAGGTTGAAATTCAATGTTGAAGCGGTCGGGAATGGACAGGAAGCGTTGATTGCGCTTGATCGACGGGTTGCGAATGGGCAGTACTTTGAGTTGATTTTGATGGATTGTCAGATGCCATTAATGGACGGCTACGGTATGTTTCCGTCTCTCTATTTCTTGATTCGATCTGAAGAACTGGACTAACAAAGTAATATAGAAGCGACACGCCGCATAAGAAAGCACGGCAACGAGCGGATTGCGCGGTTGCCGGTGATTGCGATGACTGCAAACGCGGTGACGGGCGATCGAGAAAAGTGCTTGGAAGCCGGGATGTCCGATTATCTTGCAAAGCCGGTGAAGAGGAAGGTGTTGGAGGAGGTTATTGCGCGGTGGATCGGGCGGGATGAGTGATGGTGATGATGTTTAGTGTGTACTATATAGAGGGTTTCTGTTCAGTGGTATTTATGCGAGTAAAATCTAATGCTTTTATCATGGTAATAAGAGAAGTAGGAGGAGTAGTTGTCTGTTGAGGATAAAGGGAATATTTTGGATTTGCCGAGCGCGAACCGAGGCGCGGCGGCGTTGGGAGAAATAAAATGAAATGCGGGTGATATCATTACTCTTATTGTTTACTCTTTCTTTCTTTATTACTTTATTGTATAGAAAAGAGATAGAGAAAGAGAGATGCCTACTCCGACTACGGATTTCATTGTACGTTTTAGACTATTTGTTGATCACGGTGAAAGGACTGACGAGTAAATCAGGCAGGCTACGTCTCTGGCGCGGTGAGTATCGCGGTCGGAAACCCGCTCGACATCATCAAGGTCAAACTGCAGAATGCGTCGTCTTCGTCCGCTGCGGTGACGCTCGGAGAGGCAGATGAGTTGCGTGCAGTGGTGCAGCGGACGACAGCAACAGCAACAGCAACAGCAGCGGCAGAGACAGCCACAGCACCAGCAAAAGACCTCCGCTACCTCCGCTCCCTTCTGCACGGCGTTGCAGCCCCGATAATAGGCTACGGCGCCCTCAACGCGCTCCTGTTTGCATCGTACTCAATCACGATGCGCGCGCTGACGAGTCCTTCGTCGCCTGCGCGCGAGTTTCCCGAGATTGTGAATGTGTTTGGCGCCGGGACTGTTGCGGGGTTGAGCACGTTCGTGATCTCCGCGCCGATCGAGAACGTAAAGTGTCGGGCGCAGGCGACGCATAGCGGTGCGCTGGGCGGGAGTGCGGCGGGAGCGGGAGCAGGGGAGGTGGGGAAGAGTAGTTGGAAGGTTGCGAAGGAGGTGTACAAGTTTGAGGGATTCCGGGGATTTTTCAAAGGTGGTTTGGTCACTGGGTTCAGGGACGGATTTGGATATGGCGTATAGTGAGTACTGTTGCTCTATGTGATGAGTTATGATGAATTTCTGACGGAGATGTAGCTTTTGGGCGTATAATGCAGCAAAGGGCGCGAAGCTCGTTGAAGAGGAGTCCGGATGGCAGCATGTCGTGCACTTGCTGCTTGCTGGCGGCATAGCCGGCTGCGCGACCTGGGCCTCCATCTTTCCATTAGGCAAGTCTCTTTTTTCATAGTCTACGAGCTCTACTAACATCACACAGATGTAATCAAAACCCGCTACCAAACCCAACCGGTTTCACCGACAGGCCAGCCGCTGAAATACAGCAGCACATGGGATTGCGCAAAGAAGTCGTTTGCGGAAGGCGGCGTGCGGGTGTTTTTCAGCGGGCTGAAGGTGTGTCTTGTGCGGGCGTTTTTGGTGAATGCGATACAGTTTGGGACGTATGAGTGGATGGTGAAGGTTATTGATGGTAGATAGGAATATGATACAGTATGATACATTTTATGTAGATGAACTAGGCTCGGGTGGGGTGGCAGGTTCTGTGAGTTCTGTAGGCTCGGAGGGTTGTGTAGGCTCTGTGGGTTCCGCGGATTCTGTAGTGTCGGTGATGACTTCTTGTTGTGTGTTCTCAGTTGGTGATTCAGTTGGTGGTGGAGGAGGAGGAATAGAAGGAGGAGATGATGATGATGATTCGAGAGCCGGGGTGGATGTACTTTCTTTTGCTGGCGGCGGCGGCGACATAGGCGGCGGAGGTGGTGTAGGCTCCTTCTTCACAGGCGGATTCATAGAATCTGTTCGGGGCGGTAGTGACGAGACAAACTGCTCCGCCAACCGCTTCTTCTCGACCAATTTCTGCTGCATGCGTTCTTCATGCCGTCGCTCGACTTCGATGGTGAGGCTGGTGAGATAACTCTTGACGCCGACGGAGAAGCATACCTGGGACGGCGTCCAGCCCAGATGGTTCGGCGTGCGGTAATCCGCGCCTCGGTCCACCAACGTACGAATAACCTTGCGATGCCCGTACTCGACCGCAAAGTGAATCGGTCGGTTGCCGAGCAAATCCGACAGATTGATATCCGCGCCAAAGTCGAGCAAGATGTTGACGGACGCGTCGTGGCCGTGCTCGCAGGCGAGGATGAGCGGCGTGTAGCCTTCGGGAGAGGCGGTCGCGCGGTCGATCGTGCGCGGGAATTTCTGGGCGAGGAAGTGGATCGTTTGCTCGTGGTTCTTGAGAGCCGAGAGGTGGAGTGGGGTGTAGCCTGCCGAGTCGAGAGAGATTTCGTCGGCGTCGTGACCGAGTTGCGTCAGGAAGAGCTGCGAGTGTTAATGCTACTGAACAACAACTAGCAAGAAATAGTAGAAGTACTCACGCAGATCTCGAAATGACCGTAGTACGCGGCATAGTGCAAACTTGTCCAGGATTTGTGGTCAAAGTCGGTATTTGTGAGCAGCGAGGGGAACCGTCTGAGCAAGCGCTGCACGATCGCGAGGTCGTTGTTGATTATCGCGCGCCGGAGTCTGACCGACGGCGTCTGCATTTTTACGTCTGCTGTTCTATCAGTGCATTCTTGTCTGTGACCCCTGTTGACGCTGCTGGTGGAGAGAAGGAGGAGATGGAGGAGGGATCAGTGCGAGTTTGAGGAGGGAATGAGGTTGGTTGATTAAGGTTTAAAGACGTATTATTAATGCATTATGTAATAAATGTAACCGCAACACCAGGACATGATAACATGAGAAGTAAGACCCAAAGAGATAAAGATAAAAGAGCTTAGGCAGCTGGAGAGTTGACTCTAGTGAGTGCGATTCTAGAGGCTGTTAGTGACGGAAGTAGAGGAGGAAGAGGAGAAGGAGAACTCACTTTTGAACCACGTAAGGCCATCCCATGAATGCGGTAAGAGCCGAGGACCAGATCAAGAGGACCTTTGCCCGCTGAAGAACAAATGAGCTCTTGGGGTCGGAGATGAAGAGAGGCTTTCTGAACGAGATTGTCTTGGGGGAGGTCTGGGCAAGTCTGGGAGCCGTGTGCTGGAGGTTGATGGCAGCGTTGCGGAGGGCGGGAGAGAAGCGCATGATTGATAGTTGATAGTTGAGTAGAGCTGATAGAGTAGCTGATAGAGTAGCTGATAGAGTAGCTGAGTAGAGTAGACTGTAGTGATGATGATGAAAAGAAGGAGTAGGAGTAGGAACTGGGAAGGGAATATATAGAAGAAGAAACCTGGGATATCGCATGATGGGAATCAGGAGACATACCGGCAATGACGTCGAGATCATGCAACGATCACCAGCTTTGGTCCGCAAGTTTGCAGCATCTGATTTCTTTCCAGTTCGTCGGGTTATTATTCTGTTTTTGCGTTGTGTTGTTTTTTATTATTCGTGTGTTATTATTTGTGTGTTTATTGCTCGGGTGGTTACAGCACCCTTTTGACAGCGTAGAGATAGCTGTCGATACGGAGCAGAACGACAGACTTGACAGATACCACAAATACCACAGACAATAGACATATGCTAGACAAATACTAGACAGATATTCGACAGAAGACAGATATCAACTACTCACACTCAGGTACACTACATAGATACACACAACATCAGTAGTTCTTCGCAGCAACCAAACAGCCCCCTCGGCCGTCTGCGACCTGCACACCATAAACATATTCAATATCTCGTGATAATACCAACTACTCATCCTGATTAATATCACCACAGCCGAATAAACATCAACAGACCACAGACCGAACAGCAGTTCGAAATCACTCGATTCCGGTTAAAAACTGAAAATCTTGCAAAGGTCAGGCAACCTCGACAACGTGATTTCGGCTGTGACGTCATCCCCTCTGCCCTGTTCCTACCTACTCACTACTTGTATTGTACTGTATACAGTTACTATATGTATGTTGTATGTATTGAAACATGTATAAGATATATCTGTAAAAACCAACACGAAACGCCAGTCATAAAATTGTTACCATCCCTGCTCCACCTGATAAATAAAAACAAAAAACAATCAAAGCAATCAAAAACAAAACAAAACTACTCCAGTCGGGCCGCATGCTCAATCAACTCCGCTGCTGCGCTCAAAAACTCCTTCTCCTCAAATGCCTCCTCAATCTCATCCATCACGTTCTTCATCTCCTCCATCACCTCCAGCGCAAATCGCAGTCCTTCCACTTCCTCCGCTGCTTCCTCGACCACTTCCGCCACATCGTACTCAAACCACTCCTGCTTCCCGTTCTCGATCTCAACGAGGCCCGCGCAATCCTCACCCTCACTCAGCATCATAGCGCCATCGTCCACCTCACTAACAATAGCTCCATATCTCCGCAACCCGACACTTCCCTTTGCAGGAATCTTGCTGATCGTGAACCCTCCGACAGGCGTATCGAGCCCAACGTCAATAGTACCATCAACCTCAACATTCACCTCGCCCTGGAAAAACATCTTTTGCAAAATCACCTTAAACACCGTCTGATCTGTAATATCAATCGGCACATCCGTAATCTCCGCAACAACCTGGATGTATCCCTCTGAGGTATAAAACGACGTCGCCGGTGTCCAGTCCTCAATCTCAAGAACGCCAAACTTGTCGCCTTCGTACGCCATATCTGAAATTCCCCGCAGCTGCGTGATTGCAATCGAGAAATCAAGCTCCTTTGGCAAATCAATCACCGCATTCACAAGCGCGCTGATCCGCGGCAACGCATCATTGCCACTTCCTGGCATGCCCCGCTGCGGAACCGAAATCTTCACTCGCGACAACCCAAACGATTTCAGAATACTGTCCGTGCCGTTCTCACCACCACCTGTCTTGCGGCCCGGAACCGGCACTGGGATCGACACCACTGACAACAAGTCTGACACCCAGGCTGGCAAATCAACAATCTTCTGCGCGGGTTTACCCCGAACATAAATCTTAATCTGCTCGCCTGACAGATACTTTCTCAAGTAGCTATCCATCGCCGACATTGCGGGTTCAGATCCAGGGCACGTCTCAGTAAACGGGCGAGGAAGCTCGCTCACCGTCGACAACACCTTCAAGTTCACGTCTCCGTGAGGGGTCACAAGCAACTCGTCCGAATGAGCAATCGCAAGCGGAACAATCTGTCGCTGATGGCACGCCGGCGCTTCAACAATCCACTCTAGCGCAGGCAGATTCACATTGATCGGATACGGGTTCTTGGCCGTCGCCGCCACAAGCACATTAATACCCTGATGACCTGCTGCCTCACTGAATTTGAATTCAGACACAGAGAATGGAATAGATCCAGTACCGGATGCTTTACACCATTGTTAGTCCCATAGTTAAAACAAAAGCAGTAGGAAATAAAAACACATACACTGAAGATGAACGTCGTGGGCAACGTGATGAGTTCCAAGTGGCAAGATTCCAGATCTCAGAGGCAAATCAACATCACCCCTAAAAACCGCTCCATTCAACTCTCCATGCAAATACTCCTCAACCAACTTTGCGATGTCGGAGATAGCCGCCACATCCTTGACGGTGCTGATGAAATCAATGGGCGTAGTGTGACCGTCGCGGATGTCAACAACAATGTTTGGCACGGACGCCTGTCCGATCGTGATCGGATGACCAGACTCATCCACATGCGAGATATCCATAGTCGTCTCCTTTGTCTCAGCCTTGCGCATAATCAGCGTCGCGATCCGACCGACCGCGCGGGTGGTGCGGTCCTGCACCCTGGACGAGTTGAATGAGATCTCGCCGACGACGTGTGTGTGGATGCCGTTCGAAGACATCTGCACGATCGAGACAGAGGTGAGGTTGAGGTTGATGCTCTGCTTTGCGTACATAGCCGGCGCAGAGGTCTTTACGAGATGCGAGGCGACGAGGGAGAGCGAGAGACAGGCCGCGACGAGGGTTGAGATAACGATCGGCCACTTGAACAGTCTGAGCGCGCGACCGACCGCGTACGAGTTGACGCGAGGCTGGCGTCTGGTGTTCTCAAACAGACCATCGCCGTAGTCTTCTTCGTTGTCTTCGTCATAATATCCAGGCGAGTAGGGCGTGTGGACGAGCAGCGCGGCCGTGGCGGAAGATGACTTGTGGTTCGCATACGGCGGCGGCGGGATTTCGATCGAGAGGTCCGGTTTGCGGACTGTGCCCTGCGGAGTGAGGTCGTCAAGACCGATTTTCGACATTTTGTGCTGTTTCTTCTGCAGATTCTGTCTTTTGCTGTAGAATACAAGAAGTGAGCAGTGCGGTGATGAGCTGTGTTGAGGAGGTGTGAAGAGAATCTTCTCCGCTGCGCATCACGTGGGTCCAGACTCGTCACGTGGATCAGAGAAGGTCACGTGCGGATAACACACGTGATATGACTCAAAGTAAAATCTTTTTTATTTTTATTTGATTTTATTTCTGATATTTTCCATCTTCACCTCCTCCTCGCGCTGATCCGCCTTCTTCTTCATGACAATCGCCGTCGACGCTGATAAAACACATTCGCAGACGGAAGACAGCATGCAGGCACTCAAATCCTCTCTCCGCAACCTCACCTCGACCGCCCATGTGCGGTTCTCGTCCACCGCTGCTTCGGCGCCGGTTTCCCCGCGACATCTGCTCTCGATAGGAGACCTGTCCTCCGCGGAGCTCAAGTACCTCATTGACAAGGCTGACAGCTACCGGAGTCTTATCAAGGCCGAGTCCTTCACAACCGCCGCCGATTCCCAGCCGCTGACCGGACACACCATCGCCATGATCTTCTCGAAGCGGTCAACGCGGACGCGGGTTTCCTCAGAGGCTGCGATCAATTACCTCGGCGGACACCCGATGTTCCTCGGAAAGGACGACATCCAGCTCGGAGTCAACGAGACTCTCTACGACAGCGGCCGCGTCATCTCGAGCATGACCTCCTGCCTTGTTGCCCGCGTGGGGCCTCATTCCGATATCGCCGGCCTCGCCGCTGCCTCATCCGTGCCCGTCATCAACGCGCTCTGCGACACATACCACCCCTTGCAGGCCATTGCCGACCTTTTGACAATCAAGGTCGCCTTTGGCAAGACGAACGGCCTCCGACTTGCCTGGGTCGGCGACGCCAACAACGTGCTCAACGACCTCGCGCTCGCGTGCGCAAAGAGCGGCATCAGCGTCTCGGTCGCGACCCCGAAAGAGTACCCCGTCAACGAGCAAGTGTTTTCAAAAGTGGCCGAGGCCGCCGCCGAGTCTGGCGCCGAGCTGAAGGTCTGCCACGAGCCCACGCAGGCTGTCGCTGCCGCAGACGTCATCGTCACCGACACCTGGGTCTCGATGGGCCAGGAGGCCGAGAAGCAGCTCAGACTGAAGCAGTTTGCGGGATTTCAGGTCACTGCCGAGCTCGGAAAGGCCGCAAAGCCAGACTGGAAGTTTATGCACTGTCTCCCGCGCAAGCCTGAGGAGGTCTCGGACGAGATCTTCTACAGCGACAAGTCGCTTGTCTTTGACGAGGCCGAGAACCGACTCTACGCGATGCTTGCTGCGCTCGAGGGGTTTGTCGTCAAGAGGGGCAAGTTTTCGGAGGAGTAACTGTATCTGTATATGTACATCTAATAGACATCTCTAACATGTTGGTAATATATTAGTAATCACACTTATATAATTCATGACTAAACCCAACCGCCAGCTGCATCCTCTTCCTCAACCTGATCCCTTCCTCCTCCGCTCAAACCCCACCAAACAAGCAGTCTGCTCTCTACCCTCCTCTTCTCCCTCTCTCCTCCTCTCTCTCATCCTCTCGTCTGCTCCGCGCAAAAGCCCGCGCAGTTACGTAATAAATACCTCGCCTCCAGGGCTAGGGTCCCGGCCACACTTCCCCGACTCGTCCCACACCGTCGTCGTCAGCCGTTCGACTGCTTCACGACATCCGCCTCTTCGACTCGCTGAACTCCCCACAAAAGCACCCGAACGCCCTCAAACCAGCGATGAAAAAGGCCCTCGCCCGCCTAAGACCGTCGCTGTCTGCTCTCACCGCCCCGCTCTCGAGCGTCGACGAGTTCTTTGTCTCGCTCGACGAGCCCCACCGCGTCTGGGCGCCCGGCGATGCCCTTACTGGAGTCGTCGTCCTCGACCTTCCGAAGCCGGTGCTCACCACTCAGGTCCGGCTGCGTCTGCTCGGACAGCTCACCGTCCGCAACCCGCTCGTGAAGGGGCCCTCGTTCAGACACGTGCTCTGCCACGAAGAAATCGTGCTCTGGGACGCCGCTGAGCAGACCGAAGACAGCGATCTGCCAGACTCAAATACTGCTGCTGCTTCTGCTTCTACTACGAGCAATAATACCCAAAGCAATACTACAGCTCCCTCCTCCTCAGCCTCATCCTCCTCCTCTTCAATATCCTCAGCAAACGCAGTAGCAGCATCACAGGCCTCCTCCTCCACTCCCACCCCCAACTCAGTCGCCCGCAAACTCCCCCGCGGCGAGCACTCCTTCGCTTTCATGTTCGAGCTGCCAACAAAGGGTCTCATGACCTCGCTCGAATTCGAAAAGGGCTCGATCGTCTACATGCTCACCGCCTCGCACCACCGACCGGGCCCGTTCCCACCCGCGACAGCTCACAAGATCCTCCCGCTGCAATGCCCGCTCGACATCGCCGACCTGCCGCCGCCAAAACCGTCGATGCTGAGCGTCGAAATCAAAAAGAAGACGCGCAAGAGTCGGGAGAGCGGGACGGCTACCGCGATCGTCGAAACGCCCTCGGCAGGCTGTCTGCGCGGCGAATCGATCCCCGTGAAAATCACAGTCAGACACGTCCGCGAGGTGCGCTCCGTCACCGGCGTAGTCATCACGTTCCTGCGCATATCACGGGTGTGCGCGCACGACCTCGAACCTCTCTCGTTCAGAAAAGACCTGGTGCAGACCGTCGTGCCGCTCTACATTGACTCGCGCTCACTCACCACCACAATCACGGCAAACATCCGCGTGCCGACAGAGATATTCCCGACTATTGATGAGTACCCGCTTGTTGCGTTCAAGTACTGTCTCGAGGTCGTTCTCGATCTATCTGGAAAAGCAGATCTCCCGCTGTCGGCCCACGTCGCACCTACTCAAGCCGACGCAGCCGCCGGCGTGGACCTTACCTCGCGGCCATACGTCGACACCGAGCTTCTGAAGCGCGTGAAGGGCGTCGTCAGTCTTTGGAATGAGATCGTCGTCGGCACAGAACGGTCGGAGCATATCTGCGCCAAGCTGATACCCAACGAGCAAGTCCGGCAGAACAGCAACAGCAGTCCGATCCCGGCGCAGCAGTCGTTTGCTTCTGGGCCTGCTACTCAATCAGCTGTGCGCAACTCGACCGCTTCTCTCAGTAATAACGCTTCATCGGCTGGCTCTTCTATGCCGGTTCCTCCTCCGATGCCGCCGTCTACTTCATCCGTTCCGGAATATACCGTCCCAGATCCACATCCAGCCTCAGCTCCAGCACCTATAGCATCCTCATCATCGTCCTCAGCAGCACCGGTGTCAACAGCGGCACCTGGGTACTCTTCAGAGTTACCCTCGACTTCAGCACCCGCATACCCTCCACAGTCAGAAAAGGAACGACTGGCACTGTTGGAGCAAGCGCTCTTACCGTCCGAGCCGCCGGCTATGTCTTCTGTCGCCGTGCCGGACGCGCCTCCATTGGCTGCACTAGATGGTTCTGCTGAGTTTCTTTCTCCTCCCGAGATGCCTGCTTCTGGATCTGGCTCCACCGCTGCTGACGAAAGCGAGCCGCGACCACTAGACAAATTAGAGCAGGAGCGAGAGCGACTTTTACAGCTCGCAAGTGCTCCCGACGGCAGCGCGTCGACCTCGACGGCGCCCGCAAGCGAAGACCAGGTGCCTGTATATTCTGCAACCGCGCCGCCGCGGAACGCGATCGAGGCGTTTCCGGACGACGACCCTACTCCTCGGTCGCTCAGCAACGGCGCAAACACACACGACGACAGCGACGCCGAGGACGACGATGGCGCGGACTGGGTACCTGTCTACTCACCCAACGCGAACGAGGAGTTTGTCTCGATGGGCGGCTATCATCATACGTTGATTGGGTATAATAACGGATACGATCTGGCGGATAATGCGAACGTGCCGTGCGAGTATGCGGTGCATCCGGATGATGTGTGAGCAAAAGCAGTTTTTGTATTTTTGTGGGGTGTGGTGTATGATGTTGATTCTCTTGCTGTACAACATTCTCTTCTATTTCTTTGCTATTTATGCCGTTATTTTTTTTCTTATTTTTTTCTTTACGGATATTTTCTCTTGTTTGAATATGGGCTTGGGAAATTTACAGGTGTTTACGGGGTTCCGAACATATATATCTACATATATATCTGTCGTTTTGGGTGATTTGAACTGTACCATAGTCCGACTAGTATTATAATGTATACCGACATTTACTATTTCTCCTCCTTCTATATACAAAATCTCAACTATCTACGCCGAAACCACCCGCCCCATTTTGAAGATGACCGTTTTTTCATCCTGCCTATACCCGGCATCTGTTTCCCCGACGGCGCGGGAGACAAACAGGTCCACATCGGTTTAACGCCCGGTGGTGAGTTTAGCGGCTGACCTATCGTAGACGAGGTAGTGGGAGCGTTTGGGATCCGCGCGGTCGATCGTTCCCACATCATTGTGACGCGCTGGACTTTTCGCAAATGCTTGAGTCCGACAAAGACGATTCCGCAGACGACGGCGGCGGCGGACAGCGATACGGCGAGAAAGCCGAGCTCGGCGTCCTCGAGCGAGTTGCGGAGGTTCATGCCGTACAGACCCGCGATGAGGGCGCCGCCGCCGAGACCCATTGCGCCGATGGAGAACTTGAGCTCGAGAAGCATGAGCGAGTTACGGTTTGCGTCGAGGATTATGTTTACGATTTCCTCTGTCGTGCGGACGTTTGACATTGTGATGTTTGCCGCCTGCACGATTTCGTCGCAGTGCTTGTAGTACGACTCGAGAAGCATCTCGACTTCGGAGTGCTGGTCTGGCGGGCGCCATACGCCTTGTAGTTTCTCGGTCAGGTACATGCCTGCGAGATCGTCGTCTTGCTCGAGTACTTCGTTGATGGCGTCGCGCACGAGCGTGGCCTTTTGCAGGAACGCGGAGAGACCTTTTGATTGCACGAGCAGATGGCGCAGTTTTTCGCGGTCGATGTTGTTTTCGAGGTCAGCGAGGATCCCAGTGACGAGCGTCGTGTGGATCTTCATCTCCGAGTCGAGCGCGGTGACGACTGAGATCAGGATCGCTTCGAGCGCGCGCATTTCGTAGGGAAGACCGCCCATTGCTTTTGACCCCTGGCGCAGCTTCCCTTCGAGATCGTACATGAATACGGATTGGGTTTGGGAGTCGGTCGAGCCGTATGCGTCAAAGACGAGGACCATGTCGGCTTTGATGAGGGCGCGGATGTGGAGCAGGTTGACGAGGATCGAGTTGTTGCGGACGAGGATCGAGGGCATGGTGCTGTATGAGCCGGTGTCGAGTTTGCGCAGATCGCGGGGGAGTAGTCCGTGCTGGAAGAGAGATCAGATATGAGAACTGTGTCAATAAAAGAGAGAAATACATACCTTGCTTAACAGCTCTGATTTTCTAAACTCACCGCTGACGACTGTGACGTTTCCATCGACATCAAAGACCGTGCATCGAACAAGATTTCCATTAACGCTCGTCTTCATCGACAGACTTCGCTCGAGCAGCAGGTCATCAATCGCGCTCTTGCTCCAGCTCTGTCGACTCATGCTCGCCGCCATTGCCGATGCTGTTGCCGACGCAGTTGACGACGCCGCTGCAGACGACGCAGACGACCTCAGCTTTGAGGTTAGCGGGTATAGACTCTGCGGACGAGGCTGCTGGCACGGGTATTCCGGGGCCGGCGTGTGGGTTACGGGAGAGCCTTGTTCGAGGAGATATTCCTCTGCCTCGCGTTCTTTGCGGATCCAGTCTGCTTTTTCATATTGTTGTTGTTGTTGCTGCTGCTTCATAGCTTCCTGGGCTTGATGCAGAGCTTTGGAGTCGAGTCGTTTGACGGGGATTTCTTGGTCTGATATTGTGCGGTCGGTGTTTTTATTTTCTGTAGCCTCTCGCTTCCTTTGCCGTTCAGTCACGAGTATTTCTATGATTTCGTCGGCAGTGGCGTCGGAAGAGGTAGTAATATCGTCGTAGAGCGGATCAACGGCCTCGGACTGGCGCTCGGCAAGCGCTGTCGTGGATTTCGGCGATTTGTCGTGGTCTGATTTCGAGATTTGCGCAGTCTTCGAGATGCTGAACTGTCGCTTGATACCCCCAGCCGCACTGCTGCTGCAGTTGCTCGCGCTGAGTCTATGCGCACCGCATCTTCTCCTCGTCAGACAGACAGACTGTTGCTGGAGGACAGACGAGCGCTGGTGATAATGACGAGCAGGCGCCGGCAGTGCTTCTGCGCAGATGTGACGGAGCTGCGACAACGCGCGCCGCGACGGCGCTCGCACTAGCATCATGATCTTCCGCTGTTCTTATCGTCTAAACTCGAGAAGCAGCGCAGAATCGGACCATGGCCGGCTTGTAGACGTTCTTTTTGTCTGGGTGCTGGGATTCGAGAGATAAAAAGATGTCGAAGACAGAATTTTAGAGATGCAACCGAAGTTGGGAGAACTTGGGCTGCAACCGGAACCGGAACCGGCTGACAGCTGGTTGCAAACCGGGAGCTATCTTTTGGTGTTGTTGATTCATTCAGGATTCTGAGCTGTGGAAGTTGTTGTGGTTGTTGTGGTTGTTGGATATTTGCAATAGAAAGAAGTTCTATTCTGTGTGAATAGTCACTGTTTATTCTTGTTGTTGTTGTCGTTGTGTTGCTACAGTCGCGACGCGCAACTCCAGCAACGCGTCTCACCCACGCGTCCCGAACCCACCACGCACTTCACCACTCCTCACCAGATCTCTCATCAGATCCCTCATCAGAAATATCTCTCAGCCATGGCCAGACTCAGCAAGAACACAAACACAAACACATCCCGCCGACGCTCGACACCCGAACCCCACCTCTCGCCGTCCGGAAATGGCAGCAGCAGTCCGTTCTCGTCGCCTTCGCGAAGAGTACAGAGCAGTCTGCACAAGTTCTTTGCAAAGAAAGACGGGCATCGCTCGACGCTCTCGTCTCGGAGATCACCATCGCCGACGCCGTCTCGCAGACCTACTAGCGCGCACGTCCCATCTTCACGATATCTGAAAAAACCACTAGGCCCAGATCCCGAAGAGATCATGAGAAAGCTCCACGCGCGCTCGGAAGAGATCAGGAAAAGCCGCGACCTAATAGAGGAAAACAAGCGGTTCCACGAGGCAAATCTCGCAGAAGCAGCCGCGTCCGAGGATGCAGCAGATATCATGGTCTCGCCCAGCCGGCGGCGGGAGAAAGGGGATCCAAGGACGAGCGCGTTCACGACCGAGTTTTTGAAGAGTTCGCTGGGGAGTAAAGCTGCGAGGCGGATGCAGAGGTTGTTGAGAAAGCAGCAGAAGGAGCAGGATCGGCCTGTGTTTGTGTTTTTTAGGCCGTTGGGGGAGTTTAGAGCGAAGAGGGAGAGGTTTCCTGTTTTTAAGGACGTGACGCGTCTCGAGCCGTGGATACAGACGTGTTTGCTGGGTATGGATTGTTCTTTTCTTTTACTGCTGTCTTGTACTGATTGATGAATCTCTAGATGCAAGCACGAGAAGCAATATGTTTGAAAGTGGATTCATCAAGTACATGCTTGACACCGGCAAAAAGATCCCATATGCCATCAAGCGCTGGCTGATGCTCGAAAGTATTTCACTCCTCATCTCTACTCTCTTCAAATTTACTAGTGCTGACTTTACATCCACAGTTTCCGCGGAGCCGAACGCAGTACTGGCGAATGCGTATCTCAACACTCTTCTGAGCTGCGACACGCTTCCGATCGACAAAGACGTTGTCTCTGCAATGATGCTGAACCTAGGTGTTGATGAGGACGTTGCAAAGTTGACTACTCCGTTAACGCTTACTCTGCCGCCTACGCATGCCGACGACGAAGACGAAGACCCTACCGCATCCCACCCCAAACAAAACCCCAAGCCGCCGGACGAACACTCCAAGACCCCCGCGTCAAACATCGAAAACACTCTCTCCCTCTTCACCCACATCGTCCACAAGCAAACCTACCGCGACATCATCTCGCTCTTCATGTTCGCCCTCTGCACCCTCCTCGACTCCTCCTTCTCCACCGCCCCCCTCATCGTCTCCGCCGCGTCCAAACTCCTGTCCGCAATCATCCTCGCCCGCACGACTACAAACGCATGGCTCGCGTCCCTGCCACCATACCTCTTCGAGCTCATTCGCGGGGCACCCCTCCGCGCGCGCCTGCTCGCTATCTTACCCGTCTCGGCAGGCGACCCCGCGATCGCGCTGCGCACACAGCTCGCGCTTGCGTTTTTTCTGGATGATATTGAGGGGGTGATGCGCGAGGAGGTGCATGAGGCAAAGAGATTGCCGATTGCGAAGAGGATTATTCCGGAGTTGAATGAGAATCTGCTGTATAGGCTGCGGATGAAGCAGGATGCGGAGGTGAGCGAGGGGGATGATACTCGTGATGATGAGGAAGAGGAGCAGGAGGAGGAGGATGAGGAGATGTTTCAGGACGCAGCTGAAAGCGTCTCCCCATCCCTCGACACGCCCAACGAAACTGATGACGACGACGACGACGCGTCATCCTCCTCTTCCTCCACCTCCTCGACCTCCAGCGCGAGCTCCAAATTCGACTACCCCCTCCTCGCGCACAAAATCACGTTCCTCAACTACGCGCTCCAGAGCTACGTCCGCATCGGCAAAGACCACGACAAGATCAACTACATCATCACCGCGCACCTCTCGCGGCTGCAAAAACAGATTTTCAATCCTGACGCGCGGTTTAGAGATCGTACGGTAGCCGTGTTGGGGCTTAGGGCGCTGGAGTATCGGTTGAGGGGGATGTATGTGGATTCGAGGCAGAGCGTGCTGGAGAGACGGAGGGTGGCGAGTTTGAAGCGGAGGAAGAGGAAGAGGGAGGAGTGAAAGTTGATAGAAAAACGGGTTTTTTTATTCTCTGTCCATGTCGACATATCTTACATGTATATTTCAGACACTCGCGATACTTGTAAACGCAGCAAAAACAAAGCTTGATACTCTCTCTCTCTCGTTTGCAACGTGCATGATACAAAAGTAGTAGTAGTAATAGTATATAGCATCAAAGAAGGATAATAACAAATCAACAGCTCTATATGAGAGATACGCTAAACGAAGGACGTATCTTTAAGGAGGGGAGAAGGTAGATAAAAAGACGTAGTGACATATGAAACTTTCTCACGTATCAGACAATAAACAAAAAACATAGAAAAAAGACAAAAAGACCAGATCAAAAGCAGAACAGACAATTCTATATAAATCAACATACACACACCACAAAACTCTACACCATCTGTCTCGACTCCACCACCGGCGAATTATTCACAAACGACGCAGTTTCCGAATCGCGCCTGCGGAACTGGTTCACCGGCGTGCCGGGCTCGTAAGGGTCGCTAAACACGTTTCCGGGCTCGGATGTAAGCGAGGTTATCGACCGCTGGTCGGTGTCGAGGTCCGGGTCGGGCGAGGTGATCGGGATACGGTCGTCGTCGGCCGTGAAGGAGTAGTGCTTGTTGGGGGCTGGAGAGTGTGTTAGCGCGCTGTTGAAACGGGGGATTTGTTGCAGCGAGAAAGAAAGATCAAGACAGAGAGAGGTAGATGCAAAGACAAATCACAAGAGTTGTATATCTAAACACACATCATACAAAATCAAACAAACAATTAGAATTAAACCGACGTACAGGGCAGACTGAACTGTTCAGTAGAATCAGGTATTCGATCGCTGCGGAACCATGAAGGCTCAGTCCGACTATCGATCGGCTCTCTTGCAGTTTCAAAATTCTTGCAGTTGCAATACTGGAACCGCGGACGAGTTGAGAAGAGGCATAAAAATACATACAGAAACACCAGCAAACCCAATCACAACACAACAACACAACAACAACACAACACAAACAAGAACAACAAACACAAAAGCAAAAGCAAACGAAGGAAAGGGGGAAAGGAAAATCAAGGTTGCTTGCCATTTGTTCCGTCACCAATAATCGCTTCCTTCGCCATACTGTCGCTACCCGTGCTTCCCGAGCTTCCTGTGGACGCGCCGATATATACGTCTTCGAGATCACTATCTTCGACTTTCTTGCCGTTCGCTTTCTTCTCCTTCGTGGCGCCGTGGGCGGCCAGCGTGGCTACTTTGTCCGGGTCGATGTCGTTCAGGTAGTCGAAGTGGCCGAGACTGATTTGCTCGCGCACGAGGTCGATGTCGAGCGGGTAGTACATTTTCTGCGCGGACTTTGCAATGATGTGCGGCAGCAGACATGCGACCGACGAGAGCAGCACGGTCGCCCAGAAGATGAGGCTGCCGTAGACTTGGTTCGCGGCACCGAAGAAGGCGGCCGAGTAGGTGAAGCACGTGTAGATTCCGGTCCAGGCAAAGATCAACAGGATGGAGATCAAGACGATGAGGCAGAAGATCCAATCCCATCGGTACTGGTTCGAAAACACGTACAAGTTCGCGACAATGATACAAGCCGTGGCAACGAAAACACCCATCGACTCGCGCTGGTTGATGCCGAGTCCGTTCGAGGTCTGGAATCCGCCCGTGTGGTAGAGGAAATAGGCGAGATAGAAGCAGAGCACGGACTGGTACATGCCGTCAAACATATATCTCCAGAACTTCTTCTGCGTCCACTCAAGTCGAAGGATACCGCGCTGGTACAGCTGCGGGACCGCGAGCGAGACCTTGTCATTGACGTCTTGGTCGAGAATACCCATCAAGATAACCGGCAGCGAGGTGAACGCCAAGTTGTAGAGCATGATGTAGGTGTAGTCAAACAGATACGAGCCGTCAAAGTCGTTGTAGATCTGGTACCAAAACAGCGCAAACGTGAAGATCACGTTCTTGTAAAAGAAGTTTGCAATCATCTCCGCCAGTCTTCGGTACGACCATCGTCCATGGACGAGCAACAGTCTGCTCAGGAATCTGAACTGGCCAATCGCATAGTCCGAAGACATGACGGCCTGTCGACCTTCTTCACCGGCAATACCGACACCAACATCAGCAGCTTGAATCATAGCAACGTCGTTAGCTCCGTCACCGATCGCGAGCGTCATAACGTCAAGTCCGACCTTGACCATCTTCACGACGGCGGCCTTCTGCGCCGGCGACACACGGCAGCACATGACGGCCTTGCACCGCTTGCAGAGCAGCAAGAAGCGCATCTTTAGACTCTCGTCAAGCACAAGCTTGAGCGCCTCACCGTCGATAACGAGCGCGTGCGTCGGCGGCGGAGGCGCGTGGTCGCCCTTTGCAAACTCGAGCTCCTCGAGCGTGCCCTTGAGACCAAACTCCTTTTCTGAAAACTCGCGTAGTTTCTGGTCTGCTTCCTCGAGACCACCGTCGGCAGAAATCTGAAAGACCATGAGGTTCATGTCGGTGCCGAGGATGTTGCAAGAAAAACCAATGTTGATTGCGGTCTCGACCTTGTCACCGGTCAACACCCACAGCTTAACACCGGCCTCTGCGAGCAGCGAGATCGCGTCAGGAACACCGTCCTGCAGACGATCCTCGATGGCGGTACCACCGAGCAGGATGAGATTTCGCTCGATGCGGTCGGCGGCGATCTCCATCTTCTCCTCTCGGTCGGTAAGAGCAGCGGCAGCCTCGTCGTACTCGGCACTCCACAGCTTGTACTCTTCTTCGGTGAGGATTCGGTGCGCGATGCAGAGCGTGCGCAGACCCTCGTTGGCAAAGATCTCGAGGTCCTCGGCGGTAGCCTCCTTGAGCTCTTCCTGACCGCCGGCGCGCAGACGCGAGTAGATGACCGAGTCGGCACCCTTGCAGAACAGCACGATCTGGTTCGTGTCTGGCATGCGCACGATCGCACTCATACGCTTACGGGTGGAGTTGAACTCGAGCGTGGTGAGGATAGGGTACTCCTTGACCTCGCCCTGCACGTTGAGCACGACGCCGCGCTGGGTGCGGTCGATGAAGGCGTAGCCGACGTCGCGCGCGGTGGCGACGAGGGCAGCCTCATCGGGAGACTGGGCCTTGAACTCAATGACCGGGGGATCTTCACTGACACGCTCGGCGAGGACAGAGTGGCAGAGCGCGAGGGCCATCATGAAGTAATCAACTGCATCAGCCTGCTCGTCGCCGCTCTCGCCCTTGAGGTCGTGGATGTACTGCGGGGAGACGAAGGTCAGGTTGTCGGGGTTGAGGTAGACGTTTTCGTTGATTGACTTCATCTCCTTGAGCATCTCCTCGCGCGCGAGGGCGATCCTGCGCATGGCCTTTGCGCCTTCAACTTCGACATCCATGCCTTGTCGCTTCTGGATACCGGCCATGGCTTCGGTGTAGGCTTCACCGTAGGCGACGCCGTTGACAGTGACCTTTTTGAGCTCCATGACGTTCTGGGTGAGAGTACCGGTCTTGTCTGAGAAGACGTACTCGATCTGGCCGAGATCGTCCGAGATGTTCCAGGACTTTGGAGTGCAGGGGTAGTCGATGGGCTCGTAGTACATGTAGGTATCAGAGTAGATGAAGAAGGCCTGGATGGTCTTGATGATTTCGATAGAGATGTAGAGCGAGATGGGCACGAGGGACTGGAAGAGAATGATACAGGTCCAGAAGGTGACGAGACCGTCGACGGCGGCCGAGCCACCGATCGAGCCAAACTCGAACCACTCGATTGTGTTGCTGTCTTTTGACCATCGCACTCCCTCGATGACACCTGAGACGAAACAGATGACAAAGAGGAGGAGGAAGTTGAAGAGGACCTGGGATGTGTCAGTTAGTGACTGGAAATAAATAGGAGGAAGAGAAACTCACATTCCAGTTGAGCTCGCGGGTGAGGCGCGAACGCTTTGAAGGAGTCTCGCCCGAGTTGAGCATGATTTTTGTCTCGACACCGGTGAACATGACGACACCGATGACCCAGTCAGTATTTCTGAGGGTGCAACCACGGAGGAGCATGTTGTTGATGGTGAGAGGCTCAGCCATCTCCTGACGGGGCGAGTTTGGATCGTGCTTGTTTGTGAGCTGGGACCAGCGCAGGACACCAGAGTAGGAGTAGAGGTTTGGATGAGGAGCCTCAGACTCGATCAGGAAGGAGATCTTTTCGCAGTCTTTGGAGCGCTTGATGCCATGACCGCAACGTACGGCCTGGCGGACTTTGAGGTTTGTCTCGCCGTCCAAGTTTTTTGTCTCGACGTAGCAGGCGCCGTCAGCGTCGGAGGTGGAGAGGACGATGACATCAGCGGGGATCTCGTCGTCGTTGCGAATGCGGATGATGTCGCCGACGCGGACGGCTTTCCAGAAGGAGCGCTTGAAGCGGGCGGTGCCGGGGGCGACGAGCGAGGGGTCGAAGACGGAACCATGAGCGAGGTCGATGGAGGGCGAGCGGTAGGGGTCGTTCTCGGAGGAGTCTGCGAAGGGGTTGGCAGGAGCAGCGTAGTCGCCAGAGGGTCTGGAGATTTCGTGCATCTGGAAGGACTCGCCGACGACGGTACGGCGGAGGTCAGCGGAAGCGCGGCTCATGTCGGCGTCGGAGAAGTTGTCGTCGTCGTCGCGCATGGCGTCCTCGCGGGCGCGGCGCTGGGCGTCGTACTTTGCGCGGCTCTTGCGGGAGCGGAAGCTGCGCTTGAGGACGTGGAGGATGTTGAGGGAGACGCGGGTGGAGGCCTTTTTGAAGCGGCGCCAGGCGGAGACGTCGTCGTCGGAGACGTTTGGGTTGGTCCAGTGGGAGAGGATCTGGGTGGGGGAGTTGTTGAGCTCGAGGTCGAGGACGGTTCTGCGGTAGTCCTCGATGGCGTCTTTGATGGCGGTGATGGTGACGATGACGATGATGGGGACAGCGCCGAGGCCGGGGTTGGAGGCGCCGAAGATGGAGAAGATGGAGAGGATGACGATGAAGAGGAAGTAGACGTTTGCGATGTTGTGGAACTGCAGGAAGAGGTTTTTGGGGACGAAGGAGAGCGGGGTGTACTTTGCGGAGCGGGTCTTGTTGCGCGGGAACTGGGCGAGGGGGATGCCCTCCTCGTCGAGCTCTGCGGGCGGCAGCGGGCGGTTGACGTAGACGCGCCGGTGCGGGAGGTCTTTGGCGGCCACGCCGGCGTCGTCGCCCTTGTTCTCGCCCTCGTTCGCGGCGATCTGGGTGAGCTGGCGGGCGAGGCCGTTGGCGTGGGCGGTGGAGTGGCCGCGGTGGAGGGAGAGACGCTTGAGACGCGTGGAGTAGCGCTTCGGACGGCCGTTGGGGTGGCGGACGGAGGCCCAGCGCAGACGGCGGGCTTTGTGGGCGTCGTGGTGGGGAGCGGACTGGGAGGGCTCCTCGGACAGATCGAGATCTGCGAAGCCCTTTTGGTCGTCCATTGCGGGGGGGGGGGGAGGGGGGGAGGGGGCTGAGAGGTGGTGAAGAGGTGGTGAAGAGAGGAAGAAGGAGGCTGGGCGGAGGCAGACAAAAAGCGGCCGCAGCTGCAGCACGTGATTAGTCAGAGATGACATGCAGTCATACTAGTAGTTAGTGTGTGTATTGTGTGTGTTTATTCTTATATACTAGTTCTGTATATCTGTATATCTGTTTATTCTATCTTCTATCTGTTATATCTACTGTATCTCTTCTATCTATTCTATTCTCCTTCTCTCTCAGCTCAAATATTCTCATCCCGTCGGAGCCGCAAACGCCGAGTTTCCGGATCTCGGCGGGTTCGGGTCGGCTCATTAAACTGAAACTGATTATTCAAAGTGTGCTGTTGTTACTATATGTCTGCTATATATGTCATATATATGATATATATGATATGATATATATGATATATGATATATCATATAGAACAGTGTAGACATCTTATAACATTCAATTGACATCACAACTACAACTTCGACACCAAATGCAACCCCCCATCCAACGGAATAATCGCCCCGTTCAAATAACAACTCGCCTTCCCCGACAGAAACACAATCATGTTCTCGATATCCTCCGCAAACCCCAGCCGGCCTCGAGGATTGATCTCACTCAAGTTCTCATCCCCAATCATGTCAATCAGCCCGTTCGCCATCTTGCTCCTAAAAAACCCCGGCGCCAGCGCATTCACGCAGATATTCCGCGGTCCCAGCTCGACCGCGAGCACCTCCGCCAGATGGTGCACCGCCGCCTTGCTCGCAGTGTATCCATACGTCCCTCCGCCGCCGTTCGAAGACACCATCAGTCCAGTGACGCTGCCGAGCACAATCGCCCGCGCCGGGTCCTCGCTCGTGCCCGCCTTCTCCAGCATGTCTGCAAACGCCTGGATAGTAAAGAACACGCCCTTCACGTTCAGCCCAAGCACTCGATCAAACGCCTTCTCCGGGTGCGTGTCGAACGGAGCTCCCCACGTCGCGCCCGCGTTCGCAACCACCACGTTCAGCCTATCAGTCGTCTGCTGCACCACCTTCTTCACCCTGTAGATATCCTCGGCCTTGCTAAAGTCCCCGGGGACCGCAATTGCCTTGCCTTTGATCCCTGATAATCCATTCAAGAACTCGACCGCCTCTGCACACGCCTTCTCCGACCGCGATGTGATAAACACCGTCGATGCGCCTGCCTCCATCAGACCCTTTGCGGCCGACAGCCCGAGTCCGCGCGATCCGCCGGTGATGAGCGCTGATTTGCCTGTGAATGAGAAGTCCGAGAGCATTCTGTATTCTTCTTCTTCGCTTCTTATAATACTGCAGGAAGACAAGACCGACGACACTTCTTTATACCCGCCGCAAAGAGGGGAGCCGAGGCAGCAAAAACACGTCTCCGCCATCACTCGGCCCACGCCCTCATCATAACTCCCAGTCACGTGCCAGCGCAGCCGCAGTCGAGTTCGTCGTCGTCTGCTCGCCGGCTGCTCGACGATCACGAACCTGCCGGCAGCTGCAATTCCTCGCAACAGCGCCTTTCCTGCTGTTTTCTTCTTTGTATTCAAGAGATATGGGTCTGACTGTTGCCGGTTCATGAACTCCATCCAGTACCTCTCCTCCCGCGTCGAGCGAGTCATCGCCGGCCCGCAGAACCACACCGCGAATGACGACTCTGCTTCCTCCTCTTCTCCTACTTCCTCCTCCTCCTCCTCGACTGCTGCTTTAAGAGACCTCGATGGCGTTGATCCAGCTGCTCTGCAGAGTCCTCTTTCCGACACTCCCCCCGAAGACGTCCCTTCCCCCCTGCATCCCGCTCAGAATTCCTCCGAGTCATCCTCCTCCTCCTCACCCCCACCTCCCTCACTATCTCCCTCACTATTACCACCAGCAACGCCGCGCTCGTGGTACAGCTCAATAACTCCGATAGTCCTCCTCCTCCGCTTCCTCTCATACCTCTACGCCGTCCTCGCATCCACCCTCGGCGTCAGCGGCGACGACCGATCCACCCCAGACTCACCGTGGGACTCCGGACTCCACCCAGAACCCCTCTACCAGCGGCGTATCCTTGAAGAAGATGAATCCTCCCCGCTCACCTCTCAACGCCATCGCAGTATTGACGCCGACGACACCTCCAACACCAACACCTCCAGCGGACTCACAAAAGAACCACACATACACCTCAACGTGGCCAACGACGACGCTGCGCCTTCGATATACAACAACTCATACGCCGGTCCCGCCACCACGCGCAAGTACCGCACCGTTCGCATACGTCTCGCAAAGAAAGCCGCCGGGAGTGGCAGCAGCACAGCAATCTCCAGCTCCAGCTCGAGCTCAGAGGGCGAAGACAACTCCTCCCTCTCTGATACGCCACTGTCATCATATTCCTCCGTTCCTGACTCTTCCTCCTCCTCGCCGAAAATATCAATCAAATCCCCCACCTCTCCTGGCATACACAACTCTCGGGCAACAAAATATCCCCGCGCGTTACCCCCACCGCGGCCATTACTCCCTCGCCACCCGCAGCCGAAGACGCTGATCCTCGACCTCGACGAAACACTGATCCACTCCATGTCCAAAGGCAGCCCGATGTCTGACGGCCACATGGTTGAAGTCCGACTCGACAAGCAGCACGCGATTCTCTATTATGTCCACAAGCGGCCGTACTGCGACGAGTTTCTGCAAAAAGTGTCGAAATGGTACAATCTCGTGATTTTCACCGCCAGCGTGCAGGAGTACGCCGACCCGGTTATCGACTGGCTCGAGCAGAACCGAAAGTACTTTAAAGGCCGGTATTACCGCCAGCACTGCTCTTTTCGCTCGGGTGGATACGTCAAAGACATTTCTGTCGTCGAAGCGGATCTGAGTAAAGTAATGATCATCGACAACTCACCCATCAGCTACCTTCTGCATGAAGACAACGCGATCGCAATCGAAGGCTGGATCAACGATCCCTCGGACTTGGACTTGTTGCATCTGATTCCTTTTCTGAACGGAATGCGCTATGTCACTGACGTGCGGAGTATAATCTCTCTTCGCATGGGTGAGAATGCTTTTGCGGTATAGTTTGTCTATTCTTTGTCTGGCTGTCTGTTTGGAGCTGGTCTTGATCTTGTCTTTTTGGCACTTGTATATTTGGCTGTGCGCAATGTTTTAATGTAACTAATGCCACCTCAGTTTTTGTCTCTAGAACTGGTTTTTTTCTATCAGTAGGTCTTGCAGTTCTTTTTGTCTTTTGTTGTTCCATATTCATATAATCCTACACCGCATTCATATATACATCATCTATATAATCCTCACGCGCCCTTGTATTTATACCTAAACTGCTCAAGACTGTCAACATCTCCCTCCCGCATCCATCCGCGCACGAGCAAGACCGCAAGCAAACTCCCGAGCGGACAGAACCAGAGATAATCAATCCCCATCAGCGGATTAAACTGCACAACCGCCGACAGCGCAATAACCGCGGATAGCATAAAATTGAGTGCGATAATGAGCTGCGCGTTCGTCCAGTTCTCGCGGCGGAGCACGCGTTCGTGCCATGCGAGACCGTCGAGGGCTTCGCGCTGGAGGGCGTCGGTTGCGATCGCGGCCGAGAGGGAGGAGGTCGAGACTGGGGTGGTGTGGATTGTGTAGGCGGTCGCGAGGAGGGAGGAGAGCGTGAGGACGGTGAGAAGGTGGCCGCGGGGGGCGCCCATGTAGACGAGGGCCGGGTGGAGGACGAAGATGGGGGTTTGGAGGAGGGTGATGGTTGTGAATGCGATCTGGGTGGTTAGTTGAGTGCATGAAGTAGTAGAAGATGAGTACATACCTTGTATCTGTAGTTGATTGTCTCGTTCTCAGTTCTGAGGGAGGTTATGAGTTCTTCCTGTTCTAAAGAGGTCAGTCGGTATCAGATATCATGAAGAAGAAGACATACGCTGCTCGTCCAGGTACACGACCTCGTCCTCGCCGACTTGGTCATCGTCCACATCCAAATCCTCAAACCTGCGTCGCCAGGCCTTTCTGAGATGCGACATTCTTCTCTTCTTCTTCTTCTTATTCTCTTCAGTAGAAGTAGTAGTTGATGACGATGATGATTAAGTACGTCACCGCCACGAACCCCTCGCGAATGTCAAAATAACCTGTTCCCTGTGCGCTCGACTCACTGCGCCGGACTCGGTTCGTGAGCTCGCTCGGCACCGCCTGAACAGACAGCAACTCGGAGCAGATTGTTCTACTAAATCTGTGAGTCTGGTCAGTTACTGCTGAGAGCGTGCAGAGCAGAACAGCACAAGCAGAGATGACCACGATCGTGACCCCGCCGTCGCTCTCCTACTTTTGCATCTTCAACCCAACCTTCTGCTACAGCGATGAGACCCTCTTCGACCAGATTTTCTTCTACGCGTCCCGAGCTGAGGCTGTTTCGGCTGACGAGCAATTGCGGAAGGTCGGTTTGATCCAGGGAATCCTGTCTTTTGCCAGGTATGTCGTGCTGTCTATCTTTCTACGCTATCATACCCTCTATCTCGACCTGATAACGACTGACTTTAATCTCTCTCCAGCGACTTTTCAAACAGAAAACCAGTCGAGATCATCGACACCCGCAAAACACGCACCGTCGTCGTCGAAATCGAACCAAACTGGTGGATGGCCCTCTGCGTCAACTTCACCCGCATCCAATCCCCCGTCTCACAATCCTCCTCCGCCGCCGCCGCCAGCAAATCCAACGGCAGCAACGGCACAAACAACAGCTCCTCCCGCAACGGCTCCGCAAGTAACAGCAACAATACTTCTACCTCCGCCTCCAGCAAGACGAAAAACTCGATAAAAACAACCGGCAAGATCGTCGGCGGCGAGGTCAACTCTCCAGCCGGCGACAGTCCCGCGTCGCAGTCCCGCGTCTCGGCGCTCAGCTCGTTTCGGCGCAAGAAAAAGGTCGAGATGAGAACTGATTACTCGCGCAAGGAAGTTCCTGGGTGTAATGTTCTGCATTCGCAGCTCATTCGCGGGTATAATCAGTGGAAAATGCTCAATGGGCGGTATCCGGCGTCGTACGTCCGCGACGAGGCAAAGGAGAAAGCAATGAAGGACAAGCGACGGATGGCAGACGAGCGAAGGCGGAGAGAAGACGAAGCGCTCGATCGGGGTGAAAGCGAGGAAGCAGCAGAGTCGCGGGACAAGTTCGACGAGCAACTACAGCAGCAGCTGCAAGCCGCCGACGACGCAGCCGAGCAGGCGCTCGACGAACTCGCAGAGTTCCGCATGAACCTCCGCAAGTTCTGGTCCTGGTGGCTGCATAAATGGGAGCTCTACACGTTCTCGAGCGCGACCTGGGGCGGCACGCTCAACAACTCTTTCCTCGCGCACGGGCTCACGCTCGGGAGTGTGCCGACGCTCAGTTTCTCGTTTATGGATTACGCGGTCGGGATCAAGATGGGCGGGCCGGGGAGGATCTCGGATTTGACGGCCGAGGCTATAAAAGCGATTGTGAAGCGCGAGGAACGGAACGGCATGGTCGATCTTGTGATTACTCGCATGAGCACATTCTCTGTCGTCGCGCCCGGGGGCAGTTTACTAAAGTCGTCGGCCACAAGCGGGCCGCAGATGCTCAACGGAGACCAGGCCTCGATTAACGGCGACGCTGAGTCACTCTACTCCCGCGGCGACGACGCGGCGTCGATAATGTCCTCTCGCTCGCGGCGGTCGCGGTTCTTTGATCGCCGGACAGAGTCGCTGGCGGGACAATCAGAGTACACCGCGACGTCAGAGTACTCCGACAACGACGCGGTCGCTGCCGCGACGCTTATCGACGAGCAGTACGCGCTCGAAGAGGAGATGCGCAACGGCTGCGTGTTTCAGGGAGCAGGGTATATCTCGCGCACGAGTATTGCCGAGTACAGTCGCTGGATCATCGACAACCATATCTTTCCGTCGCCCGCGGCGGTCGAGGGCGTGCGCTGGAGTCTGTACTCGAACGTCGAGGACCCGCTGTGGCCGTTCTCGGCGCTGCTGTTTAGTTTTAGGTACGGATACAAGCGGCCTGTGCCGCCGAAGATTAAAAAGAAAAGCAGCAAGAAGAGTAAGAAGGACGGCAGCAAGAAGCGCGGGAGCGTGGCGAGTATCGAGTCTGCGGCGGCGAAGGCAGGGAGTACAGGGAACAGCAACAACAGCGCTGCGGCAAAGCATCTTCTAGACTCGTCGCTCGGACTGCTGAGTAAAGTGACCTCTGCCTCGACCGCGTCGACGACGATCGCGACGGTGCAGGAGAAGATGCCGCCGCATGAGATCAGGGATGATTTGTCGGACGCAAAGTTTCTTGTTGGATTGCAGGGGGGGTTGGATATGGACGCGATGTTTGACGACGAGGATGAGGATGAAGATGAGGATGAGGACGGGGAGGATGGAGAAGGGAGGGGAGGGCGGAGAGCGCCGCCGGAGATTACGATGAGGGAGGTGTATATGCTGCGGAAGCGCAAGAAAAACCGAGAGGTAAAGGCACAGCTGGCTCTTCCGGCTCCTCCCCCACCCCCCTCGTCAGAGATGGTTAAAGAGGAGGTTGAAGAGGACCCTGTCGTGACGCCGGTATCGCCTGGGAAAGCAGACGCGGACGGCGACGGCGATACAACGATCGGAGCAGACGCGTCGGTCGCGACTATTGTCGTCGCCGACCAAGAAGCGCAGGCAGAAAGCAAGTCTACCTTAGCACCGCCTTCCACCCTCGCAGACTCAGTCTCAACCCTCGCCTCCACCACCTCCACAATCGCCACCACCCAACCCTCCTCCTCGTCCTCGTCGATGCAGCAAAAACACGAACGATTAATGCTAGTGATTTACAAGCGCGCGCCATTCGTCTTTTCCGCGTTTTTCGACCCGGAAAAGGGAAAGCAGGCGCTTGCAAATCCGGCGTATTATCGCGGCCTGCATCTTAGACTTGGTACGCTTGTCGAGCCTATTTTCGAGGATCTCGAGAATGGGGGTTAATGCGTGCTCTTTTTTACTCCACCTCGTTCTGCATTTGGTATCCTGCATTTGCTTTTTTCTGCTGTAGTTTTGTATCGCAGATGTGTATTGTAATTGTTTTTGTTTGAATGTTTGTTTGATTGTTGTTTGTGTGCTAGTACGGCCAGGGTTGCATCGATCGGTCTTGGGATTCGTTTAGTTGAGGGTTCGTTGTTTGATTTTTGAAATTGGTAGATTGTTCTGGTTTTTTTATAAATAATCCAACCTATTAAATAAGACAAATAAAACACATCAACTGCTGATGAATAAATAGTAATGAAAAAAAAAAATAGGAAAAGAAACAAAAAAAATAGATTCTCCGGAGCGTGACTCGAACACGCGATTTTCAGATAATCGATAAACCATTACAGTCTGACGCCTTACCAGCTTGGCCATCCGGAGCAATTTACACAAAAAAATGATTATACTTGCCGTTATAAGCTTATTTTTGCTTGTAAGCGAGGAGGGTATTGGTTTGCGCTTTTGTGGTGGGTGGGTTGGTTAGGATTTAATAGCTATGGGGTTTTGGGGTGGTTGTGGGTGAATGGAGGAGGGGAGGGGTGTTGTGAGGGAGGTGGAGGGTGGAGAGTGCCAAGTCGCACGGCTGAGTATACGATTGGAGTAGTGAGTCTAGATATGACGTCGCTGTTCACGGCGCTGATAAGTATCAGTTGACGAGGTGCAGGATTACAAGTTTCCGAATTCATAAGAAAGAAGGGCGATTTGAGAAGTAGGTAAACAGTGACGGGGATGTAAACAAACGGGGAGCTGAGCAGAGGGAGCACGGAGCTAAGTTCTGCGTCCGGAGATTTGGAGTCGATGGGGTATGCAGGATGTGCATGTGGATGATGCATGGGTGCTGCAGCGGGGTGATAGTGAGGAATGGCGTGATGGTGGATGGTGTGGGTGTAAGAAGCAGTGGGGTTTACAGTTGCAGAAGTAAGATGAGTATAGAGAGAAGATGTCTGGTTTATCGATGTGGATGGGGTTGGATGGAGGGAGGAGGGGAGAGAGGGAGTGAGCAGAGGAGGCGGATGATGAGAGGGACGGGATGCCGGATTCAGACAAGCTCAAGGTTAGATGGCCAAGACGAAGGCATGCATGCGAATACATAATACAGAATACGGTATTGGCTTGTGCAGTGGCGAATAGAAGAAGGAAGGAGGAATGGTGTGGAGAAGAGAGTAGGGGATGGTTGGGATGTTGATGAGGGTATTGATATACTATATGAGTCGCGTAATTTCAGATGGAATAAAGACCTGCTATAAGAGCATATATCAGAGCATACACAGAACATCAACACAGAACAACATTCAGACATCAGACATCAGATGCACAACAAGAACAGGCAGCAGCAGTGCAGCAGCAGCAGGTGGCGTCTGGAGGCAGCTTAAATGAAGGCAACTGGAGACGCGGCTGGGACCTCGTGGGCGGCCGTTGACGTCAGGGGAAACGAACAGAGGCGAACCAGGTACAGTGCCTGGAGAGCAATTACTGATGAGGAAGAAGAAGTAGTTGTAATAGCAGAATAGAACAACAAATAACAATACTATTCAACATGAATATCTACAAAACACGCAAGTGATGTAGTGGAGTAAAGGCCCGCAGCGTCGGGTTGCTATTCCTGGCTGCTGGGCTGCGCTTAACTTTGCTCCTATTTTATTTCCCTCTTTCGTCTCTTCTTCCTCTCTCAGCGATTCCAGATCTCGACGCCGGTTCTTTTCTTCTTCTTCTTCTTTTGTTTCTCTGTCGGTGTTGACTCGTCGCCTCGGAGCAAAGGCCTTCTTTTTCTTTCTTCTTTGTTTCTTTTTGCCTCTTTTTGGTGTTGTCTCTCCTCTTCCTCTTCCTCTTCCTCTCCTCTGCTCAGCCTCGGTCTCCGCCCCGCCTCATCCTCTTCATTCTCTCTCCATTCTCCCTCCATTCCTCTCTATCGCTCTTTTAAACCTCTTCGATCTCTCCTCTCTCTCTTCAATTTCCTCTACTCAACATGGCTTCCTTCGCAAACACCTCCTCCGGTTCGTCCCCTCTCCTCACTTCCTCGAGTAACCAACTAACACCTCGCAGTCGCTCCCTCCACCCTCACCACCTCCACAATCCTCGGCTCGACCGTCATCGTCACCCAGTCCTCCAGTTTCTCCTCCTCAGCGGATCCAACCGACTCAGTCGTCACCGTCGTCGTCACCCAAACCTCGCAATCAGACGACAGCCCTCTCACCGCCTCCCCAACACCCACATCCACCGCCTCCTCCTCCACCTCCGCCTCCACAACCCGCTCCACCGCCGCCCCCGTCATGGCCACCGACGCCTCCCGCTCATCATCCTCCTCCTCCTCCCTCTCCACCGGCGGCAAAATCGGCGTCGGCGTCGGCGTCCCCCTCGGCGTGCTCGCGCTCGCTGCTCTCCTCTTCTTCTGCTTCTGGCGCCGGAAAAAGAACAAACGCCTCTCGAAAGCGGCAGCCATGCGCCAGGACGACGGCACTGACGACTACATCTTCGCCGCCGGCGGGTCAGACGGCAGCGGCGCGGCAGCAAGTGGCATCGCGTCGCAGCCTGATATGAGCGAGGTCGCGGGACCGACGCCGAGCGGGTACAGAGGGTGGGGGCCGAGTACGCCGAGTGAAAATCCGCCTTATCAACATAGTAGGATGCCTGTGAGACCTCCTGTTGCTGCTGCTTCTGCCGCCGCCGTTGCTGCTGGTGCTGGTGTTGGTGCTGGTGCTGCTGCCTCGTCGAGCTCAGGCTCGCCTACTTCGCCGGCGATGCCTAACTCAGCCGACCCACCAACAACCCGCGCAGCTCCACCCCCACCCCTATCATCCACCACCGCGCCATTACGAACAAGAGGCCACCTCCCCGCAGGCTCAGAAGTATCCCAATTAACCACCGGCTCCAGCGTCGCCCTCGACAGCAGCGACCCAACTATGCCACCCCCGCCAATCCCGCCCATCTCCTCCCGGCGCCGCCTTTCAGGCCTCGCGCCTTCCGAAAAGAGCGGCGCGGGACATAGTCATACCAACTCGATGCCGGGCCTGCAGGTGGTTAATACTGGTGGTGATAGCATGTTTTCCACCGCCGACGAGTTTTCAAACGACGAGTCGATTGACGAGAAGAGGTATTCCTCCGCAGCCGCGGCACCGCCGCCTCCTCCTCCGCGGAGGAGAAGTGGGCATTCTGCACAAAACAGCGCGTCTGAACTGGCCACCAACTTTTAAGTCTTCTTTCAGACTGCTGGTTTGACTTTGAAGAGTGTTTTTTGAAAATTCTTGTATGCATTGGCATACGTACGATAGGCGAAGTGAAGTGACTTCAACCTCTGCTGATACCATACACCCACACACATATATACATACATTGCAAGAACAAAAGTACTGCTCTAACTTCTTTCCTCTTTAAAATCTTTGTTTGATTATTCAATAACGAACTGTACGGAGTGCTCGCGCTTTTTGTTTTCTCTTTTTGCTTTTTGCTTTTTGCTTTTTGCTAGTTTTGGAAATTTGTGAGTTCGGAGCTCGTTTAGATTGCATTTGGGATCTATTTTGTTTTTGTTTAGACTGTGGTTTATGATAATCATACTAATACTAATTCTACTATTTATAATGATATGAGATGGGATTCTGTGGACGATTGCCAACTATCTCGTCAATCTCTATCTGTAATTGCTTGTGTCGCATCGTAGAGGAAGGTGTATAAGTAGAGTACTTTGGTCCCCTCGGTCCCACCTTCTTCTCCTCGTGCCTCTTGATCGCCCTCTCGCAATTGCCTTCTCGCAAACAAGCAAAAGCCGACATTGTCTCTCTTCAAAAAGCAACTAGCAGTAGTCCCTATCCTTTTTTTTTGGGTGACGAACTCCGGGCCTCGGCTGCTTCCTGAAGCAAGTCAGATACAACATCATCCGTGACTGCTTGGTTTTGGCTAATGTCGATCGTGTGATAGTGAGCATACAATAGCTTAAGCAATTGAGATGAAAACTCAAGTCCTGTGCAATTTTCCAGCCAGATCAAGCCCGTTGGGTACTCAAATCTTCCCAATCTTTTGTAGCTCAAAGACTCGAGAAGTATTGCATCAGTGATGTCTGGGTTGTCACTAAGGTTGAGGATCTTTGCTCGCTGAAGATAGTCTGTTTTGAGAAAGTCTGCAACATGCGGCGACCGGCGGAGCAAAAAGCATTCGCATTTGTCACTTAGTAGCGGGAGACCGCTCGCAAACATGGTCCCGGAAAAATCGACCTCATACAACTTTGGCTGTTGGCGCAGGTAAAGAGTCTCTTCCTTACCACGACGCCCGCTGCCGACATCAGACAACACGTGAAAGTGCCATAACGCAAGTGTGCTCAGTACCGGCGTAGCTTCCAGAAGACGGGCCAGCAGATTTTGAGAAATCTCGTGACGAGAACGAGGAGGACAAGGATTCCAATGCTCGCTTTCGCTGAATACCAGTGATTTTAGAGAGCGAAACAGCTGACCACACCTGAGTTCTTTGTATACGATAGGATTTGATGCTGCAGACTGAGGAACCACCTGTATGTGAGCCGGACGTAATGCTTGCTCACCCTTCTCGACCGCAGTGCGGATAATTATCGCCAGCATATCAAGCGGCACATGAAGCCTGCTCGCGATCCTTAAAAGCTCCCACGGCAGGCCACAAGCATACTGACTTGCATTGGCATCGCTCCTCCGCAGCGCTGAATTTGGCGTAATCGAGCACATAACATGGCGTGCATAAGCCAATGATAACCTATTCCCCTGTATCTCTTCAGCAATCTGATACATGATCCTGTAGATATGACTGGTATCTAGCGAAACTGAACCCATATTTTTGTTTCTCTCTATTGCATCAAAGCGGGCAAGGAAGCGGTGCAGAGAAAGAAATGCCTTGCGGTGTAGAACGGTGCCATTTGTATTATCCGCGAGATTTATTTGCACAATCTCTGGTGCATTCTTCGCATTGTACTTCACAGGGTTGTCGTCAGCTTCTGTCCCATCTGTGATGAACTCAAGATCACGCCAAAATGTTGGCATATCCTGTATTAGCTCCTCCCAAAAGCGCGATAGACTGCACATAGCAATCACCGTCTTGGTCGGAAGGTAGGAGACGACCTTAAACAGGATATCGTAAGGCAGGGTCTCAATCCGGTGGCGCTTGCTGTCGGCGATCGCAAGTGCAGAGATGTCTATAGATTCCATCGCCCAGAAGTTCAGTAAGAAGAAGATAATAGTCAGAAGAAGAGAGAAAGCGCAGAAGGAGCGCTCTTATGAATGAGGAGCAGGTTACGAATCCGGGGTAGCACAGATCTAGCAGCTGCCTCAACCGCGAGATATTTCACAAAACCCTCAACCAAAACCCCTCCACGCACTATAACCGTTCACTCTTTTGAGAGAACAGGGCGTCTTTGATAGCGACCGCTATTGTTTGATGGAGTATGTGTAGTGATGATTTTGATTCTTGTTTGTAGAGAACGACCCTCCACCCTAGTTTCTTAGAAGTGTCCTCGACCAAAGCTTCGCTGTAGCTGAAGAGCGCATACTGCTGCTTAGATCGCTCTATAACTACCTAATCAGGAAGATCACATAGTCCATCACAATGACACAACTCACGTCGACAACTACAGCGTCAGATCTCAAATCTTTCGCAGACTGGCGGTGACAATGATCCCTGGAGAAACGTGAGCGTAACTGGCATCACACAAGGCACATCGTCAAGGGCGGGGAAGCATGCCCGCCACGTGTATCAACACAATGCAGGCATCATCTTCATCACCATCGTGATACCTAAACCGACCAGGAAATCACACGATAGTGTCATTAATTTCGTCATTCTCGATCTGTGATTGCCCGCGTCGTCATTGTAGAGGAAGGTGTATAAGAAGGGCGCTCTGGTCACCTCGATCTCATCTTCTTCTCCTCGTACCTCTCGATCGCCCTTTCGCAAATAAACAAAATCGACATAATCTCTCTTCAAATCATTACAACTACCAGCAACAATGTCAGCTCCCCGTGATGTCCACCAGGCCGCCTCGCAGGTCCAGTCTGCGACCGACAAGGCCGGTTCGCAGGCCTCCCAGACCATGCGCGACGCCTCCAGAGGCAACCAGTCCGCACCCGACCGTTCGGGTAACCAGCAGCAGTCCGGATCCCGATCGAGCGGTGGTGGCCGCAAGTGAATTCGCAAGCCGCAGTGAACGAATCTGGAGCACGCTTGTTGGTTTTTGAGGGTATCGGTTGCACCGGTCGATGAGACTAGGCAGTGGGTATCTTTCTGGAGCGGCGGGGGTTCTCGGGATCGATGACGGCTTCGAAGGATCTTTTGGTTTTTATTTCTGCTGGGCCCGGCATTTGTTAATGTTTTAGTTGAGAAAATAGTTTTGTTGGTATCACTGCTGGCAAAACGAAATGGCGGCGTTCGTTGTTTCTTGGAAATATATGAGTTGTCACCACCAATTATGTGTAGCTCTGAATTTGCAGTAACAGCAGCAGCAGCAACAGTAGACAGAAAACAGGTAATTCCTTTGTAATCAATGCAACTCTCTAATAAGCAGGAGTTTAAACAAAACGTGCAGACAGCAAAGACGGTGATACAAATTGTGAGCAGCACGTGCGATATTACACGTAGTTGAGTAGCATTGTGTGATTGCCGCATAATCGCAAAATGAATCAGCCATTTTTATAAACTCTGATTTGATTGCTTTTTAACCGATTTGTATCCGATTGTCAGACGTAGTGTCTGAAGTAGGTGATGCAGTTTGCTTGTCTGCGATGGCTGCTGATTTTCAAAGGTTAAAAAAATGGAAGCCGCTGAAGACAAATTCGCTGATCAATTATTTAGGGTTTGGCAGTTTTGGACTTTCTACTTTTACAAACACAGATTAGTTGTAATAATAATGATACAAATACAAAGAGGACGAAAACATAGACTAATGTGAATTGAATTAATAGAAATAACTTGCTATGATACAGTAATTATCCTGCCCAGAGATCCATAACGCCCGTCAACTGAATGAGAAAATGATACAAAATAAACAACAAATGCAACGGATGCAACGGCCTTACATAAACAACACGATAAACAGCAAAATAAACAACACGATGGTCAACATCAATATGCAGCAATTCGACGCCCGCTCCTCGTTCTTTTTCAGGATATACTTGACTCTGTTCATCGCCAGATCGATCTTGCCCTGCGTACGATCTACCCGTTGATCCAGATCTTGCAGTAACTCGACGTGCTCCTCGAGCTCGTTACCCATCACCGCCGCCTGATCCCGTAGATTCTGCACCGTGTTCATGACCGAGTCTAACTGCTGGTCTTGATCCGCAATCAGCAGCGCCTGCTGCTCCCGCTCCATCTCGACGTCGTAGTCTGACCTTGGCGTCTGTCGCCCGCTACTCCCGCCATATCTATCTTCCATCTGCACCGCCGTAAAATCCTGCCGCGGCTTTCGCCCTCGAGTCGCTGCCTCGATCTGGTTCCTGATCCGCGCAACTTCCTCTTCGCGCGCGGCAACGAACCGACTCCGATCCTCGACCTGCTCGAGCGTGAGGCCGAATTGCTCCGGTGATTTCTCCACCGCGTCCACTGACTCGCGCAGATCCTGCAGCGACAGATCGATCTCATCCAGCGTCGACGCGAGCTGCTCGAGCGTCGGCGTGGCTGGCGTGGGACCTGCGCTTGGGGATGGGGAGGTTAAGGAAGTGACGTAGGCTTGCGATTGGGGGCGGAGGACGGTGAGCTGCTGGTCCACTTCGCGCGCGATGTCATCGTACGGGTCTGAGTACATCTTCTCCTGTTTTTCCTCTTTTTGCAAATGTTGAATATGTTACTGAATGAATTGTAAAGCAGTCGAGAATCAGAATGTAAAGTGGCGGAGCGACAGCCAGCTTCGAGCATGACTTTTGCTGGGTTCAAATCCGCGGTTCTAAACCAGCATAGTCGAACTGGTTCCAAACCCACCCCCAGCGAGCGCGCCAAAGAAACCAGAATCGTCGACCGATCAACTCCAGCAGTTCAATCGTCAATCAACAATCATCTTTCCGCGATAGAAAAAGACGCAGAAGAGACACATTTCTTTTGATTTCTGTGCTGTTGTGTTTGCTGTTGAAGGTTTGTTGTTTATTGTTGTTGTTTGTCGGTCGGATTGCTGGCTGATGAGTGAATCTGTACTGACCGCCGTGATTCCAGCTCGTTCAGCTTAATCGACTCTGTCTTTACCGTCATCGTCGGATCTACTCATATTTCAACGCGTATTAAAGCTATCTGCTTTTGCTACAGATTTCAAGATGGTTTTGGAAGCTACCATGATAATGTACGTATCCTTGATCACCACTCTAGCAGAACACAGCAACAACACGGCACAATGACACCCAGCTAACATGATCCTCTCAGAATCGACAACTCCGAGTACATGCGGAACGGAGACTTCACGCCATCACGGTATGAAGCGCAGTCGGATGCTGTCAACCTGATCTTCTCCGCAAAGACACAATCGAATCCCGAGAGCGCGGTCGGGTTGATGACCATGGCGGGCAGAGCGTAAGCATGATGATTCGCTTCGTTTACGATAGCTGCAAGTGCTAGATGATACTGACTGGAGATGTATGGATTAGACCAGAGGTGCTTGTCACTTTAACGACAGATTTCGGAAAAGTACTGTCGTCGATGACACGGACTAAAGTCCATTCGTCCGCCCATCTTACTACCGCCATACAAGTCGCAGCCGTACGTCCTCTATCCTATTTTCCCATCTTGAGCCGATGCTAACCTGCTCTACAGCTCGCTCTAAAGCACCGTCAAAACAAAGCACAGCGCCAGCGAGTGATTGTCTTTGTGGGCAGTCCCGTGACCGAGGACGAGAAGGACCTGATCAAGCTCGCAAAGAAGATGAAGAAGAACAACATAGCCGTTGACTTTATCAACTTTGGCGAGGACGCCGAGAATGTCGACAAGCTCGAGAAGTTTATCGCAAACGTCAAGTCTGGGGAGAACAGGTGAGCTTACAAATGTCCAATTCTACTACGATGATTCGGTTCTGCGGGCTAACTTTGGACTTGTTTTGTAGTCATCTTGTGAACATCCCACCAGGCCCGCACCTCCTTTCGGACGTGATTGTGACCTCTCAAATCCTGACCGACGAAGACGGCATCCCGCAGGTCTCCGTCGGCGGCGGTGCTTCGGGCGGCGACTCGTTCGAGTTCGGCGTCGATCCCAACCTCGATCCCGAGCTCGCGCTCGCGCTGCGCATGTCGCTTGAAGAAGAGCGCGCGCGGCAGGAGCGCGAGAATAAGGAGAAGGCGGCAACCGCGGCGGCGGGGGGAACCGAGACTATTCCTGAGGAACCGGCCGCGGAGGCGAGTGCGAGTGCGGGCGGAGAGGAGGAGGCGAAGCCGGCGGATAAGAGCGAGGATAAGATGGACACTGACTAGAAGGATTTGTATAGTACTTCGCTACGACGTTAGTATAGGCCTAAGAATGAAACAGTAAGAGATATTAGGATGTGTAGTTGAGATTAGAAATCAGCAGACTTGCTGCATAACCATTACATAAAAGAAAAGCAAAACACCAGAAAATCTGCCACTAAATACATGATTCAAAACTTGTCGAATAATTAAAATCGCTCTTCCCGACCGGCGTAGTCTGACCGTGATCTGATCCGATTAATCCCCCACGTCCCCAAAATACTCAACATTCCCACGCGCCAGCCCCTCCACAGACCATCGAGTCCCGTTTCGCCGTTATCCTCGTTTGTGAGGATATTCCACATCGTGCCCAGAACACCTTCGTACTCTCCTATGTCGACGATTGCTTTCTTCACGCCAACGTAGGCGAGCTGGCCGCGGCGCAGGACGGTTTCGAGCGGGAGTCTGACGAAGAGCTCTGCGGTGGCGGAGAGGAAGGAGAAGAGGCTGAAGGCGACGGGGGAGCCGTATTGCTCGATGCCCCATCTGCTGCGGAGGAAGTAGGGCGTTCCGCGACGGATGAGCTTGGGTACGGCGGCGAGGAGGGCGGTCGGAAGGAGGAGATGCTGGGGACATGTGAGCGAGGGGAGACACTGGAGAGAGGTGACGACAGAGCGCGGCTGCGCGTCGGGAGGGGTGAGGATCAGTTTTGTGCGGACGATGTCGAGAGGGGAGAGGAGGAGGGCGGTGACTGTCGTTGCGGTGACGGAGGCAAAGAGGGCGACGAGCGGGTGCGTGCTGTCGATGACGTCGATAATGGAGGGGTCTGAGATCCCGATGATGGCGGAGAAGAAGGCCGACATCCACGATTCAATGGTGTTGAATGCCAGATTCTGCACGAACGTCACATTGGATCCTGTAGAAATCAAAAATCAGCTATTGGCTCATATAAAATTAGAGCAACTCAACTCACCCTTCCAAATTCCCCATGGTCCATCTTTAGTCCATAAGGCGCCCATGGCACCCGTTATGTGCGGAGAGTGCGCGGTGATCTGATGTAGCTCCGGTATCGGCATCGATGTTTTCCGCAACCTCGCCGACGCTCTCTTTCGACTGCCTGTACTGTTGATCGACTCGTCCGATGATGCAGACGAGGTTACGCTATTTGCGCGGTTGTGTTGGTGGCGGGGTTTCGATGCCGACGGACCTTTGACGTCTCCCGGCGTGGAGAAGTAGTCAACTTCGTCTTCGTCCTGGTCGTCAATGTCGATCTCGAACGTGTCGATGTCGTCTATCCGTCCCCGCGGACCTCGTTTACTGCTCGTTGGTTTCTTGGCCGTCGTAGACGACGATCCTGGTGCGCGGACGTACTTGCCGCACTGCAGCACCATCTTCGCGACCTCGAACGGCTGTACGAGAAAGGTCGACGAGTACCTCATAAGCACGGCGCCTGTCACGCTGCGCACGACTTCGGTCGTGTTGGGAAACTCGAGGTAGTCTGCATAGTCGAGATCCGCGAGGAGCGCGTCGGCGCGGGTCGACGAGCTGTAGGACCCGTTCGCGAGGCCGCTGCCGCCGCCGTGCTTGGAGATGGCAAAGTCGGGCACCCCGTTGTGGAAAACGAGTTCTGGGCGGTGGTAGTATGGTCTGAGAGAGTCTGACCGCGAGAAAGGCGCGGAGGGGGGATCTGAGGAGGACATTGTGGTTTGACGATGAGCTGATGTTTGCCGTTGGATGACTTTGAATCCGGAAGAGTTATTTCACTCAAACGTAGCTGTGGAAACAATACAGACGGTGAATATCAGTGTCGCCAACCAAGATCTAGCGCCGTAAACAAACAAAACAGCCAGACGCGAGAACAAAGCGGCGATCAAAAAGGATCAAGAAACGGTTTGCTGCTGGCTGATGAAGGAAGGCTGAAGAGCGAGAAGCGAGGTTTGGGATGATGACGTGATTGCTGACTCATCCATCGAAGAAAGAAAAAAAATATTCAAAACTCCCAACGGGATCCTGATCAGAGTATTTTCAGGTTCGGTTTGAAGAAAAAGTGCTTAGAACGAAGTGAATAATAGAGAATGGCAGGAACAAAGCTGAAAAACGGAGATTCGAGAAAACGAAAGATGACGGAGAAGAAGGGAGGTGTGAGGGAGGAGGAGAAGCCAAAGGGATCAGTCAGGCTGGCGGCGCTGAAACGGAAGTCGACGAAGAGCGCGGTGAAGAACAAGAAGCGCAAAGTTGTTTCTGAGAGTGAAGAATCTGGTTAGTAAATGGTGCTTTATGTGTGATTCTAGTGGTAGTATATACTAACAGGCTATCTGTTTGGGTGCAGAAGAGGCTGAGATGCCAGAGGTAGACTCAGAACAGGACTCGAACGATGAGTTCGAAGTCGACGATGTGTCGAGCGACGGGGCCGAAATCAGCGAAAGTGAACTCAAGAGCACAGCTAATGATGCAGACGAATCTGAGGATGATGATGGAGCGGATAATGAGGATGAGGGCGACGAGAACAGTGACGCAGACAGCGAGTCTGGGGACGATGATTCAGATGGCGATGAAGAGATTGAACATATCAATGCTGCCGCTCATGAAAAGCAACCCAAGAGTACGTCTTTTTACTTCTACTGATACATCTAATATTGAACTGTGCTAATGATACCTCTACCTTCTAGAGAAGAAAAACCTCGACCCGGCCGCGTTCTCGACCGCCATGACTGCGATTCTCGGCTCCCATCTGAAAGCCCACGATCGTTCGGACCCCGTTCTCGTGCGCTCCAAGAAGGCCGCGAAGGAGATCGAAGACGCAAAACTAGAAGCGAAAGCCAAGCGTGCGCTGCGAATGGAAAAAAAGGGATTGCTGGATAAAGAGCGCGTGAAGGACGTGATTAGCGGGCTTAGAGAAGGGGAGGCTACTGATCCGGACGCGGTACAGAAGAATACGGAGCGCGAGAAGAAGTTGAAGAAGACGGCGAAGAGGGGTGTTGTCAAGCTTTTCAACACTGTGATCGAGGCGCAGAAGAAGGCGATTGCGAATTTGGCGGTGCAGGCTTAGGTTGGGAATTTTGCTTTGAGGATTTATATAACTGTAATATACTAGACGATCTGAATTCTGCAATGTAGAGAACCTCCTCTGAATATATACAAAAAACCCGACTGGAATTACAACTGGTGTCGAAGCAGTCTGCAACTTGCTTCCGCACTCGTGTTATATGCTACATATTATGGATTCCGTTTCGCTCCAACCCACCTTCACCTCTTGTCACCAAGCACGAATCATCTCTACCAGGTCGCCCACACGCCACAAAGTCAAAAATGAGAAGACGAGATATTAAACATTTTTTCTAAAGTAGAGCTTATCGCTTTTCGAAATCGCGAGCCTGTAGGTTTCTGGTCATCTGGGGAAGCGCGACTCTCAGCCCGTCGAGCTCTTTTGTCATTGTAACTTGGCATCCAAGGCGTGATCTACAAGATCATTGTCAATTTGAGAGTTGCTAGATGCACAAAGAGAGTGGGGGGACTTACGTCTCAGTGAGACCGAAGGCCAGGTCGAGCATATCGTTCTCGTCATCATCTGGTTCGGGAATGAGGTCGTAGTATTCTGGGTCGACGATTACATGGCAAGTCGAGCACGCGCAAGAGCCACCGCAGGCGCCTGGTACCATCGTGTTAGCACCTGCAGACGAGAATCATATACATGTTCATATATATGTTCATTCAACGGAACATATTGTTGTACGTACCCTCCATGTCCAAGTCATACGCCTGGGCGATATCAAGAAGATTATCCCCGGCAGCAGCGTCTATAGCAACCTGCTCTCCTTCTCTTGTTATAAAAGTGACCCGGATCCTGCATTATATACACATTAGCACTGAAATTGCACCGAAAGAGTAATCCAGAAGAACGACATACTCCTCTCCCGGCGCAGGCGTGTGAACATGGCCGTGCCAACTTATCGCCGACGACGAAAACTGCCTTTGTAGCGGCACTGTGACCGCAGCTCTGCCGAACGAGCTGCTGCTGCTTCGCGCGATGCTCGTGAACTGTCTTGCTGACGAAGACGACACTGCGGTGAGCAATATCCGGCTCGCCGGTTGCCGCAATAAACTGACTCCAAATCTGCTAGCCATGATTTGCCGTATTCTTACTGCAGTCTAAACAAAAATGCGATGATAGTCCAAACAGCGCTCGAATTGCCTCCCAAAACAACAGAGCAGAGCAGACACCCGACGAATAATCGATTTACAAATGACTTTTACGAATATTTCGATGTTTTAAAATTTTAAGGTTTTTGGTTCCGCTGACAAATTCAAGTGGGTTTTGTGGTTGAAATTGGTCCGCACGCGTTGTTTGGTCTTTTGACGCGTGAAGCTGCTCGGAGCTGAGGTGCGGTGATAATAATGACTACTTCCTCGGAGACCAAGACAAGGGGACGTTTGATTCTGCTCGAAGGACTTGATCGGGCAGGAAAGACGACTCAGTGTCGGCTGCTGTGTGACTACCTCATATCTCTGAACGGGGCTGGATCATGTCGCGTCCAAAAAGTGCCTGGTATGTTCTCCAATATGCCTTCCATCTATGTTGTATTTTGCTAATTCTCAGAAGATCGAACGACGCAGATTGGACAGATGATCAACTCTTATCTGGCAAGCAATACAACCCTACCAGATCAGTCAATTCACCTCTTATTTTCCGCAAATAGATGGGAACTCCGGGAAAGTATCCTCAGCTCGTTGATGGCGGGTCAAACCGTGATCCTAGACAGATACGTGCCGTCGGGCGTCGCGTACTCATTAGCAAAGGGCGTCGACAGCATGTCGTTAGAATGGTGTACTGCTCCCGAGCGGGGCTTACCGCGTCCCGACCTGACGATCTTCCTCGACATTGATCCCGAGAACGCGAAGCTGCAGAGCACGAGGGCGGACTTTGGACAGGAGCGGTACGAGGTGACTGAGTTTCAGGAGAAAGTGAGAGAGTGTTTTAAAAAGGTCTTGGCAAAGGGTGCGCTGGATGTCGGCCCCGTGTTTACTATCGACGCGTGTAGGACTATCGAGCAAGTGACTGCAGATGTAGTTCGGGCGGTGGACTCGGTGGTTGTGAGCGGCAGCGAGGTCTCTACATTATTATAAATGCACATATATAGACGGCTGCATACTTTATTAATAGACTATCTTACAAGAGCACTACTCCTCGTCATCAGACGACAACTCAGTATTCAACTCTGGCATCTCGAAATCTTCATCCTCATCGCCCTCATCTTCCTCCTCAGCAACTGGAATCGTCCCCACAGTGGTCTTTGTGGTAGTCGCTGCGACCGGGGTAGATACTGCACCCTCGTCATCTGATCGTGGTCTCTTAGGAGAGCTATCGGCAGCGGCATCATCCTCCGCCGCCCGCTTCTGTGCACCCAGCTGCTGCGAGATTGGCAACGAGCTCGTCTGAGGTTCTTCAGAACTGGAAATATGCTCTTTTGGTACTGGAGCCGGGGCAGAACTTGTCTGCAGCACCTTATCACTTGAATCAGGAATGTGCTTGAGGATAGAAGACACAGAGGGCGCGGCAGAAGCAGAGGTAGTTGGCTCAGCTGTTTCTGCAGCAGATTGTGTCCCCGGCTTCACAACCAACTCCTCGAGCTTGACACGGCTCTCGTCGTCTTCGTCATCAGCCATCTCCTCATCCCCTGACTCTGCATCACTTCCTTCCTCCTTGACAGCTTGAGCTTTGAGCGACTTAAGCGCCTCCACTGATGCCGTCGCCTCAATCTCCTCCTTCCGCTTCGGCATAGGCGGGAAGCGCGGGTGAATCAGCGCCCCGAGAGCTTCGCTTTCGGGAATCTTCCGGGATACCATAGGTAGGATGCTCCATCTGATGTTATTACCAGGCTGCAGCACTGTCGCGAGAAGCAAACGTTCTTCCTCAGTAGCTGACGACGGAGTATTCAGCATCATCAGCGCAAACCGGTCAATTCGAGACCGCGTTGTGGCAGGTAATCCAGGCATAGCATTCACGACCGCATGCAGTAGTCTCAAAACTGGCAGTCGGAGCTCAGACGGTGGCTGTGTCACGAACGCGGACGGGTGGCTGAAGAAATCTGCAAGGGTCGAGGATTCGTTGATTGGCTCGAGACTGGTGAGAGCGAGCTCGATGATGTGGGTTAACTCTTGCGTAAAGTCGTCGGGCACGAAGCGCATCAGGGTTGTGAAGTTCGTGACAAATTCGAATATGGGGATCGCAAAGAGGCTGTTTATAGTTAGCAGAGGCGTAATGTGTGAATTTCAAAGACATCTTACCTGCTGGGCACTAGTTTTACCGATCGTAGGTGAGAAAACACCTTTTCCGTATATGGCAACATTGCCTGACCGACTGCATGCGCAGTAGTATTGAGAAGGTTATACGCATTCCCATGAACCACAGGAAGAACAGTCAAGATGAAATCCCGGTCCTGTCTCTCTGAAGTGTCTTTGAACTCGATCAAGTCAATTTCCATATCAAGCAGACGATCTGCCAGATCAATGATCTTTGAAAGCGGGACTTGTACTGGCCCCTTTGTTTCGGTGGTCAAGACGGTTTGTAGCAGACGGAAGAGCATCTCAAGACGCAAGACTCCCGTATAAGTGTCGCGGATGTCGACGGTCATTTCCCACCCTGAGGCAGACTCTGAGTACTTCGCATCCTGCTGTACTATTCCGAATGTTTGCGATATAGTCTTATGAGCCTCGTCCACGATCTTCAAAATTGAGATCTGCCACTCGCGAAGTTGGTCTTTGGGAGCGGTGAGATATATCGAGGCGTAGATGCTCCCGCACAGACTTTCGATCTGCAGATCAACAGGAGTCTGCGTCCATGCGCTCGAGTTGAGCGTCGGGTACACGATGTTGTTCATCACCTTACTCACAAACGGACGGAACGTGTTTGAGAAATTTCGAATGAGATCCAAAAATGCAGGTAAGGCAATAAGCAGCGCGCGCTTTGTGAGAATGTCGTGCTCGGGAGAGGCAAGCGATAGTAGCGCCGAGGCGTATGCTGGGATATGGGGGGTCGCGATCTCGCGGATCAGCGTGGGCTTGTCTTTTATCCGTGAAAGGATTTTGCGTATAGCTCCAACAACTGCTTCTAGAGTATCATATCCGTCCACTCGTTTCTAAATCATCACATGTTAGTACCCGCGTCGGAAAAGAAAACAAGAGCTGCTTACCTCCAAAATCGAGACGAGCAACTTCATCCAAGTCAGTCCATGGCTATTCATAGACTCCCACTCGACTCCAATAAGCGCGTTAACCAACTCCGCACCAGACCGCCTGACATCAGACTTTGACGACTGCAGCATAGCCGACAGTCGGACGCGGACGCGGTGCAGGATCTGAGGATCTGAGGAGCTGATGATGGCATGCGAACTAAGGCAGAGCGCGGCCGAGCCCAGGCGCGTGTGCAGCGTCGGCTCGGTCTCGGGCGCAAGAGTTGTGACCAAACATGTCCTCAACTGAGACGATAGTGCAGCGGCCGACATCTCTCTTCTTCTATTTCTCGGACTGTTGAAATAGACAGGAATCAGATATCTTCGTCCCTGTCCTCGATGCTTGCGATCAATTTTTATTTTTCCTGTGCGGCTCTTGAGATCACGTGGAAGGGGTAAAGTTGTTTATCGCCGGGTAACGTCCGTTCTGAGCGCTACGCGGGCGCGGGACGAGAACCGCGCAGTCGGCGAGAAAAAAAAATCGGAACCACAGCGCGAAGGAGACCGTCTTCAACCATCGAATTAGAGACTCAAAACCACGACCATGGCTCTTCCTGTTACTGTGTAGGTTGAATGTGGTTTATGTTGCTGTTAGTGAGGGATTGTGTGCTGACTTGTTTGCTGTGTTTAGGCTCCCCGAGCTTACGACCCCGGTCTACTCCGCCGTCCTCGATTCTGGAGTATGCACCGTGATTCTGTCTGCGACAACAAACAAGACGACTAACCAAGGCTCAAACGCATCTAGGTCCTTCTCAAGCTCACCAAGCACACCTCCGAGTCCTTCCCTTCCACCGTCTGCGGTCTTCTTCTCGGTCTCGACGCCGATTCAGTCCTGCAGCTCACGCACGCGTTCCCCTTCCCTGCCGACTCCTCCGCCAGCTCGAGCGATGACACCGCCAACCCGCGATCGAAGATCAACCTCAGATACCAGGCGGACATGATCCGGCTGCTCAAGGAGGTCAACATTGAAGTCAACCCGGTCGGATTCTACATCTCGTCTTACCTCGGCGGCTTCTTCACCCAGACCCTCGTCGACAGCCTCGTGAGCTTCCACGCCAGCAACCCCAACAGCATCGTTCTCGTCCATGATGTCACAAAATCCTCACAGGGAAGCTTATCGCTCAAGGCCTACCGTCTTTCAGAGCAGTTCCTGGCCGCCAACAAGGCCTCAGGCGGAAAGTTCTCGAGCGAAGCTGTCGTCAAGCACGAACTCACCTACCTTGATATCCTCGAGGAGCTGCCTCTCTCCATCAAAAACTCACATCTTGCCACTACCCTGCTACAGCACCTTGACTCTCCTGCCTTTGCGAAGAAGGACGACCCCAGCACTCTTCTCGCTTCCTCCACCATGGCTCCTAACTTTGATACCTTGGAGCTGTCGATCGATCCTTACTTGGAGAAGAACGTCGAGTTCTTGATCGACTCTGTCGATGACTACTATGCCGAGCAGGGCACATTCAACTACTTCCAGCGTCAGCTCTCGAGAGAACAGGCCAAGATCCAGCAGTGGGTCCAAAAGACTGTGAGTTGTCACTCTTAATTGTTCTCTGCAGGTATATCATTGCTAACAGTCGCTATAGAAAACCGAGAACGCCCTTCGGGAGCGCGCAGGTCTCCCCACAGTTTCCGAGGACGACTGGCAAAAGCAATTCAAGCTCCCGACCGAGCCCTCGCGTCTCGACAACCTGCTCATCTCTGCTCAGATCAACCAGTACTGCAACCAGATCGAGGAATACGGATCCGTGGTTTCGGCTAAGATGTTTGCGATCCAGAACGGTCTTGATATCAACAACTAAGCTGTGTGTTCTTAATTAGAGAGTAAAATGGCTATTTTGTCTTTTGTTATATGTCCTTGTCGTTGTCCATCTTGGTTCATCTCGTGTACTTGCAGTGCTTTACGTTTAAGGTCTGGTTTGTAGTTTAAGTTATAAAAGTTGATACTTTTCTCACGTTTATAAGCAATTTGTAATTGTCCAATGCATCATAACCGACAATTGAGGACATCTGTAGTGAATGCAGTGAAGACAGACTGTAAGGGGTCTGTACCTGTAATAGGCCTACGCTCCAGAAGAACTGAACCTTCAGAATAATATGGACGATACAGTTGCGTACCTGAACTATCTGAGCAAATGTCGCGGAAAGTATTTCTTCGCAACGTGCCTCTGCTGTTAGCTATTGGCGGAGGCGTGTATACAGGTATGTGCTTCGACTCAATTGCTTTGTGTGGGTTGAAGTGCTTGAAGCTGATGCGTTTGGAATCTTAGGTTACGAGGTGTTTGATCCGCTGTTCAGGTAAGACAGCGTGCTGCTAGTGGTTCCTTCTAATTGACGGTTGACATATTGGCATAGAGAAGAGCGTGATCGACTCATTCGTGAAGGCGTGCTGGTCCTACCGGAAGAAGTCGGCAAGCAACCCGAGGGCACCACCGTTACCGGAGATGTGCCTCTCTCAGACTTTTCCGGAATACCCCCGGACGCGATCCAGATCAACCCGTTTGAGCCTTTACTGCACGAGGCTGCGCCTGCAAAGTCTTACTGGCACTATCTTAGGCATCCAACCGAGTTGCTGGGGTCGAAACCGCTGAGCGCGGCTGATGTTGAGCATATGAAGATCACGACTACGGCGTCAAAGGAGAAGTGATGGGGATTTCGATGATATGGGATGATTATATAGCCTAGTGAACGGAGTTGAAGTAGTCTTAGTATGGACTTGTACATAATATACATTATATGAAAAAGAAAGAATCATTGTCTCGTACGCTGCTCACGACGTCTGTCGACAGACGACGAGCGGGATGAACGAGATGACGAGTGCCTAGGTGAACTCCGGTGCTCTTTTTCTCTCCGAGAACTCTCACCGTCCTCTTCACTCCGCCTTTCCTTCTCATATTTATGAGCGCGATCGAGCTTTCGTCCATGATGAGGACACAGCCAGCATGCCACCATTATTGATTTCGTCTCGAGCTTTCCGCGCTCGTCAGGTTCAGAATACCTAAACACCACCTGCCTTTTCTCAAGTAAAACCCGATGGCGCCCACTGTCTTCTCTAAATCTTGGAACGCTATCAGAATTAGGCTTGTAGCTCTTGTCGCGCATACGGCAACCAACTTCCGCACAGATACCTCGCTCGCCGCCTATATTTTCCTCATATTCAGCAAGCGTTCGCCATCGAAGGCCAATCTTGCCACTTCGGTACCGTGATAGATCTATGATTGGGAAATCTTTGACCAAACGCGAGGCAAACTTCTTCGCAATCTCACGGCCGTACTCGGCGGCCTTTGCTTCCCGATCGCGAATATCGATCTGCGCTACAACGAGCTCAGATGACGAGCCGGCCTGGCTCGTGCCTGTCGGTGCTTTATTTCCTGGTACTTCGTCTTCGTCCCATAAGAGTCGGTGAGATCGTTCGAGGAGATCGCGTTCGGTGACGACAGGGAGACTGCGAATGGCTTCGACGGCGTTATGTAAGTTGTCTCTCCGGATGACTTGGCGCGATGAGCTGCTTCTCGAGCCGTCGTTTCGAGTAGAGGAGCTCATTCTTAGTGTAATAGCGCATATTCACCGGATCAAAACAGCGTCTGTGGTTGATTTATCATAATGCGTTGACTATTCGTGAACATCGCGTCGAGGCGAGTGAGCCCGAACCCTGAACTGGCGCGATTATCCAGTGAGTCAACCAGCCACGGAGATCAACAGCACCAGAAGCATCACCGACCCGATCTACAAGGCCTGACATCGCTGGTCTGGCTGTTCAGCCTATTTGTTTGCAATGAGTGAGTTCTATTTAATCTAGTGTCTATTGTTGTGTAGTTACCTGTGTTGTTGACACTCTTCGACGCAGATAAGGAGATCCAGCGCGGTCTGAACGACAGACTCTACGAGAAGCGCAAAGCCGCTGCTCTCGAGCTCGAGAAAACAATCCGGCAATGCGTTGAAGAGAACGACGAGGCAAAGATCAGATCAATTGTCGATCAACTGTGCCACGACTTTGCCTATGCCGTGCACCAGCCGAACGCGCGCAACGGCGGCTTGATCGGCCTCGCCGCGTCGGCTATCGCCCTCGGTCCGCACGTCGCGCAGTATCTCGAAGATATCATTCCGCCCGTGCTGGCCTGTTTTGGAGATCAAGACGCGCGGGTGCGGTACTACGCTTGCGAGAGTATGTACAATATCGCAAAAGTCGCAAAGGGCGAGATCTTGCTGTACTTCAACGAGATCTTTGATGCCCTCTGTCGTCTGGCGGCCGATTCAGAGTTGACTGTGAAAAACGGAGCTGATCTGCTTGATCGGCTGATTAAAGATATCGTGGCGGAGAAAGCGGCGACTTATGTCTCGGTCATCAACACTACGCCTGAACCGCTCCCACCAGATCCGGCGGCGGAGCAGAGTGACCCTTACAAACCGGTTCTCGCACACGAGCCTGTTCAGGATCCTACCCAGGAACCTGCATTCCAGCTCTCGCGCTTCATCCCTCTACTCACCGATCGCATATACGTTATAAATCCGTTTACCAGAATGTTTCTGGTTTCATGGATTACTTTACTAGACTCTATCCCTGATCTGGAGCTAGTTTCGTATCTTCCAGAGATCATTGGCGGTCTCTTAAACTTCTTGAGCGACACAAATATCGATGTCCGGGTCGCGACGCAAGGCGCGCTCGACAACTTTTTGAGCGAGATCAAGCGGATCACTGAGCTGAAGCGGACTGTTGCAGAGGTCAAGGCGCAGAATGCGGCAAAAGAAGCGCACGAAGCGACAACTTCTTCATCAGCTTCTGCTAATGTCGGCAAGCCGGACGCGTCAAAGCCTGCGGATGCGGCAGACAAGGGAAAGGATGGCGAGGAATCAGGCGATGATGAGCAGTTTGTCACTGCTGATGGAGCACCAGTTGGCTCCGGATCGGAGAATGGAAAGGCTGGAGAATTGTTAGATGTGGATGAGGAGTATTTGGATGAGGAAGAAGGTTCAGGAGCCAATTTTAACTTGGCGTCGGCGATCGCGGAGGGTGTGTATCTTCCTGGCCAAGATGTCAAGGTTGATTACGCCAAAGTGATTGAGATCCTGCTCTCGTACCTCGACTCTACAGAGCAGGAGATTCAGCTGACTGTGCTGAAGTGGATCGAGAGCTTTTTCGAGATCTGCCCGGATGATCTTTTGCCGTTCGTTCCTCGCTTTTTGTCGGTACTGTTGCCGACGATGGCACACGATAATGAGCAGCTTCGCAAGTCTGCAGAGACTGTGAATAACGAGCTGATGCAGCTCATCATGTCTCTTCCTGACACGGTAGCGGATAATGAAAAGAGACGGCACGACGGTGATGATCAATCTCTGCCTCCGACTCCCGGTTTACCGCATAGACAGGGCTTCGGCGGGTCTCCTGCCACGGCCCGGAGTCTATCACCTCAGCCGCCTGTTGGTGGACGATCGCTTTCGCGGGAGAGAGTTGTCAGAGACCGGGACGAGGAGAGCCTGATGAGCAAGCTTTCGCTGACGGCTAGCAGCAGCCGGTCGCAGCCAGCGTCGGCTTTGACTTCGCCGACAATGGTCGCAACCGAGGAGCCAGACGCTGCTTCCGCAAGTAACGGCAAAGCCGACGACTCTACTAACCTAGAGCTGTTGATTGATTATCCAGCTACGGTGAACGCACTGACTCTGCACTTCCTCAACGAGAGAGAGGAGACTAGAGTTGCGGCTCTAGATTGGCTTATAATGTTGCATCGGAAAGCGTCTCGGAAGATTCTGGCAATCAACGACGGGACTTTCCCAGCACTTTTGAAGACGCTTTCGGATTCTAGTGATGCAGTGGTTACCAAAGACCTTCAACTACTCGCGCAGATCTCTTACAACTCCGAGGACGATTATTTTGCGTCGTTCATGCTGAATTTGCTGTCGCTGTTTAGCACTGACAGAAAGCTGCTCGAGACACGAGGAAACCTCATCATCCGTCAACTCTGCGTCAGCCTCAACCCCGAGCGGATTTACCGCACGCTGGCTGAGATTCTTGAGAAAGAAGACGACGTCGAGTTTGCAAGCATCATGATCCAGAACCTGAACAATAATCTCATAACCGCTCCCGAGCTGCAGGGTTTACGGAGACGGCTACGGAACCTGGACACGAAAGAAGGGACGAATTTCTTTGTTTCGTTGTTCAGATCGTGGTGTCACAACGCGGTCGCTACGTTTGCGCTTTGTTTGCTGGCGCAGGCTTATGAGCAGGCGTTTCATTTGCTGCAGATATTTGCGGATTTGGAGATTACGGTCACGTTGCTGATTCAGGTTGATAAACTGATTCAGCTGCTTGAGTCGCCTGTATTCACTTGTAAGCTCAACTATCTTTTTGGAGTCTCGTTGGTGTACTCAAGCTAACTCTTATAGATCTTCGATTGCAACTTCTGGAGCCTGAAAAGTATCCTTATCTATATAGATGTCTGTATGGCTTACTGATGCTGCTCCCGCAGTCTTCCGCATTTGCCACGCTCCGCAACAGACTCAACTCTGTCAGCGCTATCGGATACCTGCACATTGTTCCTCCCGCGCTGATGTCCTCCGGCGGAGGCGCTACCTCTGCGACATCAGGAAAACAGCCTGTTTTTAACCGCTTCAAGGGCCGGATTGATGAAGCCCGCTGGAACGATCTGTTGGATAAATTTCGCACAGTGCAAACTAAACACGAACGACTTCGGCGACAGGTGCAGGGTGCGGGTCCTGCTAACGGGCTTGGAATGACTGGTATCGACTTTCCTACCGAGAACGCACGTCACGGATCTTCACTGAACCAGGGCAACTCTGCGCCGGAGCCGCCTCAGCAGCAGCCGCTCCACCATCATAGAACCGCTCTGTCGTTCATGTCGGGCGCGAAAGGGTTCGGATATAACGCTGGAGGGAGTTCAGGGTACAGCAGCAAGGGGCCGTCGTCGGTGCAGTCGGCCTCTAGTCTACGCGAGTCGTCGCGGATTTTCAAGTCGAACAAGAAGCTGTAGATTGGGCGGTAATGTTGTGGTGTATGTGTATTTAAAGATATGATATCGGCGCATGATGAATAATAAATGTTTCTGATAAATCGGAGTTTGACCTAACCCAAAGCCCTGTAAAACCTAAAATAAAAAAGAGATGATAATCCTGATGCAGTGAACACCATCATAAGCAGCAAGAAGAAGAATAAGAGGAAGTAAGCCTTTGTGTACAGAAGAGGCCCGAAGGATAGCTGACGGATGCCTTGAGAATGTGGCCGTCGGATGGCGATTACGGAGTCCGTCTGGAGTACGGTCATCCAGGCGGCGCGCTGTATGCTCCCGGGCTGTCTTTGGAAGGGTCCTGGATTTATCCGCGGTTGCATAGCAATAGTATGTCGCTGTTCTGAGTATACTACGAGCTATCTGCTAACAAAGTCTGTGTTGTGAAGGTCTGAGATGGAAAGCGACGAATCATTTGAAAATGTACAGCGGCGCGACGCGACTTGAGATCAACGATTCCGCACGGCTTCCGCTGGACTACTCCCGGCGACAACTGGTACGTTCCACTAATGATTGACTTTTGCAAGAATTTGCAGATCTGACGAGCATTTACAGAGCAAATTAGTACCAGACTCGTTCATCCCCAGCGAAGTGGTGAGCGACGCGCTAAGAGAAGTGAAAGCGCTCAACCGAAAGACGCCGTCGTTTGTCGATCCGCTGCAAGGCAATTTACTCGATTTCGGATATTTACGAGACCACACCAACGATCGACGGAGAAAGTGCTGCGCGTTTGCGGGTGGGGTGAATACCACGATCCTCCATGTTGCGACCGTGGTGGACGGAGAGTATGAGCTGGATGCGTTTCGAGGGTCGTATCTCGAACTGCCGGTGTTGGGTGCGCATCATGCGCAGCTGGATATCAAGGAGCCTATCCTGGGGCTCAAATTTGCCGGGTATGAGACGTCGGATAGTGTGAGAGCGGTGCTATCGGTTCGGACGCAGTCGGGAGTGTCGTTCTATCGACCGGGGATGGTGCGCTCTGAGATGTCGAGAAACCAGCTGATGACGATCGATTTGATGTCGACGATCACTGCGCCCCAGTTCAGTACGTTTTCAGATATCTCGTTTAATCCGTGGTACTGGCGACAGTTTGCGGTGGTGGATAATTATGGAAAGATACATTTGCGAGAGATGAATTACACAAATACAGGTGTCCCGAAACCGCATTTTCAGCAGTTGGGAGGGCAGGAGCAGGTAGAAGCGCCTGAGCGTCATCGAGTTCTTTGGGGTGCGAACTTGAATAACCTGATTATGTCAAATAGTCGCAATGTGCTCTCGTTTGATCTTCGGGCGCCGGCAGGGAATGCTCCACTGCGGTATGCCCCGCGAAAGTCGTCGAGAATTATTGATGTGCATAACGTGGGAGAGAAGAGGAATGAGATGCTCGTGGTTACTACTGACGATTTGATTTGGATGGATCTCCGAATGTTTCCGAAGGAGTCTCTGGCATGGAAGCACTACCGGGACCATGATCCCGAATTAAAGTGTTCAAGCTTTGTGTCCAACGATGACACTTATGCTCTGTTATATTCGACAGCTGAACCACTTGTTACCTGCTACCAGTTTGGGATGCGCGACAAACTTCCTTTCTCATGCGAAGATCCGTATATATTTTCGGCAAACATCGGACCTCGCGTGCTAGATCTTGTGCCTCTACCGGCTAAGTTATCAGAAATGTCGGAGCCGAACGATCATCTGAGTCAGTGCAGCTTTATGACGATGTATCAGTTTTCGATGGATTACAGTCTTACGCAACGACTTTATTGTTCTGATAATACAGGGGCTCTGCAGTCTCTGGCGTTGGATGTATGGGCTGATGCCGATGGTATATTTAATGATGCAGCAGCGCTGACTGATTTCAACGACCCCGAACCAATTATTGCTCCTCGCACCGTGAATCTGCATCCGCTATATGAGAAAGTATTCCCAGAAGAAGACAAGACCCTCGTCACGCTGTCAGCGGAGCAAGTGACGAGGGACGTCTGCGGACGCATATGGCGTCTCTTCACCGAAAACACAAATCAGACTTTAGCCGAGCCAGCGAGTCTATTCGAGCTGGTCGATTACACCGGTGTCGCGGACGATTTATCCGTGTTTGCTGCTGGATTGCGTGAACTTGCTGAGGCGCTGGAGCGAGAAGGATACGGCGTGTATGACTGTGGCTTGCAGAACTCGGCGTATAGTGCTTTGAACGGGTTAGATGCGCAGGCGAATTACGAGCGGCTTCTTGCGATCTGGGTACGTTCACTTCCGACGGCTTCGCGGACGGTCTTTCGCGAAGACGAGAACGGGGATACGGTCGAAGACGGCATGGTCCGTCCTGTTCCGGCTAAGGTGCGTTTGCGAAGAGAACGGATTGCGCGAAGGATAGCGGGGAATATAGCGATGGAGTCTGTGGTGGTTGCGCCAACGACCAGGGCGAAGGATGTGAGTGCGGACGAGAATAGTGCGGAGTTTGCGCTGCGGGAGTTGGCGCAGTTTGTCAAGTTTAGGAGTAAAGCGGATGCGAAGAGTAATGCACATAGGTTGGCGGCGGGGTGGATTGTCGGAGATCAGGAGGGTTGATGAGGGTGTGTTGATGTGTAATGTACGATGTATGGTGGGCAATGTAAGATAGATAGATCACAAGTAATTTAACTTGAGCAACCGTGGAATTTGGCTGAGAAAAGATTGCCAGGCTATCGCTCAGGATGCGAAGTAGCTTCATCCTTGAGCCCGGAGATCATTTTCTACAGAAAGTCAGTAAGCACACCCTTCTCCTCCACAACCAGAACACAACATACAGCCAACGCCTCAGGACTCATTCCACTATCACACAGTTTGATGCACGTCGCGATTGTCTGTTTGTCTATCCCAGCATCAAGCAGGAGAGCGACTTCGTACAGCTTGTCGAGGATGTCGTCGTCAGAGAGTGGTGGTTTGGCGGAGGATTCGGCGGTCGCGGGCGACGCTTGCCCGAGGCCGTCCGGCTGATATGACTCGTTGGTATCTGGCATCACAAAAGCGTACGCTGCATGGCGAAGCTGTTGCGTGGAAGCTGCGGTGTAAGTGATTTTCTGCGGAAGCAGACTTAGCGCAGAGTGAAGAGAACCACGTCGCGTAACTATAAACAACCCCTGAACGCGTTCCGTAAACTTTAGGGTCTCGCACGCGTCCCGCTGCCCTCTCAAACCACCAACAAATATCCCCGAAATGAGCAGACGAAAGATAGGATACGCTTATAGTAAAGCGTATACATCTATCTGCGACCTCCTGCCGTCGAATATAGGTCGCGCGTCGCTCGTTGACGGGTTGATCAGCGCATATGATTTACAGTCGCAGTGCGATCAGATAATACCTCCCAGTTTCGCCTCGAAGGCGCAGCTAGTGTCATTCCACGACAGCGATTTTATCTCGTTTTTGCTAGGGGAGGAGGTTGAGCTAGACGAAGATGATAGCGACGACAACGACAGCTCGCGATCAATTCTCGAGCAGGAACCAGATCATGACGATAGAGATCGGAAACTGCAGGCGAGGTTCGGGGTTGAATTTGATTGTCCTAGGTTCCAGGGACTGGACAAGTACATCCAGGCCGTTGCTGGGACGACGTTATCTTGCGCTCGCTTCTTGAGTCAGGAAAGTGCTGGTGTGGAGCAGAGGATTGCGGTTAATTGGCATGGGGGACGGCATCATGCGGGGAAAGAGCGTTGTTCTGGGTTTTGCTACGTTAACGATATCGTGCTCGGCATACTCGAGTAAGTCTCTACCTGACGACTCGTTATCTTCTGGAGGACACCACTGACACTGACATATCACGCAGACTACGCAAGCAATTCGACAAAGTCATGTACATCGACCTCGACCTCCACCACGGCGACGGCGTCGAAAAAGCCTTTGCGCACTCAAACAAAGTGCTCAACCTCTCCATCCACCGCTTCGACCGCGGCTTCTTCCCCGGTACCGGCAACTCAAAACATAACGGCAAGGGTAAAGGCGAAGGCTTCACGATCAACGTCGGCTTGCGATCCGGGCTGTCGGATGCGTCGCATCGCAGGGTGGTCGAGGAGGTCGTGTTGCCTGCGTATCGGAAATTCAGGCCGGATGTGGTGGTCTTGCAGTGTGGAGCAGACGGCCTTGCGCGCGACCCTGCAAAGGAATGGAATCTGACGACTAGGGGCCTGGGAGATCTCATACTCGATATCATAGGCTGGGGATCTCAGCCCTGTCTGTTACTCGGAGGCGGTGGATATAACCACTCAGATGCAGCCAGGTTGTGGTGTTATGTCCTCGCTTGTCTGACGGTTGGCAGGCAGCAAGTTGAAAAGTGGGATTTGATTCCCGAGAACGCAGAATCTATTGATGAGTTTGCTGATGACGGGTTTGCGTTCTACGTCGAGAATGAAAAGAGATCGGTGCCGGACCGGAATCTGCAGGATGAGTACTTGGAGCGGATTATCGAGTACTCATTAGGTCGGCTAGACCTGATAGCAGAGGATAGCTGACGAAGAAATTTGCATAAATACATATCAATTCAAAAATACTATACATCTAAAAATATGAAATAGGAAAACATCAATGAGTAAAAAGAAAAGCACACTACAAATACAAAGAACCAGCAGCAACCAAATCTCTTCTGATTTTCTCCATCGCGACCTCCATCTTTTTCTCCAGATCCTCGTTTCCAATAACCTTAGCCGCCATGACCAGCTGTCGCAGCAACTCTTCCAGACGCTTGAACATCCGGATCAAACTACCTTCGTAGACATCAGTCATCTTGCAAATCTGCGCAAAGGACGCGCCCTGCGCCCAGGTGAAGACGACTTCCATGACTGTCGGCTTGAACTTGTCGACGTAGTCGTCTTCTGATATGTCGAGTTTACTTTCACGAGAGACCTTGGCTATCCGTCTCGCGGCTTCCTTCATATCCCTGAAAGGCTTCGCGAGCTCGGGAGGCATCTTACCGGTCTCCTTGCTCTTCTCTTCAAACACAAAGCAGCTCAACAGACCTGCAATAGCCTCGGGCGTAAGATCGTTGAACATACTGTTGAAAATCATCTCCGTCAGCAGAAGTTCATCGCCACTGCTAATCTCACAGGCCACACGGCCCTTGACTTCGATGATATCATCCTCGCTGATAAAACCGAGGCGGCGCAGGACACGTTTTCGGTACTTGAGCTCGTCGAGTTGCATGATCGAATGGGCTTTTTCGATCTTGCCCTTGATTTCTTGAATCTTGGTTTGCAGGTCGACCTTTGCGAGAAACTCCTTGTAGAGCTCGTCGAGCTCGGGAGAGTTGTAGACCGCGTTTGCCTTCAGTTTCGTCTCTAGGTTTTCGATTTTCTGTAAACTAGTTAGTACAAGTAGAGTAAGATAGCAGATATTAAGAAACGCATACCTTCTGAAGGGTCAAGAATGCATCATCCTTAATCTTCATGTTCTCAACTGGATCCAGCAATGTGATGCCATCAGGGAATCGCTTCTGGACTTCCTTGATCGACTTTGCGATATGCTCACGCTGCTGCGGTGACCTTAAATCTTGGCCGATAAAGATTCTCAGGTTCGAGATCTGTTGTAGGCAGTTGAGCGTCAAAGGTACAACCTCAACCTTGGACTTGCCGTCCTCTGCAGGCGGTCGAACTCCGTCAGGCAGTTCGACGTTCTTAGGAGTGATACGAGGGGAGTCTGCAGCAACATTGAGAGCGACGTCGACAATGTATGACTCATGAGGAGTGTATGTGACATTCTTCTGGTGCTTAGGAGGCGAGCGCTTGCTGTACGACACAACGGCACCCCATCCAAAGTCAACGCCCTTGTATGAGATCTTGACGAGTCTGCCAGCAGTCATAAATGGAATCGCAACAGAAGGATGCGAGATCACAGTCTGGACATCCTTATAGTAGCTATCCAGCTGCTGCTTCAAGTCATAGTATTCCGCAACATCTTCTTCCTGCTTGATTTCCATGGAGTTATACTTCTCGGTCTCGTCAGCAAGCTCCTTCTCGAGCAGCGGGACTTGAGACGTATTCTGGAACTGGAAGAAACATCGCTCGAGCATGTACTCAGGTGAGATACCTTCGACACGCATAAGGTTGAGAATCATGTTGTAGCTCAAGTGGAAGGCAGAATCAAGACGATCAGCCTGACCCTTCACCATACCCTTTGCAACTTCAGGCTCCATCTTCTCGTCGATCATCAGGATTACGATTCCACGATCATCGAGACCACGACGACCCGCACGACCAGACATCTGGATATATTCTCCACCAGAAACCCATCTGAAGTTCTTTCCGTCCCATTTGCGCACGTTCGTAAACACGACAGTCTTTGCAGGCATGTTCAAGCCGATCGAGAAAGTCTCAGTAGCAAAGAGGACCTTGATCAAACCCTCCTGGAACAGAATCTCGATGACTTCTTTCAAGATAGGCAACAATCCACTGTGATGGATACCGATTCCACGTCTCAGCAGAGGAAGAATGTGTTTGATCTGAGGTAGTTCTCTATCTTCGTCAGATAGCTGCGAGATTGCGTTCTGGAAGACCTTGGTAACCATATCCTTCTCGGCATCTTCGTTGAAGTCGAGCTTGCTCATTTGCAAAGCCAGAGCCTCGCACTCACGTTTGCTGAAACTGAAGACGATGACAGGATTGTACTGCTTTGTCATGATCATTTTGACGATCTTGTAGATATCCGAAGGTCCTTTCTGTTTCTTTTTCCCCCGATCCTTCAAGCGACGGTCGTTTCTATTCTTGGAAGACTCCTCGGTATTCTGATCGTTCGCGAGCTGACCCATAGCTTTCTGAAAGCTGTCCTCTCGAAACACACTCTTTTCGTCTACAACCAAATGGATTCCGTCTCCGCCCGCAGGGAAAAGATAGTGCTGCAATGGCGTCGGTCGGAAGTCGGTGTAGACAACGTGGCAAGGTTGGATATGGATCTTGCAGATCCACTCGGCAAACTGCATGGCGTTGGGGATGGTAGCAGACAGGAAGACGTAGCGAACCTTATCTGGCAGCAAGATGATAGTCTCTTCCCACACAACACCACGCTCCAGATCTCGCATGTAGTGAATTTCGTCAAAGACAACCCACGCCACTTCACGCATGACCTCTGAACCGCGATACAGCATAGATCTGAGAATCTCGGTAGTCATGACCAAGCAACTTGCCGTCTGATTGATGGTGACATCTCCAGTCATAAGACCGACGTCGCCAAACTCGGCCAGCAGTTCACGATATTTCTGATTACTCAAAGCCTTGATTGGCGAGGTGTAGATCACTCGCTGCTTGTCGCGTAAACTTTGCGCGATCGCGTATTCAGCCACGACGGTTTTACCGGCACTAGTGTGGGCAGAGACCAAGACAGACTCGTTGCGCTGTATTGAGGCGATAGCGTTTGCCTGGAACGGATCGAGAGTGAAAGGGTACGTTCTTGCGGGATCTTTTGGGGGTACGTGCTCAGAAAGCGGAACATAGTTGTAGTTGGGAGGCAGAGCAACTTGATGTCGGACCTGATGATTCAGCTTGACCTTGCCGTCCTCCTCAACCTTGACGGTTGAGGTGCCCTGGAAACCTGTTGAGGCAGTAACCTCCCGAGACGCCTCTTGTTCGAACTCATCAGTTACGACAGGTTCGGCAGTCTTGGCCTCCAAAGCCTCGCTTGTTCGCGCCTTCTTCTCAGTATCAACCTCTGTAGGACCATCTTCAGCTTCCGGCGAGCTTTCGTGCCCTCGCTTCACTCCATTTTTCGCTTCTTGGTCATTCTTGTCAGAAAGAGTTAGACCGTTGCGAGGAAGAGGTGTCCGCTTGGTCGGGGCGGTGGTCGTTGACTCTTCAAAGACGTCGAATAAGTCATCCATGTCTGGCAAACTTCAGATCAGCAAAAAGGTACGAGTTGGATATCAAGGTTGATGATGATAAAGTAGGTAGAAAAAGGCACGTACTCGACGGCTAGCTACTGAATTAGTGCACTGAATGCAAAACCAAGCACCTATCAGCAGAGCAATCAGTTTCGTGCAAATTTCAACACGGAAACCGATGTATAAATCGTAGCAAGCTCTCTCTTTCTTTGGGTCAAAACTTTTACTGCTGGGAGTTCCAGCAACAAAAATCCAGCAGAGATGCACGTGACTTTTGACACGTGACTAGAAAGTTTGCGCAGCGTCGAGGCAGACCACCACCGGTTTTCCAGAGCCTTACTTCTACGTCAAGACATACCATCACCGTTGTTATCCTCTCTATCCACAACACAATGTACGCTCCTACCGTTGCCCGCACCTCCGTCCGCTCGGCCGTCCGCAGCATGTCTGCGCGCGAGATGATCTTCAAGCGTGGATTCCAGTCCTCGCAGGTTGCTAAGTCCACTCACCACTGGCCCGAGGGTCCCTACAACAACCTTCCCTTCAAGGTCCACAACCGTCGCATTCCCTTCTTCATCCCTTACACCCTTTTCTTCTGTATGTGCTGGAGGTTATATTTCGTTGGATAGACAAGATGAGTACTGACTTGTTATGACAGTGGTTCCTTTCGTGACCCCCTTCGGCATGGCCGCCTTTGCTCTGTACGTTACCGTTTTTTCTTTTGGTTGAATCAGAAGTGTCGGAATCTAACACCATTTCTTCGGTTTTTATAGTAGCAAGATGTAAACAATCCATCGTGAATCGAATTATTTACATGTTTTGCATATTTCGGAGCGGTTGAATCGGAAGTTTACAGGAGCGAAAAGATGGACGCAAGGACTACGGTTTTATGGGGTACAATCTGGACGAATATACCTATATAGTTGATATTGTCTCAATATAAGTGAAAGAAGTCATTATCTTTAGCTCATTATTTACCAGTGATTTCATGCCAGTTGTGATTGCTTTTGTATGGAAAAGAGCCTACCCAATCAGAGACGGTCCATAGAAGCCGCTTATGATTACGTCAGTGATTTGTCATGGTGTGCACACTTATGAGGGGTTGGTAGTTAGCACTTATAGCGCCTTAGTGAGATCTTTGTTGATTTCTACTCTATCTGCAAACCCTCGTGGTGCGCGAAACTATTGTGACCAGCGTTATGTCTTTTGGAGAAGAGTAAGGAATTAGATCATGATGCTGTACATTTCGAAACTATAGATATGGCTGGTATACAGAGTACTCTCATGTACTCTCATGCACTCTTAGGAGAACAGCTGACGGTATACGTGATAGGAGATGACATCAAGTAGAATGGGACAAGGTGACAATATTGAATTGATCTCGATCAGAGTATAGTAGTCTCGACACCGGACTTGATCCATATATAGACTGTGGCGACTTTTGTTTTGACTGCTCCATAATGAGACATAATCGAAGTCTGGAAGCCGGTGAAGTGGACGTATATGCTTTCGCGATATTGAAATAGTGGGCAGCCAACAACTGATCCGTCGGCGCGAAGAGGTCTATGCCGATGTGCTACTACTTCCCGTTTCTTCTTGTTTCTGGCCGTGTTCTCCTCCGAAAGACAGTATTTCGTTCGGTTCTAAAGTGGCTTGCCAAGCAGAAAGGTCTGTTGTGGAAAGCTCCGTCCGACTTGGCGAATGGAATCTTCTTATGCGCTTTGAGTGATATAGTTGATGTTAGTGGTGGGCGGTATTGTGACAGATTGCTCAGAGTATACTCTATTATGCTTGAGTCAGAAAACTTGGTCAAGAGCTGTAAAAGTATGCTGATCTGGATTGACAGATGCGACAGTTGAGTGGAGCAGTGCTGGATCCTGCCGTTCAGGAAAGCGCTGTGGTTGATAACATGTCCCTTGGGTCACGTTGTAATATGCTTGGTCAATGATTCAAATTATGCTTGAAATATTTTAGCCAAGGCAGCAGTATGTTGTAATACTTCGCCAGCTGGCATGGCTGAGTGCAGTGCTCTAGTAAAGTCATTTGGATGTTTGCGCTCAAACCTGGCCGGCGTCCCGGTGATGCTATCTCGGTCGGCACTTCAATAAAGAGTGATGGATATTGAAACGAACTATGGCGATACGTCTGGAAGAATTTGGAATAGAAACTGACCCCGCAGTGAAATTGGTAACTGCATATTGGAGAGATGATCGCACAGTATGTTCAGCAGTGTTTCCTTAATGGACACATTGCAATCGAGGAAGAAAGAGTGACTTTCCGAGACAATAGACTATTCACGATAGTGTCTCAGTCAAGGTGATGAAGCAGTGATAGTGACGATTGTGTGTTTTGCTTTGCTTGTTCTGTTTAATGCTATCGAGTTTGTTGAAGAGGAGGGCGAGTAAGTAAGGATCGGAGATTCTGACCGAGGGCGCGAGTTTAGTTTGGATAGATTAATGAAGTCCCAGCATTAGCTGCTACTTTGCTTTCTTGGTGGCAAGCTTGTCTTTTAGTTGGAATCCTCGAGATTGATGAATCACCTGGTGCTTTCGAATCGTGAGAACATTCGACATGGGTTTCGCGGCAAGAAATGTAATATTCGGCTGGGTGGACGGACCAGGACGGCGTTGAGATCATTGTCACGATTAAATCTCATACATCAACGCCAACGCTCTCGAACCACAAGCGCAATAGACAACCGAGAACGCGCTCAATAATCCAGCTGAGACGATGATGACGAATTGCTACCAAGAACCAAGCAGCGATTGAGTTTGTTCGAGCTGGAGGTTCGTGGTCAAGCTGATGGCGCGGGGTAGTTATTCGCATCCAGGCCTCCTAATTATGAATTCTAATTATGAATTATGCGCCGCTCTGAACTGTAAACAGAAACTATTATACGGCTGAACCTCGACCCGCTACTCGCTTCCCAATATAATCAGGGAAGCAAAAGGTGACTTAGTTAGCCCACCACCAGCCGACTAGCTATATCGGGTGGTTGTTCCCAGGCCTGTATCAATACCATATGTGGGCTGCTGCAAGCGGCTGCTCTCTTGTGCCTATGCTAATTTGTGGATCCTCCGACCGTTGTGATTTTGCATTGACCTTGGCTCTCACGTTGTGGAACAGGTCTGGAGCAATTGACCGGCTGGGTAGATGAAAAAGAGCTCGAATTGAGACAATAGACAAGAAACACCTAGAAGAGGCATATTTCAACGTGTAGCATTCAGGCTAAAGCACATTTATTCCATTCTCACATGTACTCAACTTCCTTCGAGACACTTCTTCCGGTAATAATACTAGCGGACTAATTGCTATATTCACGAGATTTTGCCCTCTCTCCTCATTCCCACGTGCGAACTCATGTCGGTGGTGATTTGTTATTTGTTATTTTGAGATCTTCATGATCAATATCGTCAGTGGGCTAAAAACCCTACCCTATTTATCTCATGGTACTTCGCGATCGCGTTCCTCGTTAATTTTTGTCGCCTGTTCTTTCAACGGCGACGAGAGCATGTGCCTTGTTCTTCTGATCGATCTGTAATTCTTTTCAGAAAAACTGTACTGTCTTAGTTGGATTAACTGTGTTCAAAGAGCAAACTCTTAGACCCAGTACGGAAGCCGTGAGGTCTTCTCATCTCGGTCTTCGTCTTCGATGCACAGAAGCTGCACTTCCGAAGTATTAGCAATCCTGTAATTCGACAGCACACTGTGACTGATATTACCTCGGTACTGACAGGTGATATATAGTAGCAGTACATGATTTGGGCCTTATCCATACTATATACAAATAGTGTCTTCTATAAACCCTATTGAAAGATTTTGGAATACAGCCTCCTGGAAAAATCATACCCGTTCCCGTCGCTGTTCTAACAGCAATGTCTCTTATGAGATTTTTTTATCTGTTGTTTCTCGTCTAGGTTTGGTCTTCTGTTCTCGGATTTCGTACGCGATGCCTACTAGTAAGTTCTAGCGAGAACATTGGTCATCCCGGTCAATATCTCCCGGATCGACGGAGATACCTGGAATATAAAAAGATGCCTGTTCTCCCTTGATCTAGCTATATCTTCTTTCCACAAGGGTGAGCTTGAGTGTCTTAATCTCTCTATACTCGTGGGATCTCTCTTGCTGCTTCTGACTTCGGCCCCCTGAGCTCTAATTCCATCTGCCACTTGCACAATGAAGCTCGCTATCTTCTCTCTGGCAGCTTCCATGCTGATTGCTACCGTCGTCGGTATGCCGGCTGCCTCGCCCGAAGCGCTTTCTCGTCGGAACATTCCTCCTAAGCCGAGCGAGGACTCCTTCTACGCCAACCCTGCTGGATTCGAGTCTGCGGCCCCCGGTACGATCTTGAAGAACCGCAATCTGCCTTCGACGATCGCTGCCTTCGGTCTTATTCCCGCCAACATCAAGTACACGCAGCAGATCTTGTACCGAACCACGAACGCGCTCGGCGATCCTGCTTCGGCCGTGGCCACGATTCTGATTCCGTACAATGCCGACTACACGTCGTTGCTGTCGTACCAGATCGCCGAGGATGCGGCGAGCATCAACTGCTCTCCGTCGTACGCGCTGCAGTTCGCGTCTGACTCGGGTGGTTTTGTGGGAACGATTGTCACGCAGCTCGAGTGGCTTCTGATCCAGGCTGCGCTCGAGCAGGGATGGCCGGTCGTTTTGCCTGACCACGAAGGTCTCAACGCGACTTTCCTTGCCAACTATGCCGGTGGTAAGCATGTCCTTGACGGAATCCGTGCAGCCCTTGCATCTGAGTCCTTTACTGGAATCAAGTCGGATGCTTCCGTTGCGATGTGGGGATACTCTGGTGGATCGCTCGTGAGTGCTGCCGCCTCCGAGCTGAAAGATAGCTACGCTCCGGAGCTCAACATCGTCGCTGCCGTTCTTGGCGGACCTATCCCCAACATCAACAACGCTCTCTACACTCTCAACCAAGGACTCTTTGCTGGACTCATTCCTGATGGAATTCTCGGACTTTCCAACGCGTATCCCGCTCTCGAGACCATGGTTCAGGAGGGCCTGAAGTCGAGCAAGAAGGCCAAGTTCAACACGGCCTATGACACCTGCCTTGGTGCGTCGGCGCTCAACTTTGCGCTTCAGAACATGTTCAGCTACTTTGACGATGCACAGGGTCTTTTGGCCGAAGCGGTGCCTAGCGGAATTCTCGCAAACAACAGTCTTGGACACTCGACTCCCTCGGTCCCGATCTTTATGTACAAGTCGATTCTTGATGAGATTGACAGCATCAGTTATTCCGACAAACTCTACAAGACTTACTGCAACGGTGGCGCGAAGGTCAAGTACGTGCGCGACTTGATTTCCGAGCACGGCACGCTGGCGGCGTTTGGCGCGCCCAAAGCCTTGACATTCTTGGCTAAGGCGTTCAATGGCGAGACCGTGGTGAGCAAGTGCACAAAGACAAACACTTTGTCGTCGTTGCTGGACATCTCGACCGCGCAAGTGCTTCCTTCTTTTTTGAAGGACACGATCTTGAACTTGCTTTACAAGCCCGTCGGACCTTTCCTTATTGGTTAAGGAGGCTGAGGTATGGCGTGAGATTACTTCACGTGGAGATCTGCTATTTAGCCTGTTTTATTTCATAAGTGATCAAAATTTGCAATTCTGTCGTTAACTATATGTTTGATTCTTTCTTTGTTTTTCACTTTTGTCCAGAATGCTTTGAAGCCAGTTTAGTCGAGAAAATCTGTACTTTGCTGAAAATAATTGAATTGTCTTCATAACTGTATTCTCTGCCGTGTAGCTCCGAGTAACACCACCGAACGATTCCGTCATCGAATTGACACTGAAGCCACCTATATCCTCTATTCATTATATAGTTCAAAGTTCGTTTTCTCCCGTTGAACTGAGTCAAAAAAGCGTTTGTAGTCCAGTCAATCTGAATTTCGGACGATATAAAAACCGGTCAAATGCTCGTTCTCCACCTACTAAGCCGCTCCAGTATAAAACTACGCTTGCAAAGTTTCTGAATTTGTTTTTTTTTCTCTTTTATTTCTTTCTTTTCTATCTCCTCGATGAATAATTATTATGGCTACTATTATATCTAATTTTGCGCAGTGAATTACAAAACAGTAGCAGTTCTTTAAAACTAAAGACACGTGGAATAGAGTGGTGTTCAAGTGACTGGCTTGTCTGGCTAAAAACCTGTTCTTTTCATAGTTGGTCTCATCTTTATATAGAAAGTAGGTTTCTGTCAGAGAAAAATACTCGACTTTGAGCAGGATGTTGTAATTTCAATTGGCAAAATAGACCTGGATGGTTAGGCTGCTATTAAAAGTCATAAAGTAGTAATGCTTCAGAATAGGTCCTCAATGTACCAACAAAAAGAAAAGAGAAGACAGATAAGCCTTTACTGGTCAGGCTCGGTTCTACCGAAGATTAGTAGGGAGATTAGGACCAGGATCAGGAACAGAACCAGGGATTGAGTTTTCATGGAAATCCGGGGTAAGCCGGTCATGACAATGGGAGAGGGTGGGGGTGGATTGAGAACCTTGTCGGATGGATTGCCCGTACGGCTAGATTCAGTCGTCAGCCTCGCTTCCTGAGCTATCTTTGGGAGGAGGATTGCTTTGTTGATGGTCGTTTACGGTGTTAATATCGGGTGGTTGTTTGTTTGCCTGGATGCGTGCCTGGGTCTGGTGTATGCCCTGGAAGAAGGGTGTTGGATCTGGTACACACTGCACACTATCGCATTGTCAACTTTGATAATTCTCATAATTCTTTATTGCACAGTTCGAGAACAGAAAGGACATCACGAACCTCTACCTTCTGCAAATGTAACCTTCTCCAGAGGCAGGAACATCCTCGTGGTAGCAGTCAGCAGACGAGCGAGAAGCCAAAAAACACACGAGTCTTCTCCTCATCCTCACATGCGCGCCTCTTCGCCCCCTCAACTTCCCCTTCCCACTTATATTCTCGGTATCTCCTCCGTTCTCCTCATTCCCACGTGCGAACTCACAATCTCGAGATATTATTTGTTGATGTTTATTATGTTAATAATATGGGGGGTCTTTAACCTTACCCTGCTCGTCCGGGGCTTCGGGATCTCGCGTCTCTTCTTAATTTTTTGTCTACGCTGAGCGGGTTTGGATCTCGATGATTGCCCCGCATCTCTGAGGTGTTTTCTGTTTACTTCATTGTTGATCAGATGACTGGATATGGAGCTTTTACGGGTCTAGTTTGGAAGATCTTTTGACGGCCTCTGGCCCCGAGTTCCCCGCATGGTAGACCCCAGATATGCAATATCCAATCTAAACCAGCAACAATCTCGGCAGGCACGGACATATTTCAGTACAAACCCTGTTGATTGTTTATCAATAGCAAACGAGTAAGCAAACCAAGCTTGATACCCGAGATCTTTGCCGTCTTTGCTCGCGTGCCTGACTCTGTTCTGATCTAAACCTGTCTTACACCGCTCTTGCAATCTCCTTTTTCTCTTGGGTTGTCTTGGGATTTTACTCCTCTTTGATGCCAATGATGGCAAGTATGTATTCTGTCAGACAAATGCATGGTGGCCATGGCGAAATATTTGGAATATAAAAGGACGTAGGTCTGCCTCTGCTGGAGCAAAACATACCCCCAGCTTCCAGCCTCCCATATACCTTCATTTTGTATCGTCACTCGCTTGCTTCTCTTTTCTACTTCCAACATGAAGTTCACGAGTCTCTCCCTGCTGACTTTGATGCTACTTGCCACGGTTAGCGCTCTACCTGCCGCTTCCCCCAAAGACCTCGCCCGTCGCAACATCCCGCTCAAGCCCAGCGAAGACTCCTTCTACTCCAACCCCGCAGGCTTTGAATCCGCTGCACCGGGCACGATCCTCAAGAACCGCGACCTGCCTTCGACAATTGCCACGCTTGGACTTATTCCCGCCAACATCAAGTACACGCAGCAGATCCTCTACCGGACCACGAACGCGCTCGGAGATCCGGCGGCCGGTGTGGCGACGATTTTGATTCCGTATAACGCGGATTACACGAAATTGTTGTCGTACCAGATTGCCGAGGACGCGGCGAGTATCAATTGCTCTCCGTCCTACGCGCTGCAGTTTGCGTCTGACTCTGGCGGTTTCGCGGGCACGATCGTGACGCAGCTGGAGTGGCTTATTATCCAGGGCACGCTTGAGCAAGGATGGCCGGTTGTGCTGCCGGATCATCTGGGCTTGAACGGTACTTTCCTTGCCAACTACGCGAGCGGGAAGCATGTTCTTGATGCTGTGCGCGCGACCTTGGCGTCTCAGTCCTTCTCTGGAATTGATCCTGATGCGAAGGTGGCGCTCTGGGGATACTCGGGTGGATCGCTTGCTAGCGCGGCAGCCGCTGAATTGCGAGACACGTATGCCCCGGAGCTTGACAATATCGTCGCTACCGTTCTTGGAGGTCCTGTCCCGGACATCGAAAACGCGGTCAAGGTCCTCAACAAGGGTATCTTTGCGGGACTGATTCCCAACGGTGTTCTTGGACTCGCGAACGCGTATCCTGCTTTTGCGCCGATTATCCAGGAACACTTGCTTCCGAGTAAGAAGGCCGAGTTCAATACCGCGTACGACACTTGTCTCGGCGCGTCGGCGCTCAGATTCATTCTCCACGACTTGTTTGCTTACTTTGACGACTTTGACGCGCTCTTGGCCATGGAGGAGATCCAAACTGTCCTGACCGCGAACGACCTTGGCCACGCTATTCCCACGATCCCTATCTACATGTACAAGTCGATCCTCGACGAGATTGACGGGATTGGCTACACGGACAAGCTCTACAAGACATACTGCAACGGTGGCGCGAAGGTCAAGTACGTGCGTGACCTGATTTCCGAGCACGGCACGCTGGCGGCGTTTGGCGCGCCCAAAGCCTTGACATTCTTGGCGAAGGCGTTCAGAGGCGAGACCGTGGTGACAAAGTGCACAAAGACAAACACGCTGTCGTCGTTGTTGGATATCTCGACTGCGACTATCGTGCCTGATTTCTTGAAGGATACGATTTTGGATTTGTTGTATAAGCCGGTTGGACCGTTCTTGATTGGTTAGAATGGGAGATGTGTAAAGTGGGATTACTTCGTGTTGGATTGTCATCTACTTCTTAAAATGCCCACTTTCGAGTGCAAATTGTTCAGTGTCTCATTCACTAGATGCCCGAATCAATAAATTACCGTAATAACTATAATATTAACCACCTGAAGAATGTTTAGTCTGATTGTTGAGGGTTTTCTTTAATTTCTTTGCTTTCACCATTCTTTCACATGTCTTTTGATGTCTTGAAAGCAGAGTGTTGGGTGTACGATTTTGTCTGTCTTCTTTCTTTAAAAGGAGACGAAGACAAAAATCAATGAAAAATGGCAAACGAACACGACTATCCTATAGATATAAATTGACTAACTACCACCACCCGAGTAAACACATATGATAAAACTAGAATTATTGTAATAAAACAGATATTGAGATAGTCAGTTGATACATGAAGTATATGAATGAGAACCTCTGACAATCTTCATCGACGAACGGCGAATATGAAAACATAGAACCATTTGTAAGAAAAACATAACTGAGAATATGAAAAAACGAGACTGAGACTGATAATGTAACATCGACACATACAAAAAGATACAACAAGATAATATGGCATACAAGACAGAAATATTACACACGAAAACAAAACACATACACCAACGAGAAAGCTTAGCCAAGCTTATTATTACCCGATTCCCACGCCTGTCTGCCTCCTAGTACCCGTACAATAAAACGACCGACCTAACCTTTATAATTGAAATGAATACGGACATGCGAGCGAGCAAATCCACATATTAAACACACAAAAACAAAATCTTCTTCAACCTGTGGAAGATCAAGGTATCAGCGATCCTCCGACTTCCATTACACTGCCGCCGCCGCTGCCGCCTTTGAATGAGCTACGTGCTGAATTGCCGTTCGCAGCAGGATGGTCAGCACTGCTTGTAGTCTGGATCGTGACGATTCCATCCGGGTGGTCGAAATTCAGACGTTTCCGCGCCGGCGTGATGATGGGCGTGCGAGCATGCCACTGCACTTGTGCGGGGGAAGGAGTGAAGATGTTGACGTAGTCCGAGAAGTTGAAGCCCTGGGAGGGTGTTTGTGGGCCGTTGTTACTGCTGTTGTTGCTGCTGCCGCTTGTGTTGCCGTTGTTGTTGCTGTTATTGTTGCTGTTGTTGTGGTTATTACTCATGCCGTTGCTGCCGAGGACTGGAGTCCACGACGGGGCGGACCGGTTTTGCGGCGGGGGTGTGGAGAGAATCGAGCTAGGAGGCTGCTGCTGATTCGAGCCAGGGACGAAGTTACTCGCGAACGAGAACCGCTGCGCGGGGGAAGGCGATGTAGCGAGGTACATGAGCAAATCTGCGCCTTCTTCGCCCGTGCGTGAGGACGACGCTGAGGACGCGTAGCCGTTGAACGGTCGGTCAAATTTCCGCGGCGGAGGGGTGCGCGGGGGACTCGCGTGCCTCTGCTGCTGCTCCTGCTGCTGCTGCTGGGCCTTGGCCTTAGATTTAGAAGTATGGTGGCTGCCTTGCGCAGAGGGAGCAGGGGAATGTGTGAATTGAGCGCTATTGCGGTTCTCGTTCGAGCTCATGTTTGACATTGTCGATGTCGTAGACGCAACGCTGCTTTTATTTCTCCGGTGCTGCTTTGTGACGCCCGTGGACGCGGATGATTGCCGGCTGTGCTTCTTCAAGGGACTTCCGTTTCCCATTCGCTGCAGCGGCTGCTGTCGCTGCTGCTGATGCTTTTGTTGCCGCTGCAGAGGTTCATGGAGATTGCTGTAGTGCTGCGGTGACTGATTGTGGATAGAAGACGGCGGAGGAGCGTCAAATCGCGATCCACGGCCTTTACCCGGGTACAAAGGCGACGACTGGTTCAGTCTAAGCCCAGCGGCATAAGAGGGGCTGCCAGTAGAAGACATGAAAAGATCGTGCTCGTTCTCGTCGTCGAGCAGATCATGATCGACGTCGATTTCGTCGTCGTCGTCGTTTCTCCGCGATCCAGGACGCCAGGCGGTGTAGTTTGAGACCGGCCCAAATTGCTTGTCGCTTGAGAGAGTGCGCGTGCGTTTGTGATCGATCGGCAAGCCGTAGGGCGCAGAGGTGGACGTGGCTGAGACGGATTTGGAGTGGTGGCGGCGAGGGAGGGCGGGGAGTTGATAGACTGGCGGCTGTTGTTGTTGTTGCTGCTGCTGGTGAGAGAGGTTGGGGGCAGGGAGAAAGAGTTGCTGTGGTGAGGGTTTGATGGGAGACGAGAAGGAGGACGGGACGAATGACTGCGGAGGAAGGGTGTAGACAGGACCTGCTGAGCTGCTTGCGTCGCTAGAGTTGCTGTCGGCTGAACCGGGAGGTCTCATGGGGTACGCATTCTGGGCGGCAGCTGCAGCGGTGACAGTGGTGGCGGCGGAGGAAGAGGAAGGGAGGGAGTTGTATGAGGACGAGGGCGAGGAAGAAGAATGAACTGAGCCGCGATCGGAGAGCGAGCGTGCGCGACGACGACGGGCTTCGACTTCGAGGGCGATACGAGGCTCGATTTGATCGAGGTCGAGATTCTCCCAGCCGCGCTTTGTTTTGTAGGAGGCGAAGGCGAGGCGGTTTTGCAGTTGGCGGGTGATCTAGAGAGAGGAGATGTGAGATGGGAGATTGAGAGGTGGGGAGATAGGTAGCGAGTGGAGGAGGCGTACGCGTGAGATTTTAGCGCGCTGGAGGACGACTTTCTCGACTGCCTCGACACGTTTTGTGTCCATCCAGGAGGGGGACGAAGTTGCGGAGGCCATGGAGGGCGAAGGCGGGGGGAGGGTGGAGGGGAAAAGACGGACTGAGCGGAGGGTGGAGAGATAGAGGGAAGGCTGGGAAGGTGAGGAGGGAGGAGAGGCGGACGAGCGACAACGTCAAAGGAAGAACCGTGGAAAAGAAGAAGAAGATGGTGAAGAAGGAGGAGAGGGAGAAGAAGATGACGAAGATGATGGAGAAGAGGAGGAAAGAGAAGAAGATAACAGACAACGGAACCAAAGGGAAGAGTCGAGGAAGCGCCGAGCAGAGGAGGAGGAGAGAAAAAACCAACGACGGAAGGAAGGGATGAGGCTTGTTCTGGGTGCGGACGCGCGACCGCCCTCCCGCAGCCGGCGCCGGGACTGAGCGCCCCAGAAGAAGGCAGACTCAATTAAGACCCGTATCAGGCCTAATTGAGGCCCTTGCCGGGCCCCTTCCTGGCGCTGTTCGAGACTAATTGGCTTTAATAGAAGGCTGGCAGAGAACGGCGGGAGTTGGGAATGGCTTCTTGTTTGGGATCGTCGTCGTTGTCACATTGCGCGGTGTAGCCAGTCACCGCAGAGCCATGGGTCTGGCTGGCTTGCCTGGCTCTTGTATGCATCTACTGTAGTAGTCGTGTTTACGGTATACGTCCTTATTCTTGCCCGGGTCTCTACGAGGAAGTGCTCAAACAAACAGAAAGTAGAGGTCGCGGTCGAGGTCGAGGTCGAGAAACTCCGACAGACTCGAGGATCTCGTCTTTTCATAATACTCCCGCCGAGATTTCGAGATCCAATCACCTCCACCCCCCTTCCTAATGTGGATCATGCACCCCTTCCGGGGATGAGCTGCGACTAATACGATGACTCCGGCGCAGAACCCACCACAACCCGTCAACCCAGCGGCTGCGTAGGATGAGAGAAAGCGGAAGATGAAAAAGTTTATCGGCTCCGAGAGCTGCGCGCGACGCGTCGCTGGTCTCCGCGCGTCTGCACCCAGAATTGCGGCAGCAGCCCGCGCGTACTTTCAGCGACGGTCTGCTGCGCGTTCTGCCTCTACTCTACAACCAGGTCTATTTGATAATTGCGATAAAGATATATCGTATTTAGGACATCAGAGCAAGTCAGGAGCAGCAACAAAGAAAGCAAAGCAACCGCAAGACGCGGAAAAGCGACGCGTTGTTCCTGTTCGCTCCCCGCCACAATCACACCTTCACCGCCTTAGTTCGTCTGGTTCTGTGATATTTGACCCCTGCACACGTGTACTTCCAATCATCCAGCCAGCTTAGCAACTTATCTCCGCTCTCAGATCTCTTCTGCATCTCTTCCTCCTCTCTCCTCCATTCTGCTCTCACTCCCCAAACCGCTGTGGCCTTCAGGCTGCTCGCAATGCGCCGGACGCCAGTCGCTCGAGCCCTTTTTGACAGCCGTCCGCATTCGGGTTAGCGCGTAAAGTTACCCGGCCCTAACGACGCGTTCCCGACGCGTATCTGCTCTCTTCCACTAGTTTCTCATATCACCCCGTATATCCAGCAATCCTCCACCAGTAGTCAAGTCTCTCGATACTGAAAAAAGGATCGGCGCAGAGTAAATTCGTATACTTTGACATCTTTTTCTCGTCGCGAGCATAATAAGATTGCGTTTCTCTCTTATCCATCTTCTTAACCCATCTTTCTTCTGCTCTGACTTCCCCATTCCTCGACCAATTCACATGCACACTCGCATCAGGCCGCATCATAAACAGCTTGCCTACCCCTTCAGTTACTGACGTCCCACAGATATCGATATTTTTCAGACTAATGTTTGACCAGAAGAACAAGGCATACAAAGCTTTATCCGTGAAAGCCTTGTTTTGGCTCACGTCAATCACCAAACAGTGAGATGCCAGTTGTTGAAGCAACGTAGAGCTAAACTCGAGCCCGGAGCAATTTCTCAGCTGGAATGTCTTCGGTAGCGCCCGTTTATGGTAAAGATACCCCAAAAGCATCGCATCGGTGATATCAGGGCTGTCACTTAGATCCAGAAGTTGTAGATCTGGAAGAGCATCTGGGGCCTTCAGCGCTTCATAAAAGAACGCCGCAGAAAGCCGGGACCGGCGGAGCCTGACAGATTTGCAACTCTTGTTCAGCAGCGGAAAACCACTCGCGAATTTGGTCCCGGAAAAATCAACATACTCAATATCATCATGGCTCAGCAGATCAAGAGCTCTGGGCGTTTCCGGCTTGCCGCTGTTATTGGACGGTACGTAAAAGTCGCACAGGACAAGTGCCTCCAGTCGCGGCGTACTTTGCAAGAGCTGGGCCAGCAGATTCTGTGATATCTTGTGACGAGGACGGGGAGAACCCAATTCTTCATTCTTGGTGTCGTTGATGATGAGTACTTTCAGGGAGTCGAATAGTTGGCCGAATTCAAGCTCCTTGCTCTCAATGTTAAGTGATGATCCAGACTGATCAGAAAACTGTAGGAGCTCTACGGAAAGTTTTTTCCCACCCTTCTCAACTGCTGTGTATAAAAACGTCGCCATCGTATCCAGCGGCAGATGAAGCATCCGTACACCTCTCAAAAGCTCCCAAAGTCCTTCATGCAAATATCGATCTTCTTCACCCAAATCCAAAAACGCCGCAGGACTTATTCGATTCATACGCCAATCGATGCAAGCCTTCACAGGATAATGATTTGATATATACTCGCTCGCTATTCTATAAACCTCCTCCCTGCCCTCAGCTCCTCGCTCTGCGGGACTCTGCTTAGTCGAGAGCAATTTGGCCTTAAATGAATACAAACAGCTACTGTTACCTCTCCCGATTTCACTGTAGCGACTGAACAAGCACTCCAAGGAGATGAATATAGCAGGGTAGCGGTCTGGCTTTGTGCCGTAGCTTCTGTACCTAAAGTCAGGGTCAGGTTCGATGCGCATGATCCCCAACGCTTTCTTCACGATGGACGCGACAGCACTGTCGTCAACTATTTTCCCATCTGGGATGAACTCAAGCTCCCCCCAGAACGTCGAACTGTTGTTTATCAAATCCGACCAGAAGTCCGATAGACTGTATAAGGCGATGAGCTTCTCGGATGGAAGGTAGGAGATGATCATGAGCAGGATCTCGTGAGGCAGTGTCTCAAGACTGCGGCCTTTGCTGTCGGCCTTTTCGACCAGTGCGGGGTTGTCTGTAAATTCCATTGTCAAGCAGTGTAGCATGCAAAGCAGGCTTAAAATAAAAAGAAAATAGCTGCTGCTGGCCGAGGAGCAATCTTATATACGCGCAGGTCGATAAATCTGGGGAAGCACAGATCTCGCAACGGCCTGAACCGCGGGGTATCTCACAAAGTGTAACACCCGGATCCTGCACGAGGGGTTACGTAGCCTTGACGGCTAGAGGTCGGCGGTGGTGGCTGAGTATTCCTCTCGTAGAGAGCGGGCCTCAGCAGACCTTCCTCGACCTTCTCTCTGATACCCTCAGGTCCGTACGTTAGTCCGTAGGTTGTGTAGAAGATCCTTGATCTCTGATTTTAGAAATCCAAGGATCAATCGCTGTACTATTCAGACATCTATTGAATATCATATCGATTACTCCGCTCTCCTACTATTTGTGCCTCTAAGCCTTGATAGCCTCCTTTCACGCCACCTCCCAACTTAGTCTTTGCATCTAAGCTATCGCTTTCATCAGGACTCCCCTCTCGCTCTGAATAACTAGACAAGTAAGGTGAAGGGTACTAGGGTTTGGGACAAAGGCGCGCTCTCAGTCTTCGAGCCCGCATAACGACACCTTCACCCTGGGATCCCCTGATTAGCTTTCGACCCTTCGCTTCTCTCTCTTGCATAAAGACTATAAACGAAGATTTACCATGTAACTCATTTATCTATTATCTCCTCTGCATCACATACTCGAGCCTATACATATTCTTTCCACTTCCAGTTACAGTTATAGTGACATTTTACCCGCCCCGGCAGACGCGAGTCCGATTCGCGCCCATATTGTCGTCCCGCCATGCGATTCAAACCATATATCGAGCGACTCACTACCAGTAGTCAAGTCTCCAGTATTCACTGCAAGGAAGATCAGTGCAGCCCATATAAAGAGTCTCAGGAGAATGTGCCTCTGCGTGAACGGGTCTGCACTGGTCTGCACAGGTTACAATATTCGTGGCTAGGCTTGAAGTTCGTCGAGCTTGATTCCTCCTTCCATTTCTTTTCTTCAGAGGTTCCGCCACGCCCCCACCAGTACAGTCGCGTAATGTTATGCTGCCACATATCCGGCATTAACCACCGCTTGTATGCTTTCTCAGACACCGACGTCTGACTGACGTTGATATGCCAGTCCGTCTCACAATCCCGCGGCTTAAAAGCAGGTAATAGCTCAATCAAGTCAGGTGATAGCTTAATCAAGTCAGATAAAGTGTCATCTGTGAACGCTTTGTTTTGGCCCAGGTCGATCACGCAACTGCTCAGCATCAGCCTCTTAAGCAACTGGGGCGAAAACTCAAGTTTGGAGCAATTCCTCAGCCTAAGTATTAATGTGTCCCCCGAGGAGTTTCTTAAACCCATTAAAAGCATCGCAGCAGTGATCTCGCAGTTGTCGCTAAGGTCGAGGAACGATGCATATTGAAGAACACATCCGTCCTCACTTCCAGCCTGGAGTAAATTTGCGAGATGAGGCGACCGGCGGAGCGTGATGCATTTGCAGTAATCACCCAGTAACGGGAAACCGCCCGCAAACTCGGTCCCGGAGAAATCAACAGTCTGGATGTAAGATATCTCTAGCGATTCCTGCCCATTGTCTTCATCAGACGACACGTAAAAGTCACATAATACAAGTTCCTCCAGTCCTTCCATGCCCTTAAGAAGCTGGACCAATCCATTCTGAGAAATCTCGTGGCGAGGACGAGGTGGAGAGCAGCTATACTCATCTTCGGATTCATTGATGATGAGTACACGTAGGTTATTAAACAGCTGACCAAGCCTGAGTTCCTTGATCTCAATAGTAACCGGTGATCCTGACTGAGAAAACAGCCCTAAGCACTCCAAATCTAGTTTCTCCTCTCCCTTCTCGACTGTTGCGCGTAGAAACGCCACCATCTTGTCCAGCGGCACGTAAAACGACTGCACGCTTCTCAAAAGCTCCCATGCTAATCTACAAGCATATTGATCTGTACTGCTCTCGCATCCCCAAACTGCAGGATCCCACGTACGCAGGAGCAAATTGGTAGGGGGAAAATAGAAATCCGGCTCGTTCTCCACAATCTGTTGAGTAACCCAGTAAGCGACGTTCTTGAAGTCAAGAGACGTGAATCTCCGTCTAGTATTTAGCAGATCTGACGGATTACGTTTCTTTCTCTCCATCAACTTCTTTCTCTCCATCAACTCGTACTTCATTGAATCGTAGCAGGCAAGGAAGCGCGGCAAGGAGAAATATATCTCGTACCACTTTTTGGTGCTCTGGTGTAGAGCTATGAGCTCCAGGCACACGATCTCCGGTGCCTTCTTTTCGAAGTACGCGACAGTATCGTCGCCAGCTGTTGTCCCATCTCTGAGGAACTCAAATTCGCGCAAAATAGTATTCTGTAGGAACTCTTGCCAGAAGTGCGATAGAGTGCGCATGGCAATTAGCGTCTTGGTAGGAATGTAGGAGATGATTAAGAGCAGGATCTCGCGAGGCAGGGCTTCTAAATCGAAGTACTTGCTCTCGACCGTTTCCGGTGCAGAGGAGTTCTCTGTAGCCTCCATATCAGTTGTATCCAATCCGGCGTCAATCAATCAAAAAAAATCCATAGGGAAGCTGATAACAAAAATGGAAAGGAGGCGTGTCCGCTCCCGTTAACTGCCCAGAAAACGCGTCTTCACTGCCTTGTGTCCGTGCTGTTTTGTTTTGTTTTGTTTTGTCTTGTTTTGTGACAGTGGGGTTTGTGTACGGCTTGTGACACAGATACACTCTCAGCCTTCTTTAGACAGCATAAATCTATTGCATCTTCGCACTGACATTTCCTGATATCTTTTGATCTTACTCCTCTCTGTTACATCTGGCCTATAAAGAGGTATTTATATCCATTCGGGAGCTTACATGCATGTTTTAATACATACTAAAGGAATATGGCCGCAACTTCAGCGTTAAAAATCAATTAAAGCTATTTATGGTCTGATTAAACCGGCATTACTGCATCTTTTACAGAAACGCACGTTGGGTGCCCTCTCCCCAAATGTTCATGGAGTAGCCAAATCATTATAATGATGATGATAAGATATTTCTATGTATAGATAGTATCCAACTGGGTTATGACAGATTTTATCCCCTTCTCCACCTATGAAATGAACAAACGAAACAAAACAACAGAAAAAAAATCAGATATGCATATACTGAACTGTCTGCTGAGAGAACTCACATCAACACTCTGAAGAAGAGCGAGGATGTTTGGAATGTACAGAGAAGTAGCTCTTGAAGAACCCGCGTCTAAGGCGGAAGCTCGCAATACTAGTCGCGACTCTGCGCAAGATACTCACCAGGACCTAGTCAAAAATGGGCTGTGGCGTTCTCTCAGTATTGCCGAAAATCTTGCCAAATCATTCGTTACTGCAGAAAGTACCAGCGCAGCGCGAATACAAAGTCTCGTACATTTCTGTACTTCTGTAAATGGATTCGTATCGATCACAATATTCGGAGCCACGCTTGGCCCTCAGAAGATATCTGAGCCTCATAAGTGACTTTACCAGAGCAGGAACACATTAGCTGGCTGCTTCATGGCCCGCTTGTATGCACGTTCGGTCACAGACGTCCTGCGGACGTCGATCATTCTGCCACCAGGCACTTGAATCACTTCGGCTCCCTTGAGAACTTTGGATAAAACAGCATCCGTGACGGCTTTGTTTCCGCTCAAGTCGAGCACCATATAGTGACGAGTAATCCGGTTAATCATTTCGGGCGAAAACTCAAGTTTGGGGCAATTACTCAGCGCAAGATGTCTGTTCATGATCGACTTTGGTTCATTGTCCGGGTCGCACAGATATTCCAAAAGCATCGTATCAGTGAGAGTGGCAGTCTCACTCAAATCGAGGTCGTCTGCTCGTTGAAGAGTACGGGCGCCCCTGTTTGCTCCACCAAGCACATATGCAGTATGCGGCGACCGAGAGAGATTGATGGACTTGCACTTGCTGCTCAGTGACGGGAAACCGGACGCAAACTTGGACCCTGAAATATCCAGCGATTTTAGTTTGAGAAGACTCAACTTCTTTTCCCGTTTTCCCTGACCGCTCTCTTTATCAGACGTCACATAAAAGTCACATAGCACGAGTTCTTCCAGTTTCGGCATAGCATTCAATACCTGGGCCAGCGTATTCTGAGAAATCTCGTGACGAAAACCAGGAGCATCACGACTGGGTCCGTTGATGGAGAGTTTTTTCAAATTGAAAAACTGGTGGCCAAATTGGAGCTGTTTGTTCTCGATAGTAACTTGTGAACCAGACTGAGCAAAAAACCGTAAGGACGTTGACTTTAGCGTTATCGACATCTTATCGACTAGTCTGCAGAGAAAAGGCTCCATAGTTTCCAGCGACATATCAAGTTTTTCCGCAAATCCTAAGAGCTCCCATGCAGATTGACGATCATCCCGACCCTCATGGTCACCGGGTCCCCACACTGCAGGATCCCACCTGTTCAAGCGCAAGGTAATATGGGGCCAGTGAGTATTCGTCTTGATCTTAAATTGCGGCTCCAATATCGGTTTAGCAATAAGAGCAGAGCGTAACATCATGGCCCTCTCCGGGGAGACCTTGATGCCATCATTTTTCTTGGCTGCGCCGTAGAGGGAAAGGAAGCGCGGCAATGAAAAAAGTATGACGGGAGCACGATTATTGGCTCCTGCGTAAGAGAACTGCGCGGAGAAATGGACCTCAATTCTCAAGCGCACTAGCTCCGGCGTATTATCCTCGACATACTGAACATCTTTATTTTTTGCTCCAAACGCCATGGGCACGGCGCCAGCTGCTTTCGCGGTCGTGACGTACTCAAGATTGCGCCAAAATGCTGGGTTGTTGTGTATATAAGTCCTCCAGAAAGGCGATGAATTCTGCAAGACGACCCATGTGCTTTGCGGGAGGTAGGAGAGAATCAGGAACAGGACCTCGTGAGGCAGGTCTTGGAGCCTGGAGGATTTGCCGTCGGCCGTTTCCGGTACAGATTTCACCGTAGTTTCCATCGTGCACTAATTCTGCAAGCAGATGAAAGTAAACACAACGATAGTTGCCGCTGGCCGGGGACTACTGATATATCTGAGCAAATTGGTAGAAACAGCCTCAGAGAAGCATCGCTAAGATATTGTACCGGATCCCACAAACCCCTCGTTAAAGTAAGCTTTTTACCCCGGACTTAAGGTCACTAAAGTAAAATTAAATGGCTAGCCCGCCTATTTACGCTCCACCTCAAGAATGTCATTGGAGGACATGGTGAAAGGAGGGATAAGCGATGATTAAGGTTGGAAGTGGAAGTAGAAGTGGAAGTGGCAGAGGAAGATCGTAGATGAAGGTCGATTATCAAGAAGACTAAGCCATGCTTCCTTATATTTTACTCTACAGATAGCGCCGTTTTGTCCTCTTGCCAGAAAAGGAGACTTACCAAAAAGAGCGACGGGGGCGGACCTTACGGACGGGGAACTTCTGAATAAATGGAGAATCTTTCATGTAGAAGCTGACCAGTTGATAGTGGTTTCAATGACATGGGAGAGTACTGGCCTGAATTAGAGCATGCTTTAAGTAACGTATCAGACAGAAGAGATTCTTTGAGGTGAGGCGTGGATGGTCAGTCCTAATGGGTCGGGTCGCCAGCCTCGTAACCTCATGTCATAGAGTCAGAAATCATTTTCTCCCGATTCTTTTCTTTGAAGCTCTCCCCAATTTCCTCAGACCTGCACCAGTCGACATGCACATGCTTATACTGTTTCATAAATCGCTTATATGCCTGTTCAGTCACTGACGTCCGGCTTACATCGACAAACCAGGGACTTTCAAGCCTATCTGGCGCCGCGTCCGCAATCTGAAGCAAGCCAGATAGGACATCATCTGTGACGGCTTCGTTTCGGCTCAGGTCGATCGTGTGATAGTGCATCAGATGCTCATGCAATTGAGACGAAAACCGAAGTCCAGGGCAATTCCTCAGCGCAATTCTGCCCCTCCAATATCCGCGTTCCAACACCTCTGCGAAGATCCAATTATTTATAAGCATCGCATCAGTGATCTCGGAGTTGCCACTTAGATCGATAAAAGTTGAATGTTGAAAGATAGATACGCATTTTGTTCCTGCACCAAGTAAGTCTGCAATATGTGGCGACCGGCGAAGCATGATATAATAGCATTTATCACTCAGTAAAGGGAAACCACACGCAAACTCAGTCCCGGAGAAATCAACATGAAGAATGCATTTGCGCTGACGCATATCAAGACACTCTTGCTTTTCATCGTCAGATAACACGTGAAAGTCGCATAGCACAAGTTTCCCAAGATTCGGCATAGCTAGCAAAATCTGGGCCAGCAGATCCTGAGAGATCTCGTGACGAGGACGAGGAGAATAAAAATCCCCATGCACGTCGTCGTTGATGATGAGGTCATGTAGGTTTTCGAACTGCTGGCCCCATCTGAGTTGTTGGCTCTCGATGGTGACTGAAGATCCTGGCTGAACAAGAAATCGTAGGTATTTTATGCCTAGGTGTACCTGACTATTCTCCGCTGCTGCGCAAAAATACGTCATCATCGCATCGAGCGGAATACTAAGCATCTGAACGCCTCGTAAAATCTCCCATACTATTCCAGAGTCAGATTGATCTGAATTGCTCTCGCACTCCCACACCGCAGTATCCCACGTATTCAAGCGCAAATGTATATGTGTGCAAATCTCAGCAAATGTCGCGTAATCCAACAAATCATCAATTAGAGGACTAGAGGACCAATATCGCCACGTAAAGCTGTCCAACGGTATTGTGGGAGAAATTGGATCATAGTCAAGCTTATCTGATGGATCCGCCTGTTCGACCATATCACACAAGTCAACGAACCGATTCCTTGAAATATCGTCATTTCTGATTGCGCGGCATCGAGTAAGGAAGCGCGGCAAAGAAAAATACATTTCCGGGTCGGGTTCTACCATTGAGTCCTCAGGAACAGGACTTTCTTCCTCCAGTATTTGCCAGAAGAGCGGATTCGAAGCGTTGATGCGCACAATCTCTGGTACATTCTTCGCGACGTACGCGATGACACTGTCTTCAGTTATTGCCCCATCTTTGATAAACTCAAACTCGCGCCGAAATGTTTGACTATTACATATGAGCTGGCGCCAAAAGTGCGATAGACTGCACATGGATATCAGAGTCTTGCACGGAAGGTATGAGATGATTAAGAGCAGGATCTCATCAGGCAGGGCCTCGAAATCAAAGTACTTGTTGTCGACCATTTCGAGTGTAAGGATCTCTGTAAATCCTATATCGTCAACTGATCAAGCGTCAATCAAAAGAAATACATTAAGAATCTGATAATAAGAAAAGGAAGGGTGGCGTGTCTGTTCCCGTTGACTGCTGCCCGAAAAGACGCGTCTTCACTGCTTTCTGTCCGTGTTGTTTTGTTTTGTTTTGATTTGTCTTGTTCTGAGGCATTGGTGTTTGTGTTGGTGTGACCCTGTAGGGCTTGCAACACAGACGCACTCTCAGCCTTCTAAGCCAGCTTAACACTTTTGCGCCCTCACACATGAATTTCTTTACATAGTTTGATACTCGCTGCTCTCTGTTGCATCTGGTCTACAGAGAGGGGTTTATCACCACATATAGTTATATATAACGAGTTTTACTCGCAAACCGGCCGAACTACCCAATCGGGAATTTCCATGCATGACATGATTTATTCTAAAGGAATAGTTGCGCAACTACAGCGATAAGAATCAATTAAAGCTATTCATGATCTTATTAAACCGACATTTCTACTTCTTTTGACAGAAGCGCGCACTTTATGCTCTCTTCCCGAATGTGCCTGGGGTAGCCAAATTGTTATAATGATCTTATTATGATCTCATAAGCCAGAATGTATTGTATTTTGAGAGCTCTAATCTATCAACCGGATATTCCTGCATCTTTTCGACAAGTGTGCTCATCGTGTCCCCTTCCCCCACATGTGCCATAGCAGCCAGGACTTCAGTTACTGTCAGGAAGATCAGTGCAAACCAAATTCAGTCAAACATATTAAACATATACTTTTTCCCCATTGTCTTAACCAGATTGTATGTAATACTTCTCGCTAGAGTGCTAGAACCTCTCCTTATCAACATCTTCCATTCACTTTCGTCCGAGCTCTCTCCATCACCCCACCAGTAAAGCTTCACGGACTTATGCTGGTTCTTCGACCTCTTGTATGCCTCTTCAGTCACTGACGTCCGACTGACGTTGACGTCTAAAGGATTCCCGAGCTCCCTCGTCCGATCCACGTCCGCTACCTGAAGCAGTTCAGAAAGAACATGATCCGTGACAGCTTTGTTCTGGCTGATGTCAATTACGCCGAAGTAAATATATAGCCGTTCAAGCAATTGCGATGAAAACTCAAGTCTGGGGCAATTCCTTAGCGCAAGAAGTCCATCACTTCCAAAGAGCCCACCGGGTATATGCTCAGAGGATATATGGTCCAAATAGTCTATAATCATCGTATCAGTGATGTCGGGGTTGTCACTCAGATCGATGAACCATAAGTGCTGAAGCAGGCCTTCAGCCCTTCCTTCTGAACCAAATAAATCTGCAACATGCGGCGACCTTACAAGCGTGAGGAAATGGCACTCTCCTTTGAGTAGCGGGAAGCCGCATTCAAACTCGGTCCCGGAGAAATCAACATGTCTCACATTGCGCATTTCTAGCTTTCCCTGATCACTGCTATCAGAAGAAACAAGAAAATCGTGCAGCTCGAGCATTCTCAGTTCCGGAAAACTCCGCACAAGCTGGGCCAGCATATTCTGAGAAATCTGTGCGCGAGGACGAGGAGGAGAGCAAGAAACCTCATCATCGGAAACATTAAGGCTGAGTACACTTAGACTGTAGAAGGTGCCCAACTCAAGTTGCTTGCTCCGAATATTTACTGGTGATCCCGACTGAGGAAAGAACCGTAGGGAGAAAATACGTAAGCTCTCTTTTTTCTCGGCTGCCGCACAACGTGCAAAAAACGTCATCATATCGCCAAGCGGCATATGAATCGACTCCACACATCTCAAAAACTCCCACGCCACTCGACAATCATATGGATCTGCACTGCTCCCAACCCCCCACACCGCAGGATCCCACGTAGCTAGTTGTAGATTGATAAGGGGCCAGACAAACTTCTCCCTCCAAACAAAGTCTTGTCTCTCCTCCAATATATCTTTAGCAACTTGAAGTAGCTTTTCCTTAATTTGCTCTGGCCAGAGAGGACGACGGGCATTATACACAACTGGTTCTTCACGTTCCAGAGATTTATCATCACCATCATCATCATCATCATATTTGGCCAGGCGGTAGCGGGCAAGGCAGCGCTCCGGGGAAATCAGTATCAAGGGAATCTGAACGTCTTCGAGAGAGTCCTCATCATCCTCGCTCGAACAGCTACCCCCACAGCCTTCGAGCACAGCTTGCATGTGTATGAGATTCGCAGCATACTTCTCGACGTACAAGACTGCACTTTCGTCAGCTGCAGTCTCATCTGCGGAAAATTCAAGATCGCGCCAAAACGTCGGATTATCATGTATCAACCCCCGCCAGAAGTGCGAGTGGTTGCACAAGGCAATCAGCGTCCGAGACGGAACATAGGAGATGATTTCGAGCAAAATCTCGCGCGGCAGGGCCTGGAGACTTCGCTGCTTTTTGTCGATGTCGACCATTCCAAGTACGGTGTTCTCTATTGTACACCAATTTCTGCCTTAACCCCGGGATATCTCACATTCTCCTAAGCCGGGTTAGCGCCTCACCCCACACTCAGCCATACCCTACATACCGTAGCCATTCACTTCTATCGCCGAGAAACACTCGAGAAGGATGCGGACAATTGTACCCCGCGTCGATAGTTAGAAAAAATCTATTGAGAAGCAAACAAGGACATAGAAATTGGCATGTTTCTTCTCGGTCGATTTTCGTCGCAATCACGTCTTCAGTGCCTTCTGTCTGTTTTGTGATGTCGGGAATCTACGCAGGCTCACTCTTAGTCTTCTCGCCAGTATAACAGCACCTTCACACTGAGATCTATTGGAGGTGTATTGATTATCGCTTCTCTTTTGTTGCATATGGATTATAAGCAAAGATGGATAATATATAGTCACGTACTGCTGTAGCCAAGTCATCAGCTACTGCAAGGAAGATCAGTGCAACTCAAATTAATCAGTCTTGTATGGTTCTGTCTTTGTATCAATGATACTCTATGTGACAACATTCATGTGGAAGGGACGATGTTTGACGAACTTGCGTCGTCGCAGGCCGTAAAGCTGTTGTTGGAGAACATAGTGAAACGATAAGCAATGCACAGAGTTACAAATGGAAGTCGAAGTGGAAGCACAAGTCAATATAGAGATCGCAGATGATGGTTGATTACCAGGAAGACCGAGTAAGTCAGGCTTTCTTAAGTTTGACTCTACTGGTTATCGCATTCTATCCTTTCGCCAGAAAGAGCGAGGGGGCCGGACCTTGTGGAAGAGGATCCTTGAAATGAATTGAGATTCTTTCATGTAGAAGCCGACCAGTTTATAGTGGCTCTTACGAGATGGGAGCGTACTGGCCCGAAGAAAAAGCATGCTTCAAGAAGTGAAATATCAGATAAAAGAGACTTTTTGAGGTTAAGCGTGGATGTTCAGTCTCAACTCAATATGCCGGATCGCCAGCTTAGTAGTCTCATAACATAAAGCCAGAAATCGATTCCTCCCACCTCTTTTCTGCTAGACTCTCCCTACTTTCCTCAAGTCCGCACCAGTACGCATGCACAAGCTTATTCTGCTTCATCATCCGCCTGTATGTCTGTTCAGTCATTGACGTCCGACAGACATTGGTTGCTAAGGGATTGCTAAACCTCTTTCTAGCCGCGTCCGCAGTCTGAAGCAAGCCAGATAGGACATCATCTGTGACGGCTTTGTTTCGGCTCAGGTCAATCGTGTGGTAGTGCATCAGATGCTCGTGCAATTGAGACGAGAAGCCAAGTCCGGGGCAATTCCTCAGCGCAAGTTCGCCCGTCAAACACCCCCGTTCATACATGTGGATAAAATAGTTTAACATGATCGCATCAGTGATGTCGGAGTTGCCACTTAGATCGAGAGTTAATGTTCTTGGAAAAACACATAGACCCTTACTGCCTGCTTCAAGCATATTTGCAATATGTGGGGACCGGCAGAGCTTGATAGAATGATATAATCTATCACTCAGTAGAGGGAAACCGCACGCAAACTTGGTCCCGGAGAAATCAACACGAAGGAGACGTTTGCACTGACGCATATCAAGGACCTCTTGCTTTTCCAGCCCACTACCATCATCAGACGACACGTGAAAGTCGCATAGCACAAGCTTCCTCAGGTCAGGCATAGCTTGCAAAATCTGGGCCAGCAGATTCTGAGAAATCTCGTGACGAGGAGGAGGAGAACAAGAATCCCCTTGCTTGGCATCATTAATGATAAGCACTCGTAGACCTTCAAATTTATCGCTATATCTGAGTGGCTTGCTCTCGATAGTAACTGAAGATCCTGGCTGAACAAGGAACCGTAGGTACTCCACACTTGGTTGTACCCGACTATCCTCGACGACTGAGCAAAGAAATGACATCATCGCATCGAGCGGAAGACTGAGCATCCGAGCGCCTCCCAAAATCTCCCTTGCTATTCGAGAATTATATTTATCTTTATTGCTCCCGCACTTCCACACCGTAGTATCCCACGTGTTCAAGCGCAAATGAATATGTGTGCATATCTCACGAAACGACCAGTCCTCAAACATAATATCACTGAGTGGAGAACACAAGTACAAGAATCGAGCCGAAAAGTTATGCCAAACTAGTTCGGAAGAAATCGGATCAAGTTCGCGCTCACCTTTCCATTCCTCCTCAACGGTCTGTTTAGTACACAAGTCAATGAACCGACGCATTGAAATGTTGTCCCTTTTGATTGCGCTGTATCGAGCAAGGAAGCGTGGCAGAGAAAGGAATATCTCTTCGTCGTATTCTACTCTTGAGCCCTCAAGAGCTGGAAGTTCTTCCTCTCGTATCCGCCAGAAGAGCGGATTCATAGCGTTGATACGCACGAATCCCGGCACATTCTTCGCGATGTACGCGACAACACTGTCTTCAGTCACTGTCCCATCTTTGATAAACTCAAATTCGCGCCGAAATGTTTGACTATTGCATATGAGCTCGCGCCAGAAGTGCGATAGACTGCACATGGATACCAGAGTCTTGCACGGAAGGTACGAGATGATTAAGAGCAGGATCTCGCGAGGCAGGGCTTCCAAATCCAAGTACTTGCTCTCGACTGTTTCCGGTACAGAGGAGTTCTCTGTAGCCTCCTGATTTTAAGGTCTTCGCCCGGCAAACCTGAATACCTTCTTCTCTCTTAACTGCGTCGTAGAAGGAAAGAAAGCGCGGCAGAGAAAAAAGAATGACGGACTCAAGCTTCTCTGGTGTTTCATATCTGCGCTTCACGAGGTAATGGATGTCATAATCCACGTACACCAACTCCGGCGTATTTTTCTCGAGGTATTCGACAACTTTCGTTTTTTTTCCGGGCGAGACTCCCTTAGTATCGGCTGATTCCGCAGTCGTGACGTATTCAAGATTGCGCCAAAACACTGGGCTGTTGTGTATAAAATGCCGCCAGAAGGGCGATGTCTTTTGCAGGACTAACAATGTTTCGTACGGGAGGTAGGAGAGAATAAGGAACAGGACCTCGTGAGGCAGGTCCTGAAGCAGGTCCTGGAGCTTGAGGTTTTTGCTGTTGGCCGTCTCCATTTCAGAGCTCTCTGTAGTTTCCATCGGCCAGTAGTTCGGCGAGCAGACTCAAAGCGAACATTAACATGATTGTCGCGCTGTCCGAGAACTACTGCCACATTTGAGAAGATTGGGAGAAGCATCGATAAGATAGCAGATTGCACAAACCCCTCATTAGAGTAAGCATTTTACCCCAGACTCAGCCGGACTCCACTGACTATAGCTGGTTACTGTGACGAAGTCGCGTCGTCGCGCGCCGTAGAGTTGTTGTTGGGTGACATAGTGAGGGGATAGGCGATGAATATTGGTAGAAAAGGAAATGGGAGTTGTAATAAAAGCGCAAGTGATTAGGAAGATAGTAGATGAAGGTTGAAGGTAAGGTTGATTCTCCGGAAGACCGGATAAGTCAGGCTTAATTCTATGTTACTCTACGGGTAGCTCATTCTATTCTCTCGTCGCAAGGAGTCAATCTATTTGCCAAAAAGAGCGAAGGGGCTGGATCTGGTGGAGCAGGGATTCTTGAGGTGCGGCGTGGGTAGCCAGCCTTATGACAGGGGATTGGAGGTGCGGCCGAGTAGCCAGCCTTGTCGCCTCATGACAGTACCTCTGCTGAGCGAACTGGGCGTCTTCATTGACAATTGTGGTCTATAGTCTAGACGATATCTCTGCGTGGGAATGTGTGGTCTATAGTCTAGACGATATTCCAGAGTGGGAATGCAAGATCCCGCGTTTCACTGCAGCGTAGGTAGACAGCATCGACTCGGCGGTGCGGGTGTAGATATAGAAGGCACTTCGCCGAGTAGAGCTGGAGGAGACATTTAAAGTCACTTTGGGTTAAATTCAATGGAAAGAAGAAGACAAAAAATAAGTAGCTTGCGAATTTCTTCGCGCTCATAATTGCGTGTCATGATCCGCAAATATTACACTTAGCATCAAAAAAACTCCATTTGTCAAAGCGCTAGTGAATCCCGATAAGTGTGTCGTCCGCGAGTCCGTCAATCTTGTCACTTAGCTCCAGTTGCAGCAAGCCAGCAGTCTGGATTTCACCGGTCATGCTCTTAACTACTTCTAGTAAATCTGTAAGATGCCGCGATCGGCGTAGCGTGATTCTAGAGCAGTGCTGGTCTAGCAGTGGTAGCCCGTTTTCAAATTCGGATCCAGAAAAATCAACATGACACAGTTGTTTGAAGGAGCGCAGGTCGAGCATCGGTTGCTCGTGTTGCTGTTCGCTGTCGTCATCTGCCAACACGTGAAAATCGCGCAGAACGAGTGCTTGTAGATTTGGCATTATTGACAGCAGTTCGCTCAGATATTTCTGAGAGATCACATGGCGAGGACGATGACAGAGCTGCGAATCCTGATCCTCATCCGGGCAGAGTATGAGTACCTCTATCTTTGCACCAAGCTTAGAAGACTTGAACTGAGGTATATCGCTCTTCGTGACCGTCACTGCTGAGGATCCCGGTGGTGTGGAGAACCTCAAGTAGCTTGTCTGCAATTTTCGGCTGTTTTGCGCGACTCGGCGGAAAAACGTCGTCATCGCGTCTAGCGGCACATGGAGCATCCGAACATGATCTATAATCTCCCACGCTCTGTCACTGACATCTTCTCCTGTCCCTCTTTCTCCTCCCCAGACCTCAGGATCCCACTTGTTTACTCGTAGATCAATCCCGACTGTACGCGTTGTGAAGTACTTGACGAATAACTCCTTCCCGATAAGATCTGAGAGCATGATCTTCCACGGATCGTGCCATTCCAAATCGGTAGCGTGATTTCCTCTGATAATGGCTGCTTTGTAGCGGGATAGGAAGAGCGGCAGGGAGACGTATAGCTCTCTGTCGATTTCCCTAGCGCCGAGCATGTCCCGTTTGCCGCCCAAGGGATCATCATGCCAAAGCATTCTAGTGAGTAGTTCAAACTGAGATTCGTCATAAGGCATCTTGTATCGATTTGACCAACAGCTATTAGCATCCTCCATACCACGATCAAACTGATTCTCAATACTGATGCGCACGATCCCCTCCGCTTTGCTCGTGAAATGCGCGAGGTAATCGGGAACAGTCTTCGCCGGGACATAGGGTATGCTGATCTCAAAGATCTGCAAATACCTCGGATGGCTCATTATCAAATGCTTCCAGGTATCCGAGTAGCCCATCATAGTCCTCATAGCGGGAAATGGGAGGTAGGGAATGATGATCAGCCGGATCTCGTAGGGCAGCAGTTCAAGCAGATCGCGCGGTTTGCTGTCACTCATCTTCGGCATTTTCCGCTGCGATTACCAAGGTGTTGACAACCTCAGTTCTGAGGCACGAAGTCTAGCTCATGCAAATGTTTTGAAAGAGCTTCTGCCACTGATCGTGGGCATTTGCTGGATCTGGGGGATTTGAAAAGGTCGTCTGATAACGATGATCTGCGATAAGCTCCGCATGAACTAGATATGGCTACAAATCCCTTTAATGCAGACAACAGACGTAAGCATCGCCCTGTCAGCTTGCCCAGCATATCAAATCTCCTTTTATTTTCTACAAGCAGATAGATTATTCTTCCTTGGGAGGACGCTCACAATAATACTGTTATTTTGGATATTACTCAGGTCTGCAGTTTGAGAAGGCAACTACTCTTCTTTCCCGTACGTATCAACACAAACGCCTCAGAATATTCCCGCAGACGTAAGCACGACCCTCCCAGCAGGCTGGACTCCACACCGAACTGCGTTTCTCTCTGCGCAAGACGACGCAGTAACGATCCCGGACATACAGCAATCTATTCAACGAGGTACAAACCCGGTATAAGATTGAAATGGCGCATCCGTCACCGTCGCCGTATTACTCGCTTCTGGCGACGCAGCAGCAGAGCAACGCTCCGCCTCCACTGCCTCCGTTCCCCGGCTCGCCCCAGCAACAGCATCATCAACAGCATCAGCAGCAAGGACTACAACCTGGACTACCACCATTATCAGCACCGTCCTACTCTGTCGGGGGTAGTGGAGCGTCGTCGATGCCGTTGCAGTATACGGCCTCTACGATGCTACCGCAGGGTAATGCGCAATATCAGCAATCGACCGTAGCGCCGCCAGAATATCACAATCTTCCGCAGGTCCAGCAGCGGAAACCGGTGGCAGTTGCACCAGCATCACCAGCGATCCCGCGCCGACAACAGACGCCGCAGTCACCGCAGTCGCCTAGGCGAGTGGGCGCGGGAGCGGATGGATCGCCGCTGGGAGGCGTCGGAGGAGGAGCAGGCGGACAGTTTGTGCCGGCATCACTAAAAGACAAGTCGCGCGGAGATCTGGCGCAGCTGCTAGAGGACGATGCGGTGCTTACGGCTTACTTTGAGGCTACGCATCCGGCGTCGGTGAGCCATCGCGAGGCGGTAGAGACGCTGGCTGGCAAGATTGCCGCCTCGGGGACGCGGATCAATGCGAAGGAGGAGACGCTGAGCAGTCGTCGGACGACGGTGGAGAAGCAGCTGCGGGAGGCGCAGAAGCAGGACGACGTGTGGCATGCGCGGGAGAAGGAGATGTATGCGGCACTGCAGCCGTACTCGAGCAGTGGCCTGAAGGCGCGGTTGAGTGCTGCTACGGCGGAGGCCGAGCAGGTGTCGGAGGCGCTCGCGGGATCATTTTTGGATATGAGTGGGAGCAGCAGTCGCGGAGGGCTGGATGCAGGACAGTTTGTGAGGGATTACAGGCAGGTGAGGAAGATATTCCATCTGCGGAAGGAGAGGCTCGAGCGGTGGAAGGAGGAGCGGGTCGGCGGGGCGAGTGTGCGGAGGTAGGGCAGCCATGATGGAATGGTGGGGAGGATTGCATCAGGAGAGAGAGAGACTAGACGAGGCCAGACGCGATGGACGAGTAGGTGAAATAGCCGGGGATGGCTGAGGAGGGGGAGGGGTGAATCAGGACGCAGGGTATTTACGCCGACATATGCCGCGAGGACAGGGCGTAATATAATACAGCTACAGCTGTAGTTATGTCTTAGTTGAAGTAGACTACAACCAATAAATACAGCACAGACACAGTGCAAACCAGAACAACTCGGTGCAGAGGATAGCAGAGGTATCTCGGACGAGTATACTAAAGAGGAAGAACGAAGGTTTACTTATGCGGCTCAGAAGGGCAAGCGCGGTAAGGTGTTGATTAGGGTAATATCTCCGTTTACCCGCTCGCTTGCTGCGCACTCTACAAACTTAGCCGCCGGGGGCGGGTCTCACCTGCTGCTGCTGCGCGGAGGAGGCAGGGAATTGTCAGGGAAGAGGGAGGTTATGAGAGACAGAGGACCGGGCAGTGATGGTCTGCGTCTGTGTATGTCGGGACGAGAGCGTGGAGCGGAGGAAGGCTAAGAGCGGTTAAAATGGAGCGAGCACTGTGAATAGCCGGCTTTTCGCGTCTGCTTGACTGCTTTCCCCTTTGGGCAGTGCTCCGGGGTCGCTCTTGTTCTTCTTTTCTGTGGTATTATTCTCTTGTTTGGATGATTTCTTTTGTAATAGCGCAATTGACCGAATAATATACAAATATAACCACTTCAATCACTTCATCACCTCCAACTTCCCCTTCCTCCTCTTTCTCTCCCTCTGCTGCTCGTTCTCCGCCCTCACGGCCGGCCTCACTGGTTAAATTGCCTCCGCCGCACCCACCCCGCCCTGGCCTATATAAACATCTCCTCCCACCCTCCTCGCCTGCTCCAGATGTTTGTCCTTCGCGCCTCTCTCCGTCTCCTACCTGCTTCCTCATCCATCGCTCGCCCCTCTTTCTCTCTCTTCAAACGCACAATGGTCTCTACCCCCTCCGTCACCCTCTCCGGCTCCGGCCAGCAGATGCCCCTCGTCGGCTTCGGCATCTGGAAAGTTCCCCAGGAAACCTGCGCCGACACCGTCTACAACGCCATCAAGTCCGGATACCGTCTCTTCGACGGCGCCCAGGACTACGGCAACGAGAAGGAGGCCGGTGAAGGTGTCCGCCGCGCGATCGCCGACGGTCTCGTCAAGCGCGAGGAGCTCTTCATCACCTCCAAGCTCTGGAACACTTACCACTCCAAGGAGCACGTCCTCACCATGACCAAGAAGTCGCTCGCCGACTGGGGTCTTGACTACTTCGACCTCTGGCTCATCCACTTCCCCATCTCGCAAAAGTACGTCGATCCCGCCGAGCGCTACCCTCCCAACCTCCTCTACGACGTCGACAAGGGAACCATGGAGTTCGAGGACGTCCCCTTGTCCGAGACCTGGGCTGAGTTTGAGAAGGCCGTCGAGCTCGGATACGCAAAGAACATTGGAATCTCCAACTGCGCCGGTGCTCTCCTCATCGATCTCCTCCGCTACGCCAAGATCCGCCCCTCCGTCCTCCAGATCGAGCACCACCCCTACCTCACCCAGCCCAAGCTGATCGCTCTCGCCAAGCAGCAGAACATCGCCATCACCGGCTACTCCTCCTTCGGGCCCCAGTCCTTCCTCGAGATGGGCTCCGAGGCCGCGCTCAAGACCCCCTTGCTCCTCGAGCACGCCCTCATCTCCTCGATCGCGACCGCCCACTCCAAGACCCCCGCCCAGGTCATCCTGCGCTGGGCCACCCAGCGCGGCATCGCCGTCATTCCCAAGTCAAACAACCCCAACCGTTTGGCCGAGAACTTGTCGCACACCGACTTTGATCTCACCCAGGCCGAGCTCGACTCCATTTCGGCTCTCAACATCGGCCTTCGCTTCAACGACCCTGCTGACTGGCCCGGCCAGATCTACATCTTTGCTTAATTTAGTTTATTTTGTAATTATTTGTATATGTAGTTTGTGAATACACTTGATCTTTGCACAATGCTTTTCGATCGTAAATGCATCATCATCATTGAACTCGTAAAAACTTTGCTCATGCGGAGAGCTACGCCCGATCTGCAGCCATCCAGACCCTTACCCGACGAACCAAATACGGCCTATGATGTCAACCCGCTGACAGACATACAGACATACATAACTTTTATTCCAAACTATTTACACCTATCTTGTCCGAATGACACCCGCAGCAACCAGCAGCTCAATCTTCCGTCTGACCTCAGGGTTCTTCATATGGTTGTTGAGCGCCATCGGGTTGTCTTTCGCCTGGCCCAAGATCGACTGCATCACGGGATCGCTCAGGATCGAGACAACCTCGGGGTCCTTGCTAATGCGCTCCATCGCCTGCTCCTCCGTCTCGCCCGCCTGTCGCTGGAACCGCTGCGTGTACGCCTTCTGCCGCAGCTGCTCAATCTCATGCGCGCTCTGTCCGGTACTGTCCTTCGCCGTAGCCTCCTTCAGCGTCTCTAAGCAGCCGACGTAGTCGCGCATCGCAAACTGCGCGTTGGCCTTGCGAATGTAGGCGCGCACAAAGTTAGGGTCCTTCTGGATCGCAATGTCGCAATCCTTCACGGCCTCGGGGAACGACAACAGTTTCGAGTACGCCGCAGCGCGGTTAGAGTATCCTCGTGCGTCCTCGGGCGCGCGCTTGATCATCTCCGTGTACGCCTTCACTGCACCGGGCCAGTCCGCAGCCTTGAAAAACGCGTTTCCTTCCTCGCGCGCAGCCTCGGCCTTCTCGGGATCTATGTAGGCCTCGATATCCTTCTGCTTCTTCTCCTTCTCCACCGCGCGCAGCTTGTTGAGCACGTCCGGCGTCCGGTGCTCGGTCAGCGAACGGTTGTAGTACTCGATCGACTTCTCAAGATCGCCGAGCTTGTGGTACGCGGTTCCGATCCGGCCAAACGACTTGGCGATGATCTTGTAGTCCGTCCGCGACTCGCGGCCTTCCTCGATAGCCTTCTCGCAGGTCTTGATGCAGCCCTCAAGATCTCCCTTCTCAAACTCGGCAGCCGCAAGGTTGTTCAGGTATGTCACGTCCTTGAACAGATCCCACGCCTTTTGGTAGTGCGCAATCGCATCGTCAAATTGTCGCGACTTGTACGAGGCGTTTCCGAGCGCCTTCTCCGCATCAGCCTCCTTCTTTGCCTTTGCGGACTTGTCCTCCTCCTCCGGCTCTGGCTCCGGTACCGGCTCAGGAGCAGGCTCGGGCGCCTTCGTGGCTGGCTCCTCGGCGGGCTTCGCGTCCGACATTGGCACGTCCGCGTCGCCACCAGGGCCGTTGGGCATCTGCATGTTGAGTCCGAGCAAAACAGAAATGACCTGCATAAGTCTTGGATCGGACATCATCTCCTGGCTCATGGACTGTGGGTTCTTCTGCATCTTCTTGAGCTTCTCGACGAACGCCGGGTCGGCAAGGTATGGGCTTGTCTGCGAGTTACCCGCAAGCTTGGCCCACATCGTGCTGTCGTCAAACATCTGGCCGAGACCCATGTCGGGTGTGGTGCCGTCCTCGGCGGCCTCGGCGGCAATCGCGTCGTTGACAGACTTCAGACCAGACTTTGCCTGCGCGTTCGCGGGATCGATCTTGAGAGCTTCCTCGTAGGCATCGAGCGCAGCAACAAGGTCTCCGTGACCGTGCAGAGCGGCGGCCTTACGCGTGTATCCCTTCGCCCAGGCAGGGTTTATCTTGATGCACTCCTCGGCGTCGGCGAGCGCGGAGGTGTAGTCGTGCTTAGCGGCATAGGAGCCTGATCGGTTCGAGTACAGGATGTGGTTTGGCGTGGGAGAGGCCGCAATTGCAGCGGTAAAGGACTGGATAGCCGAGTCGTAGTCCTTTGCCGCGAACGCAGCGTTTCCTTGTGCCTTGAGCTGTATACAGAAAGAGAGGTTAGATGGATCATGGAGAGGGCAGCAGAGTACAGCGAGTGCACAAGACACGTACCTGTTCAGCTTCTGAAGACATTGATGATTATGCTATGCTACTCTGAATATGAAAAATGCAAAGAGCAAGAGGGCAGATTGAGTAAACAATATATCTGGCTGAAGATCAAAGAGCAGAGACAGAAGTTGGGGTAGGCAATGAATTTTATTGTCGAACTTCAACTTGGCCTCGAAAAGTTCCAGAAGATCCCGGTGGACTCTGTGAGGAGAGTCCCTCAGGCCGGGTAATGCTTACTGTCTCCTGAGGGACTTGTGTGAATCACGTGCTGAGCGCTGGTGGTTTGTCGGCTGTGGTCAATATTGCTGTTGTTGCTCTGCAGCTGTGTTTGGGATAGTTGGTCGCGTTATGTCGTTGTCAGGGTGAGTCTTCTGTGGACTTGAATATGGACTGTTTATTGTACTTCTACTGACACTGGGTGAAGGTTCGACTCGGCGTATATACCATGGGGCTACGAAGCACCGGACTTTCCGTCTCTGTCGTGGCCGACGACGTCGCGCATGGACACAAAGTACTACCTCTATTATCGGCAGGACATCTGGAAGTTTACATGTCTGTGGACGATCATTATCTATGAAGCCGTGCATTTTGTTGCGGGTTCGTGGGTGGTCTTGATGAATAGGAGATTAAAGTCGCTGGTCATTCTGGCGATCTACATGTTTATCGGCGGCGTGGGCGCCGTCATCAGTGGCAGTATAGTTGGTGCAATGTGAGTAGTGTTTGCTGTTATGCTTTTGCCGTGCGCATTAGTCTCTCGACTCTGACTATAATCTTTATTCTAGTCTTGGACTTATCTACAGTGCGGGATCGCTGCAGATGTCGACATGGATTCCTTTCGTGTGGGCGGTCGTGCAAGTTCTGACGTTGATTATGACTTCTTATTCCATGACCGCGTCGGTGATGTGACGCTGCTCTATCTTTCTTCTTGTTGTTGCATTTGGGCGTGGGTGTGTTTTTGAGATGTACATTACTATGGGCTCCGGGCGTTGGTTGTCGTTATTCAAATTGATCCTCAGTAAATCACTCAGTAGAGATCTACTTACTAAGCACTTACTCAACTTGGTTTGTCAGCGAGAAATGAATTACCGAAAGCGGCACCGAGCCTCCCAAATTGGACAAGCGAACCCGAGCCCGAACTGGTCCCAAAAAATAATTAAGGTTTCGAGGCCAGCGACCGGGCCTCTCCTGGCTTTTTGACTGAGACCCTCTCCTCCTCCTCTGCTCCTCCCCGTCCGCTCCTCCACCTCCTCCTCCTCCTCTTCCTCTCTTCGCGCACCCTTCTCTCTCTTCCCCATCTCTCTCCTGCCGTCCGCCATGGCGAGCGCTGTTGGCCGCGTCCTGGCCGCCATTGCCCGGCCCTCTTCCACCCACCCCATCCACACTATCGTCTTCATAGGCTTCCTCGCCTCCACCGCATACCTCTCCATCCTCAACATCTCTGTCCCCAATTCCGCTTCCCAGCTCCTGCCCGCGCACATCTACCGCTCCTCGCCTGCTGCTGAATGGAAACAAATTGACGACCCGGCAAAGTACTCCGCTGCCGCGCACTACGCCTTCCTGCAACTGCACTTCCAGCGAGACTCAGCTGACGCGCCTCTACCCGACGTCAACTCCACCGTTCCCGTTCTCAGCTCCTCCCTCGGACGCGACATCGTCGTTCCTACGCTTATTCCTTATGACTCTCTTGAGGATTGGATTGAGAACGCGCGTGAATTGATCCCCTTCTACGGCTCTGACAACCTCACCGCCCCTGACTCTCCGTCGTGGGTCTGGCATCTATCTAGCTCCCGACGCGGCTTCGTCTGGCTCGAGTGGTTCAAGTTCAGCTACGCGAGATTCGTCCAGCAGTTTCACGTATGTTCCATTATCTTTCTTCTATTAGTTTATTTTGTGAAACTGTCTTTGTTCCCTTTCTTCATGTGTCTAACTGGTTCCCCTTATCGGGTCTTTTTCACTATAGCGCGCCGAGACTTTTGACGTTGCAATCATGACCCTTGCCTACGCCGCCATGCACCTCACCTTCGTTTCGCTCTTCCTGTCGATGCGCAAGGTCGGCTCTCACTTCTGGCTCTTTGTCACCGTTATCATGTCGTCCTCGTTCGCGTTCCTCTTTGCTCTCGTGACCACCTCCTACATGGGCGTGCCTATCAACATGGTCCTTCTTTCTGAGGGTCTGCCTTTCCTCGTCGTCACCGTCGGATTCGAGGGCTATAACACGCTTGCGCGTGCTGCTCTCAACCACTCAAAGGTACCCAACTTGAGCGATGTCGTCAGCGCCGTCCAGCGCGTCGGTCCCAAGATCTGCGTTGACTATCTCATGGAACTCGTTGTCTTTATCGCTGGCGCCTTGTCTGGCGTCGGAGGCCTGAGTCAGTTTTGTTTCCTTGCGACTTGGATTTTGGTTTTTGATTTTGCCATGCTCTTTACGTTTTATACTGCTATCATCAGTATCAAACTCGAGTTCAACCGTATCAAGCGACATGTTTCTATCCGTAAGGCGCTCGAGGAAGACGGTGTGTCTGAGCGAGTTGCCGAGAGCTTTGCCGAGAGTGTCGATGAGAGCGAGAACAAGATCCAGCCGAATGGCGAGACGGTCATTTTCGGCAAGACGTTCAAGGATTCGTCAATCTCAAAATTCAAGACCTTTATGGTTATCGCTTTTGCCTTGGTCAACCTGTTCAACCTCACGACTGCGCCGTTCAGAGAGCATAGCAAGGGTGTTGTTGACCCGTCCTCGGTGGTTTCGACCTTGTCTACACTTTCTTCGGACGCTTACCTGCTTGAGGATACGGCTGTCGTCACTGTCTTTTCGCCCATGGAGTACTATCTGTTACCAAAGTCGTCTGAGTTTGAGAACGCGGTCAATTCCATCTTTGAGTCGTGGTCGCGCACGATTGGTGATCCCGTGCTCAGCAAGTGGGCAGCTGTCGTGCTCATCATCTCAGTTGGCTTGAACATGTACCTGTTCAAGGTCAGCCAGTACAGCGCCACACCGCAGATTAAGATTGTCGAGAAGATTGTTGAAGTGCCGAGCAAAAGTGTGTCTAGCACTTCTGGCTCTACGACCACGTACTCCAACGGGCTTTCTAGCTCCCGCGACTCTGACTCTGACAAGGACTCTGACGATGGGGGTATGGAGCTCACGATCAAGCCCAAGAAGGCTGCTCTTATGCCGGTTGACGATGCCGTCGCGCTAGTTAAGGCCGGCCGCACTAAGGAACTTTCGGATGAGGACATTATCTCGCTTACCAAGAGCGGAAAGATCCCTCTTTACGCTCTCGAGAAGCAGCTCGGTGACTGTACGCGGGCGGTGTATATCCGCCGTGCTGTGGTCTCACGGTCGATGGAGGATGGCAAGCTCGAAGGCTCGAGTCTGCCGTACTTGCACTATGATTTCACAAGAGTGCTTGGTGCTTGCTGCGAGAACGTTATTGGATTCATGCCTATTCCTGTTGGACTTGCTGGTCCATTGGTCATTGACGGCAAGAAGTTTTACATCCCGATGGCTACCACCGAGGGATGTCTTGTTGCGTCGACGATGCGTGGTTGCAAGGCTATGAACGCGGGTGGTGGTGTCACCACTGTCTTGCTTCAAGACGGAATGACTCGTGGCCCAGCTGTTCGATTCCCCAACTTGACGCGTGCTGGTGCTGCCAAGCTGTGGCTTGATTCTGAGGAAGGCCAGCGGACTATGAAGAAGGCGTTTGACTCCACTTCGCGATTTGCGCGGTTAAGTTCGCTTAAGACTGCTATTGCGGGATCGACGCTGTTTATCCGGTTCCGAACAACTACTGGAGATGCTATGGGAATGAATATGATTTCAAAGGGTACTGAGCACGCGCTCAAGTACATGGCCGAGCAGGCTGGGTTCCCTGATATGGAGGTTGTCTCTATTTCAGGAAACTACTGCACGGATAAGAAGGCAGCCGCCGTCAACTGGATCGAGGGACGCGGCAAGAGTGTTGTCGCTGAGGCTCTTGTCCCTGGCCATGTTGTGCGAAGTGTTCTCAAGTCCGACGTTGACGCGTTGGTGGAGTTGAATGTGACGAAGAATTTGATGGGTAGTGCGATGGCTGGAAGCGTGGGTGGTTTCAACGCCCAGGCTGCTAACCTCGTTACTGCAATCTATCTGGCGACTGGTCAGGACCCCGCGCAGAACGTCGAGAGTTCGAACTGCATTACGCTTATGAAGAATGTCGGCGGTGATTTGCAGATCTCGGTGTCGATGCCGTCTATCGAGGTCGGAACTATTGGTGGTGGTACTATTCTCGAGCCGCAGTCGGCGATGCTGGACTTGCTCGGAATCCGCGGTCCTCACCCGACTAACCCTGGTGAGAACGCGCGCCAGTTAGCGAAGATTGTTGCGGCCGGTGTTTTGGCAGGCGAGCTTTCGCTTTGCTCGGCTCTGGCAGCCGGTCATTTGGTGCAGAGTCATATGGCGCTCAACCGATCTGCTCCGGCTACTCGGGCGACGACGCCTGGACCGAGTCCGACTGAGAATATCACCATCTCTGCTGCTCCTGCTGCCGCGGCCAATATCTCGGTAGCAGGCATCAACGGTGCTGCGCAGTCGCCTGCGGACTTGGCGCGGTTACAGAAGGGTTCACAGATCTGCTTTGCTTAGACCACGTCTGGAAATGAAAACGACGAACCAGCATGGGACCGAGAAGAGAGAGAGAGATCTTATATCAAAGAGACGAAAATGATCAAGTCAAAACTATGTATATGCTGATGGTGTGGCCAGGAATTTGCACGGGTTGTCCTATTCATTACTTTTATCTTTTTCCATATCTTTTTCCAAAAAAAAGTGCTCGATGGAGTATGTGGTTTCTCTCTTCTTTTGTCAGTCTTGTTTGTTACAGTTAGTGTCAAAAAACTTATGATTTGCTTTTCGCGTTCTTGCTTGTATGCTTATTTTTTATATCAATTACTTTTACTCTGGGAAAGGTTCATCGCATTTGTTTCGTGTCTTTCTTTTGTTTTGTTTCTCTTAGCCCGCCATACTTTCTTATATTTTCCTTCTATCTCTTCATTACTGAAATGTTGTCTGCACTTTGTTTTTGTTTGTTTTTGTATTTATCGTTTCAACGTTTGTCTGTTATTCCACTTTGTTACAATATGCTCTGTCGGTGCCTGGAATTGACTAGGCGCACAGACTGCACCAAAGTCACTAGTTTGCTTAGCCCATTTCTCTTTTTTCATTCATAATTTCAAAATCGTCTATCGTTCTATACATATTGCTTATTCTATCTATTCTTATTGTATTGTATTCTCTTCTAAACATATCAATTGCATACTGAGATGGGATGAAAAGGCGAGGAACTCTAATTAGAATTTAAATATTGCTTAGGCAAAAGCCAACCGTCGGCTCAGCGCAACTGACTGACTGCCAGCTGGATAATCAACCAGAGCCCGGTGTTTTCGAGATCCCGTATTCGGATACATTTCCTCGCTCTGTTTGCTTAATCTACACAGCAGCTCTTCCTGACTACGAGGTGAACATCCAGACCTTATGAGCAGCAGTCGGGCGTCTGCGTCCGGCGGACCAAGCCCGCGTCTGCGCGGCATCCTCTTCGTCGTGACCACCCCCGGCGGACCGCAGTTCGTCTTCAACTACCCGCAAACCGAGCGACTTCCGAACAGCGGGTCGTCGGCAGCAGGAGGCGCGGGCGCGCGCGAGAAGCGGGAGATGAAGGGGGGACATCAGCATCAGCAGCAGCAGCAGATGGTGTCGCGGGCGTCGGCGCTGTCGTCGCCGCGAGTGCGGCCGTCGTCTGCTGCGTCGGATGGGGGACAGTCGTCGATGACTTTGGGCGCGAGATTGTCGAAGCTGAAACAGCAGCTTGATAGTCAGCAGCAGCAGCAACAACAGCAACAGCAGCAGCAGCAAGGTGAAGCAGGATCGAATGCGACGTCGCCGGCTTTCGATCCCGTGACGAAGCCGTACTACTTTGACTCGCCAGACTCGTCGCCTACTAGTTCGCAGTACAACTCCTCGGCCTCGTATTCGTCTGATGACGACTACGGCGACCGCGGCGCCGGATACGGATCGACCGCGAACGAGGAAAGCGGCGGCTGGAGCAGCGGCAGCGACGAGGATTACTACTCCCACAGCGACGAGGATATCGACCAATTAGACCTTGAAGCGAGCGACCGGGATCTCGATAGCCGCGGTAGGGGGACGAGTAAGCTGTTGTCGCTATCGCAGACGATCGCACTCGGTGCGGCAGAAGGGTACTCGTATTCGTCGTCGTCGCCGCGGAAATCGCATCATGGGAATCGGTCGACGTCCGCGAGACGGAGGCGCAGAGAGCGGAGGATACCGAGCGCGCCGGGGTCGACGGCAGGGTCGACGGCGTCTTCTGCGTCGCCGAGACGGCGGAGTCGCACGCCCGCTGGGCGGTCTACGAATCGCAAGTCAAATCTGTCGAATTCTACAATTGTCGGGGGCGCGAGTACCGCAGCGACTACTGGCGAGCCGTCATCATCCAACGCAGGCACGGCTGGTAGTGGCAGCAGCAGTCAAGTACCTTCACCATCACACCAGCGCGAAACGCCATCGGCCGCCGCCGCCGCGGCAATCACCTCGCCTCGCCTTGCGGCGTTGTCGGGGCTCGACACCTCTGCGATCGCAAACAGCATAAACATCCCCGAGATCTCGGCCGCGCTGCGCTCGCCGAACGTGACGCCGCTGTCGAATCCGAACACTGGAGCTTCGGCCGGCCAACGCGCGGGGAGCGTCAATCTCTCGCGGCGCAACAGTCTGGCAGATACCTCTGCGCCTGCGTCATCGGGCGGAAGTCCTCACCACGGGGTATCTACGCATTTCCACCCTCACCACCATCATCACCACCACGCACATCACTACCACCACCACCGCCAGATGGCGAGCGCGGACCTGGACCGCAACGACGAAGACGACGAGTCCGACGACAGCGGGGACGACGACAGCGCGAATAACCGCTACTCGCAGCCGGGCTCGAGCTCGCAGGTGGCCTGGGAGCGTGCGTTTGGGTTTGACGCCGAGTTTCTGGCGACGCTGTGTTGTCCACAGCGCAGTATGTGCGACACCAAGTTTGAGTTCACGGCCGACGAGCAGGCGTTCTTGGGCCTGCCGATGCATGCGCGGCCGGACGGGAAGTGGAAGAAGAGCGCGCGGGAGAGGATGATGCATTGGCGGCGGAAGCGGGGCGCGGGGTCGACTTCGGCGGCGTCGACGGGGATGAAGAGTATGGCGTCTGATTCGGATCGGATGGATGGGTATTTCGGGTACGATGATACGCTTGATGGAGATGATTACGACGATGACGATTATTATGAAGGCGGTGGGGATGACGAGGCTGATAGTAGTATAAACGCGCTCGAACGGTCGTTTATTACTACTAGTTTGACTATGGATTCGTCTTCGCAGGCTGCGTCTGAGACTATTGATGAAGAGCAGGAGGATGCAGATGGCGACAGCAGCGGCGCCAGGCGTTACTTGGGCGGAGGTGAGGATGATGCCGACCGAGGCAGAGCAAGCGAGGCTACGTCGTCGGAGTACATCAACAGCGTGTTTCATGCGTTCCGGCTCGGAGGAAAGAAAGAAGACTCGGGCGATGCGGAGGCTGATTTATCTTCGGTCGGCCCAGATCAATCGTCGTCTTCGGATTTCTTCTCAAGGGAGCAATCGAACGCGTCGTCGATGAACGCGAGCCCTGTGCTCGGCGCAACATCGTCGCCGGCGCAGCAGCAGCGCAAGTCTGTTTCCGAAGAAGGCGTCATGCGGATGTTTCACGTTGTGTTTGTGATGGATCCGCCCGAGCTCGAGTACCACGCGCGGCTGGACGAGATGTACAATTACGTTGCTGCGCCGCTGGCGGAGTGTCTCCGACTAGAGCAGCACCGGACGAACTACGTGTGGCAGCAGGCGCAGACGATTCTGCGGCTGCGAGAGCGGGCGGTCGAGAACGGGATGAGCCAGGACGAGCTGTGGACGATGACGCTGACAAAGTCGTCACTTGCGCTCGCGCTCGCGCAGGTGTACCTTGCGATTTCGGCGGGGTCGATTGCGAACGTGGTGATCAACGGGTCGACGCGGTCGTTCCAGGTTCCGATCACGATGCACTCTGCTAGCTTGCCGTCGATTCTGGAGCCGGTGAAGACGCCGGGGTTTTATCTGACGACGGAGGATTACTCTGATCAGTTTGCGGCCGTGAACGGGGCTGCGGATCGGGATCTGAGTCGGTATGCTGGACTGCCGTTTGTGGAGCATGCGGTGCTGTTGCTTGAGAGTGTGGAGAGGATATATAACGCGATGCAGATTGATGAGAGGAGTCAGTATGGGAGGTTTATTAAGGCGATTAGTCCTACCGAGTCGTATGTCTATGTGTTTACTACTTCTGCTTCCATATTATGGGCTAACAAGGGATTGCATGTGTTTAGATTGGCCAAGATTGCAGCAGCAACCGATATCTCGGTGAACGAGATTGAGACATATGCGCGCCATCTGATTTACTGGCGTCGTGCACGAACAATCATCCCAATCCACCGCCGCGGCATCTACATCGTCGCCCCGACCGCCCCACTCGCGAGTCTTCAGACGCACCGGCGGATCTTTGCGCGGCGGTTTCCGACGATGCCGTCGCTTCCGAAACTGCTGCAGGAGATCTCGGCGCAGGAGCCGCGGCCGTTTGGGAACCTGATTCCGTCGCATGCGATGAGGGATGAGTATCTTGATGCGCTGGCGTGGATGTTGCGGTATGGATATCTTGCGCAGGTGAGGACGTTTATATGGTTGAGGATATCGAGTTCGATTAAGAAAGAGGTGGCGGAGGATGAGCAGAGAAGGAGTAATGAGGAGGAAGATGAGGATGAGGAGGATATTGTGTGGAGTAAGAGTAAGAACAAGACAGGCAAGGAAAGCGGAGATGGAGCTGGATCTGCGGGAGCAGGTGCAAATACTAGTGGAGAGGGTGAGAATGACAGCGAAGACACGATACTTGGAGAGCCCGAGCGGGCGACTGTGCTCGAGCGGCGGTGGATGGACAAGATCGTGGAAGGACAGGGTGCGCGGACGGTTGAGCTTTTCTGGAAAGTGGCAAAGTACATGAATGGACGGGTTGCGTTTGAGGACGTGCCGGGGCACGAGGGAATCGAGAGACGGGATGTGCGCGGGTTGCTTGCGGTGGTGAAGGAGCATATTATTATTGCCCGGCATTGGTAGGCTGATGATGAGATGACAGGTTTTAGCAGCGGTGAAGGGCATTGTATATAAGATAATGAGTATTTCTATTATAGTAGATATATGTACATAATCTGCAGACGAGGTAAGGTTTAGACTCTTCTCGTCTTCTTGGGACGAACACCACCGACTCTCATCTTTGTGACGTCCATCACCCGAGTGATCTTATGTCTGACCGCCTGAGTCTCACGTCCCTCAAAGAGTTTGAGAAAAGCCGGGCGCTGCTGCGCAAAGCCGCGGAGTCTGAGATCCCACTCGTGGTCCATGTAGCCCATCTCGACGGCTTTCCTGACAAACGCGAGAGTGAGCCGGTACATAGCCTCGATCGAACCCTGCGCGGAGTTTTTGAAGCCGACGTAACCGGTCGACATCGAGATCTTGACGTCCTCGGCGGGGAAGGAGTAGAGGTTTCCGGTGTCCATGTAGAGCGAGGAGAGCACAAAGTGCGTGTTGCGGCGGGAGAAGGTCACGGTCCAGGCGTAGCGGAGGACGAGTTTCTTGACGGGGTTCTTCTTGTCGTGCATGACCGGGGCGGCGGACTGCAGCGTGGGGATATCCCATGTCTTTTGCACGAAGGCCTCGCCGAGCGCAGGTGTGGCGTATGGCGGTCGCATCGGACCGGCCGCGGCAACGGCTGGATTGGCTGCATCTGTGTTTGCCTCTTCGACGGGCGCGCTGTCGCCAACCGCGCGGCCAAAGGTGGTCTTCATCGTGGGATTGAGGGCATCAGTTCTGCTGCCGGGGCTGGAACTGCTGCTGGGGCTGCTGCTGCTGCTGTCGCCCTCGGCGAAGAAGACAGGTGTGCTCGAGAAGTAGCGGCTGCGGAAGAGGCTCGCGGCAGGCGCCATTGAAGGCATTGTAAGCGGCCGCAGCCGGCTTGCAATTGTCTGTATCCGCATCTTTATTTCTCTCTTGATCTGTCGCGAAAAAGAGACAAATGCGGTGGACTATACGCAAGCCTGAATCCCGGTGAACATGAAAATATTTGGACGCCGTTCCGAGGGAATTAGAGTTTGGAGGTTTAGTGCACATGAGTGTTGTGCGGTTGTGTCCACGTGACAGTTATGCAACTCACGTGACACTATAATAGGTCTGTAGTGATTTAGGTTTGTGGGATAACTTTATCCGAGACAATGACGCAGAAGGTTTATGAGCGGTGATCCCGTCTTTGTGGGGAGAAGAGAAGAAGAGAAGACCAGAGTATGGGAAGAGGAAGAGGAACAAGAGCAGAGGAAGAGAAGCAGCAGTCAAGAAGAACAGCAGCAAACAAGCAAATAGTCTACTTCTCCATCACATGGCTCTGATCTTCGCTCGCTCTCGGTCAGGCACTGCGCTGCTGCTCGGTCGTTGATGAGCTACAACAGCAGCAACAATGCCTGCCACTGACCATCAGAGATAACAACCAACGCTCACATATCACATTCAGCACTCGGCCTTCCTTCTTCGACTACGCCCTGTGACGGACGGTGAAGCAGAGGCTCGTCAAAATGCTGAAACGCCGACGACGTCATTCGCTCATCCGAACTCTTTCCGCTTCGGGCAAAAACTCAAACCCATCGCTGTGCCTCTCGTCGGTCGTTGTTCGCCTGTGGTTGCGCGAAGAACCTGCGCTGCTGCTGCTGCTGCTGCTCTGCCTGATCTTCGTCTGCTGCTGCCTGTTCTGATTCATGAAATAGTGCTGCTGTCATCTGACGCTCTGTTCTCTGTTTCTCTGTTCTGTTCCGCTGTTCTGGTCGTGACCACTGGCTTCTCCGCATTTCCGTCGGCGTGAGTGGGCGTCCTCTTCTCCGCTGTTCGGATAACGTCATATACTTCTGTCTCCGTTCTCCATCCTTGCGGTGACCTCTGCTGTACCGTACCTCGCTCTGCTCCTTGTCCGCCTTTGGCTTTCGGATCCTATCTGCAAACTCTCTGATCCCGCCTATATATATAACTATGATCATCCCTACCCCGCCACTCGCTCTCTTCCCCACACTCTTCTCTCCCTTGCTGCAAACCCACCATGTCGCAAGCAAAGAAATTCGCCCCCTCGGCATCAAATGTTGAAAACTCCGCCGCCGTCGTCGACACCTCCTCGACCTCCTCTGGCGTGGACCACTCCCGTCTGCCCCGCGCTGACGACGACACAACCCTGCGCGAGAAAGACAACCTGAACGGTCTTGTTGATCCCAACAACCCGCTAATCGGAATATCCGAAGAGGAGCTCCTCGCCTCGGCTACCGCCTACGCCATGGAGCACGACATGGAGGACTACGTCGACGAGTTCAGGAAAGGTGCGCTCATCGCGCAAAACCCGGCTGGTCTAGGTAGAGACATCAGCATGCTCACCGACGCCGACCGCCAGTCTCTACTCTACGAATACGAGCACCGCTGGTCGCAGCCCAAGGCGCTGTATTCCCTCGTCGTCCTGTGCTCGCTGGCGGCAGCCGTGCAGGGTATGGACGAGACCGTCATCAACGGCGCGAATCTGTTTTACCCCTCGCAGTTCGGCATCGGCTCGAACTCGGACTACGACACCTGGATCGTCGGACTGGTCAACTCCGGTCCTTATCTCTGCTGCGCGGTTATCGGATGCTGGATCTCGGGCCCGATGAACAACTTCTTTGGTCGCCGGGGAACGATCTTCATCTCCTGTCTGATCGCGGCCGCGACCTGTATCTGGGGTGCGTGCACCAATACCTGGTGGCATCTCTTCATCTCGCGGTTCTTCCTCGGTCTCGGCATCGGCGCAAAGTCCGCGACTGTGCCCGTCTACTCTGCCGAGTGCACGCCCGCCGTCATCCGCGGCGCGCTCGTGATGATGTGGCAGATGTGGACCGCGTTCGGGATCATGCTCGGCTACGTCGCCGACGTGGCCTTCTACTACGTGCCCGACAAGCACAACATCACGGGTCTCAACTGGCGCCTGATGATCGGCTCGGCCTGTTTCCCCGCGATCCTCGTCTGCGCACAGGTGTTTTTCTGCCCAGAGTCGCCGCGCTGGTACATGGGCCGGAACCAGCACCGCAAGGCGTTTGAGTCGATGCAGGTCCTGCGCGGCAACGACCTGCAGGCTGCGCGGGATGTGTATTACATGCATGTCTTGCTCGTGCAGGAGCAGGAGCTCAAGCGCGGACATAACCTCATCCGCGAGCTCGTGACGATCCCGCGCAACCGCCGCGCCGCGCTCGCGTCGTGGATTGTGATGTTTATGCAGCAGTTTTGCGGAGTCAACGTGATTGCGTACTACTCGTCCTCGATCTTCCAGGACTCGGGCTTCTCTGCCGTCTCGGCGCTGCTGGCCTCGATGGGGTTTGGTATCATCAACTTTCTGTTTGCGATCCCGGCCGTGTACACGATCGACACTTTTGGTCGCCGGTGGTTGCTCCTCGTCACGTTCCCGCTCATGGCGCTCTTCCTCCTCTTCACCGGCTTCTCGTTCTACATCCCAGGCGAGAAAGCCCGCGTCGGCTGCGTCGCGCTCGGAATCTACCTCTTTGCGATCGTATACTCGCCTGGTGAGGGCCCCGTCCCGTTCACCTACTCCGCCGAAGCCTTCCCGCTCTACATCCGCGACCTCGGCATGTCCTTCGCGACCGCAACCACCTGGTTCTTCAACTTCATCCTCTCGCTCACCTGGCCCCGTCTCCAAAAAGCGTTCACAACCCAAGGCGCGTTCGGCTGGTACGCGGCCTGGAACGTGATTGGTTTCTTCCTCGTGCTGTTCTTCGTTCCAGAGACGAAAGCGCTCACGCTCGAGGAACTAGACCGTGTCTTTGCGGTCCCGACGAGGACGCATATGAAGTACCAGCTCTCGATGGCAAAGTGGTTTGTCAACGCGCGGGTGTTTGGCAAAAAGGACGCCGTGCGGCCGCCGCCTTTGTTTGAGCTGCGGTATGTTGCGCCGGTTCGAGATGAGGATTTGGAGAAGGGTGCTTATTAAATCATTTGCGTTGTTTTTTGTTTTTACATGTGACATTTACCGAGTATACATACATCGTCTCTAATTTAAGAAATATTTATGAATTTTACACATTCACAAGCACAAACTAAAACTATAAACAGTAAAACCCACCACTTTATCTTACTTCAACCCACAAAAAGTATTCTTATTTTTATTCACCTTGTCTTCACGATGGATAGTGTATCCAGATGCATCACAATGAAAAATGTATGAGAGATTATGCCGCTGTCGAGGCACAGAGATGTTGTCGCTTTCTTCAGATTTTTAGATGGATTACTCATCCAGGGGCCTGTGGAACTCCGGTGCGTTCTCCCACCCCTTTGGGATTCCAAAACACGCGTTATCGTAGTCGACCTTCTCGGTCGCGATGCGGAGGGCGTCGATGAACGTCGTCAGCGAGCAGAACCCGTCTTCGTCCGCCGGACACTCGCCGACGCCGACCAAGGGCATCACGCGGCCGTTGAGTTTCAGACGGACCATTGTCTCGTCAAACTCCGGGCAGTCAATCAGTTCGACGTAGAGTCTTGCGCCGAACGGGGTGAGCCGCGAGGCGACGAACAGGCGCGGCTGGAGAAGGGTGTCGGATGGTAGTTGGCCGAACGGCAGGCCGAGCGCGGTTAGGATCGCGAGGATGATGGTGTCGTGGGTCATGTCCATATAAAACAGCTGGTCGAGCGGGAAGGTCTCTTCGCTGCTGGTGATGGTCACGTTGATGCTCCCATAGGGCTCGGTCAGGAGATGGCCTTCGAGTCTGGCCTGGAGCTCCTTGAGCCAGCCCACGCCCTGCGCGGCACCGACCGCCGAGCCGAGCGAGGCGTCGCCCCAGAACTCGAGCGCGTCGCGGTACTCGTAGCCGTACCATTCTTTCTCGGTGAAGAGCTCGCAGAAGCGCGAGTATCCGTACGCGGCGGTCTCGTACGCGCACATCGCCATCACGGAGTAAATGTCCATCGGGGTAAGGTTGGCGGTCGGGAGCAGCTTGTTGAGGCGCTCGGTCGCGTCCTTGAGGAAGATGTTGACCCACTCGCGGTAGATGCGGGAGCCGATCGTGAACCGCTTGGACTGCGAGTTCGGGCACGAGTAGTAGGACGCAAGCGTGTTGTTCTCAAACGCCCGCTCGGACATGTACACCATCTTGTACAGGTCGTCGTCGTCGACCGGCGCGTTGGGCTCGCCAGAGTAGATGCCAAAGAAGCCGGCCGCCCAGGCGTGCGCGGAGGTGTTGATCCGCGACTGATCGGTCGTCCGGAGCACGATCTTTGGTCGCGCGGTACCGTTCGGGTAGACGTTCAGTGTCGGGTGGTAAAACATCTCGCCCTTGTCGGTGGCGTTGAACAGGAATCTGCCGTGGGTTTCCCAAAACATCGAGCCGGAGGTGAACTCGGTTGCGACTCCGGACGCGAGCAAGAGTTCATCGTTCATGGTCTGGCGCCAGTCCGAGATCCATGAAAGTTCCTCGGCAGGCTTCTCGGTCATGCCGTACAGCTTCTCGGCCATCTCGTTGATCTTGTCGAACGCGCCGCCGGTAGGGTACCGCTCAGCATGGCGGTGGAGCACATGCACCTGCTTGAACGAGCACTGCGCGTGTGGCAGACCGTAGTATCCCTTGCCGGCCATCTCGCTGATACCAGGCCATGCCTTGCCGGTCTCGTAGTAGGGCGAGAGCGAGCCCCAGGACTGCTTCATGTTGAACCCAGATGCGAACGAGATGCCTGTCGGCGCGGCGATCGGCGAGGCGTCGCGGGACGGGGTCTTGGACATGCGCGAGATGAAGAAGAAGACGATGAAGAGCACGACGGCGGGAACGATGAGGATGACAATCAACTTCTTGAGCGCGGGCTCGGTCGCGGCCGAGCGCACTCTTCGGAACCGCGTCGGCGTGGACTGCGTCGTCGTCGTCGGCGCAAGCTGCTCGGCAGCCACGGCCTCGAGATCCGCCTCGAGGTCAACGGTGGAGCCGTTGTCGGTCGTTGTCGCTACGCTGGGCTCGGCGCTGGGTGTGGACGAGGAGGAGGAGGATGTGTCGACTTCGGTCGAGGACCGCGGCAGGGCGGGCTGGCCGTCGTGCAGGAGCGGGTCATAGTCGCCGTTGTTCTTGCGGGTCTCGTTTGCCATTGCGGAGAGTCTGGCAGGTACGAAGGAGAAGAGGTTGGTGACGGTTGGTTGATAGCAGGAACAAAGGGCTTTGGTCGCTTCGTTTCTTAATCTGCGCCGCAGCAGAAGTGAAGTAGTTTTAGAGTTTTGTGGTGCTAAATGTGGATGTGTTTGGTGCATAGCACAAATGCACACAACTTTAGACTGCTCTGCAGCATCCGAAAAGGGGAATTGTCATATGGCTCTTATCTTATCTTAATTCAACTACCTGTCCCCACAACTCCACCGTCCTAATACTCCATTGCACCACCCCGCAGTCCTGTAGAATCATCACACTGTAAAATCATCATAAACACAACGCAAAAAATCACTCGTCAGCTCGCATACCCCAGAACGCCCGTCTATACAAAAGATGCTGTTCCTGCTGCGCCCAAGCCGTATCCCCACTCACCATCTTTCGCGCCAAAAGCATCATGTCCGGCGCCTTGCCCACCGCCCATCCGCCGGCCAATCCGCCCAATTCCCACGCGCTCAGCACGCACGCGCCCGCGGCTTCGACAGACTTGCTCTTTGCCAAAACTCTAAACCCCGTGAGTCCCAGCATCGCGAGGAAGACGTAGTGCGGCACGTCGCCGGCGTCTTCGAATGTCGAGAGGAAGCCGAGGACAGCGCAGGCGAGGCCGGAGGAGCCGTTGATGGCTCTGAGGAAGAGTTGGTTGCCGCCCGCGAGCGCGCGAGGGAGGAGCGCGGCGGACACGGTGGTGGAGACGAGGCCTGCGCCGAGCACGGGGCCGAGCGCGGAGGGCGCGACGAGGAACTCGGTTTCTCGCGAGAGCCAGACGAGCGCGAGCGTGGACGCAAGGAAAGAGGCGAGCGTGCGGTGGCTAAAGTGCGCGAGCACGAGCGAGAGTTTGGGCGTGTTGGCGGTCGACCGGGCGGTGAAGCTGAAGATTGGTAAGTTCACGTAGCCGTACTTGACGAGTGTCTTGCGCAGGCTCGGGAATGACAGTTTGCAGGCAAACACGAGCGTCGATAGGATCGCGATAGTGGTCGAGACAGGGTAGGTGTGTCGCTGGCGACGCGAGCCGCCGCCGCTGATCCACTCGTCGTCGTCGTCGGCTGCTGGGGACATGCTCCGCGCGCCGCCCTTGCTGTCCTCGTACTGCTTGAGGACGTAGTATGCCGTGCCTCCAAGACCGAGGCCAAACGCGCCAGAGACAAGTCCGAGGTACAGCACATATCCGTACCTGTACTTTGCAAACACGCTCTGCGCAGGCCGTACTCGCCCGCCATCTTTGTTGGTGTCTGAAGACTTGCTGCTGCCCTGCTGATCGACGGAGCTCACGAGCGGATCATCCGGCGACGGATAGGACGTCGGGATGCCGAGATAGCTCGGTGCTTTCTCCGCGCTCGGTGCGTTCTGCGGGGGGCAGAGTCACCGACTTTGCTGGCCTCCTCGGTCTTGCTCGGCTCTGCCTTTGCCTCTGCCTTTGCGTCCTCCTTTACCTCTGCCTCTGCGTCTGCCTTCGCATCAGCCTTTGCATCGTCAGCGGCACTCTGATTGACCTGATTCTTGGCTTCCTCAAAATCCGCCATCATCACCTGCTTCGCCGCATCCTGCAGCGCCATATAAAACACTCTAGATCTCGCCCTCGCGTCCTCAGCAACACTCTGATTACGCTTGTCATCGTGCATCGCATCATACAACCCCATCTCCGTCATCTGCATCTGCTTCGCCGCGTTCTGAATCGCCGTCTTGAAAATAATCGCGTATTTCTCAAACGGCAGATGGACAGGCACCACCCTGTCATCCACCGCCAGCTCAAACAGCACCGTCTCGTCGTCCTCGACGTCCTCCTTGTCCGCAGCCTGCTCAGCTGCAGCAGCAGCCATCTGCTTCTTCTCCCGACGTGACTCCTCCTGCGGCGCACGCACAGACTGCCCCCTCTTCACGCGCACCGGCTGCGGCATGTTCGGAAACACCGGCTTCTGCGGCGGCGGCGTGGTGTTTGGGCGGAAGTCGATGGTCGAGGCAGAAGTGCCCTGCTTGCGGTTCTGCTTGCGGACTTTGTTGCTCGCGTGGCGGAGGCTGCAGGGGAGGGAAGGGGCCGAGGAGCGCAGGATGAGGCGGCAGATCACACGCGCGTCGAGGCGGGCGGACGGGGTGATTGGCAGGCGGGTGCACAGCATTGCGGTATGTACTTGTAGAGGAGGATAAGAACAGATCAATGGTCTGCGAGCAGTATATAAGCAGCAGCAGCAGCAGCAGCAACAACAACAACAGCAGCAGCGGTGAAGTGGAGTTGTGGAGGAGCGGCGTTGGGAGTTTGGAGGCGGCTCTTCTCCCAGCTGCTCTTCTCCCAGCTGCGCCGATAACGCGACTATTAAACCATATTGAAGATGCCTTAGCTATTACATTACATTAACTATCAATAAGTATATACAATCACTCCTCATCAGGCACATCCTCCAGCACAACATGCCGCATCGGACTCTCGCTCCTCTTCCCCTCCTTCTTCAGCTCCTCCACCTCCAGCGGGACCTTCACCTCGTTCTCCTCCTCGCTGTCCAGAAACTCTTCCTTCTCCTCCCCGCTGTTCTTCTCCAGCAACACCTTCCCCGACGCCTTCTCCGCCTCCGGCACAAACACCTCCTCCACCGTCTCGTCTCGCGAGATCGGCTGCGACGCCTGCACAATCACTGACGTGTCGTCCTCGTCCTCGGCTACCTTCAGCGGCACCTTCACCTCGTTCTTCTCCTCCTCGTCCAGACTCTCGTCCTTCTCCTCCTCCGCCCGCTCGAGAATAACATCCTTCCCTGCCTTCTCCGTCACAAAGTACTCATCCCCCTCAATCACTTCCTCTCCCGGCCGCGGCATCTCCGCGCTCTCCTCCCGCTCCACAATCTCAAACTCCTCGTCCTCCTCGTCAGAGTCCGACGGCGGACTTAAAATCTTGTCGATCTTGTCCGCGGTATCGACAGCCATCGTAGTCACCTCGTGCTTCATCTTCCGCAGCTCCTGCCGCCGCGCCTTCACCTCCTCGTCCTCGCTCTCAGACTCGGGCGTGGTCAGCAAGATGTCGTCCAGATCAGAGTAGTACTTCTCCAAATCAGACTGGATCTCAAGCAGCTTATGCCTCTTCGCCGTCTCGTCTTCCTCGGCAGAAATCTTCTCCACCCGCGAAGACGCATCAAGCACTTTTCCGCGAATCGCCGCAATCTGCATCTCAATCACCGCAAACGGCGACTTGGCCGCCTCCGCCGGAATCTCAAACTTGGGCGGCGGCACAGACGGCTTTGCATGCGCAATCGTGTAGTGGTACGGAGGTCGAGTCGCGGTCTCGGGCTCGGCAGGGTACTCTTCCTCGAACGGCGTCTTGGGCTCGGTTGCGGACGGCTCAGCAGATTCCGCAGCGGCGCCGAAAATCATCTGCATCAGCTCGTCAAACGACGGCGCGGTCGTAGGTGCTCCTTCAACTGCTTTCGGCTTCTCCATCTTTTGCTGCTTCGCCGGCGGTTGATCGGCAAGCGGTGACGCGCCCTCTGAAGGTCTCTCGCGCGTGCTGGAGATCGGCGTAGACGGTCGACCCTGACTCTGGCTCTGAGCAGAAGCCGAAGAGAGATCAGCTGCGCCGCCAAACAACGCAGTCAAGAAATCCTGTGCAGACTCGTAATTGACGTCCGGCACAAGCTTCGCGCTCTTGCGGTCGAACCCAGCCATCGAGTCCGCGCTCGGCTTTGGCTTGGGTTTTTCCTCGTACAACGCATTCGATCCACGACGCGAGCCGCGCTTGATTGCAGAGGGAGACGAGCTCGAGTAGAGCTCGCGGGGTTTGATGCCCTGCTGGCGAAGGAAAGCGGAGATCGTGCCCGGGCGGATCGGAGTCTCGTCGCTCTCTGAGGCTTCAGAGACTGACAATGCCGACGACTGCTGTTGCTGTTGCTGTTGCTGTTGCGGGTAGTGAAGCTGCTGCTGCTCGTCCAAGAGGCGCTGGAATGCCTCTTTCTGAAGCTGCTGCTCGGTCTGCTGCTGCTCGGTCTGAATCTGCTGCTGCTGCTCGTATCGCTGCTGAGGCTGCTGCACGAATCGAAGAATACGCTGAATCTCCGCGTCCTTCATCGCCTGCTCCTCCTGCTGTTTCCGATAAACCGCATACCGCAGCCTCTGCCTCCGCGCAATCTGCGCCTCCCGCTCCGCCAGCGCGGAAAGAAACGCAGCCGCCTCGGCCTGCTCCTCGCGCTCCTGCTGGCGCTGCTGCTGCAACGCGCGGATGACGAGGTCCTGCTCCTCCGCGATGAGGTAGGTGAGTTGGTCGCGTTTAGCTGTAAGTTGCGCCTGTTGACGCGCGAGCAGCTGCTGCTCGAGCGCGAGACGCTGCTGTTCTCGCTCGAGCGAGGTCAGTTGGGCGATGTAATGCGAGAGGTGCGCGCGGTGGGCGGCGATCGTGGGCGAGACGCCTGATCGGGGCTGATCCGGGACGATGTAGATACGGCGGTCCATTGATTGTTATTAGGAAGTGGTGAAGAGTGTCTGAAGAGCAGTAAACAACAAGAAGAGGAGAATAGGAAGAATCGATGGAGATCAAAGGCAGAAGCAGCTTCGTCTGATTTATGCGACCGGCACGTGAGGCTCAGGTGGTTTAGGGCTCGTTCTAGAAGCACCCAGGCGAGCCGCGAAGAGCCGGCAGTGACGTCACCACTCATCACTTGAAGAAGAACAATAACAATAAGAAGAAGAAGAACAACAAGAATAACATGAAAAAGAACAGAAGAACAACAGAAGAACATCAACTCTACACCAACGGAGTCCCGCCCCAGTACCACGAGTGCACCGTAGAATACCCGCCATACGGCTCATCCCAGATACTCCACCTGCGCTCATACTTCATCCACTCATCCTCCTCCTCCTCCTCCTCCTCGCTGACTGTCGCCTTCCTTCTCACCTGCTCTCTTGTCTCTCTCTGTCTGTCTCTCTCGCTGAAAATGTTGATCGCCGGAAGACTCTTGTACCATCCCGACAAGAACCCAGTGACGCCGCCGGTTGCTCCGCTTTGGTCCGCGGGTAGTACGTCGTCGGTCGGATCCTGCTCGACCGGGATAACCTCTGGCGCTTCACAGTCAAGAGCACTCTTGTCTGGTTTCCGGCGAAGTGAGTCTTTCAACAGCTTCTGCGCCTCGCTGATAGCCTGGTCGTTGATAGTCGCATGACCGACGTATCTCGGACTTGCCTCTTCGTCGGCTTGTGCTCGCTCGCTGCTGCTCTCGAGGTAGACTTGATCGTAGATTTCTTCTTCTGAAACCACTTCATCTGCTGTCTGAAGTTCAGATACGACAGACTGAGGAGCCTGCACATTGCCATTCGACAGCACAGCTAACCCTGTCGTACGCTTCTTCATACCCCCATCTTCACCGCCCTCCACTGCTTTCTTCCCCCTGCGTCTCCGAAAGATCGAACCACTTCTTTTCTCCACTTTCTCGGTGTCTGCTTTTGCGTTTGCTTTTGTTTTTGATGGTATTCCACCATTCTCATCAGATTGGCGGAATAGCTGTGCGCCTGATTGTCGAAGAGCAGGGATTTCCATCTTGCCGCTGAATTCTTCGTGATCTTGCAGAGGTAATACAGACAGTTGCTTCTTCTTCTTCCTCTGGATCTTAAAAGTAAAGATCTGGAAATGTCGAGAGATAGTCTTTTGTCGAGGATAATCGAGAGCAGCTAGATAACTCTCGTCAAACGGTCAGTCGTCGCTCTACATCTACCGTACACTCCCCCATCAGTTTACAAAAAGAGAAAGAAAGGATAGTTTAGTTACGCTTGATCGAGATACTTTCTACCGGTGATCTTCCGCTGAATTCAGAATTCGCAATAGTACTCTGACTGCGCTAGAAACCACAAAAGAGCTTGATAGTCAGCCACCCACTCTCACTTGCTCTTAGAACAGCAACAGCCAATAAATACAGTTTTGAACAACGCAAAAAACCGACTACGCCGCGATCTGCGTGTCTGCGCAGTACTCTCAGACAGTGGAGGCGACGGATACGCTGTCGAGTTGCAGTTGTTGTCGTAGTTGCACTGGTTCTGGATCAAAATCACGTGTGAGCTCAGTCTCTCTAGTTGAAGAGGGTGGTACAGTGAACTTGCTTCCCGTGGTTTGGCCCTGAATGCACGAGAGAGTCTCATTTTTGCGGGGGTCAGTCTGAATTGCTGGAGTGTGGAGTAGGAAAGAGAGAGGTTAGGAAGGGAGGGTTTATGAGTTTTGAAATGGGCGGAGAGAGGTCAGGCCGAATCGAAATCTCATCAGCGCGCGAGTTTTTATTTCGGTTTGAATCAGATTTATTGATATTCACTCGTATTACTGACTGACTTTTGCTACGAATGTCAGTTTGTAGTAAGAAATTGAGCAGATCATTTGGGCTCAATGTCCGGGATCGGTCCAAGAGGCGTGATGGAGTAGGGGTTGATCTGAGTATGGCTCTGTTGACAGTCTTGAGTTAGTAACAAATTCAACACACTGCAGTCTACATGAATACATACCTTAGTGTAATGCTTCTTGATGTGCTCAAAATTAGTCGTCTCCTTGAACGCCGGAATATCCCAGTACAAATGCTTAAGCCACTTGTGGATATTCGGGTAGTTATGTCGGATCGTGCCCAGGTTACACTTGAAGTGCTGCACATACACCGGATCAAACCGCACGATAGTCGGGTACAGTCTGATATCGGCCTCGGTCAGGCGGTCGCCAAAGAGGTAGGGGCCGGACGAGCTGCCGAGGATGGACTCGAGGCGGTCGAGGGACTTGAATACTTTGACGACGTGGGATTCGTAGACTTCTTGCTTGCTTGCGAAGCCGGATTTGTAGACGCCGTTGTTCACCGTGTCGCTGTTAAACAACTCTGTTAGCTTTTGCTCTCTCGTAGAACTTCTTTACAAGAATTGACTTACTAAACCCATTCATTCAACTCATCGATCTTCTCCTTCAAATCATCAGGATAGAAAGTAACCCCCTTATACTTCTCCTCGATAATATCATCAAACTCGACATTAAACATCCGGATAATCTCCGACGACTCATTGTTCACAATCGAGCTCGTCTTCTTATCCCACAACACCGGCACCGTGAACCGGCCCTCGTACTCCGGGTTGACGCTGAAGTAGAGCTCGCGGAGGTGCGAGTAGTTGTGCAGGTGGTCGATCGTCGCGCCGGGGGTTTCTTCGGGGGGTGAGAATTTCCAGCCAAGTTTGCCGAGGTACCAGTCGACGACGCTTTTAAGTAATAAATTAGCATGGTTTCTAGATCTTGGAGGAGGTGGTCTTACCTGATACTAATGATATCCTCCAATCCCTTCAACTTGCGAACAAGCGCGGTACGATGCGCCCTTCAATTCCACCGTTAGCATAAATACTCTGATTATATGCAAAGTTAATCTAGAAGAGCTCACCAAGGACAAGCCCAGGAGATATAGAGATGGTAACGACCCTTCTCAGCCGGGTACTGCGCATCCGGGTCTTTCGAGACGCAATTACGAAAGACAGACTATACACCCGTCAATTAATCCAATCAATCTTATAAAAATCACTGATTTACATACCGGCTTTCTTCTAAACTCGCCGTCCTGGCTCGCCCATTTCGTGATATCATCCACTTTCTCAGTCATTGTTCTCGCAGACGTGCTGAATTGATGATGATGCGATAACGAAGCGTAAGGTTTATCACTGATAAGAAGCGGCGGAAGTCTGTGTGTGTGTATATTCCGAGTAACAGTGCGGGATGTTGCAAGGACTGGACCGAATGCTCTTCTCATCAGCTTTCCTGCTTGAATTGCGGAGCGCAGAAGGAAGAAGGAAGAAGGGAGGATGGGGTTGGTTTAATAGGGAATGAATTAATGGCGATCCGAGAATGACTAAGTCAAAGTCATCGTTACCTAAGACGGAAGTTTAGGGCTGCTCGGATCAATTATCGAATATTCATCATTTTATCATCAGTTTATCATCAGTTTATAATCAACAAATCAACAATAATACATGCAGTTAGTCAAAACTAGTCGACAAAAAGTTGACAAAAACCCCAAAATGCATCGAAATGCTTTACACCCTCACTCCTCATGCGCAATCGCCATCTTACACGCCAACCACAGCCCATCAATCGCCATCTGCACACTCCCCCTCCCAAACATATCCTCGTTCGAGAGATACTGCGGCAGCACGCGCGTGTTCCCATAATCGCCCGCAGAGGCTTGATTCATCCGCTTCGTAAACGTCTTCTCGCGGTTGTAGAACCCGAGCGAGGTGTTGCTGCCCCCGCGCACCGTCAGCACGCCGTTCACGTTCGGCTTCTTGAACACGCCTGAACTTATCCATGCCGTCGCTTGCTTCATCAACGCGTTGTCGTCCGCACAGGACCCAAAAATAACCATTGTCTGCTCACTTGTCAGTACCATCATAGAAAGATAGAATAAAGTAGGAAAGACTCACAATAGGATCATCAATATCAAAACACACCGGAAAATCCGCAACACTCATCAACCCACTAATCGCCGCCTCCGTAACACACAGCGCCACATTATAACTCGGAATCGTCAGCACCCCGTTCTCGTCAATACCAATCGCAACCGTCACCTTCTGCGCTTCCACGCCTGACCCCGGAATCGCTCTCGAGATGTCGACGGCGACGCCACACCGTCGCGCAAGTCCCCGTCTAAGCAGCTGCCGGTCGAGTTTGAGATCGAGCTCGAGCGGCTTGCAAAAGAGATGGAGGTGCAGTAGGTCTTGGAAGAGCGAGTCGTCCGCAAAGTACATTGCTGCTGTGTACATATCCAGACTGTATTTCGGCATGCTCGTCTTCGACACTGGGATTGACTCGAGGATATCATCGATCGTCGTCGTGCACTCGAGAATCTTTCTCAGCGCAGCCAGTATGATTTCATTCGTTTCCTCGCGGTCCTCGTCCGCGCTCGATCCCAAAGCTGCAGATACATGCTTCACCAGATGTTCTATAATCATCGGCTTGCTGATACTCGACCACACTCCAGCCTTTCCATATCCATTTCCATTTCCACTCGCCGGACGCGCGTAGACTTCATGACCGCGCTGCTGCTGATCCACCCGCCACAGCCCAAACCTGTCTTCGGGGCTAGCTTGATACAACCCCTGCGAAAGTCCGAAATAGTCCCAATTCACAACATGCAGCACCTGACTCGGCTTTCTTACCCCACCTGTATTCAAATCCAACGAGAACAGGGCCGCACACATCGTCTCTGGAATTACTTCGACATCAGAGAGAACGAACCCGGCCTCGCGAAGCGATCTACTAAACCGATCTCGCGGATCGTGAACAGACTCGGGACAAAACTGATCCGTCACGCTGAGAATGAACCGCGCAGCGCTCTTCTTGTCGCCGCTGCCACTCGCCATCTGTCCTGCCGGCACCGCCGGTTTTACCGTCCGGCGGTTGAGATATTTGTGGACAGAGCGATAGATCGCAGCCAGGAAATAAGTCAGGTGCTCTTCTGTGCATTCGCTGGCCAAGATATGGCAGGTGTTGTACGCCACCGGTATCTTTGCCATCAACTCGTCCAGCTGCGATCTATCGCCACCCCACCCGATAGGTGCGCTGTTTGCATCTGTGTAGACGACAGTAGGTACCTATAAGCCAGAGTTAGAATAGCCTCGATATAGTGTCTTTGGTGAGATAAGCTTACTGCAAAACTGGTATCATTCGCCCAATCAGAGATCAACTCAACATCCGACACTTCGTCGTACTTGATTCCAATCACGGTTACAGAAGAGTTCATAAATATACCAACCACCGGCTTGGGACTCTCAGGTACGCTATCCCTCACCGTTTCAAATAAGGTCTTCTTGCCTTCAATCTCCTTGATCAGATCAACCACTCCCGAAACCCACAGCGCTCTCCCTTGTAGCGTCACAATCTTGCGACATTGAGGACACCGAGGTGTTTGGGCTAACCAGCGGGTGATGGAAATCCGGTCAAAGTAGTGGCCGCAGGAGAGATTGACCATGTCTTCTGACACGTCGCTGACTAGTGGGCATGTGATTATGTCGCGAAGTTTCTGCACCATTTTCTCGTTTGACGCGCGCACTCGCGCCTCTAGACTATCAAACTTGTTCACCTTTGTGACTGCGGACGATGATGCGTTTGCGCCCGTGCTGATGGTGTTAGGATGGGGCCACATGTCGCTTAAAATCACTTCCTGCGGGCTCTGTAGCGCCTCAGATAGAGCTAATGCAAGATTGGTGTGCATCCGTCGACTGATCATTATCCGCGCCAAGCGGGAGATCGCAGCACATGACGAGTGCGAGAACGCGTTCGAGATCGACGACCGCAGAGAGCTGAGCAGGCCGATCGTAAACACCTCCCGACGGGACTGCGCCGAGAGCTTGAAGCTGTCAATCACGCTGATTGCAATCTCTGTCGCGATGCTGCCGGAACTGGTCGCGGGTTTATGCTCTTCGCTGTCTAGAGTTTGTACAGACGGACGGCGCGCGACACCTACGACGTCGCTGATTAGACCGATGACGAAGCTGACGAACGAGTCTGTGGGTGTCCGAAGAGCTTCTGAGATCAGGATGAGGTGCTCGACCCAGTGATCTAGAACCGGGCGAGAGATTAGTTCGCCGATGAGGACGTCGTGGTCAAATTTCAGATTAGGATCGTTGCTGGCGTCGATGATGCGGCGGATGTAGCTTTTAGAGTCTGGCGGGCCGGGGATGCTGAGGACGACTAGCTCGCGCAGCAGGGCGCAGGTAAGGCCGCGCGTAGAGTAGGAAGACTCCAGTTCAGAGAGCTTGGCATATACCCTCATTCTGTCGTGCTTGTCCGGCCAGGGCGATATTGATTTCATGACGCAGAGGCTCAAGATAGACTGCAGTACATCGAGGTAGATGTCGTCATAAAGTACATTATCAGTAAAAGTCCAGCAGTCGACCATTTTCCGCGCGATGGAAACGAGAGCCGGCGTGTTGAGCTCCCATAGGTCTGGGTTGGCAGCCGATGGGTCGCTATAGTTGCGCACGGTGAGGATACGCTGGCCGGTGATGATCATGTCGATCTTTGACAGACTCTGCACGCCGAGCGGACCTTTGACAGCCTCCTCTGAGAGCGCGAGAAGGCGCGAGGACAGCGTCTCGCCATCTTCGATTGGAGTGAACGTGAGCGGACTCGATAGCGCGTCGGGCAGCAGCTGGGGTTCGCCGTTCGTGGGCGTGTACTGGAGCGAGAACGGGGAGACTCTGCGGGCAAACAGAGGCGATACGGGCGAGAGATGGGCCTGGCGGGAGGAGGAGTGGGAGGGCCGAGAGCGGTGCCGGGGTGGAGAGGTAGCGACTGAGCCCTCGGCGAGGGTGTGGAGAGAGAGCGTGGGTTTGTCTGCCATGCGCAGACGATCAGAGTCAGACAGTCAGACAACCAGACGATGCCTACGAGCAAGCGTCGTTGTTCAGGAGCTGAGCAGGAAGGAGGAGAGGAAGGGAAGTGGGTGAAGTAGAGGAAGAGCCGAGCTGTGGAGGAGAGGCTTATTTGGAGTAAGCGATCTATTTTAGGTATCGTGAACCTCAGCGTCATCGCCCCGGTCTGGGCATCGGAGCAGCTGGAGAGAGGTCTGATGAAGGGAGATTAGTACAGAATGAATGCTCGAAATTGATTTATAAAAGAAAACAATTCCTTACAAAATGGTCTTTTGTTGCTCTATTCGACTATCTGTCGACTTCAGCTGCACCAGCCGTACCTTACCCCTGATCCGCTGCAGCTGAGACTGTATGTCTACAATATCGCAACACATAACTGATCCTATTATATGCTCTATTCTATTATCTCACGCCTCTTCAGTAGCCGGCAGAAGCTGCTTGCCCTTCTTCTCCTCAGCCCCTCGCGTCCCCCTCTGCGCAAGCCTGTCGAACTCCTCCTTATACTTGCGCAGCAACAGTATACACGCCCGAGCATCCTCTATCGACGAGTGCTCTTCTCCCTGGATCTCGATCCCGAGGATCTCCTTCGCCACCTTCTTCAGCGACGGCGTCCGGCCCTTTGTCAGTTTTCTAAACTCGGGCAGCTTCGAGGTGTCTCTGATCAGTCGCGCCGGGTGCGAAATCATCAGCACCTTCAGATCGTTCTTGATCGCGTGGCCTACTAAGATCCGGTCTTTCAAAATCTCGGCGACTTTGTACTGTACTTCTTTGAATGATTTCGCTGGAATCATTATGTTAGCCGAAAACTTGTAACTGTAAAACACGGCTAATCTTACCATCCTTCATATCCTCTGGTCTTATACCACTAACCCACGTTCTCCAATCCGTAACCTTCTCCTCAGGCCTCACAAACTCGTCCATCACAATCGCACCATGGTAATTCACCATCGACACCCGCGCAAGCGCAGACCTCTTGCCCTCGAACCCAACCCCGACAAACTCGCAATCCAAAGCCACGTACTTTCCGATCGTGGTCTTTGACTCGTCGATCTCAATTGGCCGGTTCCACATCTTTCGCGCGACCGCCGCTGATGATGATTTATCGTCCGAGCCCAGTTTCGCAAACATATGCGCCGTCGCTGATTTCGAGCCCGAGGCCGCGATGCTCTTGTTCACTTTGTCCTTCCCGTACGCTTCTTCCAGATCCTCTAATCCGATATCATTCTCCGCCGCCCATTCCAGCAGTTCTGCATCTTTCCCACGACTACTCTTCTGCTCTTTTTCCTTTCCAATAACTTTCTTTGCTGCTTCAAGCGCTATGCTTTCCAACGACTTTGATCCGCCCTCTGATTTACTCTTCTTCTTCTTCTTTATTTCCACCTTTGTCTTTCCCTCCGCCGTCTGCAACTTCCGCTTCTTGCTCGTTTTACTCAACGATTCATCCTTCGTAGTCTTCTTCTGAAGCGCCAGCCAGTTCGATGACAGCCCTGCCGTTGTCGCCATTTTCCAACCTGATTTGAGTGTACGATAGAGCTGGGATCCAAATTTTTCTACGCTTGGGAGTTGCCAGCGCTAATAAGGTTACAAACTAGTCTGTATTAAGTATCTTAATTCCTAGAACGAGCTTAGTGCGGCTCTTATTCAAACCTAAATGCCAGCAACTCCCAACCGCGCAAGAAGAAAAAATATTTCTGAGCTCAGCAAGTTCGTCGTCGGTCGTCTGGCGAGATATTCTACAGTCCTCAATTTAATTTGACTGTCGAGGAGCATTTAGAACGGCATGGCGCCTGCTAACAACAAGAAGAACAAGAAACCCGTGCAGAAGCGGAAAAACGACAGACAGCTCCGCCGCGAGAAAGATCTGGAAGAGTTGAAAGAGCTCGAGCAACGCGTGAACGAGTTCGACCCTTCCGGCGCGACGCTGTTTGATGAGCTTCCGCTGTCGCAGCAGACCGTGATTGGGCTTAAGCAGTCACATTTTACGACGCTGACGGCGATTCAGAAGAAGAGTATTCCGTTGGCGTTGAAGGGGAAAGATATTTTGGGAGCTGCAAAGACGGGGAGTGGAAAGACTTTGGCGTTTTTGATTCCGGTGGGTACTACCACAATTTTTATTCCGCGGCAAGAGGGAAGGACTGGTTGTTGACATCAATGTATTACAGTTACTGGAATGCCTCTATCGTAACCAATGGACTCAATACGACGGCCTCGGTGCACTAGTCATCTCACCAACTCGAGAACTCGCGATCCAGATCTTCGACGTCCTCCGCAAAATCGGACGCGCGCACACGTTCTCCGCCGGTCTCGTGATTGGAGGCAAAGACGTCCAAGTCGAGCGCGACCGAATTTCTCGGCTCAACATCCTGGTCGGCACGCCAGGTCGCATTCTGCAGCACATGGATCAGGCAGCCGGGTTCGAGATTGGGAATCTGAAACTGCTGATTTTGGACGAGGCCGATCGGATTCTGGACATGGGGTTCAAGAAAACTGTTGATGCGATCGTGCAGCATCTGCCGAGGGAGCGACAGACGCTCCTGTTTTCGGCTACGCAGACGAAATCGGTTGCTGATCTCGCGAGACTCAGTCTTTCGTCCGAGCGGGCGGAGTATATCTCTGCGCATGAAAAGGCGGAGAGCAGTACACCAAAAAACTTGCAGCAATACTACGTCATCTCACCTCTCCCCGAAAAGCTAAACACTCTATTCGGCTTCCTCAAAACCCATCTGAAATCGAAAATCATCGTCTTTGTCTCGTCGTCCAAGCAGGTCCGCTTCATGTTTGAAACATTCAAGACCCTGCACCCCGGTATCCCACTAATGCACCTACACGGCCGACAGAAGCAAGCAGCACGAATCGACGTCACAGACCGGTTTTCAGAGTCAAAGTACGCGTGTCTGATCTGCACCGACATCGTCGCGCGCGGAATCGATTTCCCGGCCGTGGACTGGGTCGTGCAGCTCGACGCGCCCGAGGACGCGGATACGTACGTCCATCGCGTGGGTCGGACGGCGCGGTTCGAGGCGAACGGGCGGGCGCTTCTGATGCTGGCGCCGTCGGAGGAGGAAGGTATGCTTGAGCGGTTGAAGGCGAAGAAAGTGCCGATCGAGAAAATCACGATTAAGGAGGCAAAGAAGAAGAGCATACGGCAAGACCTGCAGAACCTGTGCTTCAAGAGCCCGGAAATCAAGTATTTGGGACAAAAGGCGTTTGCGAGTTACTGCAAGTCGGTGTACATCCAGAAGGACAAGGGTATCTTCAAATTCACCGAGCTCCCTGCCGAGGAATTCGCCGTCAGTCTCGGTCTTCCGGGTGCGCCGCGTATTAAGTTTATCAATAGCCAGAAAGCAAAGATGCTGAAGAACGCGGCGCAGGCGAAGGAGTCCGAGTCCGAGCTGAGCAGTGAAGAGGAGAAGGATGAGGAGGAAGAGAACGGGGGGAAGAAGGGACAGGCGGTGAGGACAAAGTATGATCGGATGTTTGAGCGACAGAACCAGGGCGTTTTGTCGCAGCATTATATGAATATGATCAAGGATGAGGCGGGAGGAGAGGATGGGGATGGGGATGATGATGGCGAGTTCATGTCTGTCAAACGGTTTGACCATCGTCTGTCGGACTCTGAGTCGGAGGGTGAGAGCGACGGAGAGGAGGAAGACAAGGAAACCACCGCTGAGGCAATCAACGAGAGAAATACCCGTTTGAAAATAACACCTACGGGCCCACTAGTCGGCCTCGACGGCGCTCCTGTTTCCAAGCGCCAAGCCAAGGCCGCGCTCTCGAAGAAGGCGATGCTGAGATACAAGACCAATCCGACGAAGCTAGTGTTTGACGACGAGGGCAAGCCGCATGCTTTGTACGAATTCGAAGACGAGCAGGATTTCATGAAGAGCGGTGCGCCAGAGGAGCAGATCAAGCAGTTTGTCAGCAAAGAGTCTGAGCGGATGCAGGAGCTTGATCAGGTCGATAAGGTGCAGGCGAAGGAGAAGAAAGACGCGAAGAAGCGGAAGATGAAGGAGAAATTCGCGGCTGCGGCTGCTGCTGCTGAGGAAGAGTCCGACGAGTCTGAAGGGTACGAGTCTGAAGAGGAAGAGGAGGACGCAGCGCCGGCGAAGCGGCCGAGGAAATGGTTCGAGGATGAGTCTGAGGACGAGGAGAGTAGTAGGAAGAAGTCCAAGAGAGAGATTGAGGTCGAGCAGCCTCAGACTTTGGAGGACTTGGAGGCTCTGTCTATGAGGTTGCTGGGTCATGACTAGTTCTCAGAGTTGTATTTATAATTTTAGAAGATGCATAGACAAAAGATATTCTTGATTGATGTTCATTGATATCATTAACAATGCAAAGAAACGAAGCTATAATACAAACAGAGACTGAGCACTCCACCTCTCAGCCTCTGGAGTCCGCGATGAAATCGGGACGAGGAAATACAACAGAGATCGATGTATATCGTTTCATATATAACAGAGCACAGACATAACCCAAAAGAGTAAATGTTAATAGAGCAAAAACGGAGGGGCGATATTGGCATCTATTCTGACGGAATTTGTGTCGAAGGCCTGGGTGAAGAGTTAGATGACAGTAAGAGTGAATATTCAGAGTGGGTGTACGCACCTCAATGTGCAATTCAATCAAAACTCGCTTCCTTGATCCAGCAAATCTGCGATATTCTTCCGAAACACTGAGAAGCAGCTGTTAGTAAACATAACGGCATCGTCACAATCATCTGCCCTTGTTACCTTGCCAAGTTCCATCTCTGCACACGTCTCAGACAGCCGATAACAGTTCCAGTCCGATGACGGCCCATACCGCCACACACCAGCAACGGGTAATTCTCTTTATTCGCAATGATCTCCAACGCTCTGACGATCGACTTCTCCGGCAACTGATCCCACGGGTTCGTCGTCGTCTTTGCTGCTTTCGACGACGCAGAAGCGATGCCGGCCTGACCGGACGAGATCTCGCTGTGGTTGCTACCGCCGCCGCCGCCGCCGCTGCCGACCAATAGCCGTCCGCGGAGGTTTCCGTCCGCATCTACTTCCTCTGCGCTCTCGACGTCGGGCCCGTTCTCGAGACCGAGGTGGTAGATCCTGATGCCGCAGCTGCGGGCGAAGCTGGTGAATACCTCGGACGGGTCCTCCATCTCGAGCCAGATCACTGCTTTCAGCGCGAGACCCGCGACGAAAGGGAAGTTGATTGGCGTCGGCTGGCCTGAGCGGTAGAGTTGGTCTTCGACCGGGCAGAAGTTCAGTGGCGGGACGAGTTTGTGGAAAGGCGGGTTCTGCAGCGTTGCCATTTCAGAGGCGGTGCTGCTGTTTGTGGAGGACGGCGTGTTGGAGTCGAAGTCATCTTCGTTGAGGTCCTCTGCCATTTTTCTTGATGTAAGAGCAGAAAGAGGAGCAAGCGGCCTCCTTCGTGTGTTTTCTGCTTTGCAACTTGGTCGAGAAGAGGGATTTGGTGGAGAAGCGGTTGCGACGAGGAAGATCTGGCGGTGAGCTCAGCGGGAATTAGAGTTTTGCTCTTCGATGGGTTTATTCACTTCGTTGCTTCGAGTTCTGCTCTGCGAGGAGTCAACCGGCACAGAAAAGCAGATCCGGACGCAATGTCGACCGAAACACAGGAGCCGCCTCCTTCGGAAACGTATGTGGTGTCTGAGTTGTGTTTATTGTATCTGTGGACGTTGCAGAGTTGTGAAGAGAGTGCGCTCGACTAACAACCCCCCGTTCTTCTACAGTCTCTACATCAGGAACATCAAAGAAAACATCAAGATCCCGGTGCTGAAAGAGTCTCTAGATGCAGCGTTTAGTCTCTACGGCCCGATTTTGGATATAATCGCCCATGGAAACATACGGATGCGGGGCCAGGCGTTTGTGGTGTTTGAGGACGTCGAGACAGCGAAGCGGGCGCTGGACGAAGTGCAAGGGTTCCCGTTGTTTGGCGACGATCAGCCTTTGGTAGGGTGTCTTGTGATTTGATTTATTAGGTGGAGGAAGAGGACTGACGCGGTGTTGTGGTGGTTTAGGAGATACATTTTGCGAAATCAAAGAGTGATGCGGTAGTGAGTAAAGCAGGGGAGGAAGAACTGGAGGAACATAGAAAGATACGATTAGCAGAGAAGGGTGCGTACTGTTCACTTCACCGTGTCTGCATTATCCCCAGATCGAATATTTACTGACAATACTGCAACAGATCGGAAAAAGGCCGAATTCGAGGCCGCGCAAAAGAAGCGCAAACGACAAGGCGGCGCCCTCTCCTCCGGCCGTCCGTCCAAGAAGTCCGCGCTCGGCGCGTCAGACGAGCAACTACCGCCCAACAAGATTCTCTTTTTGCAAAACCTGCCGGACGATATCACGGCCGACCAGCTCACAGAAACATTCGAGGAATATGCCGGGTTCTTTGAAGTCAGACTCGTGCCCGGACGCAAGGGGATCGCGTTTGTGGAGTATGAGACTGATGAGAACGCGGTGGTGGCGAAGCAGGGAACGGAGGATCTGAAGCTTGGTGATAAGCCGGTTAAGGTGACGTTTGCGAGAAAGTGAGCATGGCCGGAGTGGAGTTTTTTGCTTCTCTTTGCTCTCTTGCTCTCTTGTTCTCTTGTTCTCTTGTTCTCTTTGAGAAGTCTAACTTGCTCTGCTATGTGCTGCAGAGCATTTACTATCTGTATATTATTAAAGTAATTCAAAACACAGACAGCTGTGTTTCATGCCCTGTTATTAGACCACTCGTAGTAACATATTCAGCTATATCTGAACATATCTGAAGTAAGTGTCACGTGACTTGAAAATGGGACTCAAAACTCGAGATGATTACTTCACTCAGAGGCGAATAGGCAGCTTCTTCAGAACTTTGCAGATATAACTCGGTGGAGAAGATATTTGCATTTGAAGAAGCAGAGTGTTTGTTAAGTGAGCTGTGATCTACTAGCGGAGATAGGATATTGTCTATAAGGAACAACGCGATCTGTCAAAACAACTAAAGCACCCTCAAGATGGCCGGCGATCTGAACGTGAAAAAATCATGGCATCCCGGGTTGATGCGCAACCAGGAAGCCGTGTGGAAGAAAGAGCAAGAAGCACTTGATGAGCGCAAGCGGATAGCCGAGCGGCAACGGGAGATCCAGGAAGAGCGCGAGCGGGCGGAGCTGCAGGCGCTGCAGGATGGCGGGCGGAAGCGGCAGGAGCGGGTGGAGTGGATGTATAACGCTCCGCAGGGAGGGAATCTGGGGGTGTCTGAGGAGGTGGAGGCGTTTTTGATGGGGAAGAATACGGTTGAGGAACTACTGAGGCAGAGTGAGTCGCTCGGGACGTTGAAGGAGGATGAGGAGCAGTCGTTTGTGGCGAGCGGGAGCGCGGCGGCGGGGGTTAATGCGAAGGACGTGGCGGCGAAGGTGCGAGAGGATCCGATGTTGGTGATCAAGAAGGAGCAGCAGGCGGTGATTAACGCGCTGAGGAATAATCCCGACCGCGTGGCTGCTCTAAAGTCCTCGCGCTCGGCATCAGACAGAGAGAGAGAGAGAGGTTCGCGATCGCATAGAGACAGCGATGCAGACAGACACACATCTACCTCCCGACACAGCTCGTCGCATCGGCACCGCCGAGACCGCTCTCTCTCTCCGCGCAGAGAGTCCGCCGATTCGCGACGGAGCAGCAGCGGGCGAGATCGCGATCGACATGAGAGCAGTCGAAAGAGCTCTTCGACACACGAGGACTCTTCGTCGTCGCATCGCCACCGTCATCATCATCATCACCATAGGTCATCGCGGGACAGCGATCGGTATAGAGAGAGGGAAGTGAGAGAGAGAGATGCGGTGAGAGTTCGCGATTGATCTCTTTGAGTCTTTGTATTGTATATATGCCACAGTGTGTTGCGGAGTTTTGTACATGTTCTGGGTGGGTTGGTTAATACTATAATGTCTTTTCTACAACATCCCTCTATTTTGATCAAATATACAGCTGTAATCTGGTGATATCAACTATATTACAGATGAAGAACAAAGACATGGGATATCCACGGTTAGGGTATCTCCGCCATAAAAACCAAACGAAAACGCAGAGAGCAAACTGAGAGCGACCGATATTCGCGATAGAAAATAGAAAAGCAGCAAGAAAGCAAAGAAAAGAAGAAGAAGAAGACAGAAACAAACAAGAACGACAAACAGAACAGGAAGGAGGCAAACAGGTGAATTTATGGACCTGAAGTCGATTATCAACGACGATTCCGCCCAGAAACCGGGTCAGCAGCAACCGCGACCGCAGCCCATCATCAACACCGTTCCTGAACCTGCTCAGCAGCAGCCTCCGATTCCGCGCAGGACATCGTCGATCGCAGATCTCGTCAATAAAGACCCCGTTCCTGCTTCGCCCTCGCCGCTCGCGTCGCCCGTCCTCAACAACAACATGCTCCGCTCGGCCGTCGCATCCCAGCGGGCGTCCCCCATCCTGCTCACCAGGTCTCTCGCCCCCGTCTCTGCGCTCTCCTCCGCGTCCTCGTCGCCTGCGCAAACACACGCGCCGCAGCCGCCACCGCTGCTCTCGGTCCGCAGCCGGAGTATGAGCATCTCGAGCATAACGGAGGACACGCCGCCCGCGTCGGCGACGGCGAGGAATTATAGCACACATAGTCCGGCCGGGAGCGCGTTCTCGAGCCCGGATGTTCAGAGACGGGACTCGAATCGCCAGAGTAATTCGTCTGCTACTTCGTCGCCCGTGCTGCCGAATAACGGCGTCGGCGATAGTCACAACAGCAACAGCAACAAACACAACAACAACAACAACAACAGCAAGCACAACGGCAAAGCCACCGACAACACCCACAAAAACGGCGACCCCTCCCGCCGAAACAAGCCAAAGCGGTACAACTCGCCGCCGATCTACGCGCGCAAATGGCGGAGTGACTGGAAGACTGCGTATGCGCAGCACGGCGGCGAGAGCAGCGGCAACTATAACAGCAGCAGCACCAGCATTGCGAATATGCCGTCGTTCCGCAGCGAGGCGAGCGCGAGCGCGTTGCCGGGGAAGTACTCGACGTTCACAAACGTGGAGCCGTATGAGGATCTGACGCGGCGGGTGACGTCGTGGGTGTATGCGAACGTGTCGGAGATGGCGGCGGAGGTGCAGGCGCAGATTGAGATCGAGGCGAAAGTAGGCACGATTCTGTCAAAGGAGACGAACCAGCGACTAGTCCTCCCAGTCGACACGGAGACGCTGCTGAACACGGATATGCTGGCGGGCCAGATCATGTTTGAGAGCGACATGGGCGCGCTGCAGCATAAGGCCTACAACGCGTTCATGAACGAGTGTCTGCGCAAGGCGGAGCAGACGCAGAACCCAATCACGTACTCGCATTCAAAGACGCGGGATACGTTCTACTCGATCCCGCAGGTCGGCTACTCGACGCGGTCGGCGCCCAAGAACGAGCGCCTGCGGATCTCGACCGACGTCAAGACCGAGAAAGTTGTGCAGAAATGCATAAAGACGCGGGTGCGCGACCTGATGATCTTCTGCCCCGGGTCAAAGTTCGACGTGCGGATCTCGCTCAACATTGAAAAGCCAGAGAACATGGATCCTCTACCAGGCACGAAGCAGGCCATCGAGCGCGTCAAGGACCGCGTGAGCTACGTGCACCTCAACAGTCGCATCGACCTCACGCAGGTGGTCGCGCACAACAAGACCACGCACGAGCTCGAGATCGAGCTCGATATGCCGGATACGCTGAGCCATATCCGCAAGATCAAGAGCGGGCAGGCCGACGATAGCTATGAGGAGGGGATAAGGCGGTTTCTGGATAACGTGCGGATCTTGGTCCGGAGGGGAGGCTTGGATTTGAAGGAGGTTACATTGTAGTTGTTTTATGTTTTCTTGCTTTACTGTTGTAAGATACGAGTGTCTTTGATGCTGTTATCGAAGGGTGGCTGTATAATGTAGTATAGGGTCTCTGCTATAGCTAATCAACTTTTCTTATATGGTCAAAAAAAATTACTCAAAGACTATTCTACATCGCCCCACAGGATCGCTCTCACTTCTCCAATCATATCCACACACTGCCTCACGCTCGGCGATATCTCTGGCGCCGAGCGCATGAACCCATCGAGCTTGTTCTGCAGCTCGGTGACGCATTCGTGCACGCGCTCGACGCCGTATTTCTCTTCCAAGATCTGCCGCAGCGGCGGGGTATGAAAAGCAATGTAAAGCACAAGCACGACGCCCGCCATCGAGAGCGAGCAGATCCAGGTATCGATAACGACGGTGTGCGTGAAGCCGCGGAGGTTGTTCATGTGCAACATCACGGCCTCGATGCAGAGTCCCGCGGATTTGACCGCGTCGTCGAACCCCGGCGGGCGCGAGCCGCGGAGGTTCATGGTGACGACGAAGGTGAAGACCGGGCGGAAGATGACTGAGCGCGCGGCGAGGTAGCGTTGTCGGAGAAAGCCCTGGTAGCTGTTTTGCGCGGGCTTGGAGATGTCTGCGAGTTCGAAGCGGAGGTAGGGAGGCAGGACCTCGCGCCATTCTTCGATCTGCGTGTCGAGTTCTTTGATGAGGTTCATGTCGGGGACGGCGGATTGCTTGGCGTAGAGCAGTTTGTGGATGCGGTTGAGCAGCCGGCGGATGGAGATGCAGGCTAGGAAGTAGAGGGTCGAGAGGTCGCTTGTTTCGGAGGAGTCGTGGGTCTCGAATTTGGCGGGGAGAGTTACTTGGGATTCCATTTCCGCGCAGCCGGACTGGGGTACGCGTTCGAGCTCGATGAGGATGTCGCTGGTCGTCGTTAGTTTGTGATATGAGAATATAAGAGATAGAAGAAATAAGAATACCTCTCCATGATGAAGCAGCTCCAGAATATGCGCTTGACGGTCTCATACTCTTGCGTGCTCATATTCGAGGTCGAATACTGCATCATAACCAAACACTTTTGCGCACACGCGTTCAAAAACACATTCACCTGCAGCGGCCGCTGCATGTATGTAAAATACAGCGCGGTCGAGAGCAGACAGAGCAAGGCCGTGACGCTCATGTCGGTGAGCGCCATGTGGATGAGTCCGAGCGCGTGGCGGAAGGCAGCGAGGCCGTCGACGGAGTTTGCAAGCGTCCAGATCGAGAGGTTGCCGTCTTCGGCTCTGTTGTTGTCGTTTTTGTAGCGCTGCTCGACGTAGAGACATGCGTCGCCGAGAGCGACTACTAGCGAGGCGAGACAGCCGTCCAGGGAGGACGAGCAGAGGGTCGGATAGAGTTCTGATAGGCGCTGCTTCGACATGACGGGGTAGAAGAAATTGACGTTTTGCTGGTACCCTTGCGAGAGGCGATGCCAGTCCTCGGCGCTGATGCCGACGGATTCGGTGGTTGTGTCTGAGGCCATCGGGTGGATTGCCGGCCGCTGGCTCTCGAGCAGGAAAGTCGACACGAAGCGGGACCGCAGCCGCGGCGCGCCGTCAAAGATCTCCCAGGAGAGAAATTTCTCGGTCGCGGAGTGATGGCTGGGAGGGATCGAGACGTCGAGCTCGGGGCTGTCGCGCGGAACAGACTGGCAGGAGATGTAGGACGGAGACTGGAATGGGGGAGGACCGGGCGGGGTCTGGGCGAGGTCGGATTGGAGATAGAGCCGGTGCTGCTGCTGGGAGGGGGACGGTGATGATTGCTGGAGGAGGTTGTTGTCGATTTTGTGGTTGAGGTCGCTGATTTCTGATCTGAGCTGGAGAAGCGTTTCGAGAACGAGGTCTGTTTTCGGTTTCCCTCTGTTGAGTTGTTAGTAGTGAGTTGATTAGAGTAAGTGAAGAGTGAGGAATCTGTACAAGTTCGGGATCTCTCGATACGTGCACTCTTCTTCGTTTTCGATACAGGTCTGACACGGATTCCGCCCATCGCAGCGTGTTTTACGAATCCTGCACGTTTCACACTGAATAAACACACACGATTAGCCCACGATATTCCAGACCTAGTATCGAAGAAGCAACAGCAAACAACAACTACTCACAGCCCGCGCAATCCGCCGCCGCTGCCGGTCGCCAGCCGTCGGCGGCGATGCGGTCTCGGAAGATCTCTTTTCGGGCAACAGCGTTTTCCTGCGTCTCTGCCGGATGTGCTCCTGCCCAGGTTGTTGCTGCAGCGTCGACGTGGACCAGCAGGAAGATCGCGGGGCGGGACCGGAGAAGCTGGGGTTTGGATGCGCGTGGACGTCATGTGATTTATTGCGGGTAAGGGCTGTTTAGTCATCAGGCAGATAAGCAGCGACTGGTGGATGGTTATAGGCTTTAAAGAAAGGGACTTTAAAGCCGAGATACGAGCAAACATAGAAGTAAACTGATATCAGAGCGGAAAACATAGCAAATACGCGTAGATAAGAGGGATTCAGAGTCATTTGCGGAGAGCCGACGTCGGGATTCTTGACTGAGCTCCGAAAGTCTAACGAGACGGTGCCTGGATTGCTCACTCGGCCCACCACCTTGGCTGATAGAAGAGATATAAGAGCTGGGCTGCTGCTTCTTCTTTATAACACGAAAATCAACAACTATACAGACAATGACTCCTCACGACGGATCCCTGCAAGAATCTCCTCTGCCACCCGCCATCGACAGCACCGCGGGCGCAGTCAAACCTCCCCCCGTGCCTGCCGCAGTCGATCTCTCCCATCACATCTCCGCCGAGTCGCGGCTGCGGCAGCAGAGCCGGCTGAAGATGGCGAGCAGCTATCTGACGCGGGACCCGTCGATCCTGTCGCTCGCAGCGGGACTGCCGTCGCCCGCGCTGTTTCCGATCGAGGAGGTCACGGCGAGGGTGGCGATGCCGCAGGCGGAGGCGGCGCGCTCGGGCGTGTGGAAGGGAGATGGGCTGCAGGAGGGGGTCACGATGGAGTTTTTGAAGACGAAGAGGTGTACGGAGTTGGGCAAGTCCGAGTACGATCTCTCGAGGGCGCTGCAGTATGAGCAGGGTACAGGTTCGCGGAAGTTGCTTGATTTCCTGAAGGAGCATACAGAGGTATGTTTGCTGCTGAACTTGATGTTTAACTGAATGCAGAGCAGATGTTAACTGTGTTGTAGAGAATTCATCATCCTCAATACAGCGACTGGGACTGCATCATGACGGGAGGCAACACGCATGCGATGGAGACTGTCTTCCGCATGCTAATCAACCCCGGCGACTACGTACTCCTAGAAGAATTTGCCTTCCCCGAGACGGTCGACAGTCTGCGCCCGCTGCGTCCTCGATTGATTGGGATCGACGTCGACGAGGAAGGAATGCGGGTCGACCTGCTCGCGGATATCCTCGACAACTGGGACGAAGAGGCGCGCGGCGGCAAGAGACCACATCTGATGTACATGGTCCCCACTGGCCAGAACCCGACCGGAGCCACGATCGGGACCGAGCGGCGCAAGAAGATCTACGCGCTCGCGTGCAAGTACGATCTCGTGATTATCGAAGACGATCCGTATTACTTCCTGCAGATGCCGGCGTATGTGCGCCACGGCACGAGCCCGAGCGACGGAACGGTCCCGGTGCCAAAGACGAACGCGGAGTTTGTCGCGTCGCTTGTGCCGTCGATGCTGAGTCTCGACAGCGAAGGCCGCGTCCTGCGGCTGGATTCGTTTTCAAAAGTGATTGCGCCGGGAACCCGGTGCGGGTGGATCACTGGCGCGGCGGTGTTTGTCGAGCGCGTGCTGCGGCATAACGAGGTCGGGCTGCAGTTCCCGTCGGGGATCTCGATGGCGGTGCTGCATGGGCTGCTGGTGGAGGCGTGGGGGCAGGATATGTATGTGAACTGGCTTGTGAATCTGCGCGCGGAGTATACCGTCAGACGAGATGTTATTTTGAAAGCGATGGACGAGTATCTTCCGAGCGGAATCGCGAGCTGGACGCCGCCTGCAGCGTGAGTGCTCTAGTTTTTCTACTTATGATTATAAGGTGTATGCTAACAGGTGGATGTACTGTAGTGGAATGTTTGTATGGATCGAGCTCTCGTACGAGAAGCACCCGCGGCACGGGCATCTGAGCAAGGAAGAGATCGAGATGGAGCTGTTCGAGGCCGGGATCGCGAAGAAAGTGCTGATCATGCCGGGTTCGTGGTTCAAGGCCGAGCCCGAGAAGCTGTCGCGGGCGATATTTTTCCGGGCGACGTTTGCAGCGGTGCCGCCTGAGCAGGTGCGGGCGGCGATTAGGCAGTTTGGGGAGGTGGTGAGGAGTACTTATGGCGTTGAGTAGATATGCTTTGATGGATACAGAATAGAATATAGCTAGAACAGTAAGAAGAATCAATTACTGATACAATTCAATACAATTCAATACAATCAATACAACAACAAAGAATAACCCGAATGAAAGCAAAAGTGGTCAAAGTGACCAGATCCAACCGAGCGGCTTCGCGCGGTGGCTTCAAACCCAGGTTCGAACGGCGGTTTTGACAGCAGCGGCCTCGTCTCGTCTCTTCTTTGTCTTGATCTTTCCTTCTCTTCTTCTTTTTGTATTCTGCAGCTTCAATTGCATCTTCTTCTATCGTTCGTTCTTTATTCTTCTCTCACATCTGATCTATAATGGTGCGTACTTCTACTTTGTTCTCGGTGTCAGCGGCATCAGCTCAGCCGTCACACCCCTCAACACCGACCGATTCTGACCCTCCTTCTTTGTGCAGGAACATCCTGCTTACACCATGGCTGCGGCCTGTATCCTCGGCGGTGTAGCCGGCTACGTGTATGTCTTTTCTTTCTCTTGTCGTTGCAGTGCAGTGCAGTGTTTGGAAACGTCGGACGGTGTCTGTCTGACAGCGTCGTGACGGAAACCTGGGGCTAATCATCCAACTCGTGCAGCCGGAAACGATCCGTTCCTTCTCTTTTCGGCGGACTCACAGTCGGAATCATGTACGGTGCTGGAGGTAAGTCACTATCGATACTCTATCGTCGTTGTCGTTGTCGTTGTCGTTGTTGCTGCTGTTCGTCCTCTGTTCGTCTTCTCACAATCCTCAGCATACCTCATGCACCAGAATCAAGACTACGGCGTCCACCTCGCTCTCTCGGCCTCAATCGTATGCTTCTTCTCTTCTTTTTTTCACAACTAGCTCTCTCTACTAACACCCCCCAGCTGCTCACCGCCGCCAGCGCACCCAGAGCATTGAAACTCCGCGCCCCCGTGCCTCTCTTCCTCACCGCGCTCGGTCTCCTCACCACCTCTTACTACGGCAAGAAGTACTACGACTTCTACGTCTAAACCCTCCTCCCTTCTTCTTCTTTCTCTTCTTTCTCTTCTCTCTCTTTCAAGGGATAGCTTGGCCAGTCTCACTGCATCAAATCACACCGCTACGTGTTCTTCTGCCTGCCAGCTTTAGCTTTCACCTTTTACATCCGAACGTTGTAAATTAATCTCTGTTTTTTGGATACAAAATCCCAATACACTCTTCTCTTCTTCCTATCTACACTTCTCTTTTACTACCATCTACAGTTCTCTTTCACAAACACCACCCATCCCTCTCCTGCCGCATCCAAACTAGCCTTCTTCTCCCCTTGCGCTTGTCCTGATCTGGCACGTGAGTTCTATTAAACCCTATCAGCTTTACACTTCCTCAGCCGTTCCATCCCATCGTCTCGTCTTCAGTCTCATCTTTTTTCTACAAATCAAACTCGATGTCGACCCCAAACTCCGTCTTGGCCAGCAAATCGTCAATCGCGCTCAAAGGCTGCTTCGCAAGCTTCTCCGCAAGCCGCTGCTTACTCTTCGCCTCCTTCGCGTTCTCCTCCTCCTCCGCCTCCGCCGCCGCGATATCCGCCTTGCCTTGCTCCTCGACATTCCCCGTGTCCGACACCGTAGAGTCAAGGTACATCCGCGGATTCGTCTTCAGCCGACTGAACGGATCAGACGTCACCGCCGAACTCTTCGACGCCAGCGCCCGCCGCCGCTCTTCATGCTTCCTGATCTCCGCCCGCCGGATCTCGTCCTGATTCGCCCGCCGATTGCGCTCGTTCACTTTCGACAGCTTCTGCAGCTGCGAATCGTCCAGCGTGCTCGACAGCTTCGACTCCTGCTGCGAGTCGATCGCCGCGATCTTCGCGTCTATCGACGCTACTTCTTCCAAATCTCCCTTTGCGAGCGCAACCGCCCGGTTCTGCGACAGCAGCGTCTTCTGCAGTACCGCGTTCGTCGGCTTGTTCGCCGTCAGCTTTTGCCGCAGGTCAATCATCGCATTCACTTCCTCCGCCGTCAGCACGCGCTCGCGCATCGCATGCAGCTGGTCGAATTTGTGGTCTAAAAGTCGCTTCGACGGAAGCGCAAGCCCGTCCCGCTTCATCGCTTTCTTCCACGTCTGGAACTCGTCTTCCGAAAACGGCTTGTCGCTGCATACGCTCATCTCAAACAACTTCTCAGCTGAAGCGTGCGTCACCAACAAACTCGTATTCACCGTCCGGTTCAGAAACTGGTACGATTTACTCTCAACCACGCCTATACCTTGTTAGCCATGCTGTATAAACAAAACCGGAAAAACTAAAACATACTCTTGATCTGGCACACCCGATACGCGCTCACTTGGCTGTTGCTGATATTCACCCGCACAAAGCATTCTAAGCACAGTCAGCAATCCTCTTCTTTTTTTGTACTCAACATGACCTCACTCACCAGCTGCCGTCCTATCAAACTCGGGATAATGGCAATACTTTGCAAACAAAGTCCTTCCAATCCGAATCCGATTGAGATCCTCAACAGTAAGCTCTCTCGGCGCTTCCGACTTCTTCTTGCCAGAGTCGGCCCACACAAGGTCGTCCTCTGCTCTCTCGTCGTCGCCTGATCTCCACTCGTCGTCTTCCTCTTCCTCCTCGTCTTCTTCGTCCTCGTCTTCATCGTATCGGAGCTTGGAGTAAGATTTGTCGCCAGACTACACTTCCTGTTAGCTCAATCACCGTGTAATGAATCAAATCTCGGATACACACCCGCTGACGCACGCGATCGCTCTTCTCTTCACGCTTCTTCTTGAGCTCAGATAGCTGTGATCGCTTACTGCTCGATCCTTTAGGAGTATCACGAGTAGATGCTACATATCCAACATCAGCCACACATACTCCACACACACACACACACACACCGCAGAAACTCACATCGAGTCGGCGCAGACTTGTCCTTCTTTGACTGCTTTAGACGCTGGGCAAGGTATTTCCGCTCATTATATTCTTGCATCTAACCCATCATATTAGCCCATCCGTTTCGTAAGAATTAATTGTCTGGTAATCACCTCTTGCGATCGATCGAAAAGAATCTGCTCTCGCTCGATTTCAGTCATAGCCTCAAGCCTGTCAAAACTCCTGTTAATCTCATATTCTCCACTTCCCCCATCTCAAACCAGCCAGAACTCACCGATGCATATCATTCTCATCCTTATATTTCCCCTGCAAAGGATACGGATTCACAAACTCTTCGCCAAGATCATCATCATCATCCTCGTCGTCATCCTCATCGTTCTTGCGCCGATTACTTCGCGACATGTCTGGCCCGTCGGACTCATCCTCCTCGTCCTCCTCAAAATCACCAGCCGGTGACCCAAGATCATCCTCATCGCTGTCTCTACATCAACAAAAAAGTGAGGCAGTTAGCAAGTCTCGCATCAACAAAACACCACTGCCAGCGACGCATAGCAAACTCGCAGCACCACCATCCCGTCTGTTCTCTAAACAAAGCAAAACACATACATCGCCCGCCGTTTCTTCTTCGCAGGAGCGGCCCGTCGCTTTGAAGGAGGCGCCCGCTTGCGTGATGTAGAGCTAGATGGTCCGCTGTCATCTTCGCCGCCTGCGCCCGCAAGCGCGAGCAAATCCTCATCAAGATCCGACATGGTTTATAACTCTTCTTTTCTTTCTCTTGTTCTTTCTGCGGTGTCCGATACTTAGCTTTCAGCCTCGTAGACTAGACTCGAGGAGTTGAGTGTTGCTTGCGGACAGCGGTCGAGTCCGAGTGTTTGTGAATGAATGCCATCGAGAGCCCATCTGCGTTAATATTTTGAGTTTTCTTATGTCATTCATTATGTAAGTACAAAACTGGGGACATCTGTCGGAGGAGCAGCCTCGACGCTCGCGATAACAGAGCTCCAGCTTCCTGCGCTCGGTCTACTTTGTCTTGTCTGCTCAATTGAGATCTAGCGTTTTGCAATTAGCAGTCATGATTAACGCGGTGCTTATCTGTATGTTCTGGCGGTGTTTTAGGGGTGCGTGGGCGCGTATGATTGACATCTGCTTGATAGTTAACAACTTTGGCGTCCCCCGTCTGGCCAAGTTCTACACTCCTCTGGTGCGTTCATCTTCTTTCTTCAACTAATGCAGCAGCTATCTGACAAGAATTTACTACAGGACCTGCAAACACAACAAGTCCTGATTTCGCAACTCTTCCAACTCCTCTCCTCGCGGCCATCAACCCAATGCAACTTCCTCACCCCACCCCCGATGCTCTCCTCCGAGCTCGACGACATCCGCGTGATCTACCGCCACTACGCGACCCTCTACTTTGTCTTTGTCGTCGACGAGCAAGAATCCGAGCTCGGCATCCTCGACCTCATTCAGGTCTTTGTCGAGTCCCTCGACCGATGCTTCGATAACGTCTGCGAACTCGACCTCGTCTTTGGATGGGAGGTCCTCCATGTTGTCTTGAACGAGATCGTCCAGGGCGGAATGGTCGTCGAGACGAATATCAGCGATATCGCGGCGGCGGTGGACGAGATTGGAAAGTTGCATGGAAACAAGAAGGGCTCGATTGCGTCGACTACGCTCTCATTGTCCTCTACTTCGAGCACATTGAGTGCCATCGCAAGAGAGACCAGGGCCGCTTGGAGCAACCGTTAGTCAAGCTCTTGTTATTTCCTGTTTTCATCTTTGGGTTTCATCTTTTATGTAACTGTTATCTCTTGTTTGTTCGGCGTTGGTCTTTTCCATCTATAGAATTGTGAATTCATGTTTAGCTTACCTTTATCGACCCAGTGTACAAAGAATACAATCTCGCTTCAGATCTTAATAAACATGGTCTGTACCAAGCACGTTCATTGACTAATGAAAACAAGCGACTAATCATAGATGAAAACTGTAAAACAAGGCAAAAAGTGAAAGTATGAAAAAAAGACATGAAGAAGGAATCACATGAAGAAAGAAATCAGACATGAAGGAGAAAATGGATGACAAGTACAGAAAAATGAATACAACTATGTAAAACAAAACACATAAAACAAACTAGAACGTAGCAGCAGCAAGCATCTGTGCCGCATTCTTTGCATCAACCTCAGAAATCCCTTCCTCGTCATCATCGTCGCCGTACTCGTAAGCCGGCAAGAACCCGTTCCCGCCATGCATCGTCCGTCGATCGCCGCTCCACCCATCTCCCTTCGGTCCTTGACTAGTCACCAGATCCGACCGGCGCACGGGCGGAAGCTCGCCCCGTCCGAGGCGCGAGAGACCACCCGAAGCATCGGCCGAGCGGACATCGAGCCGGATTGATTCCCAGACCGCGAGCGTGCGTCGCTCGGCGTCGATCATGCGCCGGACGTACTCGGCCATGTAGCCCATGAGGTCTTCCTGCGTGTTTGCAAACCACTCGCGTTTCTCGCGCACGAGGTTGTTGGTCACCCGGTTGACTTTGGCGGTCAGCGCGGCCTCGACTTGCTTGGCTTCTTCGAGCGAGTTGAGCGCCTCGTCTACCCGCAGCGGGTTGATCGTCGCCGAACTTCGCAGGCGCGCGGCGGTCGCGTGGCGGTTTCGGCTGGTCGATTGCGCGGAGATGAGCTCGCGGATGAGAATCTGTCGGTTCGTGAGCGTTTCTTTGACGACATAGGCGTCGTTGCAGAGCCACGACAGACCATCCCCCAAACTAGCCATTTCGGCAACTGTCTTCATCCCCTCGATGTCGCCCACGCTCATCACCGTCTTTCCAAGCTTTTTCCACATGTTGATCATGCCGGTTTGAAACTCGAGAGAGATCAGGTTTGTGAACTTGTGTCCGAGCTCGATCTCGGCAAGACCCAGGTTCCGCCGCACTTTACTCACCTTCTCGAGCTTATCCCGCACCTTTTCAGACTCAATGTAGAACTGCTTCGCGATCGGTCTAAACGCCACAAGTTCCTGGCAGTCATCTGGCGGCGGCGCGAGCTGCTTGATTGCTTTGCGCCGCAGTCCAGTCGCGGGAGCCTTGCGTTTCGTGATGGGTGAGTATCCAAAGTCGGCCTCGATGAAAAACATCATTTCCTCGTCGCGCATGAGGATCGGGTTCGATGTGACGCGGTCAAGCCATTTCTGGAAGTTGGCCTTGATGCGGTACTCGTCTTCGTCCGAGCCGGCGCCGGCAGAGGTGATTTCCATGGGGATCGTGGGGACAAGGCACTCTGGGTTCGCTACGCAGAGGTGTCTGAAGAGCTTGAGGAACTCGCCGTGCGTTCTGCGAATGTCGCGGAACTGGGTCGTGCGGAATCGAGGGAGGTTGGTCTGGGAAAGAAAGTGTTAGGATATAGTAGAAAACAAACTCGCATCGATATCGTGTTCTTACATAGGCGTCAAATTTGATCAAAGGCGGCTTCTTCCCCGATCTTTCCATACCAGTGACTCTGGTGTGCAAGACATATTCCATGACAGGAGGACGAGCGTTGGCTGGGGCCATTGGTCGTTGCCCAGCAGCTGCGGGGGGTTGCATCTGTGGGGCGTAGGGGTACTGCTGAGCAGGTTGGGGAGGCGGGTAGTATTGATTCTGAGGGGTAGGCTCTTGTTTGTAGTAGGATTGGGGGTCGTAACGGGGAGCATTGTTCTGCTGCTGTGAGGGACGCTGCTGCTGTTGTGGTGGTAGTTGTGGTCGCTGATATTGTTGTTGTGGTCGTGGTTGTGGTTGTTGTTGTTGTTGTTGTTGTCTATACTTTTGCTCCGGTTGATGACTCTGCTGGCTGGTCGAAGATACAGAACTGACTCCAGTCTCGATCGATGACCGCTGGATCTCAGTCGACGTCGACGCACGCGCCTGGGATGCGGGATCATGTTGACCCCCGTTGCTGTCCTGCGCGATATCGTCGTCCGATCCAAACAAGTTCGCCCGGTCGCTTTCCTCGGACATCTCCGCCTGTGGATTATTATCGTCCTCGTCCTCCTCGTCCTCGTCTTCGTAATACGACGACTCGACGATCTCGGCGGGCTTGGACAGGTACGGATCAGCCGACGAACCCCAGCCGTCGTCGTGGTCGGCGTACGCGTCCATGACCGACGCCGGCAACGAGGTCGACGCCAGCGGATTCGAGGTCTCGGCCGCGGCAGCTGTCTCTGCGGGCGCGGGGTCGTAAAAGCCCGCGTCAAACTCGTCTGGAAAGAGGGTTTCGGACGCGGGCGCGAGGAAGGAGAGGCCGGAGGAGAGAGCGGGGCGGTGGGGGGTGTCTGGCTCGGGGTGGTCGTTGGTGGTGGAGCCGATGTTGTTGTTCAGGTCGGGCGCGGAGTCCGCGGAGGTTTCCGCGGTAGCCATTTGCAGATCGTTCAGTAGAGGCAGAAGATATCTGAGAAGCTGTTGATGAGTAGAATCAGCAGCAGAGAGCAGAGAAGATGCTCGCGAAGAAGAGGTGACTTTGGACGAGAGGCGAAGGAGACAAAAGGCGACGGAGCTTTTTGCAAACGCAACGTCACCTGGCCACTGCGCTGCTGAGCGGGTGTTTTGGGGTCCAACACGCCGGCTTTTTGCACTATTAACCTCCGTACTCTGAATGCCACTATAATTCCACCTTCCCCATGCTCGCTTATCGTCGTCCTGACTCGGGAATATCAGAGTCATTTCTGCTTTATCGCGCTTTTATCGCGTTCTTGACATTAAATACAACTACAATGCCTCGTCTGACGTTAAATCCCTCCGATCCGGACGACATCGAGGTCAAGGGAATAGTTTTCGACATGGACGGCACGCTCTGTCTCCCGCAGGCACGTTCCTCATGCTCGTCATGATGATGATTATAGATCTATGTTCTAAGATCGCCCTGCTGACTACCAACTTGCAGACCTGGATGTTCGCAGAGATGCGAAGAGTTCTTGGAATTGACAAGAAAACCGACATCCTCGACCATATATACTCGCTCGACGTCGCCGAGCAGGAAGTCGCTCATGAAAAAGTGCGGCAGGTCGAGCGCACTGCGATGGTTCAAATCGTGAGCATTGAGAGTAATGACCGTGTTTGTGATCTTGTTGCTGACTGGGATCTGTATTGTCGTGGTGTGTAGGAACCTCAACCGGGTATGACATACTGCTGATGTGTGGTTATTACTGTCATCTGGAGATAATTCAGCTAATTCACATATACAGGACTCAATGAGCTCATGGACGTATGCTGTCTTTATAATTGCTAGCTGCTGTTCCCTTCATGGCAATTCTCACCACAAGTCTAGTTCCTAGAAGAAAAAAAGATTCTCAAGTCGATCTGTACGCGCAACTTCCCTGTAGGTACCCTCCACCTTTGCCGCTCCGCCATTCTATCTACTAATTTATCTTTCCACGGCTGTAAAGACACCAGTCCAGCATCTGCTTTCAACATTCCTGTCTTCAAAAGTCTTTCATCCTATAGTCACTCGCGACTTTAAACCTCCCAAGCCGTCGCCGGCTGGGATTCTCCATATCGCAAAGCATTGGGTACCTTCTTTTTCCTTCTTTCGGCCCTCGCTTCCGAACCTGTTCTGACAATTTAATTTATCTCTGTAGAACATCGACCCCAAGCATCTCATCATGGTCGGTGACTCCGTCGACGACATGCTGGCCGGTTATCGCGCCGGTACTACGACTATCCTTCTAGAGTCTGACGTGAACGGGCATCTCAAGGGGGCTCCGGAGACGGACTACGTCGTGCAGCGGTTAGATGATATTATAAAGCTGCTCGAGAACGGGATCGAGATCCAGGATCGCAAGCCACAGGTTGATGAGGAGACTGTTAAGGCGCTGGATTGAATCGGGCTTTAGACCTTTTGTAGATATTGATAGAGTAAATGTATTTATTTCAATTATCTATGATTGCTCAAAAGAACTCTAGAGTCACGAGACACAGGTTGATGAGGAGACTGTTAAGGCGCTGGATTGAATCGGGCTCTAGACGTTTTTGTAGATATTTTGATAAAGTAAATGTATTTATTTCAATCATCTATACTTTCTTAAAAGAATCTTAAAAGAACTTGTCGAGATGGAACTTCCCGTCAGCATCCTTCTCAGCAACACCCTTCTCAGTAACAATAGCATCAATCAGGCTCGCCGGCGCAAAATCAAAAGCCGGGTTCCAGACGCCGATTCCCGGTGCAGCAATATGCACAGTCTTAACCTCGTTCTTGTTCACCGAGCCATCAGCATCAACGACCGGCCCCCGCATGGTGACCATCTCCTCTGGCTTGCGCTGCTCAATCACGATGTCGTCTCCCGACGCCGTAAGCAAGTCGATCGACGTTGTCGGTGCCGCGACAACGACCTTGACGCCGTGGAACTTGGCCGTGATTGCGAGCTGGTAGGTGCCGATCTTGTTTGCGGTGTCGCCGTTGCGCGCGACGCGGTCCGCGCCAACGACGACCATCTTGATCTCCGGGTGCGTCTTGAGCAGGATGCTCGCCATCGAGTCTGTGATCAGAGTCGCGGGGATGTTGTCGTGCACGAGTTCGTAGGCGGTCAGACGCGAGCCCTGGTTGTAGGGCCTGGTCTCGAGGGCGTAGGCGTGCTCGAGGAGGTTGTTTGCGTGGACGGAGCGGATGATTCCGAGGGCGGTTCCGTATCCGGCGGTAGCCAGTGATCTACAGCACAAATGTTAGTCGACATATCATTAGAACAAGGCGTCAATAGGTCATCATACCCAGTGTTGCAGATCGTGAGGATCGAGAACTTGTCGCTGCCAAAACTCTGCCTGGCCCATGCGACGCCGTTCTCGCCGATGTTTTTGTTATCGCTCACGTCGTCAATCAGCATGCGCTCTGCCGCCTTGACATAGGCGTCCACCACAGCTTTACTCCCTCCCTCGGTCTCGGCCACCAACTTTTCCAGTTTCCTTGCCGCGTCCGACAGGTTGACAGCCGTCGGCCGCGACGTGACGAGGTAGTGCAGTTTGTCGGCGATAAAGGACCGCGCGGCCTCGGTGCTCGCCGTGCTTGGATCTCCTTCCGGCAGCTCGAGCAGCTCGACAGCGAGCGCGAGCGCGGCAACGATGGCGATGGCGGGAGCGCCGCGGACGGTCATGGTCTTGATCGCATGGTAGGCGTCTTCGGAGGTGCGCACGCTGATGTAGACGGATTCGTGGGGCAGACGCAGCTGATCAAGGATCTGCAGGTCGCCAGATGTGTATTTTATCGCTTCAAGCACCATTTCTTCTTCTTCTTCTTCTTCTTCTTCTTCTTCTTCCTCTTGCAAGTGCAGTCAGGGTCGAGATGAGATGATGCAATCAAATTTGAAGCCGAGAAAACGTTTTGGCTGTGAGCCGCTCTCAGTGTGGCGCTCAGAACCTTAATTTTGCTGACATTTTTGAGTGTTTTGTGGAGGTCGAGATCCGCTGCTTACACCTCAGCCGATGCTGCAGCTCCTCAGAGACCCTGCTTGAGAACCGCTCTGTTTAATCTGCGCAAGCTGATAAGGACAGCTGAATAAAGCGTGTTTATTGCTCAATTGTGCTGTGTTATCGAGTGGTTTTGTTGTTTTACCTGTTTTAGTTATTTCTTCTCCGTTGTCGTTATCGCCAGTCGTCAGTCTATCGAGCATCAGATAACAATGTCGATTCTTGCGCTCTACATCACCGATATCAACGGGTACTTTCTCTCTTTCTTTGACCCTTCTTCTTTCTTTTCGAGACAGTCTAACCAAACATCCAGTCAACAACTCCTGGAATACCCCGTCGCAGACTACCCGCCGACCAACAAGTCAATCCAGGTGGCCCTCCGCGACTGCCCTCCTGACGAAGTCATCCTCCGTCTGTCGCCCAACGAGCTAGTCTTCCACCGCAAACAGGACTCTCTCGTCTTTCTTCTTCCCTGCACCGCTACAATTCCCTCTCTCGTGCCGCTCGAATTCATCTCGCATCTGATAAAAGTGCTCCATGACTACTTCCAGCCCCCTCTGACACGGCAAAAGATTGAAAAGAACTTCTCGACGATAATGATGCTTCTCAACGAAATGATCGAGGACGGCTACCCGTTCGTCACTGAAGAGAATGCGCTTAGAGATCTAGTGCCCTACTCCGACTCGATCTCGAAATACCTCAAGGGCGCGACGAGCTCGATCAAGAACCTCACGAGCTCAAAGACCTCGTCCATGCAGTCCATCTCCTCAACCGACATCGGCGCCCCGCGCTCAAACGTGCCCTGGCGCCGCTCAAACGTCAAGCACAACAACAACGAGCTCTACGTCGACATCCACGAATCCCTGTCCGTTATCATCCCCGCCCTCTCGCCCGCGCAAAAGATGCTGCACTCCCTCGCCTCCGACACGACCCCGTCCGCGTCCGCGTTCTACACCGTGCCCTCGGCCGTGCCTTCTGTGCTGCCTGAGCCTATAGTATCGATCGCGCACGGATCCGTCTACGCGACTACGCGGCTGTCGGGAATCCCCGACATCCAAATCATTCTCTCATTCGGCAACCGCATCCTCGAAGGCCCCGCGTTCCACCCTTGCGTGCGTCTCGCGCGCTGGCGCGAGCACCCGGGGACGCTGTCGTTTATCCCACCGGACGGCAAGTGCTGTCTTTTGCAGTACACAATCTCGGGCGTCGAGTCCGGCCCGATCGGCGGCGACCTCAAGACCGGGCTCGGGACCGCGAAGGACGAGTTCGAGGTGCGGATCTGGAGCCGCGTGCCGCGCAACGTCAAGTTTGTCGAGAACCTGCGCCTCGAGCTCGTGTACGACGGCGACCGCGTGCAGAATATAAAGGGCGTGCGCGCGTCGTCGGGCGAGTTCAATATCGAGAAGAAAGGCACGGGGATCTGGCGGTTCCCGGGCAAGACGCCGATGGGCTGGAGCTCGACGCTGAGGGGCACGATGGTGGTCAACGAGGAGCTCGAGCCGGGAGAGGACGGGACGGTGCAGCAGGAGTTTCCAAAGTACATCAAGATCTCGTATGATTGCATGGGCATGCTCGTCAGCGGGACCAAGGTCGAGAGCTTGCGGATCACGAGCGGGCGGCAGGGGCTGATGGAGAACGCGAAGCCGTATAAGGGTGTAAAGTACATGACGAAGGGAACTGATATTGTAATTAGAGGTTGATTGTGTATATATTTGTAGAATTTATGATTGCTATATTCTCTATATGTGTCTGCTGCCTTGTCTAAACCTTATCTAAAGTCCCATCTCAGCCGTGATCCTCCCAACTCTTCTATTCCACCGTTCACCACCCACTTCACTTTGTCTATAACACCTCTGATCCACCTCAATTACTCAAACTACTCTTCAAAAACATCATCAGAAATGTCGGCGCCTGCGTACTCGCAATCAGACCACGGCGTGCTCGAGCTCTCGAACGTCATCAAAACCCTCCGCGCTGCGCTCGCCGCTCACCCACACTCGATCTCGTCAGCCAGCGAATTCCTCGCCCTGATCTGCCACGCTTCCATGCTCGCAGTCGGGTTCGAGTATCTCCCCAGCAGCAGCAGCAGCAGCGAAGATGCTTCTACTTTGACAACATCAACAACAGCAACAGAGCAGCAGCAGACACCGCCGCGCATCCCTGACTTTAGCGCGTCAGCAACGCAGTTCTCGTTTAGGTACAAGCACACGCAGTCCGCGCTATCGCCGTTCCTGCTCAGCGCGACGAAGCTGGGGCCGAAGCTGATTATCTCGGCGCTGTCGGAGGGAAACGACGAGGTTACGCATTTGTTTGAAGTGCGCGTGGCGCAGCTGGTTTCGCAGGCGGTCTCGTTTCCTCTTACGCTGCCTGACGCGGACGCAGGTGTGGGTGCAGCAGAGGATGGCGGGCTGGCAGCGGTATCTGACGCGCTTGATCCTATCGCGCTACAGGCCTTCATCACCACGTTCAAAAAGACAATAATCCAGGCTCTAGTGCCGAACCTGCAAAAGGACGGGTACACCGAAGACCGCGCCGCCTCCTCCACCTCCACATCCACAACCCGCGAAACCGACTCCTTCAACAACCAGCCCCCGCCTCCATATCCCGACACCTCCTCCTCTTCACGCATCCCCCCATCCACAAACCCAGACCTCGCTCACCCGCGCGTGCCGCGTCCGTTCCCACTCGCACCCGGCACCACCGCGCCGCCGCCGCTGACAACAGGCCCGCCCGGGTTCGAGGACGAATACGAGATCCTGAACGGTCCCCGCGGTTTATCACGCGACGACCGCGACCGCGACTTTCGCTCTCCTTTCTCGATCGGTGATGATGATCTCTACCCGCCCGGCATCGGGCCCCATCCCAGCTTGACCCCGGGACTTACCTCACCCTACGGCGGCGGGGGGGCAAGAGGCATGTACCCGTCCGCCGACCATCCTTTGTTCGCAGGCCGCGGCAGCGGCGGGGGTACGACGTCCGGCGTGGGCGGGTTCAGACCTCCCGGCGCGCGATGGGATCCGCCTATGGATCCGGCGGGCGAGGATCCGGATATGATGATGGGAGGAGGTGGGGGGTTGCGGATGCCGGGTATGGGAGGACGAAGGCAAGGTGGTGGGGGAGGGGGATTTGGATTTCCTGGGGCGGGGGGGTTTGGCGGTAGTGGTGGATTTGGAGGAAGTGGATTTGGGGGCGGTGGATTTATTTGAAAGGAAGGAGTGTAGTGAATGACTTTACGATCGTTTGGAGTTTTAGCAATATGAAGAGAAGTGTATCTATATTCTCTAAAAAAGTGGTATCTGTGCATGAAAGAAGAAAGAAAGGTATTCTCGAACCCAACGAGAATAATAGAAAAGGCCCAAGCATTTACCACCAAAAAGAGCATAAGAGAAAGATCAAGAAAATACAGATGGAACAAGAAAGACGGCGAATCTAAACCACCGAATGTATATATATACTACCAAAACCTCTCCAAACAACAACAATAAAAAAAAAGGGTAAACTCATTTACAGAAAGAAACTCTTACGCACTCTCACTCTCCTTCTCCAAATTCTTCACCAGCAAAAGACTCATCCGCTCAATCATCCCCTGCATCTTCGCAACCTGCTCCTCCAACCCGCGCACCCGCGCCGCAGTCGTGTCGGTATACAAGCTCAGGAAATCATCGTCGTCGTCGTCATCGTCGTCGTCGTTGTCGTCGCCGGCGGCGTCGTCGAGATTGTCGTAGAGATCGTCGTCAAAGTAGTTTGCCTCGTCGTCGTCGAGAAGGTCGGCGGCGTACTCGAGATCGTCGCCGTCGTAGTCGCCGTACTCTACCTCTTCATCCTCCTCGTCTTCGACAACGTGCTCGCCACCCGCCGCGTCTTCCTCGTTCGTCTGCCGCGGCTGCTGCTGCCCCTCATGCGGCATCGAATGCCGTCTCCGCGCCCGCCGCGGCGACAACGACCGCAGTCGCACGTTATCATCATACCGATCGTCTCCATCGCCCAACTGTCTCGACGCAAGCGCCTTCGCGCCCTCTCCCGTCCGCACCCGTCCTCCCAGCCCGCCACGCAGGCTGCCAACGTCAGACGTGCCGGCTTCCGAGATCGTGTCGGCAGGTAACGTCACGCTGCGCCGACGCAGGTCGCGCAGCAGCGAGATCGCGAGCTTCGAGCGCAGCATCGCGCGCCGCGCACTCGCGCCTCCTCCGGCTGCTGACGGCGTCGACGCGGTGCTATCTGTCCGCGCACGACGGAGTCCGCGACTCGTCACCGGCGATAATTTCTGCGCGGCGTCGTCAGCACCACTAACACCTCCAGCAGACGCAGACGCAGACGCGATCTCCGCGCCTTCGGCCTCCGCATACCCGGGACTCGACGACAAAGGCTGCACCGGTCTCTGCGACTTTGTCGTCCCGCTGCCGCTGCTGTTGTTCCGCTTGATTGTCTGTGCGACAATCGTGCCCTTGCGCGTCTTGCGCCGTTTCACCATGCCTCCCGCGCCGTTCTTGCCCGCCGCGTCGCTGCCGGTTCCTTTGCCCCTGCCGCCGTCGCCGCTGGCCGGACCGCCTGCGCTAGAGTCGAACGGGTTCGATTTGCCGTTCGCGCCGCTCACGAACGCGCTCTGCAGCACGCGCGGCTCGGTGCCCGAGAGAACGACCTGGTTGGTTACGAGCAGGCCGCGGGCGATGGCCGAGCCCTCGCGAGAGCCGCCGCCGTACTGGGAGTTCCAGAGACGTTTTTTGTCGTGGGAGCCGCTGCGGAGGTGGAGCATGCTGCTTGGGCTGCGGTCGCTGCGGGAGGCCATGAGTCTGTAGCGGATTGCTTCGTAGATCCAGAGCATGGCGACGAGAGGCGCGTGGGTTATTTTGAGGATGAAGATGCGCAGGTTGCGGTATTCGGAGTGGTTGAGGAATAGACGGAGAGGGCGGATGATGATTCCGATGAGGTTGAGAGGGGGGTAGTAGTATGTCAGTCTGTCGGAGGTCGTGATTGATTCGAGAACCGAAGACGAGAAGAGAAGCATGTATTCCTCACTGGGAGGTGTTAGACGATTCATTTAGCAGATGGAGATAGTGAGTTGGAACTTACTTTGCGTTATGCATCATTCTTCCGAATCGCTGAGACAAAATCGAAATGACGACCGTGATGAGTAGAACGCTGATTCATTGTTAGCTTCTGCAACCAGTCTGAAAATGATGAGTTTACTCACTTTGTAAGAATCACGAAAATAAGCATCAACGTCGGTCCAAATATCGGAGAGATCAATCCAGCAGCATCAAGTCCATCGTACGGCGCGCCAAAGAACACACGGATCAAGAGCCATGCCATTTGGTTCACTGTGAAATGGTCTCGACCGAGGAAGGAGAACGTGGTCAGGAATCCGACGTAGAGAATTACAATCTGTTTCCAAGTTAGAATTTGATGCTGGGTAGGTAGAAGGGGCAGGACATACCAGGACGAGGAATTCCATAAAATCCTTGGTCATCTGCTTGAGGCACGGCAGTAACGTGCCATAATAAGGAACCACCGCAAGACTAGAAAACACACGAGGCACGAGCAGCAGCGCTTCGAGCGAGAGAATGTCAAACGCCGCGTGGGCGTATTTCTCTCTAAACGGCACGACGCTGAATATGCGCACGGAGAAGAACGCGAGGAAGATGAAGATCATGGCGAGATCAAAGAAAGACCAGTAATCTAGCGCGTAGAATTTGATACTTCCAGACTCGCGCATTTGACCGATTTCTTCGTAGACGAAACCCGCGAACCAGATGTCGAGAAGAACTTCGAGGACTGTGATTTGAGTGATGTTGCGTTCGGTGAGGACGGCGTAGTAGAGGGCTAGCAGGACGGCATAGTTGAGCATCATAAAGACAGTGCGGTATTTAGGTACCCGCAGGCGAGAATACCAGTCGTTTCCCTTACGAGCAGGGTTATAGATCATTGCCTTCTTCTTGGACTGCACCGAGATACTATCCCAAAACACGATCCGACCTTCCCAGATCGACGTGATGATCTGCTCGATAGCCCGCGAAAGCAGGAATTTCTTCGCGTCTCCCAGGATCGCGAGTTCGAGCGCGCTCAAACCGATCGCAGAGTCGGCAACGTACGGAGTATTATCTGACCCTGCGCCCGCCTGGCGCTCGATGTCGATCTCCGCCGCAGCTCTGGCCTGCCGAACGCTTTCGTTGTGCTCTTCGAGCAAAGCCGTGCTCTCGGTCGGCACGCTGACGGTCGAGGGAGTGGACGAGAGGGAGGTGGGGTTTGCGGCGGGCTTGCGGGGGATCTCGTAGGTGACGTACTGGATCAGGTCTTCCTCTGGAAGATGGGCGGCGTAGCGCAGGGCGATGAGCTCGGCGGTGTAGGCGCGGGCTTCGTGGATCGCGCGGTCGTCTTCTTGGACTGAGAAGTCGAGGCGTGCGGCGAGGAGGGCCGCGATGATTGCGGGGTTGCGGGATTGCTCGATTGATTTCACTGTGATTCAGTTAGTCTGAATCAGATCAGATAGAAAGATACGGGGATGGAGATAGATACATACCGAGCGGTCTGATGATGTTGGACGACCCAGGCGGCCCGCGCAGCTGTTCGTATGTATACGGCGAGTCGACGGTGCGCACGATATGCAGTTCAATCTGGTAAAGTAGCGACGAGAACGGCATGTTTTCCTCAAAGATGGGAAACGGCTGGGCCTTGCGGTCGTAGCCGGGAGCCTCCATCGCGATCTGGCTGCTGTTGCCGGCTCTGCCTTTGCCGGCTTGGTTTGTTGAGACTTGGCCTGCGATCATGGCGATGTTTCGCTGTGCTCGCATCGGCTTGGGGAAAGAGGAGATAGAGGTGGGATCAAAGCACTTGGTGCTGGTGTATTGAGGTGTGTGGGTATGTCAGATGCAGGCGGAGATCACAAGGAGAAGAAGCTAAGCTGGACGAAAGGTCCGAGATTGACAGTATTTCTGGTACACCAGTTCTAGCTGACTACCGGTGCTGCTCAGCTCTTGCTCTCTAACAGACAGCAGTTTATTCCCGACCCGAGACTGGTTCGCGCAGAGGAAGACAGAGCAGAGGAGTGCAAAACTGTGCTTGCTCGGCTGGAGATGAAGACGATGCCGCCGAGGAGAGTAGAGCGTAGTTCATTTAGTAGTGTTGTGGGTGTAGAAGTACAGAGCGGCACATATGTTATTACTGTATTTTATTCACCAACTTAGTGCTGGGATAAGTTTTCCCAGCTTGGCTAAACTGAGGGAGATGCTTGTTTACTTTTATCTCCACCCGGCCCGGGGTTATCCGATAGAGATCGTGGTGGTGGTTGTTTGTGTGTGCATGTAATATGGTTGATTTGAATGCTGGTCTTGCGAGGGGCGGGTTTAGGTGGATGTTGTTCGAGAAAGGAGAGGCTGTGGTGTCATCGGAGTGCAGTGTAGAGACTTTATCTGCAGATATACTCCTAATAGAAAGCGAGCGAGTAGAGTGTATTATTCGTAAACGGACTAGTTATAATAAGAGGACCACGGAAAGAACTATGAGATGAAGTGTTTAGAGACGGTCTATGCTGATATTGATATCGCTCCAGGGTATCATTGCGAGCGAATTATGAGCAGTTGGAATTGACGACAGACATAATGAAAGGCGGGAAGAGTCCACAGATTTGATGTCGAAAGACGCAAAAACCAGGTGAATAATGTAGACACCAGATGGATAGAGTAGAAAACAGAGATCAGAGACAACAGCAAAGCCCAGAGCCAAACCTCTCTCCTCGTCATCTGACCGCTACACCACCGACAGCCGATATCATACTTTCAAAACAGTTCATCGTTGATGGTAATGCAGGTGGTGGAGCATGTTGAGACAGACTGAGAGCAGGAACAGACTTGCCAGGATCGGCAGGAGCTGGACGGCGTGTGTGGCGGCAGTGAACAGCGTCTTGACTACGGAGCTGAGGAAGATCATTGGGGATGGTGAGATGTCGCGGGGGAGGAACGGGAGGGTAGGAGGGTGGAGGTGAGGGTGTGGGAGATGCTGCTTTGCGGGAGAGAAGGAGGAAGAGGTGATAGAAGAAGAAGCGGGCGGGTTGTCACTTGGACGGGGAGGGAGGGGAGGTAAACAAAGACGTGACGCGTCTGACGCGCCCTACTAACGACCAAGACCTAATTCAACTCTACCTCGACCTCAACCTTGAAATCAACTACAAACAAGACAAATATCTACGGCAGAGCTACGAAGCAGTAGACCGAGTGAGCTATCATTTATGATTAGCTGCCGGTCTCAGCCTTGCGATGGACGGGGACGAGCAACAACAACAGCAACCCAGCGCGGTGGAATCTCACGAAATTGCATCCCCACTCGCTCGGTTGCAGCTAGTCCATCTTTATTTTTATCTCTACAGCTATTTATCAGTAGTATAATTCACATCACGGCTATCTTTCTCTATTGACAGCTTGCCGGATTACCGCGCGCTGTCAACTCTTGGTGGAGGCGGTTGGTTAGTGTAATGGAGGCGGTCACACTCGAGAGCTAGCGACGCGACAGCCGTGCCGATGGTTCCAGCTGCTGATATCAATCGCTCTCTTTGTAGCTTATTTGAGAAGAGCGAATGCTATGATGATGACTATCTCAGACGCAAACAAGCATTCTAACACCGCGTTAATAACTGTTTCAAGACATCTACTGGAATCTCCCATTCCCGGACGTCAACGTCAACAGCACTGCACTCGTCATCAACACCAAGTCCGTCGGTACTTTGAGGCACCAGCGCGCCGAGGAATGAAGAACATGCTCGAGGTCACCGCCGAGGCTGCCGGGGAAGGTTCGCATCCTGGGCCCTGGCTGAGCCCACCCTTAAACTCCGCCGAAGAATGGAAAGTTGTGAGTCGGCTGTGAGTCGGTGCCGCTGCCGATGATGCTTATTTGACAATGTTGATTGTTAGTCGTTTTATTCAAATAGTAGTTTTAAGCAAACCAGCAATGTGCAGTAAATAACAAGTGAATATAGCAATGTGCAGATCAATAAGAGAAATATAAGCAATGTGCAGATCAATAAGAAAAATATAAGCAATGTGCAGATCAATAAGAGAATATAAGCCCAGGATGCAACGCCAACTGTATAACGGCAGAAAGAAGACGACAATGGTCGATCAAAGAGGTCGACAAGAAAACAAAAAAACAGATATGTATACAAATAAATGGAGGACATGTCCAATCATCGATGCCAAATAATTAGTTATTACCACAACAGACTCGTGCTGCTGTACACACATTACTCTCATGCCAAGCAGATCATAATCATCATAAGTAAACAAAACGGTTTGTCAACCAACTCTGAGGAAGAACAAGCCAACTAACTCTATGAGAAGAACAAACCAATTCTAGAAGAGAAATAGTTACATCTCATCAGGATTCAGCACTCTGAGCACCTTCCTAGAGTAGTCGTACTCGTCCCGCACCGATCCTCGCGAGTAATTGTTATGCATGTACATCGCGCCCGGATCGATTCGCTGATCAACCTGAAGTGTCTCTGATCGCGGAGGCGGGGCGCCATAAGCACCCACTCCCGCACCTCTCTTTTCTGACATGCTGCCGCCGTTCAATGAATCCGTCGACCGCCGTCGTCGGCCTGCGCCAAACCCGTAGGCCATGAACGGGCTCGAGCCATCGCCCATCACTGGAGAATTATGAGCCTGCTTTGGCGACATCCCGCGTGCGAATTCTTCGTCTTCGCGCTGCCGGCGGCGGCGGAGGAGGAGAAGAATCAGCAACACAATCAGGATGACGACCACGATTGCGACGGCGACAAACGTGCCGGCGACTTTTCCTTTGCTGTCCCAGAAGGACGAGGATTTGCTGCCCGAGTTGGTACCGGAGGATGAAGATGATGATCCGGATGTTGCGGAAGAAGAAGATGCCGCGCTGGAAGACGCGTCGCCTGCTAGACCGCTGGAGGAGGTGGTGGATGCAGGCGTGGAGGTGGCGGAGTTGGAGTATGTGGTTGTTATGAGGAGGGTTTTTGTGGCGCCCGTGCCGGTGACGGTGACTACCGAGATGATGGGTGAGGGCGAGGACGTGGAGGTCGAGGTGGACGAGGGAGTCCTTGATGTCTGCGAGGAGGAGGTGGTGGATGTTGAGGTGGCGGTGGGGGTAGTGGAGGAGGATGTTGTGGATGTCTCAGGCTCGGAGGTTGTTGTGGGTGTGGTGGTGGTGTCTGAAGACGAGGTTGTCTCTGTTGTCGAGGTTGTGGCCGGGTCCTCTGTAGAAGACTGACTGTCGTCGTCTGACTCGGTCGAGGTCGGCGCCTCGGTCGAGGTGGCAGTCGAGCTGTCGTCGTCAGCCGAGGTTGTGGTTGCAGATGAGGTTGTGGTGATGGCCTCGGTCGAGCTAGAAGACGAGGTCGAGGAAGTCGAGCTCTCGGCAGCGGTGGACGAGGCAGCAGCTGCGGTGCTGGAGGCGTCCGAGATTTGGATGTAGCCGTAGAGACCTTCGGATTCGTTGCCACACGGGTCGCTGGGGAAGCCGGGACACTCGTCGTTGCACTTGTCTACCGAGGTGGTCGAGCCGGGCATGACATCCGAGCACCAGCAGTTGCTGTCCTGGAGGATACCAAAGGAGTAGCCGCCACTCTCGCAGGTGTCGAAGCAGAGGCCGTAGGACTGGTAGATGTTGTAGGCTGGTGGCGGAGAAGCAGTAGAGTTAGTAAATGAGGTTGTTTTGATGGGCGGAGGAGGAGGGAGAGGTACGTACCGACGTCATAGTCGGAGCCGGTGTTTTCTGAAGAGCAGTAGGAGAGGGTGTTTGCGGCAGCGGCGGGAGAGGAGAGGAAGGCGAGGAGGGCGAGGAGGAGGAGGAGGGAGGTGGTGGTGGTGGTGGATGAGGTGGACATGGGACGGCGCATGACGGTCTAGACGGAGGGCCAGAAGGGGAGGAGCATGCGCCGGAGGAAGCAGGAAGGTGAAGAAGAAGATGCAGAGGTAGATGCAGAAGGAGAAGAAGATGATGAAGAAGACGAAGAAGAGAACGAAGACGAAGAAGAAGAAGAAGCAGAAGCAGAAAGAGAAGTTGGAGAGAAAGAACGAAGGCGAGGACGCGGAAGCAGGAAAGCAGCGACGACGAAGGTTGTGAGTTGTGAGCCGCACACGAGCCGCCGGGCGCAGGTTACCGAAAAGGGCTCGGAAAAATTGGAAAGGTTTGGCCGGTGGGTGCAGAGGGAAGAGGAGGAGATAAAGAGTGTAGTTTGTTTAGAGATATGTACTGTGTATATACTGTGTATATATACTGTATAATATAGTGGTTACGTGGACTGGAATATCGGCAGTATCTGCATCTGCCAGGTTTGTTTACGTGGTGACAGCTGCTGTCAACGAGGACCCTAACAGAGAAGCGGAGGAAGAAAGCAGAGAGAAGGAAGGAGAATGACGGAGCTGTGCAGTGTCATTGCCGGAATGGACGGCATAGGCTGAACCCAAACAGGGGTGGGAGTGGTGGTGAGTAGATGTGGGTGTGGGTGAAGGTGAAGGTGTAGATGTAGACACCAACCACAACGACTTATGAACCAGAATATTCAAGACTATAACAATATAATGATAGAACATAATACAACAACAACAGACAACAACTCACCAACCAGAGAATCAGCTGCTGCTTCGATCATGCACAAAAGTCCTTGCAATCTGCGCATTCTTTGGCTTCCACTTCCGGAGTTCAGTGGCTTCCAATGTCCCTTCTCGCTGGCCCTGGCTCGAGTTCAAGCCGAGTCCAAGCCTCGTTCTGGAGTCGTTATGTAATTTCCTCGGTGATCTTCTTTCTATCGCTCCTGCTGCTCACTTACGCGGTCTTTATCTCCATGATCGTCGTCATCACCGCCATCTGCTCTCTTTTACAACTTCCTTTTCAGGGGCCGCTGCCTCATCGCCCTTCTCCTTCCTCGTCTCCTTCCTTCTTCCTCTCTTCTATGACTTCAGAACCTGTATATTCCATAGCAGACTCACTCTACGGCAGCAGATTATAACACAAACCACAGTTATCTTCTCTGCCAGCACATTGCATCCAGGTGCAGACAGATCCACAGCATCGGTTTAGGGCTGTCTCCGGATATCTGATTGGCTGCTCTCTGTCTCTTATTACTCTTCTTTCTGCCTCTCTGTTTGCTCAGTATTTTCATTAATATCAACTATTATTCCTCTGATAACTATTCACTTACATCTCTTTTCTCTCTTCTCCTCCTCCTCATCCTCTCTCGCTGGGCCGGATCTTGTCTGCATGCAGCCAGTCACTGCAGAAAAAATCATCTGAAACCTTATTTCTCTCCTCCTCCTCCTCCTCCTCCTCCTCTGCTTCCTCTACTTCTACTCTCATCCTACTCTACTCCTACTCCTCTCTCCCCACCAATTCCTCTCCTCTTCTCCGCTATGGCGTCCTCGCCCTACATTGAGCCCCAGTCGATGCCCGAGCCCCCCGCCGGCCCGGCCCTCGACCTGCCCTCCCACACCTCCACCCTCTCCCTCGTCCACGGTGTCTCTTTCCTCTCCCTCGTCGCCCCCACCGCCGCCATCTACAAGCAGACCCTTTCCTTCTACCTCGATCTCGGCTTCTCTGAAGTTCTTGTTTACGACCGCTCTACTCCCCCTTCTTCTGAGCTCAATCGCTCCGACCACTGCTTCGATTCCACCCAGGAATCATGGCTCTACTCATCCGGCTCCCAGGCCGATGAGGGCGAGCGCGTCACCCTCAAGCTTCGTCTTGTTCCTTCCTCTGACGACGTCTCTGCTGCTACCGACAAGCTGCTCAAAGAGGAGCGCGACTGGCGTGGCCAGAGCGCCGCTTTTGTCTTCTACACTCCCTACGTTGACAACCTGATCCAGATGTTCAGATCCAAGAAACTTCTCTACCAGGCTCTGCCCTCCGACTCTGCCCCCATCGAGGTTTATGCTCACGATCCTCTCGGCAACCTTCTTGGTTTCACCGGAAAATCCAACCCCTTCACTTCCGCTAGACCGATCTCTCTGCCTGCTTCTTCGAGTCCCGACGCTGACTCCTCTGATCCGGCTGCCTCGGCCCCCGCTCCCGCCGATCCTTCGTCCGACTCCACCAGACGCAAGAAGATCGGAATCATCACCTCTGGTGGTGACGCCCCCGGAATGAACAGTGCCGTCCGCGCCGTCGTCCGCGCCGCTATCCACAAGGGCTGCGACGCATTCGCAATCTACGAGGGCTACGAGGGTCTCGTTCAGGGTGGCCATATGATGAAGCAAATGAAGTGGGAAGACGTCCGCGGCTGGCTTTCCGAGGGTGGCACTCTCATCGGCACTGCTCGCTGCGCTGCCTTCCGTGAACGCTGGGGTCGTCTCAAGGCTGCCAAAAACATGATTGTCAACGGCATCGATGCTCTCATCGTCTGCGGCGGTGACGGCTCACTTACCGGCGCTGACCTCTTCCGTGCCGAATGGCCTGATCTTCTCAAGGAGCTCGTCGACACGAACGAACTCACCCCGTCCCAGATCGAGGGCTACGAACACCTCACCATCGTCGGTCTCGTGGGCTCGATCGACAACGACATGTCCTCGACCGACGCGACCATCGGTGCCTACTCGTCCCTTTCGCGAATCTGTCAGAGCGTCGATTTCATCGACGCAACCGCGTACTCGCACTCGCGCGCCTTTGTCGTCGAGGTCATGGGTCGCCATTGTGGTTGGCTCGCGCTTATGGCTGGTATTGCTACCGGTGCGGACTACGTCTTTATTCCCGAGCAGCCGCCAAGTGCCACCGGGTGGGGCGACGAGATTTGCTCTGTCGTTAGCGCTGTAAGCTCTTCTTTTTCGTGTCTGGTTTTTATGTGGTTCTATACTGACTAAGTTATATTATATAGCACCGCAAAAAGGGCAAGAGAAAAACCGTCGTCATTGTCTGCGAGGGTGCAATCGACTCTGACTTGAACCCCATCTCCGCTGTTGACGTCAAAGATCTTCTCGTTGACCGTCTCGGACTCGACACCCGTATCACGACCCTCGGCCACGTCCAACGCGGAGGCTCTGCCGTCGCCTTCGACAGACTGATCTCCACCTTGCAGGGCTACGAGGCCGTCGAGGCCGTGCTGGACTCTACCCCCGAGACCCCCTCGCCTATGATTGGAATCCACGAGAACAAGCTCGTGCGCACGCCGCTGGTCGACGCCGTCGCGCTGACCAAGCAGGTCGCGACCGCGATCAAGGCCCGTGACTTTAACCGCGCCATGTCGCTCCGCGACGCCGAGTTTGCCGAGTACTTGCTTGCATTCAAGGCTATCAACCACATCGACGACGAGTCGCTCAAGCTTCCGGAGGACAAGCGGCTCAAGATCGCAATCATCAATGTCGGCGCACCCGCGGGCGGTATGAACGCCGCCACGCGCGCTGCTACCTGCTACTGCCTTTCGCGCGGCCACCGCGCGTTCGCGATCCACAACGGCTTCACTGGCCTTGCGCGCCACGGCTCGGTTAAAGAACTCAACTGGCTTGATGTCGAGAACTGGGCCATCCGCGGCGGCTCCGAGATCGGAACGAACCGGAACCTTCCCGAGGTCGACTTGGGCATGATTGCGTACTATTTCCAGAAGTTTGAGTTTGACGGTCTGATGATTGTCGGCGGCTTCGAGGCGTTCCTTTCGCTTTCGCAGCTCGAGCAGGCGCGCTCGCTGTACCCCGCGCTCCGCATCCCTATGGTCTGTCTGCCGGCCACAATCTCAAACAACGTTCCAGGAACGGAGTACTCCGTCGGCTCCGACACGTGCCTGAACGCGCTCGTCGACTACTGCGACGTCATCAAGCAGTCCGCGTCCGCCACCCGTCGCCGCGTGTTTGTTGTCGAAGTCCAGGGAGGCAAATCAGGCTACGTAGCGACCTACGCCGGTCTCTGCGTCGGCGCGCTGGCCGTCTACACGCCCGAACGCGGCATCTCGCTCTCGCAGCTCGAGAAGGACGTCAAGTTTCTGCGCGAGAGCTACGCGAACGACCAAGGCCAGAACCGCGCGGGCAAACTGATTCTGCGCAACGAGAAGTCGTCAAACGTGTTTTCGACCGAGCTCATCGCCGACGTCATCCGCGAGGAAGCAAAGGGCCGTTTCGACGCCCGCACCGCTAATCCCGGACACGTCCAGCAGGGCGGGATTCCCTCCCCGATGGACCGTCTCCGCGCGACCAGACTGGCGGTCAAGTGCATGGAGTTCATCGAGTCCGCGCAGGCACGCGACGACCGCGGCGCGCCGGACACGGCGACTGTGATTGGCATCACGGGCGCGAGCGTGGTGTACACGGGTATCAGACACTTGGTTGAGCATGAGACCGAGGTCGAGAACCGGAGGCCGAGACGGACGTTTTGGACGCGGATGAGTAAGATTTCTGCAATCTTGTCGGGCAGGCCTGATGCTGAATTGTAGATTTCTTTGAAGTTATTTTGTCTGTCGTTGCTTGAGTTATCAGCTGTATTCGATTCTCTTCTGTTCAACAAAGTTGAATATTTTTGTGGTTATTTTGGTATCATAGATACTCTTGTTGTGATTCTTACTATCAGTTTTCCTTAGAAAGTACTTGATGTTATTGTTATTGATTAATTCTAAAGAGCAAGCAAACGTCTGTAATAATATATATACATGCACAATCTCTACCCCCCTCTACAGCTTCATAATCTCCTCCGCAATCCCAAGCACCCGCTCATCATCTCCATACTGCCCCATAACCTGGATCCCCACCGTGCGCTCGCCGCCCTCGGCAGACACAGGCACGCTGATGGCAGGAATGCCAGCTAAACTCGCAGGCACGGTCAGCACGTCGTTCACGTACGCGTCCAGCGGTGATTTCTGCGTGAGCACGTCGTCGAGCGTCGGCGCGGTGTCGGTCGAGCATGGCGAGACGAGGAAATCGACCGTGACGTCGCTATCAGAGGAAGAGGAGGAGGAGGGCGCAAGAGGGTTGTCGAGGGTGAAGATGCGGTCGAAATCGAGCTGCGTCAGGCGGCGGACTCGTTGAGCTTGAATGTAGTGGTTCACGATCGCGCCGGCGGAGAGGTTATAGTTGCCCAGCAAGATGCGGCGGCGGACTTCGGTGCCAAAGCCCTCGCTGCGCGTGCGTCCGTAGAGAACGCCGTCAGCGGCGGCGGCGGGGTCGGAGGTGTCGTAGTCTACCTCTGAGCGGAAGCCGAAGCGGACGCCGTCGTAGCGGGCGAGGTTAGACGCCGCCTCGGCGGGCGCGATGATGTAGTACGTCGGCAGGGCGTTGACTGTCGACGGCAGGGAGACGGAGTAGAGCTCGTGGCCTGCGGCGCGGAGGTTGGCGAGCGTGCGTTTCCAAGCTTCTTTGACGACGGGGGAGAGCGAGTCGACGTTGAACTCGCTCGGGATTCCGATCCTGAACTTGCTCGAGGAGGAGGGGGAGGTGAGGGAGTCTGCTCGTTGTCTGAGACGCGCGCGCAGGGCGGGCGAGATACTCGTCGGATCCTTCTCGTCGAACGCGTTGAGCACGTGAAACATCGTCCGCACGGCGCCGACATCGCGCGCAACAATGCCGACCGTATCCAGACTCTGCGCGAACGCGACGACGCCCCAGCGCGAAATGAGCCCGTACGAGGGCTTGAAGCCTACCACTCCGCAGTACGCCGCCGGCAGACGGACGGAGCCGCCTGTGTCTGTGCCGATCGCGATATCGCACATGTGAGCTGCGACTGCGGCGGCGGATCCGCCTGAGGAGCCGCCGGTGGTGTGGGCTTCGGATGGGAAGAGGGGGTTTAGCGGCGGGCCGTAGATTGTGTGGATGTTGTCGGTTCTGGAAGAGATAGATGTTAGTTGGGCGAAGACGGCGAGAGGAAGGAAGAGGAGACGAACCCCATGGCGAATTCGTCCATGTTTGCCTTTCCTAGAAAGACTGCTTTGGCTGCTGCTATCTGGTCAACAATTGTTGCATTGTATGGACTTTTATAGTCTTTAACGTGAGAATAGATGAACATTAGTACTCTGCGTAGATGTTGCAGAAGATAACAGTAACCAACTCACTCTCCAGCATCCGCGACGCACACGTCGTCGTTCCCCAAGTCGTACATATATTATCCTTAAGCACGACCGTCTTCCCTCTAAGTGGCTGCTTCCGTGAGCCATCTCCGCTGCTGTTGTTGTCCAAAGCCTGCAGCTCCGAAACCACAGTCTCTTCGTCTCGGAGCGAGATCAGCGCCCGAAGACGCGCGTTCTGGGACGCGATGTTGCGAAGACACACGCGGCCTTCTTGCAATATCGACATTTTCGTTGCAGACAGTGTTCTATTATCAGCGCATTTGTTGCTGTCGTCGTCGTGTGAAATATGATAATCAATGATTGATTCGGGAGTTTTTGTACCTTTCCTCAGGGCTCATCGCCAAATTTTATTGACGTCGCGAGCCGCACGTGGAAACATTGAATTCGAATTTTTTATTTTTCTTTCTTTTTTGGTGATTGTTCTTCATTCAATAAAGACTGGAAAAGGTGTCTTGTGTTTCTGCAGACATATTTCTGTTTGCTATTTTGTTTCTGCTTTATTAATATCAAGAGATGGGCACGATACACCATGAGTTTATGAGCAGTGCTCTTCGAATGGTAAACTGTTCTTCTGAACGCAATCTCCCAAGTATCTACTCATCCTGACTTTTGATAGGCAAACCTGGCGTTTGAGTCCGACGAAGTTCCTGTGGGCTGTGTCTATGTCCACGACGGCAAGATCATAGCCGAGGGAATGAACGACACCAATCGTTCTTTATGTGTAAGTATCCAGAACCTCAACTTCAACTCTTCTGATCCCGCCTAACAAAACCACGACTGCAACAGGGCACGAGACACGCCGAATTTCTCGGCATCGAAACGATCCTGCAAACACACCCGGCCTCGATCTTTGAGGAAACGGATCTATACGTGACCGTCGAGCCCTGCGTCATGTGCGCCTCGGCGCTGCGGCAGCTCAAGATTCGGGCAGTGTACTTTGGGTGCGCTAATGACCGCTTTGGCGGCTGTGGAAGCGTGCTGCGGATTAATTCAGAGTGAGTGAATACGTTTGAGAGGTGAGAGGGGTGAAGATGTGCTAATGAGTCTGTAGTGAGGGTGTGGAGAGGCCGTATCCAGCATATCCCGGGTTTTACAGAGAAGATGCCATCATGCTCCTCCGCCGCTTCTATCTGCAAGAAAACGAAAAAGGTACTCCTCTACCACAAACCAGCTTTTCCAAGTATCTCTTCACTAACGAAATGAATTCTCTAAACTAGCACCGGTTCCGAAAGCGAAAAAGAGCAGGGAGCTGAAAACAGATTTCTCTCCGCTGGATCTGGGAAAATACGTGCCCCGGGCGGAGATCGAGCAGCTGTACGGGAAAGACGCGTTGGCGTCGTTAGAGGATGGGAAGGATAGTAGTGAAAAGGAAGCGTGATTGCTCGGATCAGGAGAGGTTGTATATAGATTTTGTGGTTTATACATTTCGGGACGGCGTTTCTTTGAGGAGTTTGATTGAGATTGTATACATATGCGTTGTTTATTCAATGAAAGAATGAAAGTAATCAAAATCACGTACGGAATTATTCAATGACGAGGACCTGCTTGCGACCCTTTGCACCTTCAATGTATGTAGACACGCCCTTCTTAAACACCTCGAGCAACTCCTCATCCGACATGGTCTCCTTCCAAACCCACTTATCGACCGGCACGTCTTTGAGTTCGCCCGCCTTGATCAGCGAGAATATCTCGTTGACGATCTTCTCCTTCTCATCCGGGTGCGCGTCCGACCACCTCGAGAGCCAGTAGCCGTGCGAGGTGATATCTTTGAAAATAAACAGACTGACAGGCAACGTCACCGGCTTGCGCGCCATGCCGCCGTATGTCACCAGATGTCCGCCTTCGGAGAGCTGGCGGGCCATGTTTGTCGTCGACTCGCCGCCGGTGCAGTTGAGCGCGAGCTTGATCGGCGACTTGCCGACCCACTCCTTGATCACGCTGCGGAACCCCTTGTCGGCCAATTCCTCGTCCGTGATGACTTTTGTCGCGCCCAGGCTCTCGAGATCTTTCTTGAGCTCGGCGAGGTCGTCGCGGTTGCGCACGACGTTGATGCTCTTGAGGCCCCAGAGGCGGCCGAGTTGGATCGCGGCGCGGCCGACGCCGGAGTTGGCGCCGGTCTGGATGAACCAGTCGCCGGGTTTGAGGTCGGCGAATTCCTGCAGCATGTTGTACGCCGTCGTCGGGTTGACGGACGCGGTCGCGGCCTGCACGGCAGTGATCTCGGACGACGGGTACGGGATCTTGGTCAGGTCCTTGATCGTCGCCACCGCTTTCGTTCGCCAGGTGCCAAAGATCGTGTGGCGCATGATTGCGCGGTCGCCGGGCTTGAAGTCCTGCACGCCCTTGCCGACGTCGATCACCTCGACTACGCCCTCGTTTCCGCCGAGCGCGAGCGGCGTCTCGGTCGCGAGCGCAGAGGTTTGGAAGGGCGGCTTGAGCGGGTAAACGCCTTCCACTTGATTGATGTCGGCCGGATTGATTGGCGCGGCGAGGAATTTGACGAGGATAGAGTCGTCTGCTAGGTCAGGTAGCGGGAACGTGTGGATTCTGTAGGATAAGAAATGACGTCAGTAGTTTGATTCCTCAAGATCCGTCTCTATAGCAGAGATCGAGCAAAAGTATAGAGCACGCACTTGAGAACGTCAAGAGGCCTTCCATGTTTCTCAAACACAATCGCTTTACATTCGGCCGAAAACTCGCGGCGGAAGGCACCCCGCGAGGCCACGAACTTGGACGCGGAGAGGCGCGGAGAGGACGCGAGAGCACGGGTGAATACTCGCAACGACATGTTTATATTCCTCAATTTTCTTCACTCTGATAATTCAATTAACTAGATAAAAGATCAGCGATATCAAGAAGAATCAGACAGCGAAAGGTGAAATCAGCTCCGCATAAATCGGATGGATGGATGATGCTCTGAGCTCTGCGTTGAGTGTCGCTTAGCGCGAACATCGGAAATGGGGTTTGTGTTGATATTCCTTTTCTTAACGCCGGCTTTGGTATCTCAGAGGCTCTGGTCAGTGGATGCACAGGAGTGGGTTATTGTTGAATTTATTACAACATGACATTTCTTTTGATTGCTGAGTAAAATTCAGCTAATGTTAGAAAAAGAGCACACCGCACAGGCGCAGAGAAGTGTCAAATACGTTCAAGATCTAGACTACACAACGACAGTCGCGCCAAGTACACCCAGCAAAGCTTCCCAATTCAATTCCACGTAGAAATACCAACCTCTTGCCAATTTCAATCTACAGTTATTATCCGCCATATTATCTGCCAGATCACCGCTTCTCAATAAATCAAAGAAAGTGCGGCGTCGACAAAAGACAGCATCTCATCAGCGTTGAACTTAAAACTCGTTAAAATTGCCCCGCCAAAAAAGCCAAAGACGTGGGAAAAAAATCTTTTAGTTGGATCAGTTTGATATTCTATACCTGTTCTTTCTGTCTTTTTTCTTGCGTTCTCGTACAGGGAACTGTTTATTGCGATAGAGGAATATTGTGCTTGACTGGAAAGAATAGCAATGGAGGACGCGGATTCACATCTCATCGAGGCTGTTGAGCAGCATGATTCGGACAGCAGACTGCGGGTGATCAAGGACGTTGCTGCCGGCACCTGTGGAGGAATTGGTATCGTTTCCACTCCTTTCTTTCCTCTCTCGAGCAAGCTACATGATTCTGACTGATTTTTGTCTACTCTAGCTCAGGTTCTCGTCGGACAACCGTTCGACACCACAAAAGTACGTCTCGATCTCTTCTTTCGTCGCAAGCATCGCAGCTCATCGTTTTCTCTTTTATTTACTAGGTTCGACTCCAAAGCGCACCTCCCGGAACGTACTCTGGTGCTCTGGATGTTATCAAGAAGTTGTTGAAGACGGAGGGGCCTACTGCGTTTTATAAGGGAACTCTGACTCCGCTGGTCGGCGGTATGCATCACCCCACTCTTGTTTGATGGTCTGGTTTGATTGATTTATTAACTGTGGGTTTCTTATAGTTGGCGCTTGTGGTATGATTGATCTCTATTTCCCTCCAGCTTGCTACTGCCACTACAAAAAAACGGGAAAACTAATGAACCTGTTCCACAGTGTCGATCCAGTTCGGCGTCTTCGAGGGCATGAAGCGTTTCTTCAGCGCCCAAAACAAGCAGCACGGTCTGGTCTCGGACTCGCTCACCTATCCGCAGTACTACATCTCCGGCACTGCCGCCGGCCTCGCAAACTCCGTCCTGGCAGGCCCGATCGAGCACGTTCGGTACGTACTCTTTGTTGTAACACGCGCAGAATGATCTGGTATTCTAACGCTCGGTGTAGGATTCGGCTACAGACGCAGACCAATACGGTCCCGAAGCAGTTCTCGGGCCCGCTCGATGTTATCAAGCAGCTTCGTCAGGCCTCAGGCTTTGCTGGTATTTTCCGGGGCATTACACCCACTTTCTGGCGCGAGGGACATGGAATGGGGTATGGCTCTCTATCCTTTGCTTACTTAGTGCTGTTTTTGATGCTAAAAATGGTTTAGAATCTACTTTCTCACGTATGAGTACCTCGTCAACAGGGACATGCGTGAGAATGGGATCAAGCGGACAGATATCCCTGGCTGGAGATTATGTATATACGGCGGTTGTGCCGGCTACAGCGTACGTCTAATCTTCCTTCTCCCCCAAATTCTTGTTCTGACCGTTACTAACCACAAACCCACAGGTCTGGCTAACCGCCTACCCCTTCGACGTCGTCAAATCCAAGATGCAGACCGACGCCATCGACCCCTCGCAGCGCAAATACTCCTCGACGCTGGACTGTTTCCGGAAGACGTTCCAGACCTCGGGCGTCAAGGGCTTCTTTAGAGGGTTCGTGCCTACCATTCTTCGTGCTGCGCCGGTGAACGCGAGTACGTTTTATGCGTTTGAGCTCGCGATGAGGGCGATGGGTTGAGCGTGTGTAGGATAGATTCGCTGGATAAAGAGATTTTAAGTAGAATTAAAAGTGCGCTGCACAACTCCGTGAATTAAGAAAGAACATAAACAATCAAAAGAAAATAATCAAAATCTCAAGCCACTGCAGACTTTGTAGAAGAGCTACTCGGCGCCTGCTCAGAAGTAGACGACAGCGGATCATCCTCGACCAGCGGTCCCACCAGCATCCTCCCTTTCAAAGCATTATACTCGTTCCTCAACGTATTCTCTATCCGATCTAAACTCCTCAACGCCGCGCCCGGATACCGCTCCGACATCACCGCGATGCGGGATTTATCCAAGAATCGCTCCTCGAGCCTCGTGAAGCCCTCGGACTCCCGATCGATCCCGTCCGCGGCGGCTTGGGCGTGCAGGCTTTCGAGCGTCGTGCGGATCCGGGTGAGAACCCTGCGCTCCTTCGGAGTCGCAGCCGTGAGCCGGTCCTTGCGGGATCGTCGCGGCGCAGTACCATCAGCAGCAGCAGCGGTAGTCGACTCGGGGAAGAGGGTTTCGGGAAGATTCGCCCCGTCAGGATCGATACCGGTGAACTTCGTGAGCACCTCATGCGACGGCGTCGAGGACGCAAACGCGGAAGGCGGGAGTCCTTGGTCGTACGCCGACCAGGTTATAATCCGCAGGCTTTGCAGGAACGTGAATATCGTCACGCCGAGAATGATCCACATCAGCGTGCGCACGTTTTTCTCATGATCGATCTTTGCGCTTTTCTGCGTGGTCGATCCGGATGTGCTGCTGCTGCTGCTGCTGCTCTGTGATGAGTCCGAGTCTTTCGGCCACGTCTGTTCGTATGAATGATTCGGGTAGTAGAACTGGCCAGAGGTCCACATGCGTTCCTTCCTGAACGGGTCATGCCGGTACGGCTTATATTTCGGCTTCGCAGCCGGCTGCCGCGGCGGCGCCGGGACCGGGTCCGCGTTCGCGTAGTTCCAGCCCTTGCCAAAGACATCGTACGCCTTGCGACTCGCGCCGTCGCCTAGTAATTGGTACGCGGCCACGATGCGGTGGAAGCGGTCGCGGATGATCTTCTTTGCTGCGCGCGCCGAGTCTGAGTCCGAGTCCATCTGCTTGGCGGTGTCGGGGTGGTACTGCTTCGCCATGATGCGAAACCGGCGCTTGAGGTCGCTGGTGTCGAAGGTCTGGCTCGTCATTCCAAAGATATCGTAGGGGGTCGGATTCGGCTTCGTCGGCCAGGCGATGTAACCGTGATCGGAGGGGTTGCCGCCCGCGTCGACGGCATGCTGGGCGGCGGAGTGGGAGAAGTGGCGGGCGGAGAAAAATGTGCTTGGAAGGGTGGCTGTAGATTGTAAAGGTCGGGAAAGGGAGCGGCTGTGGTCGTGGGTGTGGAGAGGTGGGCAGATAGCGTAGGAGAGGAGAGGCGAGTGCGCGATAAGCAGCGCCGCCGCGAGGATTCGCCGTTGGCCTAGAAGCGACGCAGCATGACAGGTCGTCATCGCCAACGGCATTGTTAGAAAGACCAAGCAGCCAGAGGCAAAGATGGCAAGTACGCGACAGGGACCGGGGCGAGATGGTGTGCGGAAGTGTCTGCTGTGGGGGGATGTGGGTGAGGACGCGGAGTTGGGTTTCCAGGCACGAGGATCGAGACCGAGTTGGGAGAGCGAAATAGCGCTGATTAAAAAGCTTCAGTTGACTCTGATTTTTGCGTCGGGAAGGTCGGCGGTGAACTACTCTGCTTGATTTATATACGTGTGTGATAGTAGATATAACTGTATTAATTCACTGATGTCTTTTTGGTGTTTTTTTGTGGTAGATTGTTGTGTGTATATACGTGCCGTGGAATAAGCCCAGTTTATCTCTCTCGCAGGGCTCAACACCTTGACTCAACAGTGACTTCCAGCAGCAATCAGCGACTATATCTACGCGAGATCAAATAATTTTAAAAAACATCAATTTTCAAGCTAACTAGCAAATAATACCATAACGAATGAATGAAGAACCTCAAAAGCAAAGAAAAATAAAAAGCCAAATAGCGCGTTTGTACATTCAGCCCCCGAGAAGGGCTGATAAGCGGTAAAGCTGGTAAGTAATCCATAGACAAATATCACAGTTCACAATAGAAGAAAAAAAGATAAATAATGTTCATATTCACAATTGACCGCCTCACGTTACTCCAGAATCATAAATGCGACAAAAAATAAAAAGGAAAAGAAAAAGATAAAATTGCTGCCGGATACAAAGAGATCCTCAAGGCAGAGGAGGCAGAACTAGGGCCGCTTCAAATTAAGCAAGAAGGGCGTAGTTGAGACCGGTGAGCGGGTTCCACTCCTGGAACCAGGAGACCTCGTCCTCAGATCCGTAAGGAGCGAGCTCGAACTGCTGCTTCTTGCCAAAGTCGCAAGAGACAGAGGAGGCGGTGAAAGTGCCGGTGGTGGCGTCGACGACACCGACCAAGTCACCGCGAGTGGGGCGCTTGTTCCAGGAGAGAGTGGACTCGTCGAGGGTGTCGGCGATCTTGAAGATCTGGAACTTCTTGGAGCCGGAGATGGTCGAAGGGAACGAGTTGGCGGAGGGAGGGGTCCAGATCAACTTGCAGGACTTGACAGAGTCCTTGAGCTGGGGAATGTCGAAGGAGGCAAAGGTGTCGACCTCCTTGTCGCCAGCAACGATCGAGCCGGTGTACTGAGCGCCAAAGACCTTGTTGGGGTTCTCCTTCTTGACGGGGATCAGGAGGTTGGGAGGCAAGAGCGACGCGGTGGCCTTAGCGGCAGAGGCGGCAGCGGCAACGGCGACGGAAGTGGTAGCGACAGTGGTGGTGGTAGCAGCAGAGCCGGCAGCGGTCTTGGTCTTGGTCACAAGAGTCGTGGTGGTGGTGGCAGAGGACGAACCAGCGGCCGAGACGGTGGAGACCGCGGCAGAGGAAGTGGTGGAAGCGGCGGTAGTCGAGGAGATAGGCGAGACGTAAAGAAGAGCGCCGTAGGCAGTCTTGCCGCCGCAGACGTCATCGCTGCCAGAGGTCGACCAGTAGACCTGGTAGTTGTCGCCGCAGGCAATAGCGTCGCTCTCACCGTTCAGCTCGAGAGTGGTGCCGTCGATAGTCCAAGCGACCGCAACAGCCTCAGCGGGAGGGTTGGTGCTGTACTTGAGAGCAGAGGTCTTGGGATCAACGTAGATGGTTGCATCCGAGCCCTCGATCTTGAGCGCGCCGCTGTCGATGTAGTTCTCGATCGAGGTCTCGGCGCCAAAGTAGAGGTTGCCATCACCCTTGATCGAGAGGCCGGCGTACTGGATCGGCGAGCCAGAGCGGATGGCAAGGACGCCGAAGAGGTCCTCGGACGACGAGGCAGCGGCGGAAGAGGTGGCAGCCGCGACGGAAGAGGTGGCAGCCGCGACGGAGGAGGTCGAGGACGCGACGGAGGAGGAGGAGGCGCTGACGGTTTCCTCGACGTAGTAGAGCTCGACGCCGATGGCATCGCTGCCGCAGAAGTCTGCCGAGGTGCCGTTGCCCCAGTAGAGCGAGTAGGCGGAACCCGAGGCAGGGCAGGCGACACCGTTGCTCTCGCTGTTGAGGACGAGGCTGTTGCCGTCGGAGCTGAGCGACCAGGCGACGGTGACGGCTTCCGCGGGAGGGCTGGTGGAGTACTTGACCTGGCGGGAGCTGGGATCGATGTAGATGATCTGCTCGGAGCCGTCGATGAAGAGTCTGCCGCTGTCGATGGTGAAGATGGTGGAGTCACCGGCGATGGTGACGGCACCGTCGGAAGCACCGACGTTGGCGTACTGGAGAGCCGAGCCCGAGGCGATAGTCAAGAGACTGAAGGTCGAGTCGGCGCGCTTGGAGAGAGGCGCGGCCGAGACGAGCGAGGCAGCGAGGGAGGCGAGAGCAAAGGAGGAAGCAGTGTTGAACTTCATTGTTGTGACTGAGAGAAGGCTAAGCTGATGATTGTTGTGTGATGGGGATGAGAAAGAAGACGAGGAAGAGGGAGGACGAGGGGAGTATTTATGCTTGCTCGAGCTCGGGAAGAAGAGAGCAGGAGATGGCGGGGTTGGAGTGGGATGGAGACAAAAATAGAAAGAGTTTGTGGATTCTCGTGTATCTTATTGCTCGGGGAAGCATCGGGCGGCGGGGCCTCTGACGATGCCCAGAAAGGAGAGAATCACGAGGAGGACGGGTGGTACCCACGCGAGTGAACGGCACCGACGGGTGTGGCCGATGATCTGCTCTGAGCTGCTGGCCAGGTTTGTTACAGACAGCTTCGATATATCATCTTCGTCGTCAGCAACAACATTAAAAATTACAGTAGTATCATCAGCAGCAACAACAACAACACCTCTCTCAACTACAAAATGTACACGGAGCCGTCAAGAAGAGTTCGAGAACAGCGGGCGGGAATGACGTCGGCGAAGAAAAATACGCAGAAACGCCACCTGCAGGAACCCAACCTTAAACTTCAGCCGTGCAGTCTAAACTTATATTTAGCAGCAGCAGCGGGAGAAGCAGCAGCGGGAGAAGCACGAAAAGAGCACGAAAAAGCAGGAACAGAACAGCAGACTGCTCGGTGATGTCCGCAGACACGTGTGCTGAATGTCCTGACTTGTTCTGTTCTTCACGCAACAATAGCACGTGTAGTTGTAGACAGTAGACAGTAGACAGTAGTCAGTAGTCAGTAGTCTAGTCTGCGTCTCGAGCTGTCTCTCGGCTGGATTGTACAGTACTCATACAGCACTCGGCAAACCAATATCTATATTTGGATTCTTCCAAAACGCTACCGCACGGCACGGCTGCCTACCGGCTGCTGCCTGCTATCGAAACCGTATTCGCCCGCCTTCGTCATCCGCCGTCATCGTTTTCCGGATCTCTGCACAGACTCCAAACAACTCAGAAACTCTGGCTCGGCTGCTGCTCTGCTTCTCGCTTGCTGTTGCCCGCTCTATCTTTAGAACTTCTGATCACCGCACGGCTGTCTGTTCCTGAGTTTTTTACCTCTCCTGTCCTCATGATCGCTCGCCTCGGGATTACTTCATTTTCTCTCCTCCGCCTGACGTCATCCCCAGACACTTCTCCGTCATGTCTTACCTCTTACTTCTTTACCATATACGCTTTATGACCATTGTTGTTTCTGTACAGGATAAGATAAAACTATTCAAGGCTCGCGTTTCAGCCAAGGCAACTAAGTCGTCATACCTTCCCAGCAGCAGTCGTAGAATGTCCTGGAAATATCAAAATATATCTTTGATTTGAAAAGTAGAGAATTTAAAGATAAAAAATAAATAGAATAGAAAATGTGGCAACATGAAAACATCAGCGGGGTATCGATAGCTCTTAAAATGTTTCCTCCTCCTCAACCGCATCGACCGCCTCCGCATCTGGGATCTCAAATCCTTCCTGTAAAATACAAAATATTAGCAAATCTGGTCATATCTCTATTAAAATCAGTATCAATCTCACCTCTGTAGTGTATAGTATATCCTGAATCTGCCGGATCATCGCATCCTTCTCCGCGTTCGCCGGCACGCCATCAGCGCCAACCAGCGCCGCATCCTCATCCGCCACCGAGGTCACGAAAATCTCGATATCGCGCAACTTGCTAAAGTAGAAATCACGCTCCCGCTCAAGCCCCTCCGCGTGCTCGCGCAGCGCAGCGTTCTCGGTCTGCAGCTGCTGGATCTGCACGTTCGCAGACGGCGTCCGCGTCCGCGGCACGATCCCGCTGCCGTTGCTCGCGCCCGACGAGCCGGCTCCTCCGGCCGACGACGAGCCCGAGACCTTTCGACTGGAGACCACCGACGCTGCGCGCGGAGCTGGGCCGGACGAGGCGGAGGACGAGATGCCGGGTCCTTTCCGGCGCGAGAGCGCGTCGTATTCGCCGCCGGGGTAGTGCGCGTCCCAGAACTTCTTGACCCATTGTAGAAACTCGAGGTTGTCCTGCATCTTGCACTTCACCAGACGCTCGACCGGCACGGTCTTGTCTATCTTGTGGCGCAAAAATACGGCCTGTAGAACCTTGAAGTTGGGCAGATATTGGTATTCAGAGTGCACATCAAACTGTAGTTCCCAACCTTTGTCAGTCTGCTGCTCAACCATAGAACACAAAAAACCAGAGAACAATAAAAGGAATGCTCACCTTCACTTTCGACATCGGAACATCGCCGTAAATACTATCAAAGATCTGACAGAGCGGAGCACCGGTTCCGCACTGCTCGATCTTTGAAAACTCCATCTGTAGCAGATCGGACATCCACGCCAGAAGCTCTAGTCTCGATTCACCCATCTCGATCCTTTATCTTTCGTCTGTCGTAGATCGCTGTACTTCTATATTAGACAGAAAAGGCTCTAGTCAGCTGGCGGGAACTAGATCTTCGTCCGTATAGCGCGCGTTGAACAGGGGGTACGTGATGACCTCTCGATTGCCTCGCAGGACGAATACGCCCTCTCCAGACAAACAAGGACGTTGGATCCACCACCACCCCTTGCCATTCACAGCGGTCCATCATATCCCCTGTCGCGCGTAAAAATCAATAAAAAGAGAACGTACCTTAAAGCAGCAGGAACGCCGATAATCTGTGCCTGGCTATGTAAATTCAAACAAGCTAAAAAACCACCTTCACACAAGAGCTCAAGTCAAAAACAAATACCACAGATATCTGTCTTATCTCAATAAACAAAAACCACACGAGTATACACGCCTTCAGATAGGACTGATTACGAGTACAAAGTCGGAAGGAGAGCGTGTTCTTGCAAAGGGATGGTTGTGTGTGTTTGTTTATTTTGTGCAACGAAAACAAATGATCACAGACAGAGTTTCGTGACCGACGCGTGTGCCGTTCTGTGAGCGGGGAGTCACCGCCGCTTACTATTCCTTCTTCTACAGCTCCTGTTGGCAACCAGCTGTCTTCTGTCTTCTTTCTTGTTTACTCTTTATCAAGCATACAGCAAAAGTCTGGTCTGCTTACAAGACTCCAACTCTCCACCATACATTACAAGCAAACTCACGTAACATTCAGGTTTTTCTATATCTCTTCTAGTAGCTATTATTATCGGCAATACCACAACAACAAAACAAAACGACGAGATAGCAATCATATCCTCCACATGATATCAGATAAAGAAAAATCAGATATAAAATCCCATACAGAAGAATGAATATAAATAGAAAAAACAAAGTATAGAGCACTGACTGACCGGCGATAATAGAGACGTGGAGCAAGACGTGGGATTTTCACTCCAGGTTTGAAATCATTGAAAAGGACGACCCCGCCAAAAAATAGTATGGAATAATAAATAAGAAAAAGAAAATTCAAAAGAGAAGAATAGACACAGAGAGCACACGGTACGCATTCACAACAAACAAGGCAGCAATCTTTCAACAAACAGAGTAGGACAAACACTGAGAGAAAGAGTCAATAGACGCAAGATAAGTAATGGAAATATAATTAGAAAGCCTCAAGAAAGTAAAAAAGGAGAAAACAAACAACAATATAAGAAGAAAAATCCGAAAATTTAGCAAGCACATCCCTGAGCTCCGTTCTCGCCATGGGCTTCCAAATCCACACCTCTCTCGCCCGCGCCAGCTCTGCCTCTCGAGCCCGACGCGATCCGCTTGTTGACAATCTCCTCGGGGATCTTTGCCGCGATAGCCAAAAACACTTCCTCGACGTTAGCCGCCGTCTTGGCCGAGGTCTCGAAAAACAGAAGCCCTTCCTCTTCGGCAAACTTCTTGCCTTCCTCGGTCGAGACCTTGCGACGGTCTTCTTCCTCGTCGCTTTCGCTGCCGTCGTTGCACAGATCGAGCTTGTTGCCCACGAGCGCAATCACAATCTTGGGACTCGCCTGCGCGTGCAGCTCGCTTACCCAGTGGCGCGCCTTGATGAGCGAAGTGGGCTTCGTCAGGTCGTAGACGACCAACGCCGCCTGCGCATTTCTGTAGTACATCGGCGCCAGCGAAGCGAACCGTTCTTGTCCAGCAGTATCCCTGGAAGATCAGATAGTCAGCATACCATAATGAAAATTCACAAAAAGCATGCCAGCGCGCATGACTCACCATATCTCAAACTTGATCGTCCTGGTAGGCAAGGAGCATTTCTGGGTCAAAAACGCAGCACCGATAGTAGGCTCTACACGCAGATAATCAGAGTCAGCAAACCATCCTATTTCTCAAAATACGACGCGCCCCTTTTCGTATATCGCCATTCTGCACAGAAATAGAGCAAACACCAAACAAGTCAACACAGCGGCCCACAGGGGAAGGAAGAAGGGGGGGGCTGATAAGCTCCCTGCTCTGCTCGATCCGCCAGACAACAAAAATAAAGAATTCCCCAAGCTTCGGCCGATGCTGAAAAACACCACGCAGACAGTCAACAGTTGAGAAGTTGGTTCCCGCGGCGGCGCGGGGTTCAAGCGTTCATAGATGGGCCCGGACCGAGGTGACCGGTCGAAGATCATCAGATCAGCACACGAAAAACTTCCCGCCCGTCCGCGATATCGAGTGTGCGCGCAGCAAGAGTGCATCATGGAAATCAACCCATCCAAATCTCAAAACCAAAGCACAAGCAAGATCCCAGCAAAAACAAAAAAGGGGGGCGGCAAGGAAAGAAAAAGCGGATACCTTTGTTCTCTTGGAAGTCGTTGCTAACGAACCGCAGCACCAGACTGGACTTGCCGACAGCAGCCTCGCCGAGAAGAACCAACTTCACAGAGGCCGACGGCTTCGGCGCCGACGACGCAGCATCTATCGAACTCATACCGGAGATGAGAGCGCGGGGGTGGTGTGCGGGGGGTGGGTGGCGGGGAGGTGATGGAGGGCTTTTAGTAAGATGCGAGAGGGCGAGAGGCTCTTAGGTCGGATATTCCTGTTGAAGCGGGTATCGTGTAGCTGCTGGTCGCTTGTGATGTAAGATATTACATAATCCTTGAAATCAACCACTGCGCAGCCATAAGTCATCATCATGGTCATAGACAGCAACAGAGCAGAGTAAGAGGCAGAACATTGTATTTACACATTACAAGTACATTCGAGATAACAACGAAAGGCAGATCCGCAGACAAAGCAACCTTTTCTCCAACTTTTGCACTCCTCTCTCATTTTTATGATGCCTCGTGCTCATTCTCATTCTCTTCCTCTCCTTCTTTCTTTCGGCACATTACGAAAAAAATAACAGATGCAAGCATTAGAATGAACGCCGGCAAGTATTCATATTAAAAGATAGAAAAAAAGAGAATATTATGGTTGATCTTTGTATACTTCACACGCTTTTATTTTTTTGCCTAACACTCAACAAAACCGAAACCCAAACGCCATCTAGTAGACCTCGCCCTGGATGGCAGGGAACTCGAAAACGACCTGCTTGCCGGTAAGCTTGGAGTAGACGGACTGGAAGGACTCGAGCTTGTAGTCGATGGCGGTGGAGTCCTTGTTGTCGAGGTAGCTGCATCAAAGAAAAAACCAGTCAGTATTTCCCCATGGAATATAAAAGACAAGCAGCAAAACTTACACCTTGTGGATCTTGCCACCTCCAACGAGTGATCGGATGCGCTTGCCAACAATCTCTGTGGGGAAGACGAGGTCCTCGAGGATAGCGTCGTGGACGGCGGTCAGAGTGCGCGAGCGGGGGCGCTTCTGCTGCTGTCTTGAGCGGCGGCCGGGCTTGGGGAGAATGCGACGCTGGGCGATGAAAACGACGTGGCGGTCCGAGAACTTCTTCTCGAGCTCACGGGTCAAACGCTGCTGGATCTTGTGGAAAGACGCGAGGAGGGGAACGGGAACGAAGATGGCGATGGCCTTCTTGCCGCCAGAGACATCAATCTAAACAACAATCCATTAGAACCCTGTCTTGTCTTTTTTTTTCACTCTATGCATCCATGTCCTCTTCTCCTCTCCTTCCTCTTCTCAACCACACACACTCTCTCCCTGATGCAAAAGAACCATAACAAAACAGTGACTCCGTACCTCCTTGGCAGCGCTGAACTGGAGTGGTCGGAGATCAGCCTTGAGGTCAGCGACCGAGGTCTCGAGGTCGTACAGACTCTGGGCAATCGAAAGCTCCAAGTCAGAGGCAGTCGCGGGCGAAACAAGCTTGTTGGTGGCCGACATTGTGATGATGTGTCTTTGTTGAAGGTGGAGCAAAAAGAGTAGTCGTGGACGTCCTCAGCACTTTTCGAGATCTTCAAACTGTGCGTAGCGTAGCGCGGCCCTCAGCACCACTAGCGGCTCCCAGCGACTGAGCCCTGCAGGTTCTGCGTGACTGCTTTTTGGTAACCCTACTTCTGAGCCGCAATAACCCTACATGTCTAGGATGGGTAGGGCGCCACATATACTGCGGCTCGCTTGTCTAATAGCTGTTGCATATGTTTCTGGCTTTGGTAGACTATTGGTACAATTGATTACTATTGCGTTTAACAGATGAGTGCAGGGGTAACAAAAACATAAAGACAAAACAATGAATCCTGCAAAGCTCCTAAACGACGGACAGACGGGCAAAAAAGAGCAAAACAAACAATAAGCACAAATCCTAAACTACAAACTCTTTCCTATCCCTCGCTTTTTCACTACTCAAGCATGACATAGTTGATTCCAGTCCGCGGCTTGAGCATCTGGAACCAAGACACCTCATCCGGATCCCCGTAAGCAACGAGCTCAAACTGCTGCTTCTGACCAAAGTTGCACGATACGGTGGACGAGTTGAACTCGCCGGTGACGGCGTTGACCAGGCCGACCAGTTCTCCGCGGGCAGGGCGCGTGTTCCATGACAGGCTGGACTCGTCGAGTTCGTCTGCGACGTTGTAGATTTTGAATTTCTTGACGCCGATGATTGTCGATGCGAACGAGTCCTGTGTAGGCGGGGTCCATATCAGTTTGCAGGACGTCACTGTCGATGAGAGTGCCTCGGGGACATCGAATGAGATGTACGTCTCGACCGCGTCTCTGCCGGAGATGACGGTACCAGAGTACTGGGTGCCGTAGACTCCGTCGGGGTCGGTCATCTTCACGGGAATAATGAGATTGGGAGGAAGTATGGAGGCGGTTGCGGCGGCGGTAGAAGAGGATGTCGAGGAGGGTGTCAATGTTGATGAGAATGATGAAGATGGAGACGATGATGATTGCAGAGATGAAGATGATGCAGATGATGATGCAGATGATGATGCAGACAATGCAGATGATGATGCAGATGATGCAAATGATGAAGAGGACGAAGGTGGTGGCAATGTTGACGTCGTAGTCGATGTAGTGAACGAGGTAGACAAGGTCGTCGTCGTAGTAGCTTCAGTCGAGCGGTAAGCGTTAACGTTGGCAGAGCTGGTCACGGAGACGACAGCAGTAGTACCGGACGTAAACATGTGAGTAGTCGTCTTCGTAACCATCGACAAGGTAAGACCAGAAGACGAAGATGCAGACGCAGAAGCAGCGCGAGACGAACTTGTCGAGGTAGACGAAAAAACAGGCGGGGAGTAAGTAGCAGAGCTGAAAGCACCATAGACGGCCATCAGTTTAGCGCCGTAAGATGCCTCGTTGTCGCAGACGGACTCGTTACCCCAAAACACCTGGTAGTCGTCTCCACAAGCAATCGCATTCTGCTCGCCATCGAGAGTGAGATCGCCATTCTCGTCCACGTCCCACCCGTGGGCGGTCGCGCCGGAGGGGGCGGAGGTGCCGTACTTGAGAGCCTTAGTGGATGGGTCGATCCAGATGAGCAAGTCCGAGCCTTCAATCTTGAGCTCGTCGTAGTCGACGTAGTTGCCAATCAAGTCAGAGAATCCAAAGTAGATGTTTCCATCACCAATGATGGAGAAGCTCCGGAACTGGATCGGTGAGCCGGTGTGGATTGCGACGACGGAGAAGTAGTCGTCGTCCTCAGTGCTAGAAGCAGAAGCAGAAGCAGAGGCAGAAGCAGAAGCTGCTGGGCCGGTGGCAGTGATGGTGATAGTGGTAGCCAGAGGAGCAGCACTTGCTAGCGTGAACGCAACCACAACAAGCGCAAGGGCAGACAGAGAGCGGAACATTGCAGATGCAGCGGGGAAGGAATGTGAGATGCAGCGATGAGGACAGACATTTTCGGGAATAGGGGCTTCATCTGGGGTACTTATATACACGATGCGTTTTCACAGCAGGGAAACAATGAAAAGGCCCAATGTGGAGCGAACAGTCTGACAGTCGACGAACCTGGCCGGGCTGGGTAAGCGGAAGTATCTTTGCGTCGCGTAGGCCCAGCCAGGTGCCACGGGGCTGCAGCTTGACACTTCTAGAAAGGGAAGGGGGCGTTTCTCTGTTCTTCCCTATTCCAATAGTCTGCAGGCCTGCACCCCCTAGCTGCGGACATAATGTTGAGCCGGGCATGATTCGGCGACGACGGCGCATGCAGACTTGCACAGCAGATGATATAACATATTTAAAACCGATAACAGCATCAAAACTCGAATTCATTATCATTAATTAAGCGGGCTACACTCAAAGCCTATGCAGACGAAGGCGGCAGAGACGAATTGGCATGAAACTTAACAGAACGGGAATCAAGTTTAAGCGGGAACCTACAGACAGCCGAACACGTCTTTGCGAGACAATGAAAGTCAAGCAAGAAAAGTAAAAGGCAAAAAAAACATTCTGACCGAGAGGGAAGAAAAGTATGGCTGGCTAGAAGTCCTGATTCTGCCTGTTTGCCAATATGGGAAAATAGCTTCCGGCGGGATGGCAGTATGTGCAGCTGCAGCAGCTGCGGCGGCGGAGGAGGAGGAGGCGTATGCTCTGCATGAGAGTTGCAGCAGCAGGCTGGGCAGTGAAATACCGCAATGAGCAGCAGCGGCTTTATGACAAAAATGTCCTTGATGGAAGAGTCCTATTTCATTTCGAAGTCTGTTGATCAAGAACAAAGACTGACGGATGGACTTGCAGGTTTGATAGCAGCAGTCGACTAGGATGAACACGTTGAGTCGGCGGTTTACTTTTTTTGCTTCGCTTACAGGCGTTTAACTCGCTCGGCTGAAACCCTAAAATCCGGAACCTCTCTGCGTCTGTTTCCAGAACGGAGGATGCCGCGTACGCTGCTGCTGCTGCTGCCGTATTCTTCGTCTGCCGTCTGCACTCAGCACCCTCGCCCTTCTCGGCAATAACAGTCAGCCAGCCACCCTCGCCTGTGCCTGTCTGGTCGCCGACGTCGGAGGTTGCCGAGGGGTCTCTCGTAGTTAAGCTAGCGACCGCGCGTTATCTGTCAAGTCTGTTTGTTTAATTGCTCTCTCGTGCTGGTCGCGTGCAAACAGACTAGCTCCCGCCCTGCCAGGAACATATCATATTCACGCCTAGCGCGTGGCTCCTCTTAACCCGCTCGGCGCCAGGATCCGGGCTAGCTGACCGTAGTCCAGCCGTCGGAACACATTGTCTCTTTTCCTAAAAACCCTTAGCTTAGGATATGCGCGACGGCCACTCCATGCAGCATGGCCTTGTGGAAAATGAAGATATTAGAAACCGACAAGCGTACGTGCTGCTGCATCCTCATTGGTTCAAGCCCGCCCGGGATGTCAGCGTATTGTCCGTATTTGGCAAAGCATTGCGTCGCAGCGCGGCGCCCACCTGGGCAATTGGCCAGCAAATGAAATGCAATGAACAATGAGCCTCCTCCCATCAGCACTGACAGGATGGAGTAATAATACAATGCATACGATAATGAAACGCTCTATTTACTAGACTACCGCCACATGCCGGAAACGTCCTCGTCCCCCATCGCAACAATCTCCATCGCCTTCTCCCCGCCAGCCTCTAGTTCGGGCCGCTCCAGCACACCTGCAATGCATTGCCACGCATTGCGTCCCGCACCCCACGCCAAGACCTCGTTCTTGAACTTCTCGCCTGCGTCGCGCGAAACAGCGCCGCCATCTGCTCCGCCCTTGAAGACCTGGCGCCATACTAGCGACGCCATTGCGCGGTCGAGTAGATAGGAGTAATAGACCGCGCCGTAGCCTACAAGATGACCGAACTGGCCTTGCCAGCTCGTCCCCTCAACGGGCGGGAAGAGCGAGTACTGCTTCTCAAGAGCACGGCTGATCGCGGTAGAGTCTAGTCTACCTCCGTGCAGCGACTCGGGCGAGACCGTGTGGAGTGCCAGGTCTAGGAGCGACATCTCGATCTGCGTGTAGCTGTCGTTGTATTTGAATCCAGCGACCTCCTTCAAGTGTGCTTCAAGCAGCGGCATCGGCAGCGGCTCGTCCGTCTCGTGGTGTCGGGCAAACAACGCCAGAACGTCGGGGTTTCTAGCGAAATGCTCCATGAGCACAGACGGCAGCTCGACAAAGTCGGTCGCGCATCGTGTGCCGGAAATGTTGTGCAACGAGGTGCGCCCGAGCATCGAGTGCATCGCATGACCCATCTCGTGGAAAAGCGTCTCAACTTCGGCAAACGACAACAAACTTGCGCGGCCGTCGGATCGAGAGGCAAAGTCGCAGACTAGACCGATCGTAGGCAGTTGGAAGACTGATCCGTCGCTCTCCGTAAGCGTCGGGATGTCCTTAATTCCGTCGTCGAGACCGTCGAATTTCTCGTCGTCGTAAATCTGCCGTGAGCAGCGAACAGTATAGTGCGCCGGAGCGCGAGGCTTGCCTTCCCGAGCAAACAGATCGCAGTACATGATTCCAACTCGCTGCTCACCGCTACCGTCGAGCGCACTCCCGGTATCAGCCATGATATCGAGCTTGCGCACATCCGGATGCCAGGTTTCTCCGGATGCGTAGTCGGTCTCGCGCGGGACAAATCGGATTCCGTAGAGTTTCGTAAACAGTCTAGAGAGACCCTGCATCACCGTTCCGACCGAGAAATAGGCGCTCAGAAAGTCATACGAGCGCATCTTTGGCTGGCGGGTCTTGTCAATGTACTGAGACAGGTAGTAATCTCTGTCCCATGCTCTGAAAACCGGATCTTCCTGGTTTCGAGGGTCGGCCGCTTTCAGCTTCTCTAGCAACGATATCTCACCCTGCGCGGCAGGTTTTGTTCTCGCGGCAAGATTTTCTAGAAATTTGTGAACTGCCTCGGGAGTGCGCGCCATCTTATCACTGAGCTGGTACTCCGCAAACGATTTCGAGCCCATGAGGTTCGCCAAGCGCATACGCTGCATCAGCAAAGTTTCCAGGATCTGAATCTGTCGATCGGAGGATTTGCGCGAGTTTACGTACAGCTGCTCGCGGATCTTGGATGAGTAGACGCTGAGAGCAGCCATGCGCGCGACGGTTCCTGTAGTTGGCAGTTTGACATGTCTGACCTTTGCCAACGCTTGCGCGGAGGGCTTGCCGTTTCTCTGGCGCCTGCCAAAGCCGAAACTCGAGCGGCCTTCGCTTGCCTGAGCGCTCGCGATGCGAAGGCCGTTGACGAGCGTGGGATCGAGGCCTGTGAGGTCGTTGATGTCAACGGTGATGCTCTCGTGAGCGGGGCTGAGACCCATCATAAAGTCACGCGAGAGGACAGCGATGTTGTTTTGCACGGTGATGACTTCCTCGCGGATCGACTGATCGAGCGAGGCGCCGGATTTATTGAAGTCGTCGAGCAGGAGCTTTCCGACAATCATCTCCTCGCGCGAGAGCACGTTCTCGACGTTTTCAGACTCAAGAACTTTTCTTAGCACGCCAAAGAGCTCGACACTGGAGTTGAGCTGGATCATGTAGCCTAACATTATGCTATGCGCGCGCTCGGCGTTGGCAAGATATGCCTGGTCGGGATGCACTGTGCGTACAAATTCAGCAAGGTCAATCACCCGGCAAAGCATATCAGAAAGCCGATCAAACAGCCTGACCACGCGCCTGCAATCGTCGTCGGTGAGCTTGCCGGTGTCGATGGCGATAATAGCAGCGGCCACGCGCTGGGCGGCGAGCAAGGTTGATTCGGCGAATTCGGCTAGCGAGTTAGCCGACGTCAGGCGCGCATTGTTCAACAGGCCGGTTGAGCGCGACTGTGGAAATCTGGAGTAGAACGAGTTCCAGACCGAAGAAGAGTCGAATACGTCGCGCAGCAGACGGTCATCTTCGGCCGCGGAGGAAGGACCGGACGAGACGGGGTGCGGCGGCGGGATCGTTGTGGAATCGGATGCTGCGCCAGGGCCGGATGTCGATGGCTTCGACGTGCGAGAGGCGGTCTTCAGAAAACGGCGACCGGAGGAAGTAGATTTGGCAGTGGTCAAAGATGATATCCGAGAGATCAGACAAGAGGAAGAGGCCTGTCTGGCCGCCAGGGCAGAGACAAGTCGCTGGCACGGCATATCTAGATCAAACCCGACGCAGTTCAGTATTTGCAAGACACAAAATGGGAATAAAGCCCAAACTGCAAAGACCCAACAAACCTCTAAGTAATCTCCACTAATGCAGCAGAAACAGATATCAGGCGGCAGAGACGGCGGGGACAGAAAGCGGTCGGAAAAAGTGGGGAGTCCAAGCACTAGCACCGAAACTAATTTTCGAAAGTCTGGATGATCCGCTGGGAGGAAGCCAGGTTGTGGTCACGTGGCTGCCAACCGGACGTCGCAGGCTACAGAGATTGGACAGGGAGTAGAGCGAGTGGTTTTTGTTCGGAGATAGTGTTGATTGTTTTACGGTAGTAAAAGTTGATTGATTTGACTGCTAATTAGTAATTAGAAGCAGTAGTAATACTTAAAACTCTGATTACGATAGTTACCAGAAGCATTCCCATATTCGATGTCACCAGTAGAGATAGTCACGTGATAATATGAACCGCTGTATGCAACCCGTACTTTCTTGAGAGCAATGCAAGACCGGTCCAATGCCATCAACCAACAAACCTAACAACTAATTAAATAAACATAAATGGCAGCTACTCGAGTTTTATCATGGTTCATAGCAGTGAACGGCAAACCACCACTATTGCGGGCCGATAATATCATCTGAAAGACCGGTTCAGGACGATCCCGCCTGCTGACATCCCGGTTGCAGACCGCGGCGCGAGGAGATATTGACGTAAGGGCACCGTGGCTGCATCACAGGCCTGCACAAGCTCACCACGTCGCCCGTCAACTGATTTGATCCCGCCAGCACCGCATTCTCTCGAGTTTTACCTTGACCGCTTCACGATTCCACGGCCATCTAAGATAGCACGCATGGCCTCGTCTGCCGCCGCGAAGGCGACGTGCGTTGACCACGCTGTGCCGTATCGTCAGCGGCTTTCTCGTAGCGAATTGCCTCCCAATACTCCACCGTTGGCGGTGAGGTATGATAGCCAGTCGTCACACCTGCTGATCTGCTGTGTTTATACTGACTGCTTCACTATATTTTAGATGGTTCTTTGCAACAGATATTCCAAAGACAAAGCCGTTTGTCGAGAAGGACTGGAAACCTCCCAAGCCGCCGTCCAAGTTCGTCCCGTTCTCGGCCACCGACTCGCGCAATATCGAGGCTCTATACCAGCGGAACCCGACAAACGTGTCTGCCGACCAGGCCTCCGCTGGGACGTCGATTGCCGATTGCGAGTCAGAACTCGACACGGTCGCTGTGAACGAAGATCGGCTGTTTAAAGTCGACATTCGGAAGCGCGAGCTGTCGCCGATATACTGGGCCGGGCCGACGTACGACGTCAGACGGGGCACTTGGTTCTATGCTGACAGCAGCACGCTCAAGCCTTGCGATGAGAATCTGGCGAATCAGATTGAGGAAGGGTATTTGAAGAACCAACCATTCTGTAAGCCAGTCACACCACCCTCGACAGCGACCGAGCCAGCGGGTGCAGATCTCTCTGTGGACAAGAGCACTGCTGCGCCAACTCATGAAGGACAGACTGAACCAGCGCGTGATTCCGCTCGAGCTACTACACAGCAACCGCAGTCCTCTATAATCCCCGAGGAAGCCCAACACGAATCCACAGATAAAGCTGGCGGGAACGGAAAGCGAGCACGGACTGCTCCATTCACAGACTCTCTCACGAGCGCATTCACCTTCCGCACCAGATCTAAATCTCCGGCGTCCAAGAAAGACGGAAGCTCTACGGTCCAACCACTGACAGAGACAGGGGATGCCAAACATTCTCGCACGACGTCGTCGGCTGGTATCCAACCGACGCTGCTAACATGGCCGCTATACGGTCCGCATATGGGAAAATACGTGATCTACTCGACTGATGCGAGCACGGCGTGGATCATCAGTGACGATTTTTATGGCAAGTTCTCGTCGACTATTTATCAGCGACTCACGGCGGGAGCGAGTATGGGAGGCCTGAAGATCGTGCGGGGGTGGTCGAATGTTCGAAACAAAAAGTCAGCAGCGGCAGCGCCGACGACGAGCAATGCCGGTACGTCGACGGTGGCAGAAGGAGTTGCGAGTTCCTCGCCGCCATCTTCAGGACAAGAAAAGCCGATACTGAACATGGGAGGAGGTACGCCCGGCGAAGCGGCAGCGCAGTTGGTAGAGGCGCTGAAGTCGCAGCATGAGAAGGAGGTTAAATCGTCAGAGACTGAGGACGGGCGCGATAACAAGATTTTGGAAGATCAGATGGAGCAAGACTATGCGCGTGACGAAGAAGAGGACGATCAGAACCGGGAGATTGACCACGTCGTGTTGTGTGTGCACGGTATTGGCCAGAAGCTGGGGCAGAGGCTCGAGAGCGTGAATTTCGTGGGGGATGTGAATACGTTCCGCAAGACGATGAAGGCGGTGTACGCGTACTCGCCCGACTTGCAGGCACTGAATGGAATCGCGGGAGGCGATTCGTCAAAGCCGAATTCAAGGATTCAGGTACTACCGGTGTGCTGGCGGCACAATATCCATTTCGGGCTGAAGCAGGAGTCAGAGGAGGGTAGTGGTGCGAAGGAGCAGGATATTGGGAGGATGGATAGTCAGGTTAGTGAGGCGACGGAGGAGGAGGATGCGGCGTCGCTTGCGGACATCACTATTGATACTGTTCCTGCGTTGAGAGGGTAAGTGGTGTTTTATTACTGTGATTTGTTGGGAACGGGGACTAACAGCGATTACAGTGTGATATCAGAAGTTTTGCTCGACATTCTTCTCTACTACCAACCCGCGTATCGAGAGCGCATCATGCTGAACGTCGTTGCTGAATGTAACCGCATATATCGCCTTTTCCAGAAATGGAACCCGACATTCAATGGAAGAATCAGCATTGCAGGCCACTCGCTCGGCTCCGCTATTGCCTTTGACGTTTTATGTCGCCAGCCGGATATCATTTCTTCTACCGCAGCAGCCGGGAAGAGCGGTAGCCGGCGGTCCGAGGCGAAGCTTGCACTGGAGTTCGAGGTCGACTCGTTCTTTGGGCTGGGTAGTCCGGTCGGGCTGTTTCAGATGTTGAAGGGCAAGTCGATTGCGCCGCGGTCGGTGATTACGGAGAAAGATGGGGAGACGGGCGGGATGCTGTCGCCGCTCGATTACGATCTCGACAATCCGTTCACGGGACCGAGTCCATACGACGTCAAAGCGGGCGGGCAGGCAATCTCGCGCCCGCGCGCAGAGGATATTTACAACATCTTCCACCCCGCGGACCCGATCAGTTACCGGCTAGAACCGCTGGTTGTGAAGCGGATGGCGTCGCTAAAGCCGCAGCCGATCCCGGCGAGCCGGCGCGGGCTGAACAGCCAGATTGCGAACCTGGCGGAGCTGACGTCGAGGGTTGCGCAGAGCGCGTCGAATATGTGGAGTAGCATGGCGTCGGGGCTGGCGAGTACGATTCTGAACAAGTCGCTTGGGTATGAGACCTCTGGGATGGTGGGCGAGGGGCAGACTATTGCGGCGCAGAACGAAGCTGCTGTTGCTGCTGGTGCTAATAGTGCTACGGCTACGACGACGACGACGGCGGCGGGATCGGTAGGTGCTAGCGGCAGCAATAGCGCGGTGGATGCCAACATCGCGATCGAGACGCTGTACTCGCGTTTCCAGCGGGAAAGCACAAAGGTCACGAGCGAGGCCGACGCGCAGCTCAAGACGCAGCGCGAGACCGAGCTGATCCACGGGTTGAACTACACGGGCCGGATTGACTTTGCGTTGCCGGAGGGGTATATGGATATTACGATTCTGTCGTCGCTAAGCTCGCATCTGGGGTATTTCAAGGACGAGGACGTGGCTAATTTTGTGATGGGACAGTTGCTTGCGCGGCCGTATCCGAAGAGGGTGAAGAGTGAGAGAAGGGGGAAGAGGTAGTTATAACCGCGAGGTCGATCTTGAGCGACCAATCTTATCATACAAAATGAAAAGGGATGATTTTCATTATGTGCTGGACAAAGAATGTGTGGAGTGTGGGGAATGGACAAGCAGGCGCACGGTCATCATCATCTCGGTCGCTTATCGCTTCTGTTTCAATTCGAGTTCAGTGTCTAGACTAGAGACAGTCGCGATCCAGCGCGCCGATTCTGTATTCACTTTTCATTCTCTTATTAAATAGGTTTTTGGGTTGGTTTGTAATTGATGTATAAATAGTTCTTATATTGTTGAAGAGGGGGGTGCTGATTATGTAGATCGCGACGCAAGGGGCGCGATTATCGTGCGTACGAGTTTTCCTCTGGTTTACTCTACTCTAATCTTCTCCAACTACAAGATGAACCATAAATGATCCAAAAATCCAATAACAGTGACGATGCGCTAAAAACTTCGTTAGCCTTCCTTTGAAGGAGTCGCTATAAGTAAAATCTTTAGGGAAGAAAACAGGGTTCACGGCTGAGCAGCTAGAAGCGGGAATGAAGACCAAGATCATACGCCAAGGATCCGGAATCTTGGGTCGTCCAGTCAACAAGCTCGAGGCTAGGCTGACTGACTAGCCGGCTTTTAAACACGGATTTTTGACGTGGTGGACCGAAATGGGCGGTGAGGTGCGCCACACAGACTGAGAACGGGGCGGCCGTTGGGCAGGTAGGAAGGAGACGGTGGTTGGGATGACCGAGGCCATGGGGGTGGATTGCTTGCATCTTGCCGTTGCGGTCTTACCACCAGCATTGCGTCCGTTCGAATGGACCGAGTCGACTGATCGCTGAGCTGAACGGTGCTCGAAGCAGGTAATTTGCGCATTACTTCTGCAGAGCGCGCAACAAACAATGCACACCGACGTCAACCGGCCCCGACAACGGCAAATCCAGCCCTATCCGATGACGATGCTCCGGTTCCGGAAGCCGGAATCAAAGTTCATCTGGAACGAGGTTCCATGCTATTTTAGACTTTTGAGTGCGGCTCGAGGATCTTTCCAAAGCAGAAAAAAAAATTAAGAGGGAAACTTTAACGTTTTCGGGCGGGTTTTTATCTGGTTTGCGTGAATTGGGCGCAAAGTGAAGGGTGTCCAGCTGATCGGTAAAGGCAGACATGTGACGAAACGGCCACGGCTGAGGAATGGGAGGAGAGCGGAGGAGGTGGAGATGTAGAGTGGTTTCGATGAACTCGAGGTCGCTGGAGCAGGAGAACAGACGAAGAGGCAGTGAGTGCTTTGCCCCTGTAGGCCCCTGTTTATTTATCTGACGTCGAGGGACATGTTCAGGATACCCGACCCAGACGAGTACCAAGGAGCAGCCAAGGTGTAGCATAGTGTAAGAGATATGATCACAGATGACATTATTGGAGTATAGGAATGAAGTCGAGCACCAAGACAAATGACATATGTAAAAGAAAAATAAAAGAGAAAACCAAAATACAATTCAGAACGCCAGTTGTGAAACTTGAACTGCATCAAAACAACACTTTTTGCACAAACAATGGTATCCCCAAACAAATTAGAATAAAAAAACAAGTCGACACATGAGGCCAGGCCTCTATAATACAATGACACAAAATACCCATAACTAATACTCTTACTCGTCGTCCATGCTCTCTTCGTCTTCGTCGTCGCTGGAGAGGCTGGCAGGGATGAGCGCGTACTTCTCGTCGACGTCCTGGTACTCGAGCGCCTGCTCGGGGTCGCGCACGACGTTGTTCCGCCGACGGAGGGCCCACGACGCGCAGATCTCTAACCTGACGTACTCGATGCAGACGCTCATGGCGGCCGCCTGGCAGACGAGCCAGAGGATGCGCGGTAGGAGAGTGGCGACGTATTCGGCGACAGCGTAGGGGGTGACGACGAAGCAGAACTTGTGGACGGCCTCAAGGGTTTTTTTCTTTGCGAGCTCGGAGGATTCCGAGTCAGGCACGGACGAGAAGTGACTGAAGATGTTTGACGCAAGCACGGCGAGAGAGTCGCGGTATTGGCTGAGGCTGCAGATCAGGACGATGAAGACGAAAGTGAGGCAGTAGAAGTAGCGCATTTTGTTGCCGGTCATGCGTATCAGGGCAAGCACGCCGACGAGGGACATGAGCTGCAGGGCGAAGAACGCGATCGAGGTTCTGTAGGAGACTTCTCTGGCGAACTCAAAGGCGGTGAAGTAGCCGGAGCGGGCGAGGATGGCGGACGCGCATGCGGCGGGGAAGGGCACGATCCAGGAGACGAAGACGGCGGGGAGGAGGGAGCGCGCGGAGCGCATCTGTCTCCGGGAGTGACTTGCAGAGTATTCCATGGCTAGGGAGGATGTAGGGCGATGAGTGGAAAAAGTAGAGGATGGGCAGGGAAGAGAGGTGCCGAGCGGAGTAGTATTATATACGAGGCCGGTGGAGATCAGGGCCAGGCAGGGTTGGGGGTTGGGTGTTTCCATCGCCTGTGACGCGCGTTGTCAACGTCACCAGAGACTAAACTGACTAAACTGGTACGGCGGTCCGTAGGCCCTGCACCCCCCTTGCTGCTGTCTCTGGCTGGTATCGGTGCCAGAGAAGGAGTGTTCGTGTTTGCTTATAGTACCGCTATACTGCTCCACTCCGCACTACTGCTGCTCGGCACACATCTCAGCGAACAGCCCCAGCCTGGTCCGGTCCGGTACCAGAGAACTGCGGCTCCCCTGAGCACGAGCACGAGCCCGGGTTCGTCGGCCACCAGCCTTTTGGTCAGTGACATACGGCGTTTGTTCGCCACTCAATGAACTCGCTCTGAGGTCCAAACTTCCTTTTCGCTAGCTGCCCGAGGCATCCGCTACCTGATGTTCCAAAACCCTACGTGCCTCGCGACCGTCCGTCCCTCGCGCGCTGCGGTTTTACAGTAGTCGTACGATGATGGTGTTTGATGATACTTTGTTGCGGTAGTGACAGCCTGCAGTGACAGCTCGCGCGGCAGCTGATCGCCATCGCTGTCTGCGTTCCTCTCTGCCCGACGCGCTCTTCGTCTCGCGTTCTCTTTGTATTCACTTCCGCTAGAAAACAATAAAACAGCATCGGCACTCGGCAAAAATAGACAAACGGGCGGCGAAAAATAGAAGACCCAAGAAAGCGCTGTTTCCTGAAACGTAAGCTCTCTCTTGCCCGTTTACTCGCGCGGTGCCCCGTCTACTCTCTGCTGACGACGCCGACACACCTCTGCAGTAGCGCGTGAGAGAGGCAAGAATGGAGACTGTGACGATGCCCATCCTGAGCGTGAGTGTCTGCCCAACCACCACATATCCCCACGTCTTCTCTTCCTCCCGCCTCTCTATCCTCCCCGGTCATCCTCTCAACCTCCAACCTCTTTTCCCCTCTTCTCTGCCCCCGGAGGGCACGGCAAAAAAGTAATATTACCGCACAATGCCAGATTGCCACGCAAAATCTCGCATCGAAACCCGCAGGCAAAACGGCGGAAGCTCCTTTTTCGTGCTTAAGGTTCGCCCTTAGCTGCCCGAGGAACGAGTGGATTCGGGCACCTGAAGTGGGAGTCACGTGGATTGGCTAATTATCCAGTTCAGCCTTACGTACTGTTGACACCCACGCGTCGATACGCGTACGCACGTAGACCGTTGCTGGATCCTCGGAGAGCCGTTTTTTGCTGCTTCCTTGGAACACTTGAGATCGGCGTCGTGCATATCACAGACATACTTGCATGTATCTGAACCAGCCTTGTTCTTTGTGTGAAGACTGGGAAAGAGAAGTTGGGTGGCCTTGCACGCGCTAGCTGCGGATAAAACCCTACTCTGTTTTATCCCTTGCTACAGAAGAAGCAGCGGTCCAAATAAACTTGATTCTGATCCATCCCGATTTCTGCTCAGATTTCCCCATTCTCAGACATTTTCTTATACTCGTGCTTGTTTTCATCTCTTATCCGTATTGAACAGTCTTCTCGCATCTCCAAGCCTCTGGCTCTGTTCGCGCTCGTAGCTAGTCTATAACCTAGTAACCTAATCGGTGGTCTAAGATCAAGAACCTCGCAAAAAGAAACTCTAGAACTATATCACCTTTTCATCCCTCTCGTCTGGGTAAACCCATCCTCCCTTTGTTCTCCACAGTACACTCTCCTGACGCGTGAACGTGCGATAAGTCATATTCCCTACCCTTGCTTCCCGATCAGAGTTACGTCCCGTAATTTCATCACGCTCTCGGCAGGCTTCTCGTTCGTAGGCACTCTGTGATTGATGCCATCCCTCGCGTTCCTGTCAGACGCGTTCGCTCTGTCATATATCAACGGCAGACTAGCTAGATAGTAGTCTACATGGCTGATCTCGCCACGCGTGCTTTGTTTATTGTGTGCTCGACACTCTCCGCAGTTGTGAATACCGCTCCAGGTCGCATAAAGGACACGTTTTCATATACTTGTGCCTACTTGCATCTACCTGCTCTTTCACTCCTCAGCTCGCCCGGGTATCCCTATATCAAAATAAGAGCCGATCCAAGGGGGAGCGGATAACTAACCTTGAAGTTTAATTTATCAGTTTCAGTTTATGTCACTTATGTTAACTAGCTTACATAACATGTCTAATCAGCCCAAAGCAGTAAGGAAGGCGATAAGCGCCCGCGATATGACAAACGTAGTACGATCTCTAATCATATCTCCATCCATCTCCAGCCAACGAAACTGATCGCGTACTTCTTTTCTTCAATCCGGACAACAGCGACGACAACGCACCTCTGCTCTATCGTCAATCTCGAAAAGAAGCGCGCGCTTGGACAATGAGCTCGGATACAACAGCAAGCAGCACCAGCCCTCAGCCCTGACCTCACTCAAAATCCCACTGCCTAATCAAACAAAAAATAAATTTCGGCGGCTCGAGTGCGGATAAGCCCTCCCTCCACCCAATCTGCCTGTCCGAGTCATACTTTTACAGCTCTTTTCCTCCGCGGCCATTAGAAACAGCAAGGTCTTTTTTTTTGTTGAGTCACTTTGTTTGGTGTGTCGTGGCAATTTTTGCCTGTAGGGAATCTCTTTTCTCTTTTTTTTCTTCTCGATTGCTTTCTTCTTTCATTCTGTCAGGCCGCTTGATTTTGGATTAATCGAAAATGTCGCCTCTCGTCTGCTCTGGCTCCATATGGGAGAATGGCACAATCAATCTTTGCTTTACCGAAAAGTAATCTCTCCATCTATTTGTTCTAATACTCTTGTGCTAATTGAATCGAACCAAGATACTTGCAGACGTATTTCTCGCTTGCGTTGCTCCTATGCTCGGTCTACTCCCTGTACACCCCGCTCCTACAGCAACTCCGTCGTCTCACCACCCGTCGAGGCCACACCCCCGTCTTCCTCGGCGACGCAGACACGCTGCGCGCATCCTCGGCCAACAGCGACTCGTTGTCGACGTACGAGAACGACGTCGACGACATCGACGCGCCAATCTACCGCCTGCACACAAACGAGGCCGGCCGGGAGTACTACGACGGCATGTACGCAGACGAACCGACCGGTCTTGCGCGCCAGGTCGCGGACGCCGAAGCTGCTGCGTCGGCGGCGCTCGTGGATACCGAGGGCGAGCAGGTGAACGACGAGGATGCGCGCGACTTTGAGCTGGTGCTCATGCGACCAAAGGGGACGCGCGCGCGCAGCGCGTTCGAGCAGAGTCTGCTGTTTTTGCTGATGGCGTTCCATACTATTGTCTTTGCCGTCTTGATCATTTTCCCGGCGCCGGGGACGCCGAGTAGTCTGGGGCTTATTCAGATTATTTATGCGTTGAACTGGGGATACCTGCTCTTGCTCGCTGTGTGCAAAGGCGCGAGCTTTCTCGAAGACGTGCCGTTTCGGTTCTGGCTGCACGGGATCGTGCTCTACTTTGTGCAGTGGCTAATCTCAATCGTTGGTATGTTTTCGCTTGTTGGGCAGCAATCCACGTTGCTGAAGACAATCGCCTATACGGATTTCATCCTCTGCTCGGCGCTGTGGGTTCTCACCTTGGCCTCGCCGCTGCGCCGGATCCCGGCCTATGTCGAGGCCGTTCCCGGCACGCTGCCGAATCCCGAGCGATACGAGCCGCTTTATTCCGTGCTTACCATGGCGTGGATGTTCCCGCTGCTGCTCACGGGGTATAGGCGGAGGATTCTGACGACCGATCTGTGGGATCTTCCCGATGCGGTGCGGGCAAAGGTGTTGGTCAGCAGTTTTGCAAAAGTGGGCGCGAAAGGGTCGTTGATCCGCAAGCTTGCCGCGTTCACGGTCGTTGATTTGTTCAAGAGTTGGATGTGGACCACGTTCGAGACGATCGCGTCGTTTTACCCCGCGCTGATGATCAAGTGCATCCTGACGCTGATGGAGTCGCCGACCGCGATCCCTGCGTACATCAAGGCGATGCTCATCTTTGGCTTGTTTTTCTTCCCCACGTTTCGCGCGGCGGCGGGTCTGCGCTCGCATTGGGGGTTCCGCAATTTATCTCTACGCATAAAATCGCTGATGTGCGGCGAGGTCTACAACAAGGCCTTGACGCGGAAGATTGGCGCGTACATGTTGAAAGAGGAAGAAGGCGGCAAGAAAGTCGCGCCCGAGGACGACGAGGAGGAGGATGACGAGAATGAGGAGCTCACAAACGGTCGCATTATTAACCTTATGGCGCTCGACTCGGTCCTGGTCGCGGACGTGCTGCAGTACGCAAAGCAGCTGGCCAAGATCGTGATGATCTTGATCACTGCTACCGTTTTGCTGTTTATGACGCTTGGATCGACGGCGTTTGTCACGATCGGAACGATCTTCGTGATGATCCCGGCGAACTACTATATCGGCAAGCTATTCCATCTCACGCAGAGACTGCTGATGAAGGCTACCGATGCGCGTATCGAAAAGACTAATGAGATTCTGCAAAGTATTAAGATTATCAAGTATTTTGGTGAGTTTAACCCCTTGAGTTGAGTAGAGTGAGCGATTAGTGCTGATACCTTATGTAGCCTGGGAGGATCGATTTGAAAACGTGATTCAACAGATTAGAGACAAAGAGCTGAAGAAAGTGCTGCTGAAGTACTACCTCTGGTCGACCGCCGGTGTTTTCTTCTACGGTTTCACGCCGATCGTGACCCTCACCACGTTTGGCTACTACACCCTAATCGTGAAAAAAGAACTCACGGCCTCTGTCGCGTTCACCACGATCGCGCTCGTCAACCAACTGCAGAATCCGATGGACATGCTGATCGACGTGCTAGTCCAGGTCGTGCAGTGCAAGGTCTCGCTGGGCCGAATCTCGCGGTTCTTGCTCGAGCCGGAGACGGAGAAGTACACGCAGCTGCAGACGCCCTCGACGCCGGACGCGCCGGTGATTGGGTTTGAGAACGCGACGCTTTCGTGGAATAGCGGGGATGATAACGAGACGGATTTTAAGCTGCGCGATCTTAACCTGAACTTCAAAGTCGGCGAGCTGTCGGTCATCGTCGGTCCGACTGGGTGTGGCAAGTCGTCGCTGCTGTTGGCGCTCTTGGGTGAGATGTCGCTCGTCAAGGGAAAAGTCTATCTTCCGCACCGCAAGGGCTTCTCGCGCCCGCGCGTGGACCCGATAACAGGATTTGCAGAGTCGGTGGCGTACTGCGCGCAGCAGGCGTGGCTGCGGAACGACTCGATCAAGAACAACATCCTCTTCGACTCGCCCTACGACGAGCGACGGTATCGGGCATGCGTCCACGCGTGCGCTTTGCTGCGCGACTTTGAGATTCTCGAGTACGGCGACCAGACTCCGATCGGCGAGAAAGGTATCGCCATGTCCGGCGGCCAGAAGCAGCGCATCGCGCTCGCTCGCGCGCTGTACTCGCCCGCGCGGCATTTAATCCTCGACGACTGTCTCAGCGCGGTAGACTCGCACAGCGCGCAGTGGATCTACGAGAAATGCATTCTGGGCCCGATGATGCAGTCGCGGACGTGTGTGCTTGTGTCGCATAACGTGTCGCTGACGCTCACTGGCGCAGACTTTGTCGTCGTGATGGAGAACGGCGGGGTGAAGGCGAGCGGTACGCCGCAAGAGGTGTATGAGCTTGGTGCGCTGGGTGCGGACGAGACCTTGCAGCTTACGATTTCGGAGAATAATTCGCGGGCGGCGTCGCGTGCAGCGTCGAGAGCAGCGTCGGCGGTTGATTTGGCGGCGGTGGCGGCGGCTGCGGCGGAAGAGGCTGCGCCGTCGACGGTCGCTGCTCAGCACGATGAGAACCCTGATCCGTTGCTGTTTGAGGAGCCTGCGGATGTGCAGGAGGAAGAGATGCTGATCAAGTCTATCGCCGCGCCGCCGCAGGACGAGGATCAGGAGGAAGGCAGTGTGAGTCGCGACGTGTACCTCCTGTACCTTAAAGCCATGGGTAACTGGGGCTTCTGGCTCGGCGTGCTGCTTGTGCATCTAGGCCAGCAGTTTTCCCAGCTGGGCGAGACGTACTGGATTCGGCAGTGGACCAACCAGTTGCCGGAGGAGGACACCGAAGGTGTTTCTGCTACGAGCGCGGGTGGTTACTCGCCCGGCAAGTTTGTGATGATTTACGGGCTGATTGCGTTGAGCTACATCACATTCTCGACAATCAGACCGCTAGTTGTGTTTACGGGCGGTGTACGCGCGTCGCGCAAGATCTTTAAGAGACTGCTCACGGCGATTCTGCATGGTGTGCCCCGGTTCTTTGACGTGACCCCCGTCGGCCGGATTCTGAACCGCTTCTCGAGCGACGTCGAGCGTCTCGACGAAGGCGTGGGTCCTTCAGTGTACGGAGTTGTGTACACGAGCATGACGCTCTTTTTCGTCGTGGCGACGATTTCGGTGCTGTTCCCGCCTTTGCTATTCGGCGTGGTTTTGATCGCAGGAGCGTATGGCGTGATGGCGCTTCTGTATCTTTCCGCCGGACGCGAGGTGAAACGGCACAACTCGACAGCGAAAAGTCCGGTGTATCAGCACTTTGGCGAGACGCTCGCGGGTCTTGCGACGGTGCGCGCGTTTGGCTACGAGCATGCGTTTGCAAAGAAGAACGAGGCCGTGCTGGATACCTTTATGCGCGCGCACTACGTGTACTTTGCGGTTACAAACTGGCTGTTTTTCTACTCGAACCTGATCGGTGGCTTGCTGCTGGCGATTGTCGGCACTTATATCTTGCTTTTCCAGATGCGGTCGATCGATCCTGGTCTGGCGGGCCTGTGCCTGACATATGCGACCAACTTCAGCGGCGTGGCGGAGTGGTTTGTGCAGGCGTACGGAAACATCGAGATGGACATGAACTCTGTCGAGCGCATCAACTCGTATCTCAAGACCGAGCAGGAAGCGGCCGAGATTGTCGAGGATCACCGGCCGCCGCAGAGTTGGCCGGACAATGGCGCGATCGAGGTCGAGAACTTGTCGCTGAGGTATGCGCCGGAGCTGCCGAAGGTTATCAACGGCGTGTCGTTCAAGATCCAGCCGAGGTGGAAGGTTGGCGTTGTCGGGCGCACAGGAGCGGGCAAGTCGACTATTGCGGCAGCGTTTTTCAGGTTCTTGGAGGCGGATGAGGGGAAGATTGTTATTGATGGGATTGATATCTCGACGATTGGATTGAAGGATTTGAGGAATGGATTGACTATTATCCCGCAAGGTGAGTCCGCTGCTATTTCTCTATTTAGTATCTGCTTAACTGACGTATATGATTAGATCCCACGCTGTTTACTGGCACGGTGAGAACGAATCTTGACCCGTTTGATCAATACACGGACGCCGAGATCTTCCAAGCCCTGCGTCGAGTGCGTCTGATCACCGAGGCTCCCACCGCCGGCGTTCCGCTGACGACAGAGCAAGAGTCCAACACGTTTATGAAGCTGAGCAACCCGATTGCGGAAGCCGGCGGCAACTTGTCGCAGGGCCAGCGGCAGCTGATGTGTCTTGCGCGGTCGCTGCTCAAGTCGCCGCGCGTGATTATCCTCGACGAAGCGACCGCGTCGATTGACTACGACACGGACGCGCAGATCCAGGTGACTATCCGCGAGGAGTTTTCGCAGTCTACGATTCTGACGATTGCGCACCGGCTGCGGTCGATTATCGACTACGACATGATTCTGGTGCTGGAGGGCGGGAAGGTGAAGGAGTACAACTCGCCGCACATGCTGCTGCAGGACGAGCAGTCGACGTTCCGGTCGATGTGCGAGAGCAGCGGAGAGCTGGATAGCTTGATGCAGCTGGCGGAGGAGGCGTACAACAAAAGCTTGGGTGCGTAGAGGTAGAAGTAGAGGTAGATACGAGAGCGTTTATTGTGTATGTGTTTTAATAGCGAAGTAATAGAGAATCAAGCGCAGATGAAAGTAAGATGAGATTGCCAGAAGCGGTGAGCGGAAACACAGAACTGCGGCGGTGATGTGACACAGGTGACGTCACCCGAGCGCCGCCGAGGCAAAGTCAATCTGGGTCAGCGCGCGCGGCGCCAGGCTGAGCCAAGAGGAAATCAGTAAAAGGCAGACCGCGATTGGACGGATCTGGCTGCGATGCGGGCATTGCGAGGGCGAGAAGAAGGCCGGTGCTGAGCGGCACTGGATCTGAGCGGGTCTGGTTTCTGAGAGTTGCGGTGGGCAGCGAAGCGGACTGTGAACAGCGAACGGAGGAAAGCAAAGAAGCCCGGTTTTGGAGGTCGTCGACTGCTCAACGTGTGCTCGGCCTCGACAATAAAACTCTGCTCGTTCCCTGTCTGTCGCGATGGCCGATCCCTACTCTTCGCCTCCTCATCCCCCATCCTACTCCCCTTCTGACTCTTCCTGGTCCTCTTCTGCGCCCCAGCAGCAGCCTATCCAGCAGCAGCAACAGCAGCAGCAGCCGCAGTACGGCTACAACAGCAACTACTACGCTCAGCCTCAGCAGTATCCCTCCTACCAGCAGCCGTACCAGCAGCCGTATCAGCAGCAGTATCCTCAACCATATCAGCAGGTAAGTCTCTCTGCCCTCTCCTCTCCAGCACACGCTCACCCTCTCTGCCATAGCACCAGCAGTTCTACAACAACCACGCAATGTCTGCTCCGACTGATCAGGTACTGCTTCCTACTCCCACCCCCACTCCTACTCCTACTCCTATTCTTCCCCGTACGCAAATCCTCTAACCTCTCCACTCCAGTCTCAGCAGCCCGAATACACGGCCGTGCCGTCCCTGGGCGCCGCGACCTCGGGAGCTCCCGTCTACGTCGCTCCGGTGACCTCAAACACCTCCGTCACCCCATCCATCACCCCGCAGCCCGCGTACGGCTCCGCGGGCGGCTCTACCCCCGGCGCTGCACCTGGCGCTGAGGACTTCACGCAACCCGGCAAGCTCGGTGTCCTCGACATCGACACCGCCTACCGCGCGAGGCCCTCGAACGGCCATTACTTTGGCCCGTACCTGCGCTACGGCAACATTGATCTGCAGACCGCGACATGGTACGGATCCGTGATGGTCGTCGTCGAGTCCGAGACTGCGCCCTACCTGCAGATCCATCCGTCGTCTGATCTCCAGCAGATGCGCGCCGTCGAGCCTTTCCTGTTGTACCAGTACGAGAACTACCGGTTCTTCAGGTATAACCTCGAAGTCCCGCAGCTGCAGGGAACGACCGGCCAGTTCTGGACCTACGCGATCACGCACAATGGCCAGTCTTTCACCTACGAGTTCCTCGTCGCCGGGGCGCAGCAAGTCGACTGGCGCTTCATGGCCTTCTCCTGTGCTGATTTCTCGCTCGGCGTGAAGGAGGAAGAGCGCCGCGAGCTTGGCGGCGTGGGTTTCCTGTGGGAGGACACGATGAAGCGACACCGCGAGCTCGGAGGACTGCACGCCATGCTCGGCGGTGGCGATCAGATCTACGCCGACAGAATGTGGCCCGAGATTGCGTCGCTGCAGGACTGGATGCACACCAAGGGAAAGCAGAACCGCAAGGACTATGAGTGGACGCCGCGGTTGGAGAAAGACCTTAACTTGGCGTACTTTTTCTACTACACGAACCATTTCGATCGTCCTGGTATCCGCGACTGTTTTGCTTCGATCCCGAACGTCTTCCAGATCGACGACCACGATATCTTTGACGGATTTGGGTCGTATCCTGATTACATGCAGCTCTCGAACGTGTTTGTCAATATTGGCCGTATTGCGTTTGATTTCTACTTGCTTTTCCAGCACCAGACCACCAAGGCTCTTTTGCAGCAGAACCCGGACCCCAGAGATCTTTTCACCGTCACCGGTCTCGGCTGGCATTTCTTGAAGTATCTTGGCCCGGAGTGTGTCATCCTCGGTCCTGATACTCGCGCGGAGCGACATCAGAAGAGCATCATTGGCGAGCAAACGCACCAGGAGCTCTTCCGCCGTCTCGAAGCGCTCCCGCCTACGATTAAACACGTTGTCGTCATGCTTGCAGTGCCGATTGTCTATCCTCGTTTGACGATGGTCGAGAACGTCTTGTCCGGCGTCAAGCAGACCAAGCGCGCGATCAACGGCGCGTGGAACATCCTCGGCAAAGGAGCGACCAAGGTTGCATCCGTTGTCGGAGCCGAGAAGAGCACAAAGTCCGGATTCGAGGGTGTGAAGAAGGCGTTTGGAAAGAGCGGGATGATGAGCTCGCTTGTTTCTGGATTCGGAGAGATTGACTTGCTCGACGATCTTGCGGACCACTGGACGCACGAGAACCATGCTCTCGAGCGAACGTTCTTTGCGCGCAACCTGCAGCGCATCGCTCGCGATAAGGGGGTGCGGTTCACGTTTATTTCCGGAGACGTGCATCTCTGCGGTATCGGTCGCTTCATCAACGCCGACGATCCCGAGAACTATCAGCTCATGTACCAGGTGATTTCGTCTGCGATCTCGAACGTGCCGCCTCCAGGCGCGGTCGTCCGCCTGCTGCACAACAAGGACAAGCTGTACCTGCCCGATATTAACAGCTCGGCGCACAAGACAGATACAAAGGAGGAGATGATTGAGTTTTTCGACACCGACGTCGACGGCTCAAAGCTCGATCTGCACAAGCTTCTCGGTCGACGCAATTACGCTATCGGAAGCGTCAAGACCGACGGAACTATGACCTGGGACCTGTACGTGCAGAGCGCTACCGGTAACTACGGCGCATCTGAGCGCACGAGGAAGTATGGTCCGCTCATCGTTCCTCCTGTCACTAGACCGGCGGGTCAGCAGCAACTGCCGTTGGGAGCCCCCCAGCAGCAGGTGCCGCAGCAGCAAGGCGTGCCGGCGGGAATCTACGGCCCTGATGGCATTGTGCAGAATATGCAGAGCATGAATGTGAAGTGATTTAGATTCAGCTTGGTTAGCTTTGCGTTGAGTTTTCTATTGATTTTAGATGTATTTGTAGTTATGCAGATTTGAATACATATTGTGTTGTGATTCATGCGTTAAATCGATATATCCCGCTGTGGCATACATTCGAAACAAGCAGATAAAACACGTTTCTAGCCCGATATATTACCCCTCCAAATGTACTCTTATCAGGTACGATCTGCATAATCCCCTCATATAAGAAAAAATGAAGTCTCGCAATTCTCTCGCCGGGGCTCTAAACCTGGTTTTCTTCACAGGCCGAAAGAGCGGCGGCGGCGAGGCGGGGTTTGAGTTTTGGAAGGACGTAGTTGGGAGACATGATCGATCGCTTGCTTACTCTTCTGTTTGTGCAGGCTGTATAAGATCTGGGTTGCTCTGTTGTTGAGATTTGTGGCTGGTCTGATAGTTATTGAATTGCTGGATTACTGAGATTGAAGAAAACATGGACGGTGAAGCAATTGTTAAACCGCGGTCGCCGATCATTCTGCACTGGTGAGTTGACCTGCCTTCATCTAAACATCAACGCTGACCATTCAATCTCCCGACAGGTTAGTCCAGTCGCGATCGCATCGCATTCTGTGGCTTCTCGAAGAACTCGAGCTTCCGTACGAAGTCAAGGTCTACAAGCGCAACGCAAAGACACAGCTCGCCGACCCTGCGCTGAAAGCCGTGCATCCGCGGGGCAAGTCACCAATTATCGAAGACGACGGGACCGTGATTGCCGAGTCGGGCCTGATAATCGAGTACCTGATTGAGAAGTACGGCAAGCACACGAGTCTGTATCCCAAGACGCCCGAGGATCTGCTCAAGGCGCGGTATTATCTGCACTATGCCGAGGGCTCGTTGCAGCCGGTCTTGCTGTTTTTGTACATCACGTATATGACGCGCAACGCGCCAATGCCGTTTTTCATCCGTCCGATCGCGAGGCGGATCCTCGACGCGATGGATAACGCGTTCGCGGCGCCTGACGCGAAGCAGCAGCTGCAGTTGCTCGAAGACGAACTTACGCGGAACGGAACGGGTTTCTTTGTCGGCGACTCGTGCACGGGTGCGGATATCATCCTGATCTTCCCGCTGCAGGGCGCGGTGACGAGAGCGGGACTTACGAAGAAGGCGTATCCGGCTTTGTGGAAGTATATGAACGATATGCAGGATAGGGATGCGTACAAGCGGGCGAATGAGAAGGTGGAGGCGTTGGGGATGCCTGCTACCACTGTCAAGCTTTGATTTGGTTGTTTTCTTGTTTTGCAATTGGGTTTTCTTGTGGTTTTGAAGGGTGGGTAGGATTTGTCGGTCTTTTGATGTTATCTATAGTTTACGTGCTGCAACAATGATGTCCATGCTGTTTGACTTCTTTGTAGCAATCTCGGCTTTTTGTTATCTACACCTCTTCCAATAACTCGACAACACAACCCTCGCACCATCTATAATCGTACCATCATCAAATGACGGTATCCAGCATACAATAATCCCAGATATCAATTAGTATGAAGATACCGATTTCGAGTCCACCAACTTTAAAGCCAGAGCAACGGCTGCGGGCGCGCCGCATGCACGGTCCCGTCCGATCGGTCTTTTGAATAGGCTGCCAAGCGACCCTCTGACTGCTTCAACAGCGTAGATACCACTGGCTGCATCCTGCTCTTTTTCTCTTGCTTTTGGATATACTGCCGTGGTAGTCTATCATTGTCTTGCCTTGTTTTTGTGGGGTTTTGCCTGATTATATACGTTGCTGAGTCTCTGAGATTGAAATGACTACAAAGTAAGTGGGATCACAAAGTGGTTATTGATTTCTGCAGCTTTACTTACCTCGAAAAATTTAGATATCGCGTTGAGTGTATGATCTGCCTATACCGTGCCAGTGCCATACTCTATCATAGTCATTTACTAATGTTTTTGACCTGCAGACGCTCTCAAATCTCATCGCAGAGATGCGCTGATTGAATGGATCAAAGGTCTTCTAGCTGTACGTTGACGCAAAACCTTTCTGCAACGAAACTGATCGCAGTGACTAATCCACCCTCCACAGGTCCCGTTCGTTCTCCACTCCGAGCCCGCCGCCTACATCAAAGAAGTCGGATCCTGGGAAGACGCAGCGAACGCGGCTCGTCGGCAATACGCCGCGATCCTGGCCGACGTCGAGGACATGATCGAGGACCAGATCATGAACGACACAAAGGGCACGCCGCATATGGCTAAGATCCGGCATCTGGTGCCGAGCGTGGGCACGTTTTTCACGCATTTGCCGCTCGAGGAGGCGTTTTATGTGCAGGATGCGAAGCGGTCGATTTCGCAGCGGAGACTGGTGAGTCCAAGTTTCAATGACGTGCGGTATGTCCCAGCCCTTCTTTTGTTTGGTTGATATGACTGCGTCGGCTGATTTGCTTTTGATCTAGGTTGATTCTCAATTCTGCTCAGTTGATGAGCATAGCGTCTGACAGTCAACCGCTAAAACTAGTGACTCTAGATGGTGATGTCACGCTCTACGAAGACGGCAAATCCCTGACCGCCGACAGCAAAGTCGTCCCTGTCCTGCTCGAGCTGCTCAAGCGCGACGTCGCCGTCGGCATCGTCACCGCCGCGGGCTACTCCGACACCTCAGGCACGCGGTACAAAGAGCGTCTGGAGGGCATCATTCTCGCGGTCCGGGACTCGGAGATCCTGACGGACGAGCAGAAGCGGCGGTTGCTGGTCATGGGCGGCGAGTCGAATTTCTTGTTTAGGTACTCGGTCACCGAGCAGACGCTTGTGTACGTCGATCAGGAGGAGTGGATCTTGCCGGAGATGAAGCAGTGGGACGAAGCAGATATCCAGAATTTGCTGGATCTGGCGGAGGAGGTGCTTACCTCCTGTAGAAAGGTTATGAATCTCAGCGGGCAGGTTGTCCGTAAGGAGAGAGCGGTTGGTAAGTTATGGATTTATATGTTTTATTTTGGTTTTTGTGTGTGATAGCTCACAGATTACTTATCAGGAATCGTGCCTCTACCCGAAAAAGGCATGATCAGAGAAGACCTCGAAGAAGTCGTCCTCGGCGCGCAACGCAGACTCGAGTCCTCCGAAATCGGCCGCAAGATCCAGTTTTGCGCGTTCAACGGCGGCAGCGATGTGTGGGTCGACATTGGCGACAAGCGGCTCGGCGTGATTTCGCTGCAGCGGTATCTGGGCGGCATCCTGGGCTCGCAGACGTTGCACGTCGGCGACCAGTTTGCGTCGATCGGGGCGAATGATTTTAAGGCGCGGTTGGCGGCGTGTACGGCGTGGGTTGCGGATCCGAGCGAGACTGTGGAGACGTTGCAGGAGCTGTGCGAGTATATCGACAGGAGGAAAGAGTGAAATGAGTTTAGAGATCAGTTTTGGAAATATCAGTTTTGTAAAAAAAGGCACAGTTTGAAGGACGTCATCGTATTAATATCACAAAAAAGACAATAGACTATTCTCCTTCTTTAACCGACGCAATAAGCTCGCCCAATAACGCCGCCAGTCCATCTTTGATACTCCCAACCGATAGCGCGCGCACGAGAGGCTCGAGGATCTCGGACTTTGTTCCGGTCGCGACAGATCTGCTTCCGAGCGGTTGCGGGATCGAGCGTCGCTGTTTTAGGTTTTTCCGGTGGATCTTGGAGAGTAGGAGGTGCAGGGCTGAGTTTATGCCTTCTGCAATCGCAGAGTCGGGAGAGGGGGGGGAGTCGAGGTCCATTTCTGAATCGTCGGGTGTGGTGCTACTGAGCTCGATCTAGATCAATTTGAAGCGTTAGCCAGATATACAGAAAGGTAGAACACAAAATAAAAAATAAAAAGGGAACAGACCATCTCCAAGCGCACTTTGCAATTTGTATCGATAGGTATTGTGACGCGATCCCCGAAATCAAAGATGATTCCCTGCGAAACCAAAAGTCTAGTTTCTCTCGCGATTTCGAAAAACAGTTCTTCTTCAAACAACAGGTCGCGCGCCTGTTTAATCTCGTTTCTGAACTCCGTCGTGTCGTAATTTATATCTGTCGCGTGTTTTCCCGTGGTCGTGAACTCGGCGTCGGAGCCAGGTAAATTTCGCTGGACCGAGACCGAGAGTACTTTTGTCCGTCTGTCGCCCTCCGTCTTGAGCACGATCGACCCGTCTTTTGTCCGGCGCAGGGTCGCGATCCCTTTTTCCTTGTAATTCGAGCCCACGTCGCCGAACCCGTAGCGCACGCCGAGGCCGCGGTAGTCTGGTGTTCGGATCTTGGAAAGCACTTCGCCGCTGAGCGCAATGTCGCGGACTTGCTGCCAGTATCTGAGTTCGCGTTTTCCTTCGGCTTCGAGCCTGGTCGCGGCGCTGGATAGACGGTCGGCGGCAGCGGTCACCGCGTGCACTTTCCAGCCTAGGCAGACGTCGTGGTCGTCCTGCTGCGGCGTGGCTTTGATCCTGTCTGCGCCGAGCGAGCCCACGGGGACATGACTCCGCAGGTGCGGCGACATGGACGTTGTTCCCGCCGCGGGCTTGACGGAGGAGATCAGGAGCGAGACAAAGTCGAGCGCGACGGCGGCTTCGTTTTGCGCGAGACTTATCAGTCTTACGATTTCGGCGCGGTCTTTGGCGAGTTGCTCCTCTGTCTCTGAGAATTCTGCTACCGCGGTAGTGTCGTCGTCGTCGGCATTTTCTGGCGAGTTGGCGGCGGCGGCGGTGGGGGATGAGGTGTGGGTTGGTGATGTCGGCGTTGTGAATTTTGATTGTTTTAGTATTTCTTTGCGTAGTCGCTCTTCGGTGACGTTGGCGAACGATCCTCGTTCTAGTGTGATTTGGGGGATAATCTGACTGAGATTTCGAGCAGACCTACACCAAACACAGCGCGAAATTAGCATTCGAACTTCTTCCCAAGCCCAGCCTAAGCCAAGTAGAACTACTGGCTCCTGTAATCATTTAAATAAAAGCAACTCACTTGACTCCGTAGTATTCCCGTTCGTCGGCAAGCGGTGTTGGTTCCAGCGAGATCAGCAAGTTGTCCTTGTCGATTGACGACAACGACGATTGTGATGCCATCTTTGCTTCTTATTCAATCGTCCTTTCTCCACCTACTTCTTCCCATAAAATACAACCTCCCTTAATCAAGCAAATATCCAAAATCTATAGAATGGCGAGAGTTTAGAAGAGGTAATTGTGGTGGAATTCGATATTGATGAACAGCTCACAAAGTGTGGACTCGAGGATTTAGAGTTCTCCAGCTCATCTAAACCTTTTTTTCATTCATCCCAGATTTTTTTTAAATATCCAGCTTTCTTGTCACCTATTTTCCGGATCTAAAGGCGCGCTTTCACAAGAACTAGACCGGCTACGTCGAGAATCTCAAGGTCTAATAAACCAAGAAGAAAGAAGGGGAAGAACACAGATTCAAAATGCCGCCAAAAAGAAATCTGCCACCGCCAAAACCGCCGACTACCGGGCGTCGCGCGATTCCTCAAGACCAAACACAGCAATCAACACCCGCGGCTCCATCAGCTACAACAACAACAACAGCAGCAACACCAGCACCGTCATCAGTTGGATCTTCATTCCCCGCGCTATCAGCGCTGCCGCCGTCGCGGCTTGATTCGCTCTCTCGACCACGCGCGCTGTCGGCATCTCCTGGATCGTCTGGGTCGCCAGGCGGCAGCAGCTCGCTCGGGCTGAAGTTCAAGCCGAAGCTGGTTGCGCGCAGACCGAAAGAAGAGCGCGAGGCCGCAGCTCCGACGGTGGCGCCGCCTATTCTCCCTGTCGAGCCGTCGTCGCGCGGACGTGGACGGGGCGGCCGCGGTGGGTTTGGAGGCCGAGGGGGCCGCGGCGGCGGAGCGGGACGGGGGAAGATGGAGCCGGTGGCTAGTATTGCGTCTGGGCCGTTTGCGGACCCGGTGTTTGGCGATCCGAGAGCGAGTCGGGCGGCTGCGTTTGAGAGGCGTGCGCCGGCGGAGTATGGAGGAGCGTCGGGGTCGGGGTCGAGCGAGCGGTCGATTGGGTTGATTGCTGCGCTTGCGGCGAAAGAGCGCAAGGGTACGCCTGAGGCAAATGCGGGGCATGCTGGCGCGGGATCAGGCACTGGAGGATCAGCAGCAGCCCAGGCTGATGACTACGAGAGCGACGACGAGGCGGTGAGACAGGGTTTCGAGCGGATCAATATCGCGAAAGTCGGCAAGCTGACGGACGACGACGCGCAAGGCTACGCGCGGTACTTTCCTATCCGCGAGGACTCTGGCGGCGCGAACGCAGAGGACGAGTACGCGAACGACGAGCAGATCGACGACGCGCTCGTGCAGGAGCGCGAGCAGAGCGAGTTTGTGGACGTGTTTGGCGAATGGGATCTCAGCCAACTCGAGCGAAAGTTGTATTTTTTCCAATTCGCGCCGGTGCTGCCGGTCGTCAGCGGCGTGAAAGCCGACGACGCGGTCAAGGACGAGCACGAACAATCAGCTGATTCTGCGACATCAACAGGAGGAAAGGCAAAGGCGGCCAAGGCCAAGCCGGCTGCCGCCGCCAGTGGGATCGGGGCGCAAGCTGCCGAGGGACAGGTCGGGAAGCTAGTGGTGCGCAAGTCAGGCAAGATCAGTATCGTGTACGGCGGGATCGAGATGGATATCGCGAAAGGCGCTCGGACGCAGTTCCTGCAGGATGTCGTGGTTGTCGACGATACGCCCGAGGCTGAACAGGCAACGTTATTGGGTCAGATAACCGGTAAGGTTGTGGTGACGCCTAGTATCGAGAAACTTCTTGAAAGCGACGGGGATGAGAGCGACTAGACTAATTTTCTTTCTGGATCTCTCGATCATGAGATCTTTCGAATCTTTTCCGCATTTCCGATGATTCTTTTTTGTGCTTTTTATCTTTCAATGTTACTTGCATCCGGAGTCTTTTGTTTAAGGGTCTTTTTGTTCTTTTTTGTATATTATTAGAGAATACAAGCAACAGAAATCGAATTCTGTGATAGAAACACCACGCGTTTTTCGCAGACCGCCGCGAGTACTTACGCACACGTACTCGAGCAGGACAGTAATCAATCAAACACGAGGAATTATATACGTCCCGAGTATAAATAAAGAGCAGGCTTGCTGAATATTAAAGAAATCGTACAGTCAGGTTTCAGTTTATGTTGAAGAGGATTGCTGCTGTGTTATTTAGCAATATGGATGTAATTGCCCCGTTCAGGATGTTTGGTTTTCTGCGCGGGTTGGTGGTTTGCTGGCATCCAGACCAGGAACCTGCAAAAAGAAACGAAAGCTCTAGGATCCAGTGTTTCGCCCACGCCGCTTCACAATATATCCCTGCTCGATTAGCACAGACCCAGTCGGTTCATCAGCCGACATTCCTTTTCCCACGACTGGCTCGTTTATGTCCATAACTCGGATTCGAGGTTTCGGTGCGTCGGAGTCCGGCCAGAGAGACGCAGCAGCGGGAAGCTCGTGATGTTGCTCATATTAAAAATTTCATGAGCTGACTGCGTGGCGGGTTGGCGGGGCTAGATATCGATTTCTGGCAATTAGTCGACCGTTGGAACTCGCTCGTTTGTTTCCTCCCTGGTGGTCAGAGTTGGAGAACGAAGGAGGTGCTGGGTGCTGGCGATGTGGATATCCTAGATGCAATGCAGACGCAGGCCCGCAGTTTCAGATTTAGTCGTGCTCATATGATTTCTCAACCCCCTCAAAATAAAAGCAAAGGCAGGCAACGAGAAAGAGGGACGGATGATGCCCCCAGCGAGGGTATACAAGCATCGGCATGCGGGGATGTACAGGGTGCCCAAAAACAGACAGACCAGATTGACCACCCAACCGATATACGTAATGCAAAGACGGCGTTCATAATCAAACCCATCAGCCAGGTCCACCTAGTCGACTTGTCAAAGTGTCAACATGGGCCTATAATCAACTATCGATATTGGCAAGAAATGAAATCGGGTCGCGAGATAAATAAAGAAAGAGAGAGGGAAAAGCAAGGACAGCAGGATGGAAAAAGAAAAAATTGCTCGTGGGTAATTTGGCAAGGTTTGGATCTGGGCAGGTTAGAAACAGGATGTCGTCGGCGGGGAGACACAGACGATGTCGTAGACGAGATATGACAGCGGAAAGCGAGGGAGAGAGCGACAGAGAGAGGGAGATCAGAGACGAGAAACAGGCTCGTTCGGGACCAGGTTTTGGTTGAAACTCGGTATGCGTCTCCAGCTTTGGCGACTGCATCAGGCAAGACTAAAACAGTGGTATTTGCAGGCATTTGTATCAAAAGCGGCCAGATAGATGCGTTTAGATGTCCGTATTCAGTATTCCGTCGAAGCTCGGCTATCGGCTGCACCTGCTGCAGTGTGTCTGTCGCGCAGCAATCAAAGACAAGACGAGGGCGATGTTATTAATGAAAAAACAGATGCAGCAATCTATATAGATTGGGTTTTGTGTCGAGAAGACTGCGCGTGTGGGATCGTAGAGGGGAGAGGTATCCCTGGCCGGGCGACCGTATTCGGAGAAACAAAGATACGGCAACGGCGCGAGGCGGTCGTGTGCAGGCGTCCCTTTGCGGTTGGGCTGGGCAGCAGCGCAGGAGGAAGAGCGGCGGTGTGGAGGTGGACGAAGGCAGGTACGGCCAAAATCTCGACAACGTACAGAGGTTATCGAGTGCACCGCTCCTCACGGGCCGAGGATAACCCACAAAACGCAAATTTATAAAGGCAAACAGCGGCAGCAGAATGTTTAACACATCGGACTTGAGAAGCTTTGCCCGTCGAGAGAGGCAGAGAGACAGCGACAGAAGGAGACTGGGCGATCTACACTTTCGGCGCGGTGCAATTGCGTACATTTAGATACCTGATAGCCGAGATGGTTACGGCCCGCTCCTGCCTGTTTTTTAGCCCTTTGCCGACCCGGTTCCTCGTTCTTGTTTTAGTTGGTCTGACTCTGGCTCTCCTATATGTCTGCTACAGAGGTTGCTTCTATTATATTTGATCTGCGGTCGGTGCTTGGCGGTCTGCTATCGGTTGATAGTATCAGAGATGCCTGCTGCGGCCGCCCTACACAGATTTCTAAATATATAACGCAGGCAGCAGAGGACGATTGCGATAAGTTCTCGAGCTGGGCATTGAAATTGACATTGATATTGTAAATGAAATTTATTAGCACACGTAAATAAACCATTACAGCCTACTATTCGGACTTGCGCTTGCCACTTCACACCCTCTCTGTACGCTCGCCGTCGTCCCAGCTTCCGCTCCCTCGCACTCAACGTCATCGACGTACGCGCCGCGCAATCCCACGTGGCGATCCTCTGACTTGGAATTACCTCCCGCGCCGACGAACGGTGCCTTTATCAGCGAGCAGGTCGGTCCGGCCGTTGTCGTCGGGAAACATACATGCGCGGAGCGGAAAAGTGGAAAGTTTTATCTATGTCTGCAGGTGTCTTACATTGTGTTTGCCGGTCCAAGACGCAAGGATTCTATTAACTGATTATTTATATTGTCAAAGTTCAAGCCAGCTTCGTACTACGTACTTGCTCCTGTCAGCGAAACTAGCATGCCGGTTTGAAGCTATGAATCCACCGGTAGAATCTGACATGCAAAGAAATACTCAAAAGAAAAAAATGACATGTATTGGTCTAGATTTGATCCGGTTGTTATTTACAATGACCGAGGACGGAATGTCAATATTTTCTAGGGTCGTTTCGGCCCTGTCTGCTTTCGCGGGCGTACTATCTAGGCCGATAATGGTGAGCCGACGATCTTTTTCTGAATTCTGATATCGGGACGAACAAGTGCTAGTGCAGGTTATAGCAGCAGCACGCTGCCGCCATTCCATCAATCAAATCGTAGAATAAGCATGTGGTAACAACAACGGTCGGCTAGCTGCGTCAGTAGAAGCCGTACTCGCGAACAAAGTTCTTTGGCCCAGGGCCAGAGAAGAAAAGCTAGGGAAGGTTACGATAGTCTGAGCACGGAAAGCCAAGCATAGCGGATAAATCAAAAGGTGGACGCCCAGCTTGGGTTTGATTAACGTCGCATGGCTTGGTTCCTGTCCTGTGCTGCCCCCCGCTCCGGCACTGGCCGGATCGGATCGATGGAGGGGGACGGACGTGGGTTATCGTTTTTGGTCGCCGATGGAGTTGTTATCGCTTACGCCGAGGATGAGACGATCACGACTGCCAGAGCGGTGAGTGGATGGCGGACGGACGGAGGGATGACGAACTGTATGTCGCAGTCTCATCTGAGCTGCATGACTGCATTGCGTCATTCTGCGTACATTGAGGGACCTGGTGATCTACTCTATCCGAAGAAGGAAATCCGCTCGTATCCAGATCCCGCGTGGAAAAGCAGAAAAGGACAGGATAATCAAGGGATACCGAAGAGAGAGACAAGTGCATCAGGTAAGCCGAGATGTTCTTTGGTACTCCTGATTCATCATTGTAAATCAGCGATTGATAAAACTTAGAGTAAATGAATGATATAGATTGCAGATCATCCTCGGCTTGATCCTGTCTGGGGCGCGCGAGCGAGCACAGAGGGGGGCGGAGGAGAGGTGAAGCGATGGGCAAACCAGAGTTTTTCAGTGGAAGTCAAGCTGACATTTGAGCAGGCGCGAGCGAAGACGAGAAACGCAAAAGTCTGAAACAGAAGGACGACGGGAGATAGAGTTTTGAGTATAGGATTTATATATGGGTGTATAGGTGTATATTGATAGAGAATATGTATATAAATACGAATAAACGCGAGAAAATAAGGAGCGAGAGGCGTTGAAGGATGGATAATGATCTGCGTCCTTTTCGCACAGGGCTCAGTCATGTCATCCGAGCTTGTCTTGTCTTTCTTCCCTTCGGCCACCCAAAAGAGTCAAGCTCAACACCCGAACCGCACTTCTTCATCTTCGCTATCTTCTCTATCTGCTCAGGGTACCTTTGTTCTCTGCAAACGCCGGCTTGCTGGTCCGGAAGTCTAAGCTGAGACAAACGGAGAACGAGGGCCAGTCCCGGAACTTATCATCGGAAACGTGAGCAGGACGGAGCGCAGAACGCGGAACATAGAGCTTAAGATTGTTAGAGAGAGGGGTCCGGAGTGTTTATTTCTATTGTTTGTATTGTCTTTGTTGGTGGTTTAAGTGGTCGAGCGCACTATTCTATTCCACGTGAAGATTCAATACCTCCACGTCTGTGAAAAAATATACACCATCAATCAAGACGAGAAATAAATTAAACAGACAGCTGTATTGAATGCAAATGGGCGCGGTGGAGGTGAAGGCGGCGAGGACGCGGTGGAGGGCAAGTGAAGGTGCTCGGAGGATTTCGTCATTGATCAGTGAGCGTTTTAATGGTTAATCTAAATTCGAGCCAGGCCGTGTGCCGCGGTTTACCGCTGTTTGCCGCTTGCTTAGGTACGGCTGCGTTCGTGCTCAATCTATATACCGGAAGACTGGTAGATCTGCTGTAGATGACATTATCTCAGCTCTAGATATTTTTATAGAAAGACGTTCTCCAGAGAGAAAGTAGACGAGGAAGTAGGTGGATGGGTGGACGAGCGCGCGGAATCCGCAAAGATTCGACACATCTACACCTCGTGGCAGCAGATACGTACCACTGGTCCGTGGCCACGACGAACTACGACCCACGAGGCCCGTCCGATAAAGAGAGCTGTAGTCCGATATATATGGGCGGCGGCAAAGAGGAACAAACGGACGCGTCGGCCAAAGGAAAGAGAAGGATTGGAGGAGATGAGCTGGGATATTTCAGGAAAAGACTATAGTTGATGAGCAAAGGCGCTCGCGAACGTTTCGTCCGTGCGGCAGCGGAACGTGGGAACGTGGTTCTGCGTGCGTGCCTGGATTGTAGATTATAGTTGATTGGCAATCTTGGTGTTACTTCCGCCCGGGATGACATAAGTTTTCGGAGTCAGCAAGGATGTATTTTATCTGGCTGCGGGAGAGATCAGTTAGTAGCAGATGATGACAGGTAAGAAATAAGAGGTGCATATATCTCGATAAAAGCACGCAAGATATTTGCGAGACATGACTACGATATGTTGACAGTCGAGCAAAAATAGCGGTGTTTACTCCATGTCCTCTCCGGTCTTCTCTCGGACGACACAAAAACAAAACCGGAAAAAGAAGGAAATTGTAAATTGCAACAATCTATTCCTTGGCTTTTACCATGCGAGCGCCGAAAATTCATATTTAAACAAGAAAGACAGAAAAGGTT